GGAGGAGGAGGAGGAGGAGGAGGAGGAGGAGGGGGGGATTCACCTACGGCCCCCTTGCATGGCTGAAGTGATTATCTCGGCGCATTGCGTTGCCTCTGTACTTCGTAATTCGAGAGAGTTTACCTAGGTACTCATGGTCCTTTTTCGTTCTGACATGTACCCTAGAAAATCCATCCTCATACGAAGTACCAAGGATACTTTCAAGGTACATACGGTGAAAAAGTTAAAAAAAGTAAAAGTCACGACATCAAGTCCGGAAGGTACCACACTTCAGTACGTACAACAGGATAATTGAGTACCTTGTAAAAATATCTGAGCGTTTTCAAACCATGTCGTTCAGCTGTTTCCCGTACCCTTGTTCAATAAAACCCGCGGTTATTTCTTCCAAAACCACATTCATTGGTCGGTTCCCTCTCATCCCGTTCCCATAGTCCAGGCTCACTCGAACTGATTTTACGTGAATACTTGTCTCTCTCCCTCTTCGTTCCTCAAATTGGCCTCGGTAAATGTCGATCAATAAATGACCACCACAATAATATTACAGCGCCACAAGTACATTTCCCCTCTCCTTCACATGTGGCAAAGAAATCCGCCCATCTGCACAAATTTCTCTTTCACATGGTTCCAAAGTGGTCATATCGCGAACTTCACAAGTCACAAAAACAATACTTCTTCTCAGAATTAAATAGTATTTGTATTTTGATACTTCTGTAAGTATGCCTAGTTGTACTGGAATAGGCGCGTAGAAAGCATAGCAACCCTCCCGATGGGTATCGGTTCATAACAACATTTCAATCGTGCAAAAGTCCTGAGCCTCTCGAATCATATACGATGCTCTTTGTGGAAAACCAGCCTCCCTTGCTCAAGGAAAACATCTTCCCAGCCAGACGAACACCAAAGGAACAAGAGTACAACATAATTGTTGCCCACCCATCCATTGACTGGGACTTCATCATCCGTCCTTTCCGCTTTCTCTGCGCGGACTCGTAAAATCAATTAATCGTACAACGAAGCACCGTAGAGGGCATCAATGCCGATCACCTTCTTAGTAGAATCGCCTCTGTCCGATCGACCGGATCAATCGTCCGCCCGTCGACGATTGACGTCAATTTCACCCACTCAAAATCTTGAGAACCGTGCTTTAGCGGTGGCGATCATTGGTTAATCAGCCCCAATCGCTGATCCGCCAAAGTGCAGCAAAAGATTCTGTCGTTACAGAGCAGGTTTCACTTTTGCCCCAGAGAAGGTGACTTCCCACATCACATAATTCACACCGTTCGCGTCATACAAAGCACATTTGCGTAACAATCCCACAAAAAAGCGTGCTGGAAAATATAGCCAGGGGATCATAAGGTGTTGGGACTTGGTAGGTAGGACAAACTCGTTGGCCCGAGGCAGCACCGCCACAGGAGTGCGGGGAAAGGTGGCACCGCACTCGTTTTGCTTTGGTAGCTTCGGCGCGACGAGATTGCGACAGCTATGATTGCTTGGAATCCGAACTCTCCGCTGTGCAGGGGTCAATTCGTGATGAGAGCTACAGAGGGGTAGCTCGAGTGTTGGGCCGAAAACAGTCCTCAATCCAGCTGCATGGGGGTTTGCACCTCGAAATCGGCAGAGCGGTTGAACTCGGGAAGCGGCGGATGAGCCTGCATCTGGCTGTGACTCTGGTCAAAGTAATCGTTGTCCATAGCTGGCAATTCAGGGAAGTTCATCTGGGAGGAAAAGTCGCCAAAATTGGTATTGCCAAATCCCATGTGCGTAGTGAAGAAATCGCTACCGAGATGTGCAAGGTGGGCTTGAATCTCCTCCGGTGCCTTGCATTCCTCACAGTTGGCATGGGCGAGAAGGAGTGCGTTCATCTGTTGAATCTCGTCCTTCATGCGCATGATTTGATCTTTGAGATAAGCATTTTGCACTGCCTTGTCGTGTGAATCTCGCTGTAATTGCTCGGTCTTTTCTTTTTTGTTCATGCGGCACTTTGCAGCAGCTAGGCGATTCTTCTCTAGCGACTGCTTTCTCTTCTGCTCCTCTGGAGATGCTCCCTTGTCTGCCCCCGACTTTTTAGAAGATTTCCGCTTCCGACCGGATGTAGCTGTAGTAGATGCCAGTACCGAGTCGTCTTCTTTGGGCTGAGCCTTGGAAGCTCGCTTACGGCGTGGCTCAGGGGCCGTGGACTTGGGAGAGTGTTTCTCTTCGAGCTTGAGAGAGTCTGAGCTGGCTGCTGAGTTGGATCGAGGTGGGGTCATCTGGCCATATCGAGAGACGGCAGTGCTGGAGTTTGGAAGGCCGGCCTTGACGAAGCCATCGGCCTCAAATGGAGCAAAACTCAATGGAGAATCGCCCAGAGAAGGCTTCATATCGTCATCGCGCTGGAAGTCGGGCCATTCAGAGAGTGAGAGGTCTGTAGGAGGGCTGTAGGGCTGGAAGTTGTTGAGAGAAGTAGTAGGCTTGATAGGAGCCGGGTCGAAACCAAAGTCATCTTCTTGTGTAGGTGCGAAGGCGGTTGCGGAGGGAAAGCTGTAGTCTCGGAAGGTATATCCATCCAAGTCATTGATGCTGTCCACGGCAGAGGCGGTCCCAGACAAGGTACCAAGAGCCGCCATTGTGGTGTAAAATATGCGGTGTAGAGGAGATCAAGGTCCAAGGCGATGAGGTGATGTACTACTACGAGTAGTAGGGAAGGGTCCAGGTCAGTGTTGGTTCGTTGTGACAAAAACTGATGACGATGGGTGAGGGTGAGGGCGAGGCACAAGGTGTGGCTAGAGAGATGTTGAGTTGTTTGTTTGGAGGTGTGGCAGAAGGAGAGGCGGACGGGGGGATATCAAGGGTTGGCTTGTTTAAGGAAGATTCTGGCAATGGATCAAAGATCAGGTTTGGTGACAGCGGTGTGGAGCGATGGTAGTGGAAGACTCTTTTTGTACTCGGGATTCGTACACGTACTAGTCAATGCCAGGAACATGCGGAAGAAACATTGAGGATCCAGAAGTGGAAGCGAGAGATCTGAGGCAGAACAGGCGATGATGTTCTCCTTCGGGCGAACCTTTTACTTAGCGGGTGATGGAGAGACAATTAATTGGGGAATAACAGGCGCCTGGAGACCGAACATTGGGCACTGGGCACTGGAATCAATGGGCATAGGCACTGGGCACTGGGCACCGGGCACCGGGACTTGCAGTCAATGGGCAGCCCACGGCGGAGGCTTGATCCGGCCAGCTCAAAGAGACACCAAGAAGAGGCTCACCAGCTCGTCACAAGCCACAACAACATCAATAATCCCTGCAGAGAACAAACTAGAGCCTTCACGGAAGCAGAACGAAGGCCCAACATGCCACAAATGGCGCACAAGGTGGACAGACGCTGCCAATGGGCCGCACGATGGGCGGGGGTTGTATCAGATGGAGGCAGAGGTACATCGATAGCTAGTACATTTTGTACGGTAGCGTCATGTCACTGCCTCTGCTTATATTCTGTCGCCATCGACCATTAATACCCGCATCGGCCGCGGCATCGTTGTCGATCCTCCATACCATCGTCGATGCCGCCTAAAATCCCCCAGTTTCTGGTCATGGGAATTTGAAAAGTGCCATCTGCGCCTTCGTTATTGTTCCCCCCTGTCAGCCACTTCGGAAGGTAGCCCCCGTCGAATCACTTTTTGTTTTGTTCGATGTGATTGTCCACATCGCCGATCCCTTTGCATATCGAGTAGTATTACTCTGTATTTGTACAGTACAATACAATATTCTCACTGAGGATCGGAGCTATACTGCATGCGAGCACTGTCTTGTACCCGGTACAGGTACTCGTACACGTACCTCACATGCTGCCTCTCCCCACTGCGCCACTATTGTGCTGTACAGTACCCGTACGAGTACTCTTCCCAGCACCCCTCCCACGACGTCAATCCTCACTTTATTTGTTCTCCGGCGCACTGATACTTCTACCGGCGCCCCTGACAATCAACCGTGATCACGGGAGAAGGACCAGGGTGGTATCAAAGTCAAATAGCAATACGGTTAACGGTTAGGAAATCGACAACACTGCTATACCAAGTTCAATCGCTTCTGTACTGGTTACCGTATAGGAATGGAATGAATAGTATATTGGTATTGTTTCTCGACAACACATGCGTGCCTGGAACATCAACACGCCTACGTAATTACCACGAGTAGGACCCCAGTACCATGTCATAGCGATGTCATCGTGCATGAGATCTCACCACCACTCTTCGCAACAAGCCACCTCCTTACTCCGTCTGAGTGCCGAATCTGAGACCATGGTGAGCGGCAGATGCCCCGTCCTTGCCCTGTTGATAACCCTGCCGCGCCAGCGTTCGGAGCTGATATCCGAGTGCGAAACACCCTCCACTTGGCCTAGCCCACATAACTCATCTGATGCCCGATCTTCCCAGTACAAACACGATCCACGACCCTTGTCCTTCCCTATGCTAGGCTCCCAAGACCGGCCCCAAACGGGCTTTGTGGATGATTTAGAGTAGCATGATCATCATGCCGACAAGACCAGCGCCCATTGCGGACCAGGCCAGCATCCGGGAATCTCCTCCGCTGGCACCATTGTTGTTGTCGGCAGTAGGGGTAGCACTTCCACTTCCACTGCTGGTGCCACTTGAGCCGCTGGTCTTCGAAGATGATGAAGAAGACGCGCCACCCGAAGTGGCAGACGCCGTCGAAGAACTGCCGCTAGCTCCAGTGGAAGCCGTCGTCGACGAGCCACTTCCATCACCCAGAGAATCGGTAAGTGTGACGGGAACGTAGGACATGTCGGTGGGGCCCAGGGTCGTGCTGGTCACGGTTGAAGTAATCGAAGTATCGAATGAAGCGTCCGTATTGGTCAACGATGGAGCGTCCGTCGCAATCAATCCCGCTGGTCCAACATATGTCTCTGCGCAGTCCGCAGCCGTTGTTCCTGACACCTTACAATCAATGATGACCGATGTGCTCTCGAACGACTCTTGTGCATGAAATGTCGAAGCGCCGACTGTCACAGTGATAGCACCGACGATTCCGCAGTCGTTAGAGTCTGTACCCGAAGGGCATGCGACGGCCATGGTAGTTTTAGAGGAATCCTGACTCGAATTAGTACCCTGACGCAGTGAACAACACAATTGCAAAGCATACCGACTTGATCACCGAGCCCAACAGTGTCTGGGAGTCGAGACCCGGAAAAAAGACGCTGACCACCGATGATGACTGTGCCGCGGCCGCGCCAGCCAGCGTCAATGCAAGTCCTGTTGTCTTGATCGCAACCATTTTGATCTACTGGTTTCCTCCGCGAAATCCGTCAATCGAATAGTGCAGAGGTGATGGTGATGATGAGGAAGAAGGAGAAAGCCGAATACAAGCAGTTATTAGGAAGAAGAGGATGAAGAACAACACAAACAGAGAAGATCCAACCTACGAATACTGTAGACGCCTGCGCCACTCCTCATTGTCTCAGCGCCTTCGTTAGGGGGGCCAAGTCCTGTTGTCAATTTCTTGAAGCCCCTATTTTGGTGTCTCGACTACAACTAGCCTTGGCGCCAGTTGAAAACCGGTGTTTTCCCCAGTGGGAATGTCAGCCTCAGACGCGGCGACACATGCCATCTTGACGGTAAGGAGGCGTACCAATGGTTTCAGTAAGTTTCACGCACGATATAAATCGACCTGCAGGGTCACCATTTCCGTACCGCATCAAGAAATGTTGGCTACAGGCTTTTTAACTTTCATATCTCTCAGTGTCAGGGACAACGGTATTCTGTAGTTGTCTCTGAGCATGCGACACCGAGTCCAGCTTCTGAAGGCAATCTGGACCGGGTCTTTGACATCTGTCAGGCGAGATCAGGTCTTCATCTTGAAGTGGCCGGCGCCGACTTCAACACTCCGGAGATTGGAGAGCTATGCCTCAAATAGTCGCACTGTCGGGAAGCGAGACGTATTTTCTTGGTTCGCTAAGCGTAGTTCGGTGCTATCCCCATGTACCGTTTGTCCGTAAACGTCGAACTCAACCATGGCTTGAACCTGGGGTTGCACGAAGGAACTGGTCAGGTCTTTACTCCGCCGTTGGGAGAGAGAGAGAGTCGATCCAAACCGAAACTCTATATTATATCACGTGATAGCGTGATAAATTGCACGTGACCGACTTGTCAACAAACACCAAGCTGTGACGGGACTAAGGGGAGCATTCGCTATTCTTGTGATGTTATGTTATCGCAACGAGGCTCGCCAGAAAGCTCGTCTCCTACTGTACATCTATAACGTCTCTTGGCTGATTGCCTCACAGGTCTGCTAATAATGATTGTGCCGCATGTCACAGTCACAGGATCTGCTGATCTCTCCTCGGCTTTGAATCAGTTGCAGCACGGTGCACTGTCTTCTTCAAACTAGCGATTTACGAACCGCAAACTGGTTGTGTGATTGGCGCTGGTCAGAGCGTTTCGACATCAATTGCTCTCAGTCAGCTTTTCCCTTCGAGGGTAGGTATGGAGTATCAGTGCTCGTGCTTCACTTGGTGAAGCACACCAGCCCCTTTCGTTGCAAAGGAAAGGAACTATTTTGGGGTTCGACAGCTTGATGACCGTCTTGCTTTTGTGCAGATTCAGTCCTGCCTCCGTGAGGGCGCATCTGCCTCCAAACTCCTTACTTGATGAAGCTCAACCCCATAACCAGCATCGATACTCGTACTTGCATCGTCGTGCTCTTCGTTTGGCGAAACTCGACACTGCTTCAATATCTCCTCGACCTGTTCTTTCACCAGCCCACAGCCCCATCTCTGCAGTGGATCCCGGTTGATCATCCCAGCAATACATTGACAGACGAGCTCTCCGGTACCTGGGTCATGTCCTTCCTTGTCAATTTTCGTGGCTAAGCCTGCGGGGAGGAAGCCTTTCTGTAGGCTTCCAAGAACTACCATGCGTTCGGCTTTGGTAGTACAATGCCAGAGCATTTCCACCAGCACCACTCCAAGGGCAAACACATCGAGTTTCTCATTGACGTTCGATGAGGCTTTCCATTTCTCTTTCGAATCCGTCCAGCGTGGTGGACGATAGTATTCGGTACCCACCGCTTTGTCGGCTTTGCCGTCAATTTGCTGGTCTTTCCTCTGACCATCTCGAGCCAGTTCAGCAACAAGTCCGAAATCCCCAATACGTGGATTCACAAAGTAGCGACTGGAAAACGAGCATGCAACGCAGCTACCGACGTCGTAGTAGCCCCCCGAGACGCCGCCATTAGGGGTCGCCATTTCGAAGCTCGATATGAATATGTTGCTGGGTTTGATGTCACGATGAACTAGTCCCTTTGCATGGATGTACTGCAGCCCGCATAAGATGCCAAGCAATATGCGCAATGCAGGCACTAGATGGAAGCAGTGCCTTCGCATAGGACTGCTCGGTGCGCTTCGGGCGTTTTCAGGAGCTGGGGTCAGGTATTGCTCAAGCGTCAGGGGATAGACTGACATTTGCACGTGTAGGACATAGACTGATTCATCCACTACGACGTCGTGCCGACCGTTTGTCTCTGCATGTCCGTCAGTAAATATTTCAGATGGTCGTGCTGAGCTCGGATCGGAAAATGTCTGTCTCATTGACCACAGAGGTTGTTCTTTGTCGTCCTGTTGATCCAGTGTGCGGATTTGCGAGACACTATCAGAACCAAAGACAATGCCATCGCTTCGATCCGGCGACAGTCGACGCGGTAAGGTTTTTCGAGGTTGACCCTGTGTGACAGGAGGTGTTCCATTATCGATGAGGCGTCTGCCATGAACTCTAAGCTCGGGCCTCTCCTCATCCAAGTCCATCATCCTTGGTAGTCTTGGGGATTCGATCCATGTAGCATGGTACCGAACGACGTTATTGTGCTCAAGTTGAGCTAGTGCCTGGACTTCACGCAGAACATGTTCAAGCTCTTGATGACCCGACTCTTTGTATCGCTGTGACAAGCGAGGGCTGAGAGGAATCTTCTTGATTGCGTATTCCTTTTTGTCAAAGACATTGAATGTGCGGTATACCCGACCGAAGCCCCCCTTTCCAAGCAGACCAATTTGCTGGAAGCTCGATTCGTAGTGGCTGCGAGGACGTTCTATAGACTGGTTGGACAGCATAAAATTGGAAGGACGGATTGTGAATGGATTTTGATCTTGATAGAGCGAGAGGTCTCTCAAAGGCTGTTCAAGTAGTTGACCAAATGCATTCGAGGGTCCTTGTTCAGTTCGAGTCACGGCCAGTTGCTCTTCGGAAGAAGGCAGGGCTGTGGTGGCTGCAACATTGGACGATATGAGTTTACCTGCCTGCACTCCGCCGAGCGCTATACCTTCAATTCCGGCCAAGTAAGTAGCTCGCATTTGCTCCTTGTTACGACCTTGTTCAGACACCAGAGTCGTTGGGAGTACTCCAGTTTGAGCGAGCGATTGAGTGGCTTGTCGATAGAATTGTCTGGCCAAAGCCTCGATCTCGGGAGACGACCTTGTGTAGTTTGATCCGGGCTTCGCATTGTTCATCATCTCGCATGCTCGAGTCCGTGCAAAGTCCTCGAGGAGTGCGTCGATCAAATTTGTTCGATGGTGGTCAACGCCGGCAAACGAGGTTGCGGGACCACCACCACCGGCAGCAGAAGAACCTCCAAACGAAATGCTCCCATGGCTCGAAAATGATTCCGTGGTGCCCAGCTCGCCTGTCTCGTCGTCGACATTCTCAACGGGTGGGCTCACGTGGTCAATGTTCTCTGAGCCTTCACTTTCGACTTCAGAACTGCTGGGGCTGGAACTTTCATCACCAGGTCTGCGAAAGAACGCGGAACTCATCCTTCATCCATAACAAAACCACCTGTGAACATCACTTTACGTGCCCACATGCAATATCTGGCTCATGACTCAAATCGGGATTCGACCGAGTCGTCTTCTTGCGGTTGTGACTGGGAAAGATGAAGGCTCAACGGTCAACAAGGTTTAAGATCAAGGTGATCAGATATGTGTGTAACTCGTTAAGTACTGTTCATTCACGCTTCGCGTATCCAGCTCACGGTCAGGCTACGATCTTCACTGTGATTCTATATGAGACTTGCTCAACCTGTGCCGCGCCGCTTTTACGTGAGATGGAGCTATGCGCCAAGATCTGTTATCAAACTCGTTGCCGCCATAACTTTGGCCGAAGTTCGTCTCGCTGCGAGTAGCTTATCTATTCTCCCTTCACCTTCAACCTCTCGCTTCTTTACCCATCCACAGCATTGTCAGATGTAGCTCATTCTGCTACGAGCAAGTGTTTCTGCACTCTGGCCGTAAGTCTCTGGATTCGACGGGTTCGGATTGGTAACTCCGTAAGAATGCGACAACCACGCAAATCTCCCAAGGCGGGCCCTGAACCCTCCTCCGTGATCCTGAAAAGTGCCATATATCACCGAAAGCATTCATAATGGTTCAAGGTCTCCAGCATTTTCATAGCGCATTGATATCAATCCGATCACGACCAACAAGTATTGACGACGGTGCTTTTGGTCATAGCCGCCACAAGGTTGAGATCCTGCTCTGTACCGATCTGAACTGAAGCCTACGAAGACCATCGGGACTGATCACAAGCCACCCAACCACGTCAAGAGGTCGTATGGTTTATAGATTCAAAGGGTAGGCGTATGCATGATCAGCCAGCTCTTCATTGTTTTCCCTTTTAGGACAATACTCGCCACCGACCACGAGAGCATGGGTGACCTTATCGATCACACAAATCGCGTTCGTCAGACTCATGAAGTTGAATCAACGATAGCATCAAGTTGCAGCAGTGAACTTCCTAACAGGAATAAAATTTCCCTACGGCACCTCGGCTGAGAAGCGCTTCCTCCAGGTTTTGATGATTGTGGCTGACCGGGCCGGTTGATCTGGGAATGGGGCGGGTTGTGGCTATGCCTGAGATTTTTGCATCCTGTCCGTCGTGTGAAGTTTGAGGTCTGACTGTCCCTGAGCAATTTGTATTGGGTACCGCATCGTGATTTTCTTTCAATGTCACCTTTGACAACTTGCAGATCAGCTTACCTGCTTCTCTCATCTTTCATTGAATGCTCGCACAAGGTTTGTTGGCGAGAGGAGAGCGTCCATTCCAGCGAATGCTATCGTTGCCCGCCGAACCCACCGGCAGATTTATGCAGTATGTCCAGAGCTGCCGCCTCCTTTGACCTTGCTCTCACGGCACGTTCGACATTCGAAAACAAGATTCTTGTGCTGCCCATCGGCTTTAGGTAAGATGAATACACCAAAACAACGTGGTCATGTTGACCTCGGGAGCAAGTTGGACTTAAAAAGGCGCCAGTACCGAGCTCAGAGTCCAACGAAGACGTCTCAACCTCACCCCACGTATCACTCTTCAAGTTTTATTGCCAAAGGGGGCTAGAGAAGGTGGTGATTCTCTTCTTCTCGGCCTGGAGACGACCCACAGAAAGACAAGTGTTGTTTCTCCAAGCGGTTATATGATTATTTTTGATCGGGGAAAAACGGAGAACGCCTCCCCGAGTTGGAGTATGCCAGAGGTGAACCGGCCCGGCATACAACCCATCAACTGATTATGTTCGACTTGTGTTTTAAGAATGTGGATTGAAATCGACGTCTTTGTGATTTGATTCTACTATTATTATCTTATTACTACGTGCAAGACACTGGAATTTTACAATATCAAAAAGATTCATCTGACTTCCACTTCCACCAGTCAAAATGGGCAGCGTTGCGCAGACATACTCTGAGGAGGCTCTCGGAAAGGTAAGTGGGACGAACATCTACGGTGAGAATGTTGAATTGACCTTGAGGATTAGCTCAACAACCCTAAGCTCTTCATTTCCGATGCTTTCATTGGAGGCAAATGGGTGAGCAAGGACAAGAAGTTTCCCGTCACAGGTCAGCCATAGCACAGTCCTCAATAGCAGAACTCGTCGTCTCACAGCATCCAGAACCGGCAACTGCCAAAACCCTTGGACAAGTCTCAAATTGCGACCTAGAGGACTTTAAAACCGCAATCAATGATGCCTACATTGCACAGCCAAAGTACTTTGAAAGCACCACCGCCGCACAGAGAGGCGCAGCTCTACGACGCTGGAACGATCTGATTCTCGCCAACAAGCAAGACAGTGAGTACTTTTTCGAGACCGTGAAAGTAAACTTCTGCTGACTGACTCTTCTCAAAGTTGCAACTATTCTCAGCTTGGAAAATGGCAAGACGTACGCTGAGGCCGAAGGCGAAGTTGTCTACGCCGCCAGCTTTGTGTCATGGTTTGCAGAGGAAGCAACGAGAGCATATGGAGTCACCATTCCCTCGTCAACCCCTCACACCACCCTCCTGACGCTGAAAGAGCCCGTCGGTGTCTGTGGTATCATCACACCATGGAACTTCCCGGCAGCGATGATCACTCGAAAGATCGCCCCGGCTCTGGCGGCAGGCTGTGCCGTGGTTATCAAGCCCCCAAGTGAGACCCCGTACACGTGTCTGGCGCTTACGAAGCTGGCTATCGAAGCTGGCATTGAGCCAAAGGTCATCCAAGTCTGCCCGACGAAGGATCGTCAAGCGGCCACCGAGCTCGCCACCAACCCACAAGTCCGCAAGATCAGCTTCACGGGTTCTACCGGAGTCGGTAAGATGTTGGCAAAGCTCGCTGCAGGAACTCTGAAGAAGTTGAGTCTTGAGCTGGGAGGCAATGCACCTTTCATTGTCTTTGACGATGCCGACCTGGACTTGGCCGTGGAAGGTGCCATGTTTTGTAAATTCAGATGCACTGGACAGACATGTGTCTGGTAAGTTTTCTTTCTTTTCAGACTACCTACTACCTTGCAGAAAAAAATTGGTAGTGTGACTGACGTTCTGTTGTCAAAGTGCAAACCGAATTCTCGTCCAAAAGGGCATCGCCGAAGCCTTTGCCACCAAATTGGCGGCCAAGGTGGGAGCTCTCAAGACCGGTCCTGGCCTGGACAAGACCACCACCCAAGGCCCGCTCGTCAACCAGGCCGCCGTTCAAAAGGTCAAGGAGCACGTGGACGACGCCGTTTCCAAGGGCGCCCGCGTCGCCATCGGAGGCTCACCGGGCAGTGGGGACGGATTCTTCTTCGAGCCCACCGTCCTCACGGGCGTGACCAAGTCCATGATCGTGGCGAAAGAAGAAACCTTTGGTCCCCTGGCCCCGATCTTCCCGTTCGAGACCGAGGCCGAGGCGGTCGAGCTCGCCAACGACACCGAGTTCGGCCTGGCCGGATACTTCTTCTCCAGGGACGTCAACAGGATCCTGAGGGTGGCCCAGAAGCTCCAGTGCGGCATGGTCGGCGCCAACACGGGCAAGATCTCGGCCTCCGAAGCGCCCTTTGGGGGTGTCAAGGAGAGTGGCTACGGCCGCGAAGGAAGTCTGTACGGTATGGACGAGTACCAGATCATCAAGGCTGTCACCATTGGAAATCAAGATAAGTAAAAAAGAAAAAGATTTTGAACCTCCCAGCCATGGTTCTGATCTCTATGTCCCCGCCTCCAGGAACTTGAGGGAGAGGAGGAGCGGAGCGGCTTTCTAAAAACATTCCTCCGATTCTACATGTAGAGAAAATACATACAATGGTATCGATCAGTATTGGACAGAACATCTGACCTCATCATTACACGAGTTTGAATCAACTGCTTCCTAAGCTCCAAAGGAAACTGCTTGGTGTGTTTATCTGTGATATCGACCGGGGGCGAAGGGAGTCTGCTGCATCGTTCCCTGAAAATATCTTTGGAGAAGCAACAGCATCTACCGTCGAGCACGTTGAAGTAGGTAGAGATGGCATTATTGTGGATATCTCTGCATTGAAATAAGGTAGCAACCAGGTCGTCGATCGAGACCCGGGACACCTATCAGACCTACAAAACGCCCTGGACCCAGCCATGAGGTTGATAAATGATTACTACCCAGGTACGAAGTACTCGTGTGACAGAACCCCGAAATCACTCAACATCGTTGACATTCAACTCGTCAAAATCATCCAGCAAATCATCCATGTTGATCTTTGGTACTTCGTCCTCCTCGCTCTCCCCGGTAGCCATACTCATCATGTCCACGTCCTTGGTCTTTTGTTGCTTGGCTTTGTACAGGGCCAGAGTTTGACGAAGTTCGGCATCCTCCTCGACGTCGCGCAAGAACATTTCATAATCTGCATCCATCCTCTCTTGGTCCTGTTTTTTGGGCAAAAGGTCGCCCTCCTCCTTCTCCATCCGCTTGAGTCTCCACGATCTGGACTTGGGCTTCTTCTTGCGGGCGTAGAACTTCTTCACAAGCATGACGTCCGGAATGGTGGAGGCGTACGCATTGTTCTGTTCCAGCTCCTCGAATTGGGGGTTGTTGAAATTCGTGCCCGTCAAATGGTAACCCAGAACCGAGTCACCGGCGTGGAGCACTCCTCCCAGGTGCGTTCTACAGTAGTAGGTCTTGTCGTTGATGCCGAGATCTGCGGCCCGCGCGACCGTGGCTTCAGCCAAGAAGAACCGACCATTCTGTGAACCCAACGGTTCGATGTCCAGCACCACAAATTCGACAAGTTCTTGGACGTCGGCCAGATTTTTGAAAGGGTTCCTCCAGTATGTTCCGGTCGGAAGATCGGCGGTCTGTAGTGTCGTCGGGTCGATCAGGTTTACTGACGTGCCCACTCGGTAGCAAAGTGCCAATGGCGCAATGTTACCGATGGATTTTGCCATCTTTATCGGCAGAGCTACCAGGTCGTCCTTGCAAATCGGCAACAGTTCGCAGGAGTATGTGAATTTGTAGGATTTGGTCGAGGTGTGAATGTCCATGGAGATCAGTTCCTGCGATTTCTTCACCTTGGCCGGCGTTACAGACGTGAGGAAATCGACAAACTTCTCGGCATGGTTTCGTTGGGCGAAGTAAAAGTCAAGACCATCTTTGACTTCCTTGATGTTGATGGTTTCCTTGTGTGCACCGTGCTTTAGAACGAGTTGTTCGAGATACAAGAAGGTTCGCTTGTGTGGCACTTTCTGCCTGACTTGCACCGACGCCCGCCAGGTGTTTGGTGTGTAGGACTTGGCACAGTCTGGACATTGTTGGTAAGCGACTACGTATTCAACCTCAAAGGTCTGTTGAAGTATAGTGCCCTCGTAAGCTTCTTGTTGAACGGTGATTTTCACCTTGATGCGTCGTGAATGGGGCTCTGTCCACAGAAAGTTTGCATCAATAATTCGGACCTTGTTGAGGCCACGTAGTTTCCGAAGGCAGAGAGCGAGCAATTCTCTGCTTTCGAGCGCCGCTGATGCCCATTGTGAAGGAGGACTCAGCCATCGTTCACAATCTCGGCATGTGTGCAGTACTCCCTCTCTCTGTATGCCTTCCGAGACATCGACAGACAGTTTGATACAGTCATAGCACAATGCACCTGCCGATGCCGTTCCATCTATGGGTGCACCACAGTTGCAGCAGAGGATGGTTGCCGCCTGTGGCTGATGAACTGAAGGGAGTGATACTGGAGCGTCCAGATCCATGGACATTTTGAAAGTGTTTCGTCCTTTTTATTTCGTATTCATGAGAGTCCTTTAAAGGAAATTGAAGAGAAAAAGTACGACAAGGATCAGTACAATTTGAAGAAGTCGAAATCGTGAAGATGGTGACTGATAATTATTCAGAATTCGCCTCTTCATTGGCAGAAAGCGGCGTTGGAATTATCAAGCAGGATTTTCACAGCCTCGCACGTGATGAGCCCTGCAAGGCTGCGGAGTTTTCTCGCCTCCAAAAGGTCCATCTGCCTCGGCGGACTCCCTAGGACATTTTCCGAGGTGCTTCATTATCCGTGTCTTTGCCAATTTACAGAAGGCCCAAGCAGCATCTTTCATGTTATTGCGACGATAGTCATCCCGTCATGAAGGCTTGCTGTGCCAGATATGCTGCATCCCTTGTAGCTCCAAACACTACTTCTAGAACAGCAAGTCTGTTGTCCCGACACAAGGCGCCTTTAGTGTCCCAAGCACTGCTCCGACGACAGGTATGATCCATGTCCTTCAACAAGGACTAGAGACCAACTAATGCCTCCTAGATGTCTTCATCTCCGATCAGATATGGCGCAATGCCAAAGGAACTTCCAGGCGATGACCCCGACGATGTCCTATTCAATTCCCTATATGGCGTTCGAACGATCGAGTTAAACCGACCGAAGAAGCTCAACTCTCTCAATGGTTCAATGGCGCGGAAGATACTACCTCGTCTGAGAGAATGGGAGAAGTCGCAGATGGCAAATGTGATCATGATCACCGGAGCTGGACCGAAAGCATTTTGCGCTGGTGGTGATGTTGCCGAGCTTGCGTCGCAAAACAAGGATGGCCCAGAAGGCCAGAAAAAGTCCACAGACTACTTTGGTCTTGAATACCAACTCGATCATTTGATTGCGACCTACAGTAAACCATATATCGCCGTCATGGACGGAATCACCATGGGTGGTGGCGTGGGCTTGTCTGTACATGCGCCCTTCCGAATTGCGACGGAGAAAACAGTCTTTGCCATGCCCGAAACAACGATTGGGTTCTTCCCCGATGTTGGTGGAAGTTTCTTCCTTTCTCGACTAGATGGAGAAATCGGTACATATCTGGCCCTGACTTCTGAAAGACTACACGGGGTTCAAGCATTCTATGCTGGAATCGCAACACACTACCTGGACAGCTCGTTGCTTCCTCAGTTGACGACGCGATTGTCAGAGCTTGTTTTCAGAGACTACGCTAGTTTGTCAGAACGACTACAACTTATCAACTCAACAATCGCCGAGTTTACTAGCAGCCTACCCTCGTCTGATTTGGGTAAAGGTTCTAGCCACGGTGATCTAAGCGGCAAACTGCGAGAGGCCATCGACCGAACATTCAAGCATGATACTGTTGAAGGCATCCTCAGCGCACTCGGCCAAGAGTCTCAATCTGGAGATGAGTACATCTCAGAGTGGGCGAAACAAACCCAAAAGACGATCGCTCTCAGGTCCCCAACCAGCTTGAGAGTCACTTTGCGACAATTGAAAGAAGGCAGAAACTGGAATATTAGCGAGACATTTATCCGCGAGCACAGAATGGCGGCCAGATTCATGGAACACCCAGACTTTGTCGAAGGCGTCTCGGCTCGTCTTATCAACAAGCCCCCTACCAAACCCGTCTGGAAGCCTGCAAGCCTTGCCGAGGTCAGCAAGGAGGATGTCGACGAGTTCTTCACCATGTCCCCGGACTTTGAACCTCTGGCTTTGGTGGAGCCATATGAAGGGGCGCTTGATCAGCACTTCACAGAGTATCCGCATGCAGTTTTTGCCTTACCTAGTGAAGCCGACATTGAGCAACTTGTCAGGGCGTATGGTCAGGAAGGGCAAAGAGCAGTCATCGAAGCGGTTGCCAATAGATGGAACAACAAAGCTGGTGTCAGGGAAAAGGTGCGAGAGGTTCTTGCACGCAAGACCAGGCTTGAGGACAGAGGCATATCATGGAAGCCTCAGATGCCCAATTTATAGATAGAGAGGTTTTGTATATGGAGATTTGTGTCACGCTGAAAGCCCAATTGTATTTTCAGACCTTCAGGCCTGGGTTATAATAGTAGCACGACCTGCGATTGTTGTCCTCGATTTATATGTTGGTCGGGCGATACTGTTCCCGTGTAGACTACTGAGAGTAGAGAGTGCATGAGGAAATTCCGCCTTCCCCAACCGTAACCAAAATTTTCTCCGCACCGAATTCATCAACACCGCGTGCGGTTCCTGATACAATCAATTTTCCAGGACGTATCTGCGTTCAATCTTTTGATTGATTTGAATAAGTGCGCATACTGACCCAAACCATCATGTCCCTCAATGATAGGAATGTCTATCTCGACCACGGTCCTTCCGACGAATCAGACAATGATGCAGGTTACGATTCTGAGGCCGCAGAAGTGTCCAAGACTACCAGATCCTCGAAGCGACGGAAGATAGATCACAGCAGCCCTATCATTGAAGACGAAGTGCAACGGCAGACTTCAGTTTCTCCTTCGCCTTCTCATGATTTACCTGAACAGTCCGGAGACGAAGATACCCATACTACACACCACCAAAACACTCCCTCCGAGGTCGGGGGGTCGAAGAAGGCCTCGAAGCAGAAAAGCAAAACCAAGAAAGAGTTAACACCAGGCGTGATATACCTGTCTTCACTACCACCGTATTTGAAACCAGCTGCGCTGCGCAATCTGCTCGAGCAACGCGGCTTCAGCCCCATTAAACGACTATTTTTAACGCCAGCATCAAAACACAAATCATCGTCCAAAAAGAACTCCCGGCAGCTTTACACAGAAGGCTGGATAGAGTTTACATCAAAGAAGACAGCCAGAAGATGTGCTGAGAGCCTGAATACGCAGCAGGTTGGCGGGAAAAAGGGCGGCTTCTACCACGACGACGTATGGAACATGAAGTATCTGCGGGGTATGCGGTGGGAAGAACTGATGGCAGGTATACGAGAAGAAAAGAGAGAAGAGGAGGGCCGACGAGATGAAGACAGACGGGTAATTGCTCGTGAGACAAAGATGTTCGTCGAGGGCGTGGAAGAAGGCAGACGGAGGGAAGGTATGAAGAGGAAACGAGAGATGAAGGGTGCGACAAAAGACTCAGATGCAGATGCCAACATTCAGAGAACATGGAGACAGGCTGAGGTCAAAGGCAGAGATAAAAGTGACCAGGTCAAGGAAAAGGGTATCAGCGACGACGTACGGCAGGTATTGGGCAAGATTTTCTGATGATTTTATGGCGTTCGTGAAACCGCCACCAGCACGATACAACAGACTTCGCCTGCCAGTGCTCGATACACGAATATCAACAGCTCCTATGGGAAATTGTACTTCTATGCTATTGGGCATCCATCTTCCAGCTCGTCCTAGATCCTAGGACTCGATCTCTAAGGTCAAAAGCCTTTCGTATGATTCAATTATCGGGTGACTGAGTCCGCTTCAGACCTGACTGGTAGAGCAGTTCCAACCACTTGCGATTCCATTGGTGATACGAGACAAGACCAAGCACAGACGGAACGAATGAATTGACTTGAGATCGGGACTGCCTAAAATAAGCCAACTCTTAGCTTCCATCTCCAGTGGCGATCATTCAGCTAAGGCTCACCAACACTCTGTGACCCTTGTATCCATCTAGCACGCATACTCGAGTAGGTCCAATGAGGAATTCGATCGGGGCGCGTGCACTGATCTGGCTGTGGCGATCAGGCTGCCAGCCTCGCCAAATCTCTACCTCGTAGAAAGAGGCATCGACATGGGTGATGTGGTCTGCTGACCCTTCAACGGAGAGGTCTGGCCGCAATTCTCGCCTGGCCATTGACAATATGTCGACCTCAGATATATCCATGCCGAGATCATTACTGGATACCTCATCATCACAATTCGCGTTAACGTTATGAACCGCTGGTACGACCAATTCCGGACAGAGCCTCTGTCTGCGCCCGCAGATATCAGCGACGCTCAAACATGGCCGCGAATGCCAATGACCCCATCTACAACTACTCGAGCCCGCGACCCGAATGCTCCCGATTATCGCTACCAGGTCAACCAGAAATGTGTTTATGAGCGCCGCCTCCCTGGAGGCTCGTACATCACCGCCCACGTCCAACGTCTTCAGTCCGGTTACTATGACAGCCCAGTAATACATGAGGACACCATTGACAATGTCCGCTTCGTGGCCATCAACTTTGTATTTCATCCGAGCAGTACAACATTTCGCTTCAAGTGTGCTGAGATACGAATTGCACTTCATCATAGCAGGGAGGATACCCTGAGTCCATTACAGGTGGTCGCTGGTGCCGCCCAAAGGCACACAAGTCATGACCATGGCACTCAGACAATGTCTAGCTCGTTGATGAGAAATCCTAGTTTGCACTCACGCTCTGATCCAAGAGCATTGCCGCCCAAGTTTCTTCGCCACGCTCCACACTTGTTGTACGGGTCTATCAGTCCGGAGACACTGAACTGGAACTTCAATCTAGCTGGAAGCCTTGGTGTATCACAAGGGCCTGCATTGGCGTCCATCAAGCCTTCTTATGGTGTGAAAAGCAGTTACAAGGTGTATGAAATGATGAAGATTCAAGGCTCGGTCAGGACGTTGAGGTCCTGGTACAGTCATGAGTACGATATTGAAGACGGCGAGATGGTATGGACTCTCGAAGAAAACCGCCTTCAAAAATCTGGACTACCACGAGAGTTCACTTTCGTTATGCTATTGACCAAAGGGAGTGGGGGGTTTGAAGAATCTGGTGATGTGAAGCTCGAAGTCGACATTCAACCTAAGATTGCAAGCTTTCCAGAATTTATCAGCAATCTGCATAGATACCAGCCCCTCCAGACTGGGATTCTTGATCTCGACCGTGATATTGGCCAGGTATTCGAGCCTCAAGTCAAGGGCAAGGGGTTCAACTTCGCCAATATCGCCACTAGTTTCGATGATTTCGTCTATCTCCCGGGTACAACTTATTCGAATTCTGATACAGGCATGTTTCAACCGACCACAAACGTGGTGATGCAATCACAGCATCAGAAACCTGTGAGGCCACGGCCATCTCTTCCTCTTGGCGATACCACTCTCAATCTGCGTGTGTTCCTCGAGTCTTCCCGGGATTTGCCAATTCAAACCAGCAAGCCGAATCCCTCGTGCATCAACCTCAAGGCTCCAACGCGGACAATAGGTCGAACGCCATCACTACTTCCTCCTTCTGTTGTCGGCTCTTCCAATTCGACTAGACGGACGATAACGATATCAGCTAGGAGATCTGTGCGCAAGCAGCGGTCTCGATCGGAGCTCTCAAAGGAATACCACTCGCCTTCAGCCGGGCGGCAGACCCTACAGCAAACAGATGATGATACGCCAACATCAAAAGATTCGACAGCTCCTGTCCGGTCGATACATTTTTCTTACCAGGCAGGATGCCGTGACCATTCCAATGGTCCAGTAGGCAATGCTAAGCAAGAAAAACTCATAGCCACGCCGCCCGAAGCAGGTCTTGACTCAAGACCAGAGTTCAAAACACAGCCTTTGCACACCAGTCAACGTATGAGACAACCACTACAGCTTGGTTAGCAGGAAATTGGAAGTCGAGGGGCTTCAATCCACCTCTCTTTTAGGAACTTTCATGACCACACCTGTGGCCTGGCTTCTGCTGCATCCAAATAACTTGGCTGAGGATGCGTCAATCCTAGCTTGGTACCGGATGCAATGAGAGGGAGAAGCAATAAAGCTTGGTGATCCCATGCCCTGGTTTGCTATCCTACAGGGAGCGAGCTACCTCGAAGGCTCGGAGGTGTATATGCTCTGTAGGACATGCTTTTGCATTTTGCTGGGTACAGAAACGAATGGTCAGACCTGACTTCATGCCTGAGACTATGGTCGGTGTTTCCGCGTCAAGATTCAAATTTCAAAGTCCCCAGTTCCAAAGTTAGGCACCGTGGGCACCAGGGAAATATGTGTCTTGCATCGGTTTACAGAGTACAACAAAAACGCCATGTTTGACGAAAGAGCCCTACGCATGCACCTGAAATGGACATCAATCCAATCTCTCGGGCATGCTAATGCAGGTACAGCCACAAAAATTATGGGTAATGACCCCGGTCAGGGCGTTAACGGGTGGCAGCCGGCCCTAACCAGAGCATCCACCATCCCAGCAGATCCCGGGCGCCATTATGGGTCACCACTACAAGGATATTGTGTAAGGATTCCGATGACCTTGATGAGAATAGCAAGGACTCCTGCTGGTGTGCAGTCAAAAACACTCTTAATCTTGTTGATTATTTCTACAGTATCACTCGTGTTTATACCTTTGTCTTTCGTTATTATCCTTACTACAAGTCACTCTTTACAATTGCACGTCATTCGTTTATTCATTGATTTATCGTGTCTTCTTTGAAAGATCTGAAACCCGCCGCTTCCCTCAACAAAGCGTTCTTTTATCGAATCATAAACTACGGATCAGCAAAGATGAAAACTAGTCACGTATTAGCCTTGTCCTCCGCGTTGCTCTCTGGAGCAGATGCGTATTTCAGTGGCTTCAACATCGGCGCGAATCTTCCCTCGGGAGCATGCCGGAGTCAGTCGGACTGGGAGTTTGCTTTCAACAAGATCGCCAGCTTCCCTGGAAACTTCAAATCAGCCAGACTTTACGCTTCGAGTGACTGCAACACACTAGCAAATGCCGTGCCTGCGGCCCTCGCGACAGGAACCTCCCTCCTCGTTGGTATCTGGACCGAAGATAGCAATCACTACGAGGCCGAGAAACAGGCCTTGCTTGACGCCATTCAACAGTATGGCTCCGACTGGATCCTGGCGGTGTCTGTAGGCAGTGAAGACCTTTACCGGGGTGACACTGACGCAAACACCCTGGCTTCGCAGATCAATGATGTTCGCGGGATGCTGTGGGGTCTCGGAGCCAGCAGTAAATCTGTCGGACACGTTGATACTTGGACCGCCTGGGTCGACGGCGCAAACACTCCTGTCATCGACGCGGTGGATTGGCTCGGTAACGATGCCTACCCGTACTGGCAAGGCATCGGCATCGACAACGGTGCAGCAAGCGATGCCTACTGGGCTGCAGTCAACCAAGTTAGGGCTGTTGCACAAGGAAAAGACGTCTGGACCACCGAGACTGGCCAGCCCATCTCCGGAGATACAGTTGGAAATGCGGTGCCGTCTGTTGAATCGCTGCAGACCTACTGGTGGCAGGTGTCTTGTGCCAGCTTGACCAGCTTGAACTATTTCTTCTACGACCTCGATGACTTCACTGCGTCACCTAGCTTTGCCATCGTCGACTCGAACTACAACCCTCTCATCGACATGACTTGTGGTTCATGATCCGGTGGCTGTATGTGACTGTACACGGTGATCCCCCATTCTTTACCAGCAGAGCAGCTATCATTGCTTGCGAAAAGTTTGTTTCGAGTTTGGTTGATGAGCATAGCGTGGACTGGTCTGGATTGCAGGGAATGGTTATTACTGTTTGGAAATTCCTGATAGACTGCGATTTAATATTATATATGGGTTATTTCTATGAACGGACATACATCTCGATTGATGCCTTTGACAGTTACGGTCTCTCCTTTTCACCTTCCCTCTTCCCCTTTGTCTCTCCTCGCTCGTTCGGGTACTTCTATTAGCTAGAATCCTGGCTCTATAACCAAGTGGCAGTACCAATACCTATACTCGAGGCTAAAGCCTTGTCTTCATCACGACCGCTCGAACGCTTTCCAAAGGTGTAACAGCACAACACATGACAAGAACGAAAACGATTTACAAAGAGCAGAAAGAAGAGACAGGACAGAGCTCAGATCGGCAAAATGGTTTTTTATCACAGACAAAGATCAACCGATGTCGGCTAAGACAAAATGAAGTTTCTCATCATCGCTGCTGGACTGTTCTTGCGAAGAGCCAGTTCAACGAGATTCATCAACCATTGCCTCACCTTTTATATATGAAGTTTTTGTCGAACATGATCTATCGGAGCGACGAGGCTGTTCATCGTCATACTACGGAGTATGGCAATCTTGTTGTTGTCCTCCTTGTCGAGGTACTTCGTTCGACCAGAGATTGTGTTTGGGGCAGGTGGACGTTTCGCGACTTTGCAGAATAGAGTATGTCGATGAAGCGAGTTTTGATATCACCTCCTGGTCCAGCTTAATCTCGTCCGCATAGCAATGTCGGCTATCTGGATCGGTGCAGAGTTATCTGATAGTACTGAGCAGACTGTGAAATAGTCCGTACTACGCGGCAATAACCCTGCCACTGCTGTTCTACGACTCCGAGTACAAGACACGAGCAAGAGACTGCGGAAGGCTCTATACCGATTAGAGTAATCCGTACATCTGACTCATATTCACATCCCGTGACTTTCCCTCGGCCGAAGCGGGCGGCGCAACTTGCGTTACATTCCTCCGTTATCCCAGTTACTCTGTTTGGCATAGTGCCTGCCATTCTCTGCAACCCCGCGGACGAGGGAATGACGAGAATTGAGGCTTGGACCGTGTTAACGGGCCGACGACCTCGATTTCAATCACCTCACAGCTTTTTGCTCTTCCACTTTCTCTTTTCTTTCTTTTCTTCCTTTTCCCTATCCAAATCACCATTCTCGCCTTGCAACCAGGCAATATCGGCAAGGCGCCCCTCTTCGCTTTCCCCCAAGTTCCGGTGAAGGTCAACTTTGGATAGTGCACAATGCCGGTCACTACAGCAGTCGTACCGTCTCGCTTCTTCGCAGCATTCTTCCCACCATAAGGACCATCAACATGGGTTCGGTAGGGAATGCTACCCGGTTTACAATGACTCTTATCTACGGCAATCTCCTCTGGTCTATACCGACCAGCGAAATGTTCAACAATCACAGTACGGATACATAGACGGCGGGCTTCTAGACCCAACTGTCTTCCACCATGGCCATGTCAACGTCGACGTCGATCTCTTCGACAGTCTCAACAACGATGTTCCTTTTGACGAACAGTTGTGGGTGGACTTTGAACAAACCTCGATGGAAGAAGAATTACCAGCGTCGTCGGGACTTGACACCTCGCTGGTGGAGGTGGAGGTAGAGGCAGAGGCAGAGGGGAAAGAAGCAGATTTTGTTCCTGGGAGTGTCTCGAGTCCATCGACAACTTTCCCAGAAACATTCTTCATGAACCCGTTCGCTGTCTCCTTCCCGGGAGATATTCCGTGCCATTCGTCAATATCAATCACGGACTCAAGCACGGCAACGACACCTTCAATGACGTGGTCCACGACACCCAAGACCGCCACTCCACATCTTAGCCAGGAGACTTCGATGCTCAAAGCTGCCACTTGCGCGCCATCCCTGGTGAATACTCCAGCATCGTTGCCAAGGTCTCGCTTGACCAGACCGTTGGCTGCAGATGCGTCCAGGACAGGGGAAACTTCGGTGTCTTCTTCTTTCGCTTCAAGTGCGGCACCTGCCAAAGTGATGAAGACGACACCAAACCCTCCTGCGGTCCAACACACTCAGATTCACTTTGTTGATATGGCCGACAAGAAAGGTGCACAGCGGATTCGCAATACCATGAATTCACGCAAGCATAGACAAAACAAACTCGACAAGATTAGGGAGTTGGAAAAGAGACTTGCTGGTCTCGAGGAGGAGAAGGGGAAGTGGCGAGAACGGGCGGAGGGATTGGGATGGAAGCAGGCTTGAATCATGCTGGACAAGCATGGAGTTTTTATAAAGAGGGGATTATGAGAGTACGACTTTTTCTCTTTGAGAAAAAAAAGCTTTTGATTATTCATTATCCATTATCTTGTTTACTCTAATTCGATCTTTGGAACCTTCAAGAGTGATAGGCCCTTGATTCTTTCTAGGTAATTTTCTATTAGTGGTCGTAGGGGGTTGACAAAGGTTGCCTTTGACTGCTGTGGGAGGGATGCCCAGGCATCCTCAGGCATCAATGCGTTGCTGGCTGAGCAAAATGATCTAGAATCGCTCAGAAAGGAAAGTTAGGGTGCTGCATCCGGTGGGGATAAGGCCTGGGTGACGTACTCGGGCATCCTCAGGCATCCCCAGGCACCAGGTACTCTTACTGTAGGCGTTGACATTAGGTAAGTACTGCAAGGTGGTAGAGGCCCTGTCTCCGCAGTTGCCGACGGCCGATGGTTACGAGGCTGGTACGGAGTACTTGATCACAACTCCAGCTGACCATCTTCGAGGTTCATTCCATTCTCTACAAACACAACTCTTGTGCCTCTAGTCAATCGCTCATCTCAATGCGCCGTGAAAAAGTCGGGGGACGTACACAACTCCAGTCGCTTCCCACAGAACCTTCTTCTCTTCGCCTACGAGCACGCTCACTCACACCAACCTCAAGGACCGAAACTGCAGTCTACAACACGGCTCAACCGACGCCGCAGACAGGCATCCGTCAACCCTACACATCGACCCTCCCCTACTCCTCGTCCTGCACGTCTTCTCCAACTAGCCCGCCATGTCGAATCCATCCCAGCTCCTTCTTTTAGCCGACCACATCAAACTCTCGCTCTTGGAACGTCAGCGCGCCATCTCTCTCAACCTCGACCCCAACCCATCTCAAGATTCCAACGTCGCCCGCTCGTTAGAATCCTTCCGCGAAGGCATCGATTCCCTCTCGTCGAATCCCGACGCCGACACCGCAGCCCTCTCCCGACTACGCTCCCAGTACGGCGACCTCGCCCGGCAATTCCACGGCGAACCACCCTCCACCACCAGTCCCACCACCCTCTCCTCTCCCAACGACCCGTCCCTCGAGGAAGACTTCACCCGCGCCCAGTCGCGCAAGTCCAACGAGGCACCGAGACCCCGTCGGTCCTCGAACCTGCGCACCCCGTCGTCAAATCATCAGGCGCCGTCCAAGAATGTCCGGTTCCGCGACAACCCGTCCCAGGAGTCTCTCAACGACGCCGAGGACGAGGCGACCCGCGCCGCCCTCTTTCCGTCCCGGTACACCGACGGCGATGCGAATCGCGCCCAGACCCCCGACCCGACGGAGTCCATGGACAACGTGCAGATACACGCCTACCACCAGCAGGTGATAGCCGAGCAGGACGAGCAGCTCGACAGGTTGGGGGAGAGTATCGGGCGTCAACGTCACCTGGCCATGCAGGTCGGCGACGAGCTCGAAGGGCAAATCGCGCTCCTGGACGAGGTCGACCGGGGCGTGGACAGGCATCAGGGCAGACTCGACGGGGCGAAGAGGAGGTTGAAGACGGTCAGTCAACGGGCGAAGCAGAATTGGGGCATGACGACAATTATAGTATTGATTGTCATCTTGGTTTTGTTGATTGTTCTCTTGAAATGAGAGTCTAGAAAAAGAGTGACGCTAATGGAGGACGAGGATCAAGAACAAAGGCTTTGATTTTCTGGACGAGAGCGATAACGACGAGGCAGAGGAGTTGATACATCCTGCCTTCTGATACGGTGGTGGTAAGAGCCGCCTTCGGGCATGATATACCATACCCTCGATTTCAAGGTGCCGGTGTATATAGGTGGATTCTTTGAGGTTGACGAGGGGAACAGTTGTAACATACATGCTTGCTGAGCGAGTTCATTCCATGAGGTACGCATCGGCGAAGAATGGGTCGTTTTACACTACACTCTCTGCAGATTGCACACTGCAGACTGAAGAGGATCTTGGTAACCTATAGCTTACCTTGCCTTATCCGAGTACCAATCTAGGTACCAATCCAGGTTGGAAGTCCGGCGCGAAGTAATTACGATTAATGAAATGAAGATTAGAAAAAAAAAAGATTCTAGGGGTTTTCCGTTCTGTTCCACGACAACTTTGGCATTGGAGGCAGGTAGAGGACACGTGTGGTAGGTATGTGGTACTTTGGTAGAGGTCCATTGGACTCTGTGCATTCTCCTGTGTGAAGGTTGAGTAAAAGGGACCTAACAACGTCGTCACCGAAGAGACACCATGTTACTCAGTGGTCAGCCGCCGTACTCGAGCTCACTGAGGCTTGCTTTGTTTTTCCCTTTGTTCAATTCTTCCCCTTTCTCCGACGAGTTGCTGTAATATCGTTGGACGGCCCAAGACCGCTTCATTCTTTTTCTGCATCACCATCTGATACACACGTCACCTCTTTGGGTACACAATGCTGTCGAAAGTCCAAGTCGCTCGCTGGTGGTTCTCGAGACATTGAACCGAGAACGGAACAATTTCTTTTACCTGTCTGTACACAGAGTGTGACCTGGCCTGCCCCGTCTAGTCTGGCGCTGCATTCTGCCCATCCGTACAGATTTGTGAATGACAATAGCGATGCGTGTGATGGCCGGTTCCTTTCGTACTCGTACTCCTAGTCGTCACTTTTCTCGTCACTTTTCTCGTCACTTTTCTCGTCAGACGTAGGTAGGGTGACAGAATCTTTTTTTTTATCGCACAACGGCACCCTTCAAGGTCTTGACCGTACACTTTCCTTTACCCTCGACTATCAAATGACCCTTTTCGGACCCATCAATCTCGGTCTTTGAGGCGTCGAACCCCACGAGCAAGTCGTCAGTCGTGAAGAAGCCTGGTTGGATGGCCTCCCACTGCTTCTTCTTCGGGTTGAGTTGTTTCTCGGGGCCACGACCCTCGCCGTACGGCCAACCCTCGAAGAAGACGGGTTCTCCTGCCTCGGCGCCCTCGGGAGGGTTGACGAGCTCGACGACGCGGTCGGGGGCATGGGGGTCCGCACCTTCTTCCGGGGCGGGGGACGCCGCGAGGACCATGGCCGCCGACTTGATGCTACGCATGTTGACGGGTTTCAGGTTGGCGACGACGACGACTTTACGGTTCTGCATCTCCTCGAGCGGAACCAGACCGTTGAGGCCCGAGCAGACAGTACGCACGACCTTTCCCGTCTCCTCGTCGACGCTGGTGTGGTCGGTACCCTCGGGGTCGCCCATGGCTATCGTCGAGACGTACAGACTGTCGGCGTTCGGGTGGGCGATGGCCCGGAGGATGTGGCCGACCCGCAGGTCGATGAGGGCCGGGGATAAAGGTGCGGCGGGCGCTGCGGCCGGTTTGGGCTGTTTGGGCTGTTTGGCTGCCTTCTCCTTCTTCTTGTTCGAGCCTCCTCCTGCTGCTGCCGTTGCGGTGGAAGAAGGGTCCGCGGGGGCGGCTTCGACCGTGTTGGATTTGACATTCTCGGCGATTTCGTGGTTGAGTCCTGCCTTGACGTCCGCGGGGACCCCTTTGTCGGCGGGAGAGGACGAGTCCATTGTCGTCTTGGGGGAGGATGTGCTAGAGTTGGTTTCGGGTTGAGGTTTTGTCCGTCCGACGACCAGAGGTTTGTGTTGCGCCGGCGCGGACGTCGAAGGGGAGGAGGAATCCGATGTCATTGAAGGGTCGGAAGGGTGAGACACAGACGAATGGTCTCTGGTGCTTGGTGGGTTCGTGGACGAGGTGTGAAACAGACGACGACCTGCACTCGGGTTTGTGTGAAGGCGTGGGCGCGGGGTGGAAAAGTGTAGGGTTCGATGGGTCGCTGTTACGGGTGGCACAGCGTCTAGTGAAGAGGCTCGCACTTCAAGGGGCTGTACGTGGCTCGGTCGTGTGGTGAATTGATTTTTCCGTCTTTGAACTCTCGCTTCGAGGTTGTGATGAAGGTGGAATTGCAGACTCAACACTAGACCGTGAGAATTGCTAGCAGTGTGTTTGCTCACACTCTGAAAATCTCCAGGAGTTTGTCTGTGCTGGGAATGCGTCCTAAGGTTATGCCTTGTCTGCGTAATCGAGGATGTGTGATGGGCTGCTGGTGTGCGTTGTAATAAAGCGTTGAAAGAAAAATGCGTGGCGGAGTTGGAGTCATTGCAATTATTCACTCCCAATGATGGTGATGATGCGGAGCGCAAATTTTGTAGTTGCACCACCAACCGACCAGATTGAGGCCCAATCGATCGGCGCAATCCTTGATGGGCACTTTTTCGACCACCAGCGTTCATGGTTTTGAAGCCGAGACACTATGCTAGGTATACTCTTCTCACAAACAAAAGGGATGACTTCGAGCAAGAGCTGGACCAAGCGATGGGCAAACAAGACTCTACAGGATTAATTTGGTGCAGAGAAGAACTCTGGGCGGAATCAGCCCCTTTTCATCATTCATAGATCTCGGACTCTGATTCAAACTGATGGGATCAATTCAGTGAATTTGTTCAACGAAGAATGATCATATTTGGCTAATGGACATTTCGTCCATAATACCCAAGTAGAATGTATGGTTCTTGAGAAAAAAGCTGTGATCTTACACTGACCGTCCTACTTCCAGCTGCTTCTCTCACTCTTTTGCTATCGTGATCGGTCTGCACTACACCACGAAGAGCCAAACCCAGTGACATTCAAAAAAACAAGGAGGTCTTGATGCTAGTCGCATGCCTCTCCAGCTAGCCTGAAGTCTTGCAACCTTGAATTCCTGAGTCTCATGCTCCACAACACCCTCCTTCACTGCACTTTTGCCTCGTCACTAGATCCAAGCTGCGACTTCTCAGATTTCGTCCCATGTTCTCGTATTGCTGTTGACTCTGAAGATTGTCTCACTTGGTGTTGTGAGCCTGTTTGAAGCAAATTGAATTTCTTGTCCCCTCCAGAACTGGTAGCCTGTGGCCGTTTAGGCTGCAGAGAGGAAATCATCCAGGTAATTCGAGCTTGGTCGCCAAAATCGATGTCCAAAGGGCTGTATTGATAATTACACTTTTCCCAGTCGATTTGGTGGAGGGACCCTTATGGGAAGAAGATGTAGGAAGAGAAGTCAGGTTAGAAAATTCGAAGGTGGTACGTTGTATGACCACAGCCGGTCACGTGCGCAGTAACTCCCACAGGACGACCTTTCATCAAACCTGGTGATTTAGGGAGTACCGCAAATCCTCTTCTTCCTCGTAGGATACAGTGGCAGTTGAGAGTCGAGAGCCAAGTTAATGTCGTTCATGCAGCCAGACTGAATGCCGCCAGACTCAAACCTGAGCTGACTTTTCTGTCAAATGTTCATCCAGCTCAACTCCATGCATTCGAACTCTGTAGAGACATGTAAAGTCTGATCCGTAGTTCGAAACTACCCGTACCACGAACATCTGCGCATAATAGACATTTGAATTCTCATTCACATCGAGCCTGAATGCTTGAACATGAGCTGCCTCTTTCGAAGCGTCATACGCCATCTTCCCAATCATGCCCCAGCTCGGCCCAATTGGGCTGTTTCCTTGCAGTGATCTGATGTCTAGTGCCGCCCATGCATGACTGTCAAGATGTTTAAAATCGGCCCAGATCTCGATAAGTTTGGGAGTGGCTCCGGGAGCACGCGACCCAGCCACGGGATAATTCTCCAACACAACCTCGGTCGGATAAATTGGTCTGGCAACTCGAACTCCTAATCTCATGGTATCTTGATCTGTTGAGGATGATGATGAGCACCAACAGTCACCCACATCTTGCCATGCAGATAGAGCAGTCTCGGCATGCCGTGTCTGATAATATGTAGAACCAACAAAACGCAAGAGGACTCTGCGACCGAATGAGAGTGGCGTGAGAAGGGTCGGAGAAGTAAGCCGGGGCTCTACCAATGCTCCATGTTTTGGGGAGAAGTAATTGATCTTTGGAATTACCGGTGAAGCGACATCTCCTGAGGACATTGTCCGTGCAAACTTCAGGCCTGCAATGCGATTTGATAATTCCGACTGTTGTTGTCTCAATATTTCCATGTCATCCTTCTCTTTGGCGAATTGGGTGTCAATCTTGTCGTTCAGTCGTAGCTCAAGAGCCCGTATCTGGTTGTTGAGATTGGTCAAGGTGGCAGACAATCTTGACAGATCTGCGTTGTTCCCGCTGGTGACATTGAGCAGCCCGCTAGGTGTCCGGACGCAGCTCCCACAATACTTCTGCAGGGTCAATCCCACCGGAGATGTTGTGTAAGGGTCGCAGACAAAGTGAGAATAGGTGTAGCAGAAAAGAAGACTCGTTGCAGCGATCATGAGCATAACGAAAAGAAGGTTGATAAAAAGCGGGATTATTGATGAGTGTGGAAGGTCCTTCACCACCCTGCAACACTCCCTTACCAACTGCCGCGTCCAGTCGATCAGTGAAGAGCCAAGCTGAGATGCCCTCTCTCCAGACTGTCTCGCATACTGCTTTGATGCATCCAACGCCTTACGAAGGAACGGTTGTTCTATTTGTCGAACTGTAATATTGGGCCTTCGAAGACCTCGTTCATAGTTGTAGCTGTGTTCAAACATGCCGCTTGGGAAGCTAGAGGGGTCGGTATCTTTGTGGGAAGCGACATCATCCGCAATGCTGCGCGGAACATCCTCCTCAGGTATTTCGTCGAGTTGGCTGCTTTCGAGTGAACTTGCCCAGGCCGCTACTCGTTGCGTCTTGTTCTTCTCCACATCGTCAACTCCAGCAGATGGCTCCTGAGAGTTTTCTCGAGAAGCTCTCCGATGAGCTCTCTCACCTCGAGATGTTCTTTGGAGGTTTGCGTGAGCCTCTTCGGCATGATCTCGGAGGTGTTGATCAGCTTGTTCGACACCAGCGTCAAGGGTCGCGGCCATTTCCCTCAGATTCATCCTTCCCCGTGGGATCAGCTGCGTCGGCAACATAGGCGTCTTGCTCGACCCATAAGCGTATGATTGCTGGATCTTCACTTCAGGCAATCTCGGCTGATTGGCGCCGCTCTCGGCCAAGTTTGGTTGTCGAGAGGCACCCCGGGTAGTTCGCTGAGGTACAGCATTTTCGGGAGACACAACGCTATTTGCTCGTGTTGAGCGCCTCATGGGCGACGCGCCACGGACAGGTGTTGCACTTGGCCCTCTAGCTGTCGATCGCCGGGGGGGCATGCTTGGTTAGATGGTACCGGCGGCAGCTGGCGAGCGTCAGCCCAAAGAAACGCGCATGTATGGCGAGAATATCGTGCGTTTATGCTTTGCTTGATACAGAGCAGAGCGAAGGTGGTACGTACAAGGAAAAGTGCGAGTCATTCGGTGATGGAAGAAATTACTGAGGGATATGCTACCGGAGGCGGCCAGCCATTACGAAGAGACTAGGCAATATGATAGTGAATTGTTGCCGTTATCCTCTCAACAAAGTCTCCAAGATGATCGTAAAACAAGTCGCGCGCCGATACAGTGGAGCGATTCGAGGCTCACACGAGATTGAAGCGAGATCTGCCTGTAGTGCAGAGAACTTCGCATATGTTGAATGAATTGAGGTTTTCGGCAGCAAGGACGTGTCAAGCAGCAAGATTAACAGATAATTGTGTCAATTGAAAGCCGTGTCATCGAAAAATGGGCCAGATGTGGTGTTTTGCTGTTATGTTGATTCATTGTTAATACTCGTAGGACGCGTCGATGCATTGTTGAAGTGACCGAGTCCGGGAAGCCCAAACATTCCAGCCACGCGTCACGTGATCATGCTTTCTAAGAGGAGGACAGCAATGTGGTAGGGAAAGGAGGGGCAACATTCCGCAGTCCAGGTATTTACATTTTCATTTTCATCTCAGTAATATATTCGTGAGTAATGTACAGCTTTTGCTCTATCAATTCTATTGATATGCTCTCGGTGTTCGTCAATGCTGGCCCTCGAGATCCTTGCTCGTACTGAGTCTCCGATCAATAGGCGACTCATCATCAAAGACCTCCTCCTCAGACAGGACTCTCGCCATGCTGCTTGTGCTTTGACGAGGAGGATTTTCAGGTACTCCTTCCTCATCATTCTTGCGCTCTGCGACGTAGTCTCCCGGGCCTTTGCTCCCATCCGGAACATGGAAACGTCGGTCAACTCGAAGGATGATATAGAGAAATATGACAATGATCTCGATGGTGAAATTGAAGAAATAGAAGCACCACTTCGCATCATACCAGGCTGGATCATCTCTTGGCCGCGGGTTTTTGTAGTTTGTCGCTGCTCGGAAGCATGCCCCGAGACATAGCAGCGTAGAGCTTGTAAGGAGGATCCCGATCTTGGTCCTCCATCGTCCCGACCCAAACTTCTCAAGCCTCGTCTGTCGAGGGATAATCAAACCCAGGATCACCATCGGAAGTGGGAGGAATGATATAAACAGCAAATATGTCGAGGCTGTGATTTGTAGGTCGCGGTCGATGCGATGGATGTTCGGACTGAGTGTGTAAAAGGACTGCACGATTGCGGTTATGACCATTGCCAACATCACTCCAATCAAGACATAGAGAACAATGAAGACAGTGGACAATGTCTTGTGCCAGCCAAAGTGTGGGTGAGCCGCTCGAATGATTCTTTGTGCAAAGATGACGTTGATGAGGAAAAGAATTAGAACACCGGCGTAGGCGAGAATGCTGGCGGCGATTGCGATCTGAACATCCTTCGGATAGCAGGCCCATACGATGCGCTACATCTCTGTTAGCGATGAGGGCGAATAAGACAAAGTTCGAGGACATACCATGATCATTGTCGTAATTCGTGCCATGCAGAAGCCGAACATCAAGCCAGACATGATGAACTTGTGTCCCCGCCTACGGTTGACCTGCAGAATTGTCATGTGGCTGGCCGCGCCGCACATGAATAGGAACAAGAAGACGCTGCATATTGGAACATCAACTCCAACCGTGGGAACACCACCTACTCCAGCAGTCTGTGCCGGGTAGGGAGGGCCCGGAATCCGTTGAGATGACATTGTCTGTCTCGTTGTAAGGGTAGTACTTGATGCTGAAGACTTGTCTTTACGCTCGAGAAGAAGCTGTTTCAGATTTGAACTGAACAGGCGATTGTGAAAAGAGGGTGAATGGTCTTTTATCCGTCCTCATATCGTAAGGAAACCCCTCGACACGGAAATACGTTAGGCGAGTATCTCCGAGTCGCCATGATGCGCTGCGACGGTGGGTAGAGCCCAATGCACACAATGAGAGTCTGCTATACGAAAGCGTTACGAAAGAACGCATCAGGCAATGATAAAAGCGCGAGTCGGTACTCGTCGCAATATTGATCCGTGTAGAGTAGTGGCCAATCAGAGGGCGAACCCGGGCAACTTTCTATCGGTTTTCTCGACCTCGCGCTCCGTTCCCACCGACATAGAGCGAGCGAGCTCCACGATTCGTGCATCGACCATCCATACCCTGGTACGAAAGGTTACTCATCAGATCTTGGGATATGAGTAAAATCTCCATCCCTTGATCGGTACGTTACCGTCGCTTTGAACCGTAGTACACTTCGCTTGAAGGTGCTCGACCGAGTGGTCGGAGACGGAATTGCAGTGGTGATGTGTGATCAGTCATCTTCGTACTCGTACGAGTTCAGTAGGCCAGCAGTTGATAGAAGACCTCACCTAAGTACACACTTCAGTCTTGTAACGCTCTAGGGCCTTTGAGTTGTCCAAGGAGAGTTGTTTACCCATAAGTCATCATACTGGTGGTACGAGTATCTCGACACAAATTGTTGTCTGGCCAAGTACCTCAAAGGGAGAAGACGGAGAATGGAAGGACAATCATCCGACATTTGCGCTAAATAACTGACGTCAATGGGTTCAAGTGGGCGCGTCTATGATTCGGCGCGTTGTCTTCCAGGCTGCATATCGACTTCGTAGCCTCAACCAACATACTTGGTACAGTTCGTTGAGTACTCCGTATCTGTCTGGTTATTGACCCGACCTATCATTGTGCTATTACCACGAACTTGATCCCGACCTTCAACTCGAACCTTGATCATCATCACGGAAGGGGGGTTGATTGATCATGGCACCCACTTCCGGATCCGCCCTGAGCGCCGACTCAATTCTCGATTACATGGTCAAGTCGCTGCCGAGCCCTTCTTCAGACAATGAACAGACCCGACTCGTGAAAGATCCCTATGCTGCCATAGCACTCTTCTCCCATGCCTGCATGCTTGCAGTAGGTTTTCGTCTGATCGGCTTGGGAGAAGATCACAAAATAGGTATGAGATCGATGCAAGAAGTCTGCACGGCAGCTCACATTATCCTAGAGGCACAGTCTGACCCTGAAAATGCGCAACCTTTGCCTGCCGAGTGGAATGCTTCCTCTTCATATGCCTTTCGATATGCGCACTCACAGTCCTCGATGGAATTTCTGGTCAAGATTAATCGATTAGGTGGAAAGGCCCTCGTTTTTGGTGTCGGCCTAGGTGATGACAAGACAGCCTCTTTTGAGATCAAAGCACAAGACTACATTTCGGAAGGCTCCATTGCAGAAGCTACAAAAAATTCAGACGTGAAATCTGCACTGCGGAATGTGTTTATTTCAGAAGGACGGATAGTGGATCTGGCCACTCTATTCCGAGTGAGCATCGTCCAGAAATTGGTTCCTGGTATCTCAAAGGCAGGGTATGAAGAGACGTCGTCTACACAAGAACAGCCCAGGAGGCACGAAGAAACACGACCTCCAGCACGGGATCCTTTGCGCGATGATCATCCTCCACCTGCGAGACCATATCCGTTTGATGATCCACTAGCTACGGCGCCCCGAAGACCTTATCCCCCAGGAGACTTTCCACCACCAGGTTTCGAGGACGAATATGAGATTAACACCCCTCCAAGAGGATGGCCTGGTGCTCCTGATCGACCACCCTTCGGCAATATTGGAGATAGAGATCTATATCCGCCTGGACTTGGCCCTCATGATCCACTGAGGATAGGTCCTGGAGGAGGGCCTCGTGGCGGAGGCGGAATGCACCCTACATTCGATGATCCTTTATTCGCAGGCCAAGGTGGACCACAAGGATATGACCCAATGGCACCGCCAGGTGCTCGGTATGATCCCGTAGGACCTGGAGATGGTCGACCACATCTGGGAGGCGGGGGTCGCTTCCCAGGTGGACGTGGAGGTGGAGGCAATCCATTTGGCGGATTCGGCAGCGGTGATTTCATCTGAGCATCCTAGACAGTAGGCAAAAGCCGCTTAGATGGTCGGAATCCCGGCAGACGGCCATCTGAGATACGTGCTGCTATGCCAGAGTAGATGGCTTCCTAACATCTGTCAAAGCAGCGATCCTGCTTTTACTTGAATTGATTACACACACCAAATAAATCCAGGCGATTCTCTTGTATTCTGACTTTGGTGGTGGGTGTTACAGTAATTGGACAGGGACGGGGTAGCGTGGACTAGACAGAGTAAAAGGATTTGAAATTGCCTTTCGCCTCAGCGAATTCGGAATACGAAGTACTTTGAGGGAGGGAGGTATCGAGGCTGCGACACGAGTGCCCAGCAGGTAAATACTGTAGTACGGAGCACTGAGTCCCAGTATGTCGTGCCGTTTGGGCTTGGCGGGGCTCTAAGCTGAAAGCGAGAAGTAACTCGTAGCCCAGTTGTCGGCGAGATTCCCAGCAATGCATGTCATGATTGCAATTTCATAATCAGAACACCAACGACATCACTTTAATATCCCATTCGAATTCGAAGACTTGAACTGACTTGTGTTTCACTCATCACTCATACCCTCTGGAGCATTGCGACGAAATTGCCCCTAATCCCTGTCAATCTTGCGATCGTACCGTGTCAAAACAACATCACAACAATTGGCCTGTTTTACGCACGACCTCTACAAGATCCTACTCCTGGCCAAGAGTGCCTTCTTCCTACGACCCTATCCACAACCTGATTGAGGTTGATACTCAATCATGGATTCAAAAATGGACGTTGACGTAGGCAAGCCTGCGCAGCCGCATGGCTTATCTCCCGTCACAGATTCTCAGTCAATACCTACCCTAGACGGCTGGATCGAGAGCTTGATGGATTGTAAACAACTGGCAGAGAGTGATGTTTCAAGACTCTGCGATCGGGTGAGCATCACCCTGCTTCGTTATCTCGAAGAGAAACTCATCTGGATCGCAGGCTAGAGAAGTACTTCAGGAGGAGTCAAATGTACAACCAGTGGTAAGCTACCGTCGAAATGTTGCGATTGCGACCCATGCTGATGGACCATTCCAGAAATGTCCCGTCACAGTCTGCGGTGATATTCACGGCCAGTTCCATGATCTTATGGAATTGTTTCGCATCGGCGGACCCAACCCGGATACCAATTACCTCTTTATGGGTAAGAGAAGGACAACGCTGTCGGGAGCTCGCTTTGCTGACCTCTTAACAGGAGACTACGTAGACCGTGGCTATTACTCCGTCGAAACAGTCACCCTTCTCGTTGCCCTTAAGATACGATACCCTTCACGCATCACCATCCTCCGCGGTAACCACGAAAGCCGTCAGATCACCCAGGTTTATGGGTTTTACGATGAATGCCTGAGAAAATACGGCAACGCCAATGTCTGGAAATACTTTACCGACCTCTTCGACTACCTCCCCCTTACCGCCCTCATTGACAACCAAATCTTCTGCCTGCACGGTGGGCTGTCTCCCAGCATCGACACACTCGACAACATCAGATCTCTTGACAGAATCCAGGAAGTTCCCCATGAGGGTCCGATGTGTGATCTCCTCTGGAGTGATCCTGATGATAGATGTGGATGGGGCATCAGTCCAAGAGGTGCCGGGTATACCTTTGGTCAAGATATTTCTGAAGCATTCAATCATAACAATGGCCTCACACTGGTTGCCAGAGCACACCAGTTGGTCATGGAAGGATACAATTGGAGTCAGGATAGAAACGTCGTGACCATCTTCAGCGCTCCAAATTACTGTTACCGATGTGGCAACCAAGCTGCGATTATGGAGATTGACGAGCACTTGAAGTACACCTTGTAAGTTGCCCCACAGCATGCTTTCGAGCCTTGTTTTTCTCGGTGTGTATGAGCCAAAGCTAACATTTTCCTCGCAGTTTGCAATTCGATCCATGTCCTCGAGCTGGCGAACCAATGGTCAGCCGCAGAACCCCCGACTACTTCCTATGAACAATTCATCTTTGGGCCTCACAACAAGCATCCGATGGCGATTACGGCATACCCGGAGAATCTCTCGTGCTGCTGATTCCCCGGAAACCAGCGTCTTCCCACAGAAAGAGAAAGAGAAAACGGAGACTCGTTGCATGTGATATATTTTTTGGCGGGACACTTGGCAAACATGAAGGAGCAACGTGTTGTATGGAAAGACTGGTGAAAAAGAAGTAGCACTCATAGAGCTCACCAAAGAAAGAGACTGTTTTCCCTTTCTTTTTTTTGCATGCATGCAGGGAGAATCATGGCGGAAAAGGGAAAAAAGCCTTCAACACATGTACGAAAGAAAGAGTACCTACACAATTGTCAGATGTGTCACGAGAACGCTAAGAAAGACCAGACCTTCGGTGTTGATGAAGATGCAGATATAAATGATGCGTTTAGGTGTTGTCTGTCCGTCAATGGCTTGTGTTTGTCCCCCTAGTGTCTACGAGTACGGAGTCACCATGTGCTAGTGATTGCTGTAATATTACCTAACCACCTATCTACTTTGTACCTACACAAGCGGTATCCTTTTCATTCTTTGTCCCACTGCTGTACGCATAGCTGAGCCGAGCTCAAAGGCTCAGCAAGCGACTTGTATACGCGTATGTGTGTTTTGTATAGCGTGGGCGCCTTTCTATTTCCCCTCTTCACAACTCGGCCGCCTCGGCCTCGACCTTTTCAGGAACATAATCGGCCTGGGTGGCCTCGACGGTCAATGGGCCCTTCTTGACCATCAGGGTCATGACCTCGTAGAGCACGTCGGCGGCGGCCATGGTGGTGAGTTCGGCGTTGGTGTCGTAGGCCGGGGCGACCTCGACGATGTCGGCGGCGACGAAGTTGATCCCCTCGAGGCCCCGGATGATGGTGCGGAGCTCGCGCGTGGTCCAACCCCCCGTCTCGGGGGTCCCCGTGGCGGGGGCGAAGGCCGGGTCGAGCGTGTCGATGTCGATGGACAGGTAGACCGGGTTCTTGGTGCCCACCCGCTCCTTGATGCGGTGGATGATGCCGTGGATGCCGATGGTGTCGATCTCTCGGGCCTCGACGCGGGTGAAGCCGCAGTAGCCGTCGTTCTCGTAGTCGGAGGGCCCCGAGAGGGTGGTGCGGATGCCGGCGTGGATGCTGCTGTCGTTGGCCAGCAGGCCCTCCTCCGAGGCCCAGTAGAAGTAGGTGCCGTGGTTGATGGCGGCCTGCTTGCTGGGGGCGCCGCCGAAGACCTTGGGCTTCCACGTGTCGAGGTGGGAGTCGAAGTGGATGACCGAGATGGGCCCGTAGGCCTTGTTGATGCTGCGCAGGAGGGGGAGGGTGATGGTGTGGTCGCCGCCCAGCGTGATGATGCGCGGGAGCGTCTTGCCCGACTTGCTGATGCCCGGCTCGTCGGCGGCGGTGTAGGGCGTGCGGGTCAGGAGCATGTTGTGCCCGTCCTCGATCTGTTGGAGGGCGTAGTGGTTGTCGTAGCTGCCATGGGTGTTAGGTTTTGGTGTTGTTGTTTGCTTCTTTTGATTTTCTCTGAAACGAATCCGGAGAACAAGCGGAGAGAAGACGGAAAAAAGGCACTTACGAAGTCACTGGGATGTCACCACAATCCAAAACTTTGCCCCAGAAGTTGAATGGGTTGGATTTCATGGGCCTATTCAACAACAAAAGTCGTTAGAAGGCCAGGCCAAGAATGACACAGCAAGTAGACCGGAAGAACTTACACATTATACCCGCCACTGAATCCAAGCTTGCGTGAGCCTTCATGACCACAAACAAAAGTAAGCATGTGAGATGTTAAACAACGTACTAGAGATTGAGGCGTCGAGAACCTTGTCTGATCCCGCTGGGTCCAAATCGAGCGCCAGGTCGGTACGAAGTGCCAGTGTCGAATGGTGCACCTGTGCGATCCCTCTGGTCAGTTTCTTGTCCTCTGTATGGAATGCAGTCCATGCTCTTTTTCCAACCCACCTAGGAAAGCAATGTCGTATTTCTCCTCGTCGCTGGCAAGGCAAGGGAAGTATGGCAGACGACCGAAAGTTGAGATCCCGGAGAAGACTGAATCAGCCTGTTTGGAAACAAAAGCCAGTTAGGTCAACCGTGCAGTTTACGCTGTTTTGCGCTGGAAGGTCTGTCCTTCTTACCTGTGTACCTCCATCACCTGGCAAGGTGTTGTACCACAGAGACTTGTGTGGTCCAGAGATGGGGCTTTGGTCGTGGCCATGGTTACCGTGGGCAATAGCACAGCCGGCACATGCCAACAGCGCAAAGGGTTTGAGAAGCATGTTGATAATACCACCACAATCTTCAGGGAAGCGAGGAGCATGTAAGTTTGCAGAGGGAGGGGGGAAGAGAGAAGCAAGAGGGAAAGGGAAGAGACCAAAAAAGAAGAAGAGCTTTTCAAATAAACAAAAGCACCCCGCGCACAGAGTAATAAAGTACTCGTAATGGAAAGATCAGCTAAGCTGTGAGAGGAGCAGGGCACAGCTCCGGTTACCAATACCGTCGAAGAAGTGGTAGAGGTGAGCGGCCCATTCCATCCAGTGATGGTCGAGTTCCTTGCAGATAGCTCTTCACGGTCTTACCTCAACGTATCCATAGCTTGGGTTCCTGTTACCTAAACGTCGGTGTAGCAGCTCCGGTGATGGTCTGCTGCCCAGGAAGGAGACAGAGAGATAGTCTCGAGCAGAGGTCATGTACGCCCCGCTGGGGTCTGGTACTCACTAGACCATGACGCCATGAGGAAGGAGGACGAGCTTGGGTGCTTGGAACTTGGAGCTTGAAAGATGGAGACAACGGCGAGCCGCGGGTCTGTGATTCAGCTACCAAGTCAATAGCGAAGCGAGAATACCAGGTGGAAGAGAGAAAGTCTGCAATGTCGAGAGCCCGGATAAGGAAGAGGAGCGCACATATCCATCGGCGGGGCGGCGAAGGACATACGCGAAGGGTAGAGGGATTCGAATATTAGTAGACAGTGAGCCAATGCAGTGTGTCACAGAGCAGGTAAGCTTTGCTTATCAGTTGAACCGCCCAGGCTGTTGCGAGATGGAAATCGATGGTGTTTTCTAAGACGTTGAGGTAAGAATAAGAGGTCAACGACACTAACCGCATTGAGAAGGCTGTAATCGGTGGACCCCTCGACGATATCGTTTACATAGTATCGTGACCGCTCGCTGGTCCGCGGGTCCCGAGATAAGGCATTATTCATTCTAGAATTCATATCTGCCCCTCTGGACCCCACAGGAATACCTTGGTCATTCATTCAATAATCATTTATACTACTTTTTGCTTTTCTATGAATCTATGAGAAACCGTCCCTGTAGCACCGCTACTGTGGTCCGTTCCCGACCGGTGCTGGCACCGAAATGCCTGCTTCGCCATTTTCGACCAGCTCATCTTTATCCATGCGTTCAAATGCTTTCTTCACTTGGTGATCCCAGTTGCTGAAAGCAACGATGACCCATTCCAAAATTCCGACAATGTACAATGCAATGCACTGACCGACCCAGAGACCTGGTAGGCCCCAACCGTGGAACGCAAGCCAGATACCCAACGGCAGTGCACCACAGTAATAGCTGAAGACGTTGACCGCTGCTCCAATATGTTGTCTGCCCATACCTCGTAGTGACCCTCCGCAGCTGCCGTTCAGACCATCTGCAATTTGAAACAAGGCCACATAAGGCAGCACATGAGCGGTGAGTTTGATCACCCTTTCATCATCGTTGAAAATTTTTGCAAAATGGTTCCTGGTGCCCATCAGCACAGCAAGGACGATCGTCCCCATGATCATGCTCAACCATGCCGCCACGTTGGCAGCGCGAGCAGCACCCTTCGCATTCTTGGATCCCAACATGTTACCAACTCGTGCACTGGCAGCAACTCCAATGCCGAAGGGGATCGTGTTCATCACCTGATCCGCTGTCATGATAACACTTTGAGAGGCGAGAGGGATCTCGCCCAGCCGCCCAGCCGCAAGTGCCACGATTTCGAATGCCCACCACTCGGTCCCGACGTGGATAAAGCCCAGAATTGCCAACTTGGCGAAAGTGCCTAGATTCTGCAGGCATCTCTTGCTCCAACCACCCCAGCACTCTCCACCAGCCACAAATTTGGCATATAGCACCAGACCCAGGAAAGATAGCCAATAACCAATTCCAGTGGCAAAAGGAGCGCCCATGATACCCCAGCCAGCAACGTAGACGAACAAATAGTTCAGCAGTGCACTGATCGGTGATGTGATCAACAAAACATAGGTTCCTGGTCGCATGATTTCCTGGGCTTGAAGATATTTCTTCATTGTCTCGAAGTAAATATAGCCTAGGCCACCAGGGATGAGGCATGTCAGGAATTTGGCACTGTCGTGTGAAAGCTGAGGGCTCTGGCCAAGTGCCCTGAATATTGGCTCCGAGCACGCCCAAATGATGGCAATTGGAATGTAGAACAGAGTCAGGACAACAAAACCTCGTTGTAGTAGGATACCGAGGTCGTGCTTGTTCTTGCTCCCGGTAAATGTCGACGAGGCAAGGGTGTCCAGGGCTGTTGATCCTCCCATACCGATCAGCCATCCTGAACACATCGCAAACATGTATGAGAAAGCGGCTGTTGAAAGATCCTGAGGCGATGCTCGACCAACGATGAGGATTGAAATTGTCTGCAGAGAGTTCTGCAAGGTATACGCGAGGATTACTGGAATCGACCCACGAAACAAGACCCAGAATTCATGTAAAATGAGTGTCCGAGTAGGTGTTTCGTCCTCGGGGAGGATATCGAGGAGCTCGCCCTCTCCTTGACTTGTAGAATTATCGTCGCCATCATGCTTCTTGGGTAAAAGTCTGGTTTGCTCGTTGGGAGCTTCACTTATGGTATCATCCATCATCGTCAAGAAGACGTAGTGACCAGAATCGTCACCCCAAAAGATTGAGTTGTGAGAAGGACGTCTCCGTGACCACGCTGCAAAGATACACCACGCCTAACAGTCAAGTTAAAGCATATATAAAAGGGATGCCATTCAGGAAAGACCAGAGAGGCAACCGATAAAAGACAGGCCCGACAGATGTCCGTTCAACCTGTACACTGGGTACAATACTCTGGCTGGCAACACCTGCTGGGCCCATGGACTGCGCGGTCAATTCCATGCCCCACCTTGTTATGCATATCCAGTATGTAAGACTAACATGATTCTTCGATTCTGGTGAGGTGGCCTGCTTATTGCGTCTTGCCCATGCACCGGCAACGGCGAAAGGGACATGTCGTTGGTGGACCTCATGGCCGGAATGACGGGTATCGAAGCAGGGCAACCAGGCAGGGAAAGGCCCATGATGGCTTTGATGCAGGAGGAGTCTGGATGGAAAAAAAGCGAACATCCAATGGAAGAGTGGGTTGTTGTTTTTCTTATCTCTCTAGTTATTCATCTTTGCTCGTAATATACATTACCGGTAATCCGCAATACGAAAAACATATCCGTACAGCCAAAAGTCGGTGCTTTGGCGAAAATTACCGTATTGAGGCTTGGGGTATCCTTCGTCTGCTTCCATAAGGTCAGGTAGATACGAGTACCTTACCTTAGGTACCTACCTAGTACAGTAGAGACTTGTGGACTCCTCCGTGCTGTGTATGAAGCACTACCGAGACTCGACTTCTCCCTGCCGCAAGATCAAACGCCATCCGATTCCTCCTCCTTATCACAGCCCTATCAGAGCCGTCAACGAGCTCCTAACAGGACAAATTCTCGAATCAAATGGCAATCGCTACCCTTGTCCATCCGCCCAGGATCGATCTCTAGCAGGCACTATGGCAGATCCAAGCTACGCCAGCCTTGCATTGATGCCCTCATATTCGTCCATCAAATTGTTGCCCAGGCACTATGATGGAGCAGGATCTCCTGTCGTGCTGATATCATGTACTTGGTCCCATTCTGATGCAAGCAAGAAGCTTGTCAGAGCTGTATCGTAATGGATTTTGTGATCGGTCTGTATCTTGCGTCTCGTGGTTGATTACCAGCCCGCTTGGTGGGCGTCCCTCCACGTTTATCAGACACTTGTCTCCATATGCTGATCTACCAGGCCTGAGCTGATTTCTATACTTCCTGCCTGTCCCTTCAGTTGCGCAGTCCTCTTGCTTTTAAACAGCCTTTGTCCATCTCTTAACCGAATCACTTTGCAATCCTTGCGGTAATAACGAATACCATGGAGGAGAAGAAATCAGAACTGCTCCCTGAAGATGATCAGGTTCTTCAATCCCCGATGCCCGTGCAGGTCGACCAGAGTACTATGGCACCGTTTCCGCCCGCAGCAGAACATCTGGTGATGAAAGATGGCATCCGTCTTCACCCACAACCGACAAGTGACCCTCTGGACCCTCTCAATTGGAGCAGCTTTCAAAAGCATTCCATTCTTGCCATCATTATGTTGAAGTTCGTCGCAACATCTTGCCCCACAGCTGTGATCGCAGTGTTCTAACGGCGCGCAGGTACTTCTTATTCACCTACCTGACCACAACAACGGTCGCCAGCTTTCCAGAACTGCAGGAACAGTTCAACATCTCCTATTCGCAAGTCAACTGGACGGTCGCAATTCCTGCACTCGGGCTCGCTGTTGGTCCTCTAATCTTCTCATCCCTCGCCGATATCTTTGGCCGTCGAATTGTCTTCATCTTTGGAACCTTGATGGCACTTGCTGCCACCATCGGCGCTGCCAAAGCACCAAATTATGGAGGCTATATGGCTGCGCGTTTCTTCCAAGGCTTTGGGGTTTCTCCAGCTTCCACAGTGGGGCTTGCTGCCATCAACGACATGTTCTACGAGCACCAAAGAGGCCAGAAAACTGGGTTATGGGTTCTAGCCATTGACAGCGGCCTGCTTGTTGGTCCAATAATCGGTGGCTTCATGAACATCGTCTCCCCTGCATGGGTCCAATGGTTGACTGCCATCTTCTTCGGGGTGTTGCTTATCCTTGAGGTTTTATTCATGCCCGAGACACTCTACCCCCGAAACCATATGCTGTCTCGGCTCCCTATGGCTACCGAATCCGAGGAATCAGGCGTGGACATCGAGAAAGTTGCTCGCAGACGGAGCGACGCTGCAACCGTCGCTCTTCCTCGCACCAAGAAGCTTCCATATTTCAATCACAAGCCGCTCCCGGGTATGCGGCATCCAGCGATCTACGACGCAACGCTTCGTTTCGTGTTGACCTTCAGATTTATGGCGGCATTCCTCCCCGTCTTCGCATACTGCTTCTTGTGGTATTGGTGGATACTTAGCGTCATCACCATGCTACCAGCTGCGTATCCCAATTACAAGCCGCAGATCCAGGGTCTCCTATTTATTGGCCTTCTCCTCGGTACTCTCTTTGCCGAAGTCTTCCTAGGGGGCTACCTCAGCGATATCGTCTGCTCTCGTCTAGCTAAACGCAATGGCGGCGTCCGCGTGCCTGAGATGCGTCTCTGGCTTATTTATCCGGCCGGCCTGCTCAGCTCGATTGGCTTGATCGTATGGGGTATCAGTGTCGATAATGGTTACCACTGGATAGTCGGGCAAGTTGCTTTCTTCTTGTTCGCAGCGGGTATTCAGATGGGCAATACAGTCGTTTGTGCTTATATCGTGGATTGCTATCCATTGCAAAGCATGAGCATGGTCACTTTCTATGCCGTTTTGCTCAACCTGTCGGCATTTATCGATCCGGTATGTCCACCACCTCGTCTTCCTTCGTTTACGAACCACATATTCTGACTTATCATTTTCATAGTTCTTTATAGCTCCCTGGCAAGCTGGTTCAGGCTGGACCTGGTGCTTCGCGGCCCAGGGCATTATCGTGTTCTTCGGAGCCATGCCTGTATTTGGATTGCTGCACAAGTATGGTCCGACGATAAGATCTAAAACCGGTACGCCCTTCTGGGTCAATCCGGAGTTTGATAATTTGTTGTAGAGGCGATGCGCATGGCATGTGGGTTTGCCATCGCTACTGGATTATGGTGGTTAGATTCAAGATGGCCTTTGTATCTGGAGTAATAGATGTGGTATCTTCCGGCAAGAATTCTGCTTTTGACACGGGAGGTTCTCGAATCATCTATGTCTGAGTAAGGATTTAAACCACTTCACACTTTCGTCTTCGCTAGCTCTGCTCCTCTCTCTTGAATTGTCTTCTTGCGCAGCCACCAGTTCCGCAGAACCTCCCAGGAGGCTACAGTTGCCATTAGTGGAGGGCAAATCAGAAGCAAAAGACTCCACCATCGAGGGCTTTTTGAGCGAATCTTCCCCATAACGGTCGCAATCTGAAGATTCAAGTCGTCCCTGGTACCATCGTTGTACAGCACGTATCCCTTGTTTGCTGTTTTGTTCCCGTTGTTCCGGTACTCACATCTTGTCGCCTTCTCGCGCACGTCTACCTGGCTCTTCACCCTGTTCTCAGCGTCCTCCGGGGACAAATGTGGATCTCGTTCTCTCAGACGCTGCATCTGTATCTTGGGGTCTGACACGGCCACGACGACGACGGTGCTGCAGAAGATGTCCAATCCTGACTCGAAGAGGAGAGGAACATCAAGCACCACCGCCCAATGGCCCAAGAGGTAGTAATATAGCATAGCGCGTGCCATGTAGAACCGCACGGCAGGATGTACGATGGCGTTGAGCTTCTTCCTGTCCGCCACTCTCTCCTCGCCGTTGCCGAACACTCGTCTGCCCAAGGCAGGTCTGTTCAATGGTCTACCTTTCCCCGCAGGCCCGTCTTCCTTCCCGCCACATTGAGGGTCAGAGGCGGGCAGTAGGAGGTCGGGGGTCGTCGGGCCAAAGGTCGCGACGATGCGCCGGTAACCCCACGTGCCTGGTTCGACGGCTTTGCGTGCGAGGAGGTCCGCATCGATCAAGGGGAGCGAGTAGGGCGGGCTGGAGAGCGTCTGAGAACATGTCGATTTGCCTGTGGCGATCGAGCCTGTGAGGCCTATGACTCGCATCCTGACAGGGTGTTCGAAAGCCTTGTTACATTTAGTTTTATTTGGACTCTTGCTGGAGTAGCCGACCGGTGGCTAGTAGAACGGTGCAAAGGAGTTTTGTGATTTACTGATACCACCCTTGAGTGAAGCGCATGTTGCTTGCCGAGGCAAAGTCCGGGGTGCGGATTATTGATGTTCCGTCACATGAATTCGCAAGGCTCTGAGCCCGTTTGCGACCAACAATAACAAACACTTGGGAACAACCACAGTCCAATCTCTCTTTGCAACATATAACCAGGTATTAGTCTGTCTTGCCTGACTTATAATTCAGCAAAACAGTGGCTCAGAGTTTGTCACCGGCTTGGTAGCCTATTCAACTTTCTGAGTCACCGGAAAACTGATTGAAAATATTGAGTCGAGGAATCATCGATCTTATTGTAATTGTGGATTGTGAATGATGACTATGTACCACTCACGACACTCTACCGACTAGCCCAGTGCATGACATGGCTTTCATGTAAGAATGCTCCCTCGATCAACAAGATCTTCATTACGACTTGTACGACCTTTTCTTCAGAGTGATCGACCAAGAAGGCTATCCACGATGGCACCAATTCAACTCAGTCTCACACCAGCTGAGAAGCTGTTCCGCCAGTGCTTGGTGGATTGCCGCGACGAGATGCAATCTGTACCTGGAATGAAAGACCTGGAACTGCGCTGGACGGGAGGCTGGGTCCGGGACAAACTTCTCGGTGTGCAAAGCCACGATATCGATGTTGCACTCAGTACCATGACAGGCCTGCAGTTTGGCCAGGCTTTGCAGGTCTTCATGAAGCATCACGGGAGCAAGTACGAAAACGAAGCGAAACAGCAAGGCTTCAATTCGGAAGTCAAAGACATCCACAAGATTGCAGCAAACCCGGAAAAGTCCAAACATCTCGAGACCATCACGACGAGAATGTTTGGCATTGACGTCGACTTTGTCAACCTCCGCAAGGAAGTCTACAACGAACAGACGCGGAACCCTGAGATGGAGTTTGGCACAGCTGAAGAAGATGCGATGCGACGAGACGCTACGGTCAATGCTCTCTTCTACAACCTAGACTCGCTTGCCGTGGAGGACTTTACGGGATGTGGCTTGGAGGACATGAAGAACAAAATTATACGGACACCCCTTGAGCCATACCAGACGTTCAAAGATGACCCTCTTCGAGTTCTGCGGCTGATTCGGTTCGCATGTCGACTAAACTACGAGATCGAAGCGGCTTCGAAGGACGCTATGAAGGACAAATCCATACATGAGGCACTGCGGATCAAGATCAGCAGAGAACGCGTCGGGACCGAGATCCATAAGATCATGACCGGACCAGATCCCTACACAGGTCTGAAGTACGTCGATGATTTCGACCTATATTCTGTCGTGTTCGCCGACCCCAACGATGATTACAAAGTCGACAACAAAGTAGCTCTTGGAGCCTACGACGGACTGCGACGCATCCTCGATGAAAAGCCTGCGTTATGTCTGGGTCTGAAACCCAAGGAGAATCAAAGCCTGAGTTGGTTTCTCGCAGCATATGTTCCATGGTCAGAGTCGTCGACCAAAGCATACACAGCTGCCTGGGAGGGGATCAAAGCCACCAATAGTTTCCGCAAGGTGCTGAAGGAGGCTATCGATTATCGTTCCGCTATCGTCGAGGTGGTCGACCTTGTAGGTTCCGACAATGCTACGCGAGCAGATGTCGGCATGACATTGCGACAGAGCAAAGAAGCTTGGAGATCGCATGTGCTCTACTCACTCCTCTGTGAGGTTGCTGATGGAGATTTTGACATGGCTACAAAGCGCTACGAGAAGTTTGTGTCCTTTGTTCACAACCAACAATTGGAGAATGCCCATACCATGGCACCCATACTCAAGGGGAATGAGATTAAGGACGCCTTGGGCGGGCCCAAGGGTGGACCTTGGCTGAAGCAAGCGGTCGATGTCCTTGCTCAGTGGCAATTCAACCATCCAAAAGCTACGAAACAAGAGGCCATTGAGATGATTGCCAATCAAAAGACCGAGTTGGGGCTGGATTGATTGTATTTACAGTTTTGATGCAGCACGCTCTTTCGCCCTGAGTTTTACATCTCGAGCCTCCTGTCGGACAGCAAGATCGAGCATGATTTCTTCGCTGCCGCCTCCTACGACATGCACGCGCACATCGCGACTAATCTGCTCTATACGAGCGCCCTTGCCAGTCTTGGTATATCCTGCTCCCCCCATGATCTGTTGAGACTCGCGACAGACCTTCTCGAGGCATCTCGTGCTCATGACCTTGAGCAATGCTGTCATTCCTCCAACGTTGACTGCTTTACCAGTCACCCTGGAAGTTTCAATTACGTAGCAAAGCTGGTCAAGAAACGCCTGGACAGGTTCGATGAGAAGGCCAAACGTGGCGATCTTGGACTTGATCGGGGAATGTTCAATCAGTGGCTTTCCGAATGTCTCACGTTCACAAGCATAGTTGTATGCATCAGAAGCACAGACTCGAGCAAGCCGGACTGCGGCCGTTGCCAAACCCAACCGTTCCGGGTTGAAGTTCGACATTATGAGTTGGAACCCATGGTTTTCTCGTCCGATGAGGTTCTCGACAGGAACCTCGACGTCGTCAAAGTCAATAAAGGTAGAGCCTATACTTGTCGATGAGCAATCTGAGATACGGCAAACAAAAGCAAAACAAAAGCACTTACCACTAGCATGGACTCCTTGGTTCTCTATCCTTCTCAACGTGACGCCCTTTGCTTTCAGTGGCACAACCAGTAGACTAATACCGCCGTGCCCTGGTCCTCCGGTGCGTACAGCCGTAGTGCAATAGTCACACCATATCCCATTCGTGATCCATTTCTTTTGGCCCGACACCCTGTAGATCGAACCCTCCTTTTGCGCCGTGGTCTTGATATTTGCGACGTCGCTTCCACCGTCGGGTTCAGTGATGCCCAGGCAGAATCGGATTTCCCCTCGTGCCACTTTTGGTAACCACCGTTGTCTCTGTTCTTTCGTACCGAATCTGCTGATGGGAGGGCATCCAATGTTATTTCCACCACCCAAGCCCCAGATCGGACCACACCAACCGAGACGGGTGAGTTCGTCGCTCACGATGATGCCACACCACGTGTCCCACTCACCAAAGGGTATATCGGCGGGGTGTTGTCGACCACCTGCGTCGGCCGGGTCTACCACTGGGTTCACGATCCCGAAACCCAGCTGACAATGCCGCAGGCGCACACTCTCGGGCACCTGGCCCGCAAGTTCCCACTCTTGCGCGTACGGCGCCAGCTCCGTCTCGACATAGTTGCGCACGAAGGCTCTCAAGCGATGATGCTTGTCGGTCCAGTAAGGGTTCGAGGGGAGATCGAGTTGAGGGAGAAGTGGTTCCGCGAAAGGAGCAGCCGTGCTGGGAGCCATGGTGAATAGATTGCCTGGGGTCTGAACGAGCAAGATACGAGAAGAATGGATTTACATGCCTTCTGGGAGAAGGAACCCCCTTTTACATTATATCTAGCGATTGCTCTGAACCGAGGCGGGGAGATGGTCAGTATGTCGGACCATCTACATACAGCCCCGGATAAGTGTCAGCAAAGTACGTGGTTATGCACCTTTTGCAGAGAAGGAGCCTCGGTCAAGAGCCTCGGTCCAAACAGTCTTGGCGGGTCTAACGTGATTTGGCTTACATGATGCCATCACCGTATTTTGGGTCTTTTGACTGGCGTTCGTTATTTCGACAACACCAGAATTAACGGAGCCTGTTGTATGTTTCCTCAAACTCGCGACATTCTGCAGCTCATTTGAGTTCGGAGCGCCATCTCCCGCGCCATCTCCCTGCCACATGACAGGGTGTTCTGAGTTCAGATGGAGCCCTGTAGCTGTTTGTTCGCGACACGTTATGCGTGTTGGACCGAAAATCCTTAGCTGAGAGATCTTCGTCGCAATGGAATCATTTAAAGAATTTATCGCCAACCAAGTGGCGCCAGATGGCACGGAGTCTGATGGAAACAAGACTGGGCAGTCACCAACCGAGGATGCGAATTCAGATATTGTGGAAAACGACTTGGAGCTACGTCAAGTTGACGGCGCTGACGATTCCATCCAAGGGATCACGGTCAATTCTGAAGACTCTGAATCTCCAGAAGAGGCTGTTCCGCAGATGTACCCTCTGCTGTCGAATAATCCTCCGGACTCTCCGCCCCTGGCGCCGGGAAAACGAGACGAAGAAGACGACGAGGAGGGCCTCGACATCTCGAAGTCGTTTAACCGTACTACCAGTCCCACCCCCTCCCTGAAACGCAACAAGGGAGCGAGAGTGGGCAAGGTTGGTGAGGAAGGTGTCACCAGAATGCACAAATTCACACTGCACGAAACGGCCAACTATTACTACATTGTGGGTTCGGATCTTCTGGACTCTGCTTTTCGAATCTTGAAGATCGACCGCACGTCAGGAACGGGAGAACTCAACATCACCGAGGATGACATCATCTATACCAAGAAAGAGACGCAGCAGATCCTCAGTGCAATCGACGAGGGTAACCGGGCGACCGGTGGTCTCAAGATGAAGACGAGCTTCTGGGGCCTCCTCGGCTTCATCCGGTTCACTGCTCAGTATTACATGATATACGTGACCAAAAGAAGCCAAGTTGCCATGATTGGTGGTCATTATATTTATCAGATCGACAAGACCGACATGATGCCTCTGGTCACGGCAGCCTCAACCAGGGTCAAGACGGATAGACATCTCGAAGAGGCTCGATTCATTGGCATCTTGGGAAACCTCGATTTGACAAGGTCTTTTTATTTCAGCTACTCCTACGACGTTACCAGAACTTTACAGCATAACATCACGCGCGAACGTCAAGCGCTCTTTGATGGACTCGCAGAGCCATTGAAGCACGATCAAAACGACATGTTTATCTGGAATCACCACTTGCTCGAACCTGCCAAGCAAGTACTGAAAAACCCGTTCGACTGGTGTTTGTCGATTGTGCATGGTTACGTCGATCAAAGCGCCCTGTCTATATACTGGGGAAGAGTTGTGTATGTGACCATCATCGCGCGTCGGTCACGGTTTTTCGCCGGTGCTCGATTCCTCAAACGAGGAGCAAATGACTTGGGATACGTGGCGAATGATGTTGAGACGGAACAGATCGTCTCAGAAATGCTTACCACGTCATTCCACGCTCCCGGTCCCACCTTGTTTGCGAACGACAAGTACACATCTTACGTTCAGCACCGTGGCAGTATACCTCTTCATTGGACTCAGGATAGCACTGGCGTTTCACCAAAGCCAGATATCCATCTCAACGTCGTGGACCCGTTCTTCAGCGCGGCAGCCTTGCACTTTGACAACCTGTTCAAGCGATACGGCACTCCTATATATGTCCTGAATCTCATTAAATCCCGCGAACGAACACCCCGAGAATCGAAGCTCCTGAAAGAGTACACCCTGGCCGTCAACTATCTAAACCAGTTTTTGCCCAAGGACAAACAAATCCTGTACCACGCGTGGGACATGAGTCGTGCCTCCAAGAGTCGCGATGGGGACGTCATTGCCAGCCTCGAAGCGATCGCGGAAGGTATCCTCCCCAAGACGGGCTTCTTTCAGAACGGCAACGACGAGAAGACCGGCTTGAAGCTTCAGAGCGGCGTGGCTCGGACAAACTGTATCGACTGTCTCGACCGCACCAACGCCGCTCAGTTTGTGATCGCCAAAAAAGCGCTCGGGTACCAGCTTCAGGCACTCGGCGTGATTGTAGACACTTCCGTCGAGTACGATTCCGACGCCATCAACCTGTTCACCCACATGTGGCACGACCACGGCGACACGATAGCCGTGCAGTACGGAGGCTCGCACCTGGTCAATACAATGGCGACTTACCGCAAGATCAATCAATGGACGAGCCACTCGAGGGATATGGTCGAGAGTTTCAAACGGTACTACAATAATTCGTTCATGGACGCTCAGCGACAGGAAGCGTACAATCTCTTCCTTGGGAACTACGTCTTTGCCCACGACAAGCCCATGCTGTGGGACCTGACAACGGATTACTATCTTCACCACTCCGACCCACGGTCCATGTTCGGCAAACGCAGGCCGAGCTATCGCCAGTGGTATACATCTGAAAATCTCGTCTCGCCCTCCATACCACCGTCACTGTGGCCGCGGGACCTCCGTGACCGGCCCCTCGGGTACTTTGATGACTACTGGGTCGAATACTATCGCCCACTTGCCATCACCTCGTTCAAGAAGCTCTTCTCGTTCAAAATGCACTCGAACCTGCGGTACATCCCGATCAACTCGACATCGTCCGGAAAATACGACTTTTCACCGTTCAAAGTACGCACGGCCAACGAAAGTGACGGCGAAGGCCACGAAAAGCACGCCGCACGTAAAGGGGTCAAGATCGTCGCGCCTTCAGACGACGAGTTGTCGACGACGGCCGGAACCGAATCGGTCGTTTCGTCGGTGCCTCCTCACTCGGCACTCGAACCGACACCGGCGCCGAAACCCAACGCACTCGGTCCGTGGCTCGACGCTCAACAACAACTGCATAATACGCTCCAGCGTCGCCAATACACCGGCATCATCAAGGAACCGTCGTTCGAGGTCCAGTCCCCTTCTGTACCCAAGATCCCCAAGCTCCCGACCGCCACGACGAGTGACCTCGCGAACAGTTCGCTCCTGCAGCCCACCAAGGCCGAACTCGCACTGCAGTCGTTCACGTCGCTGATCACGCGGTCCCTCGACCCGCAGGTCCGCCAAGAAGGCGAGTACCAGCGGTACGTGCGACACCCTTCCAACATCCCGCTCGTAGTGTCGTCCGACATTGACTATTCCTCGGCGCCTCTGGAGTTTCTCGAGTACCTCTCCAAGACCACGTCCGACCCGGCCGACCACAAGGTTCTTCGCCACTACGACGACGACCGCGGCGCCGTGAGCCTGACCATGGACGAACGCGCAGAGGCCAGTTTGGACGACTACACCGAGTATCTTGCCAGCGGGACCGTGGAGGACCCGTTGACCGTGCTCCACGAGGACGGCGAGAAGAAGAGATACAAGGCGTATAAGAAGTGGCTGAAAGGGAAGAGCCTGTTCAAGCAGAGGCCTGTCGTTGGTGATGATGCCGCTGAAGGTGTGAAAGCATGACTGGTGTTACCCGTGTCATGTTACGCTGTTGGCGACGGTGCTGGTGATGGGTTCGGTTCTTGGATGTTTATGATGAATAAAGATACCCCCTTTTATAGACTGTATTGCCTTTTCTTTTCCAAAAAGCCTTGGTGATCGAAACGAGCGGATGCTTGTATACACCGGGTCATGATCGACTACGAATTTCATATCCATTTCATACCCATGGAGTCTTTGTCATGTTTAAAGAATCTTGTTCATCCTGTTCGAACAGCTCTTTTAGGTCTGGTTCTTCGTCGACAAGACGTCGCGTAACGTCTTTCCATTCGGTTTCGTCAACGATGTCGCCTAGCATTTTGACTACCTTTGTCAATCGTGTCATAGTCTCGGGCAGATATTTGCTGGCGCTGGTCGTGCCGCTGCCCTCGTTCTCATCGATGCAATTACACCAACATCCCACCAAACCTCTCAGGATCTCGGGGTACCATTTCTCCTTGACTCGCGGAGTGCAGACCGAAATCACACATTCAACCACATCCAGCACGGCCGAGACCATCTCCGGAGCGACCAGGATGAAAGGATCCATCAGACCCGCCCGGACCATAGGTAGGAGGCCCTTGAGATGGCGCACACTCGATATCCCCATGCGCTCAATAACGGGAGGGACCTGGCGGAGGAGAAAGACCGTCAGGCTCACGGATATGGTGGACGAGAAAGACGTCGCCGACGAGAGGTGCTCGAGCGACGCCATGATGCCGTGTCTGTAAAGCGAGGTGAGGAGGTCGTCTCGGGCCTTGGATTCCGCGGAGGTCAGTTTTGACGGGGAAGAAGAGTAGCAGAACATCGCGTCCACGAGAGCAATGTAGGCCGGGTACAGTTCACGCAGGACGGACAGACTCTCGTCTTCCGGTGTGAGCGTCGGGAGGAGCGTGAGGTTGCCTTTGAGGGCGTGGACGAAGACGTCACCCAGGCCGGTGCGTTTGAGCATGTCGCTCTGTACGGAGACCAAAACCTCGCCGAGCGTGTGGAGGAGCCGACACCCGGTCGCCTTGTACGACGGATCGGTGTCGTCGATCATGTTCAGGATCGGCGGGACGAGGAGGTGAAAGTGGGATTCGAGTGTCTGTTTGCGGCTGGTGGAGGGGAGGGCGGAATACGAGTCGAGTATGTATCTGAGTAAAGGGACGGTGAAGCCTGTTGTTTTCCATGGCTTCGAGGTTTCGTAGTGGTCGGAGAGAGTGGGATAGCTGGGACCGAATGATGGTGAGTTGGGCACCAAGTTCTTTCGTCCCGTGGACGTCAGGCTGGGGTGCTTGGTGTTTGTGAAGAGTGGTTTTATGACTTGGGTGAGGAGGTCGAGCAGCGTCGCAGGTAACACTGATTCGTCTGTAGACCTGGATATCAGGGCATGTGCTTGGTTGCGCAGTGTTGATGTTGAAGCGGATTCTGGTGCTGTGGACTGCGTCGATAGAACGCTGAGGATGTCTTCAGTGTCCATGGTGTCTCTTGTGTGACTGTTGTTGGTGTCCATGATGCCTCTTTTGTGACTGTTGTCTCGGGTGGTTTGGTGTCATGGGTTGAATCGGACAACCCTTACGAATTACACACTTCGGAGGCCTTGTCGAGCACCGCGAGAACTACCTTTACATGTCGTTGTCATTTCTCTGTCTTTGTACGCGTGCAAAGGTGTAACAAGGTGTGCCAAGCGTGATCTGCCTGGGGATTGATCCTCCATACCTTCCTTTCCCGGTAGGTAAAGTTGCCTGATTGGGACGAGACTTAAGCTTTGCTCAGCCAACATGAGAGAAATTGAGACATCCTAAGTTCCCGCCCCCCCTCCCTCCCCCCGGATTCTGGGTTTCTACTATATCCTCGAAGTCTCAATATCGGCATCCGCGTCCACACGAAGCCATCAGGACGCTCTAGATATTCAGAGTACCTACGTATGGATCTCGATAATGGTATTACCTATTCTGCGTCTTCTAGTCTTCATTTTTTATATTATCGCTAGCGATGTGTGATGGCTACGGTGTTCAGGAGTGAGAATCCAGTGACAACGTCCAAAGATGTGGCATCGATGGCTCCTACATGCGTCCCAAGTATATAATTTTCATCACTCTGAATCGTCTATATCTTCGTTTCTCCGGATCTATAGTATCTCGACCACCATTTTGTAGCCTGTACTCCATGAAGATACTCGTGTCAGTAAGTGGTTGTCCATCGTCCACGTGATGCTCGGGAACGAGGAAGCAAGCAACTAATGCAGGGACTGACGTACCACCATTAATTCCGCGGTACATGTCAACACATGCACACTTCCCCTTCCTGTTCTATCCTCCTACAATTTCAACAATACCATTGGAAAAAATGCGATACATTCACCTCAAAGTATGAGCGAAATGGACGACAACGAATTTACCCCTCTGGCCACCCGCCACCTCCCAGACGATGCATCTCTCCCAAGTCCCATCCAACCGCATCTCGACACCCTCTTTGCCGAATTCGCCCGCACCCGCACAAGAACCTCGCCGCCGCGATCTCCTTCGCTTCGATCTCAGCGGCATACTCGCAATACGTCGAATCTGAAGCCCCCGCCGACCATCGACCTTCGGGCACTCGACCATGTCACCGACTATGAGGCCCACTTGATGTGCCCGATCTGCCATGTTCCGTTCGTCGAGCCGGTCGTCCTGGAATGTGACCACACCTTTTGCAGTTCATGCCTGAAAGAGTACCGTGAAGGGACCAGCGCTGGTGTACGATCTCAATGCCCTACATGCCGTTCATTCCTCCTGTCCGGACCGCGCAAAGCCTCGCGATTGATCGTCAACATGTGTGACGAAATAAAAGTCCGATGTCCGAATGAAGACTGCGAAGTGATTTTGCCCAGAGGGACAGTCGAGCGTCACGCCACAAAAGAATGCGAGCACGAAAGACTAAAATGCCCGGATGAAGGATGCGACCGGCTGGTGAAGAGAAAAAACTACGTGCCGAACCAGTGTATACACACTTCTCACATCGAGTGTGATTGCGGGGCGGTGATTGAGCTCGGCCGTGGAGAATGGCTGAAACACAAAGATGAGGACTGTCCGAATACAGGTATCGATTGCAAGCGGTGCGGGAAACGCATCTCGGCCAAGGACTATCTTGCCGGAGACAAAAGCCACGTCTGCGATTCCGTGGAGCAGGAGCTTTGCCCGGGCAAGCAATACGGATGTGCTGAGGATGTCAACGACGAAGAGCTGAGTGAGCACATCAGATCATGCCCGATTGCTCGGATGGCTCCATTCCTTCAGCGGCAATCAAGGCTGCTCCACTTACTACAAGAGCAGTTGACAATGGTCAAGGTTCGAAATGAAGTTTTGGAGACAGGGTTTGAGAAGTTGAACGACATCGTCAACGACCGGGTCCTACCCCGTCTCAATCAGTCCGACCCATCTGCTGCTGGCGAAGCGTCAGACATCGAAGAGATCGAAAGAGACCACATCCCTTCGGCAATATCACATCGCGACCTTCTCATGCCAGCACATCTCCGGGCGCTGACCCCTTCACCTGACCCGGACGTTGCCTCCCTCTCTCAGACACAACAGCATCTACTGGCGAATCACGAGTCCCTGCGTGGCAATGTGTCGAACATGGAGCAGGACATTGCGGCACTCCACAACCACATATCGGACCTCGATGCGCGTACCTCGATGCAGATCATGAATGAGACTTTGCGCATCAAAGAGGACCTCGCGCATACCAACGCGGCTCTTTTCAGCACCAGGGCGCAAGTTCAATGGCTCTTGAACAGAGAGAGGATCGGTCAACAACAACAAGCGATGCGCGGGCGCGCACCATCGGCCCAACCTCAACCTCCACCTCCTCCTGCGGCTCAATCTACCCGGAGTTCGATGTCGGAAGGTAACGACGTGTCGAATCTGGGGACGAGCTTCGACAGTCAGCCCTCGTCCAGTAGTCTGGCACCGAGTCCCAACTTCCGACCTCAGATGAGGAGGTTGAGTGGAGCTAGCCAGGAGAGGGTCAAGCTGTGAAAAGAAGTTGTGAGGGTTGGCAGATAGGATGCGTTTACAAGCAGTGGCTGGCCTGTGTCGGGTCTTTGGATTTGTTACATGTCTCGACTTGAAGATGCTGTCCTTATCAATGATGACTTTGTTGAAGCAATTAAGCGAAATTATTCAAGGAGTAGCTAGTAGAATGATACCAAGTCGTTTGTCTTTGCGGAAGTCTTCTTCTTTCTTTTCTGAAGTATTTTCAATCGTCTACACTATGATCAGTATGGAGTAACAATATTTGCCATACGGGGCCCAAGCTAGGTTACCCTTGTATTCGTTCACAACATCAATCCCATCTACAAGGACTTTAATCAGCGTAATTCAGTACTAGAGGAGGGTCGGCTAGCCACTCGGGCAAACCACTCTTTACTTCCCCCTTGCAAGCGGCGTCGACGCACCTCGACAAGCTCGCGAAGTGGACCCCACGACGCAGCATCCCAGGTGCGTAGTGGGCGTATTTTCCCGAGTTGGTCATGATGTTCTCTGCGTCGACGGGCACCACGGGCTCGCCCAGCATGCACCAGCACGTGTCGGTGACGAGCTTTGCGCCGAATTCCTCGACGATGACGTCGAGGTGTCCGGCCCGACTTGCTTGTTGTTGGACGGCGCGACTCGTGGTGATGATAACTTGGACGTCGGCGTGTTTGCGTCGACCCGCGCACAGCTTCGCCAGGGTCGCAAACTCGTCCAGCGCAAAATGAGGGTTGCCGAGCGACACGAGCGTCACCGCCGAAGTCGTGGCGGTGTTGAGTTGACGCCAGCAATCGCGCAACTCGTCCCGGCCGACTTCATAGCAAGGCAATCTGTCATCCTCTGTTCTTCGCTTACACATGTCGTTGCTTGCCTCGGGAGTGACGCCCTGTATGTGAAACATGGGCGCCGACGATGTTGTGGCGAAAGCTGCCCCGAACGCCTTCAGGTCTGATTGTGATATGCTAGGACCGAGATGTTCTAGTCCGCGTATAACAGGGATGTTGGGCCCTGACAGTGTGCCGACATGGTAGCCCAGAAGTGGATAGAATGTGTCGTCGACGTCGAAAAACTCCCCAACCTTGATCTCTATTGTTGGCAAACGGTAGTGTTCCAGGTGACATCCAGCGGCCGGTGCACGTCCGGTGAGAGCGATGCAGACGTCTAGGAAGTCGGGGTATTTCTGGGTTCTGGCTCCCAACACGCTGTTGGCAAAGACTACCGCGTTCGATTCTGCCCAGCCAATATTCTCGCCCCTTTTCGGTGCAGTCTCAAGCATGTAGGGTGCACACGTAAAGCTCATGATTGCTCCCATGGACATGTAAGTTTGTGACAGCTTTTCCGCTTCTCTGCCGAGGGTAGGGTCCATACCAAGCTCCCGCCAGCGACGTTGGTCAATGGATATCGAATTCAACGTGGTTGGGACTGCGAACCTTGCGCCCAACGATAAGAATCTCTCAGCAAATTCCAGACTTGCAGGGCCAACGTAGATGCATGCATCGATATGAGCTTGTGATACGTCGAGGAGGGCCTCAGCGCCTTGCATCTCAGCCACATCAACGAGTATCTCCATGGCCAATCTGACAGCGGCCCCACAAGCACCACTGAACATGCGTTCATCTTTGTTGCTGAGCTTAACAACCCGTGGTAACATTGTTGATGGTGACGGGCTCTCGAGGATGGCGAAATTTTGCCCGACAATAAGCTCTGTATTTCGCACAATGGCCCTCTGTCCACTCTGCAGGCTCGAGAAGTCCGTCTCAGACAATACTATGACTGGAATGGATAGCGAAAATATTGCTTTCGCGACCATAACGCCCAATGTCATAATCTCCTCGACATACTGGAAGACCAGGGCTGCAGGTCCACGATTACCTAAGAGTAACTCCAGAATAATACCGCTGCCTGTGCACGAGCCTCGGCCACATGGTATAGCCAGGATTCGACCGGTGATGCATTCGCCTTTGAGAGGATGGTGCTGATCCACGATCATTCCTGTCTCAACCTCAACGCCGCCCCAACAACTCAGCGCTACATTCGAGACCAAGAGTTCTCCGGATGCGAGTCCGCGCACAAGACTGCGACCCGAGATTGTTGCCCTCATTGAGGTGTAGAAGTCTGCTCCCGGGAGTCATAAAGTGCGTCAGTTGGTCAAAAATGCACAAGTGTCAGGACGACATTGGCTCTGTAGGGCGGAAGGACAAAAAGGTTTGGATAGTCATTTTTGTTAGGACGGATATCTCCTATCGGAGTAGACCTCGCCGACCTCTCTGGCTTGGGGAGTCTTCTTGCCATGAAATACTGCTTTCGTGTCTTGGACAACTGACTAGCATCTGCGATGCACACTACATCAAGCTGGTGTCGACGACCCAATGTTAGACCTTTTTCTTGGGGAGTATTTCAACACATAAAATCCTAGATTGAGTCAGTAGTTCATGCAATTCTGACACGATCCTTGGGACATTTGGGGTCGTGAGAGAGGCCGAAGAAAACATGCTTCGTGCGGAGACTTATAGAAGAGTCGTGGGGAAGTGAAGTAAGAGGAAGCAGCATAACCGTAGTGTCGGCTATAGGTGCGATGCCCCTTCCAGATTTCAATTTCCATCAATGACTTTAAGTCCAGGGACTTCGTCAAACAATAACTTACAGTGCCTCCTCATCTGCTCTTGATCAGGTTCAGAAATATGTTGAAGTCAGAAGGAGTGCTATCACTGCGCTTTCATAGCCGTGGTGACCTTCAGCTAGACACGGTTCGACCACTGTAAGCTCGCGTGCAGTTCCAAGATGAGCTTACCCGATACTCAACAATTTGCAGGCCGTGCGGTCCAGATGAAGTTCGCTTGAAGATAGCATATTGTGGTATATGCGGAACAGATATTCATGAATTTCAAGGCGGGCCCATCTTCCCACCCCAGCCAGGCTCCAAGAACCAATTCACCGAGGTGGAGCTCCCTGTCACTATGGGCCATGAGATGTCAGGAACAGTCATCGAGAAAGGTCCAGCCGTCCAAGATCTCGACGTCGGACAGGAGGTCTGTGTCAACCCTTCGCTAGACGACCGCCACTTTGGAGCAGACCCATGTCCATCATGCCAAGCGGGAAGGATCAACTTGTGCAAACGATGGTGCTGTTATGGCTTGAATGCGAATGGTGGCGGATTCTCCGAGGAGATCGTTGTGAAATCTTACAACTGTCTTGTTCTGCCAGAAGGAGTCTCACCGAAGGTAGGTGCACTTGCAGAGCCATTGGCGGTTGCCTGACACAGTATACGTACTTCGGGGTTCAAGGCGGGCCAGGATGCTCTCGTGCTAGGCGCTGGGCCTATTGGGCTCGCGATTTTGCTTGGCCTAAGAGCCCAAGGTGTCAATAAAGTGGTTGTGAGTGAGGTGGCAGAGCAACGTGCTCTTCAGGCGAAGAAGTTCGGAGCCGATATGGTTGTCAATCCACTCAAGAATGCCGTCACTGCCAACGATAGTAAAGAGCTGGATCCTGTGTGGTGGCGATTCGGCAGTTTTCACAAGAGGGTGTTGATGTGGCCTTTGACGCGACAGGACTGCAGTCCACACTCGATACAGCTTTGGCTGCCACGAAGCCTGGAGGAACTATCTTCAATGTTGCAATTCACGAAAAACCGCTGATGCTGAATTTGAACGACATTGCCATCCTTGAGAAGAAATTACTCGGTGGTATCTGCTATACCCATGAAGACTGGGAGCGTGTGCTGGACGCATTGAAGAAGGGAGACTTGCCGTTTGAGCAGATGATCACAGCCATAGTGCCTCTGAAGGATGTCGTTCATGGTGGTTTCCAGGAACTGATCAGGAATAAGGCTGCGCATGTCAAGATCTTGATTCAGCCGACAGCAGCATAGGATGCCACGAATCTTGGTGTAAAGAAGAGGCTCGAGTTTGAAGTTTTGTAAGATTACTCCGCTTCTCGGGACACATTATTGTAGCACCTTCTAGCCGCATCAGCGGCGCAAAGGATTTCCAACACTGGCGAAGTAACCGGTCAATTTGTTTTTCATGGTAATTTCCCAGGCACATCTAATAATAAATACAACGTGGAAGTTGCCGATGCCAGGAAAGGAAGGAACTAGTCCGTATGCGTCATGAGACGAGCCGAGACCATCACATTTCATAAGCGAGAGGAAATTCTTTTTCCGACTTCATACACAGCCGTAGCTGTAGTGACTGCTACAATATCAGCACAATTGATACCAAATCTTTCAAGTTTTGAGCTGGACTTCCCAAAACGGTCCCAGGCTCTGTCAGATTATCCAGAAACAGGCTTCGATGCCCTCCGTCCAACCAGCGGAGTTCCCAGGAAGCGTTCATCTGGACAGGCAATAAGCTGGCGGCTGGCCATGTTCTCGAATCTCAGAAAAAGAACAGTAAGTGGTGTAGGCAGGATGTCCCTGAGCATACACTTGAGCGAGCTATATTTTATTCAGGGAGATGTTGCACGTCTCAGCGAAAACTGGACAAAATGTCCTAGCTATCGGCTCCGGGCCTTCGTCGTCTAAGCCGGACCTGAAAGAGACCTTGCAGCTCATGCCGCAGCCTGGAACACTCGAAAGAATCACATACCTGTTCGACGAGAATCTTGGTTGCATTGGGAAGCCTCAATATCGGAGCGGTTGACTTCGCACCACGAGTCCAAGCCGACATTAGTGGTGCCAAAAGAAAGAAGAAACTCCCGTCTGGCGAGAAGAGCAGCTGGAAAAAGAACAAAGCGACTCTGGGGGCATTTCTCTTCTACAGCAATTGTGGGAGTGGATTTACCTAGAAGCAAGAGCTGCCTAAAGTTACTGGCGCTGGCGCCTAGGGCGGTGAAAAATAATCAAGGGTTTATGAATTGAAAAAGTGAATTTCCTTCCAACTAACCAATCTTCTAGGTCATGCGTTTGGCAGAGCTGGCTCAGGGGCAATTCTTCGGAATCAGGGCAATCTGTTGTCCAGCTCCAGCAGTCGGTCTCAAGTTCGAATCCCATTGTCACCAAAAAAGATCCAACCACCAAAAATTCAACCAGTGAAGCGTCCAAGGCGGGAATCTGGGGGAGGGTGATTTGGGCAAGGTCGACAAAAATAAATAAGTGGGAGGACAACATAGCTAGGACAAGGCCCTGGCCAGAGAGGGTAGAAAAAGTTGAAAGCGCTGCGACAGGGGAGATTCCAGAGCGAGTACCATAGATCGGTTTAAGACCTTCACTGGTCCCGAGTTGGGAGGCATCTGGGGGAAAAAAATCCTTACACGACTGGGATTTTCTTAACTAGGCTCCTATGGGAGATAAATCCTAGTTAAGTTTTTGCCATTTTTGCAGAATGATCCTCTATTTTTGAAGAGGTAAGAAAGCCACAAGTCCACAGTACGAGTACTTTTTACACTATGGGAAAAAATCAAAAGAATGAGAACGGGTCAGAAAGTGTGTACACAACAAAAAGTTCATCTTTATTCATTGAGGCCAAGTTTCCCAACTGCGCCGCGCCGCGATACAGTAACCAACAAATCTCAAAATCATGATTTATATCCATGAGCATGTCCGTTACAAGAATCCAAAACCCCCTTCCCAAAAGAAAATGAAACCTCAGTACAGGCCATCCCGTTGCGCCCTGAACCAGAACCCTTCCATCTCCCCTTGCATGCGCCACCACATCTCGACGAGCTGCCTGTCGATCCAGCCGGCGTTGCCCTCGTCCCAGAACTTGTCGTGGACGCTGGCGGCGCCACGCTCGACGTCCCCGTAACTCGGCCAGTTCATGTTCCACTTGCCCGTCTTGAAGTGTCGGTAGGGCATGGGCCCGTCGGCCCGGTGGGCGTAGTTCAGCAGCCCCTGCTCCATGGTCGAGTCGTCGAACCGACCGGGTACGTTCATGACGCTGAGGTAGTACCGGTACAAGACGGGGTCGGGCCTCATGACCCAGAACCCACCGTTGACGTTGTCGTGCTCCTCGGGCACGCTGTGGCGGTGAGGTCCCCCTGCGTCCGAGACGCCCACAAACACATACTCGGCGGGTAAGGAGGCTTCGTCGGGTTTGATTCGGTCGTCGTCGTCGTCGTTTTCCCGCTGGGCGAGGGCAGACAGAGCCGGCGTCTGCACCACACCTTCTTCAAACATGCCGTCGAGACTCGTCACCAGGAGCATGTCCGAGTCGACGAAGGCGATCCGGTCGAACTCTGTCATGTTGAACAGTCTGAGTTTGGTGAATTGTTCGGCCCAGCTGGCTCGTGCCGGACGCACCCACGTCGAGTCGTCGGGGTTGAGCACGTCGACGTGAACCACCGTGGCTCCCTCGCGCTCGAGAATGTCCGTTTTGTTCCTGTCGACATGTTTCGGTACGAGTACGAGCAGAGGGTAACTGTTGTTTGATTTTGTTGTCGGGTGGTGGAGGAGTTGGTACAACAACACCCGGGTCGCCGTGAAGTACTTGTCCTCGTCGAGTGGTCGAGTGTCGTTGGCCGGGGAGGAGTAAAACGTGGCATAGGCATATCTCTTGCCCGTACCACTCGTGTCGTCTGACGTTATTGATGATGCCGACGTGTGGAGATGTGATTGTTGTTTACCAGAAACTTGACTCAAAGTGTTTGATACAAAGTCGGATATGGAATGGGAAGAGTTTCGGATCGAGTATTCGGGAGCCTTGACTTCTAGAAAAGCCAGTGACAAGATGATGAACCCGAGGGACGTTAAAGTCAGGGCGATCTTTGTTAATCGTTGCATGGTTGTTTTGACTGGAAAAAAAAAGAGAAAAAAATTGGTAACTAGACCTCCCAAAGAAAGAACCGACAATCCCCTCCTCCTTCTCCAGTCCGGGGATTGATCAGTCCTCCCAATACGAATTATCCTATCCCAAGGATAACGCAAGCAAGCCTGTCACTGGGTTTGTTGTCTTTGGGGGCTCTGGGGTAGGGAGATATTCGACCCTGTACTCGTACTCCGTACACGCAGTACTCTGTACAGTATTGCGTAGGTAGGTGTGTGGGTTCGATCAATAAATCAATGTCTTGTCGCAGAGCCACCAAGGTAGTACTCCTTTTTACTGACCCAGGTCCCTGGTGGTTTTTGCGTACAGACGTGTCTTTGAAAATTCTCTACCGATACGGACTTGACAAACGAAAGTAAGAAACTAGGAGCACGTACGAAGGAACAAAATTCTACAGCTACTAGCAACATCACTCAAGTCCCTCCCTCCTACGGAGTCTTATCCATACCCAATCTCTTTATTTTCTTTCCCTTTTTCCCTCCTCCCGCTCGAGATTTTCGTCGTTCCCGAAATTGCACTGTTGTCGATAATGGAGTAAAACAAAAGGGGCAAACGGTGCTACTTCGCTCTCCCGGCACCTTTTGTTATCAGGAAGCGGATCCCCAGCCTCGCTAGCTTCCGCCGTGGAGGTAACTTATCTTCGGTACCTGACCTAATTAAGGTACTTAGTACTCCGTAGATGCCGTGGGAAACTAAGCCACAAAAAGCATGGTTTACTGGTACTGGGTACCTGAGATAAATTACCCCTGGCTATAAATATTCTGTCACTGTACAGTACGGGTAAAAGTGCAGACCAGCTCACTGCGTGGTGGTGCGTCTTCTAGATAATGTAGAGTACAAATTAGTGTGGCCTTGTCTTGGCCTTCATTTCTTCTGCATCTAGACCTGGCTGTAGGGGGTTTATCGAGGCTGTCTGATACCAAAAGTGTGCTGATTGGAATCTCCGTACGAGGAGGATTGATTCGAGTAAGTCGACTTATGACAAGACCACTTCACGTACATACAACCTTCCACCGGCGATCAACAATGTTTCTGGCTCTTCACACCCAAGAAAACGAATCGTCAACTGACGTGTGTCAAGCAACGTATTCGAGCAGCGAGACACAAAATTCTTGACGATAACAAATGTATGTGTAAACGTTTAGTCCGCACCTGACAATCTTCTCAGATCTCGCTTGCATGGACTTCTTCACGTACATGCGGGACTATGTCGCCAGAAGCTGCTGTCAATGAATCCGTCTGGGAGCCGACCGCACATGTCTTGCTGTGCTCAATGGCAATGGCGTGTCGTGGAATCGTCTATATCCTCATACTCTATCGGATGTTGGAGTGCCTTTTCAAAGTCACATATTTCCAACTTAATGTGATTTTGCCCACTCCCTGTACCAATCCAGACAACTGCTGTTGGCGACACTTGCGCTTGTCTTAATATTCAAGCCGCTGAGTATTTGCTTTACAGCACCCTCCACTTTCTTGCCGTTGGTCGTGACCGGTATCTCAGGACATTGATCGATGATTTTCGGTACATGCCTTGCGCTGAGCTCTTTCCTGACCACAGTTTGTATTCTGTGACAAAGGTCGTTGGAAAATGAATGACCATCGGACATCTTCAGGAACAGGACCACAACCTCATCCACATCCTCCTCACGCTTCCGGCCTATGCATAATGCGTCTTCAACCTCCATCGCAAAATGTTTCAACAAAATATTGTATATCTCGCTGGATCCGAATCGGACACCCATCGGGTTCAGAACACCATCGGACCGCCCTAGCATCCAGATACCACCAGTCTTGGGGTTGAAGCGAACGAAATCTCCGTGGGTCCAGATAGGATGTCCTGTCTTTTCGTCTTTGAAGACCTCGAAGTATGAAGATTTATATCGAGCTTCACCCTTTGGACCAGGGGGCCAAAACATGCATGGTTGGCAGGGGAATGGCACGGTACAGACAAGTTCACCGGCCTCACCTGTGGACGTGATGTCTTTCCCGTCTGGTGAAAATGCTTTTATCGCCATTCCCAAACCTGCACTTTGAATCTCGCCTATGTAGACGGGTAATATCGAGCAAGGTGCTCCAAAGAGGGAAATGATATCCGTGCCGCCGGTGATCGATCCCAATAGAATTCCTGAATGAGGCGAAGGTGGTGAGAGGTTTTTATATACGTACTGAAAGGTGCTTGGTGCAAGAGGAGAGCCGGTCGAAAAGATAGACCTAAGTGACTCGAGGCTTGCACTTTTCGGGGTTGCTTCTCGCGGCAAAATGTTGGCTTGCTCAAGAACCGAAAGGTATTTAGCAGAAGTTCCGAAGTGGTTGATCTTTAGCTCGTCAATAAGTAGTGGCATGCTCATTTCCTTGTGGGGTTGGAAAGGGCTACCATCATAAAGCACAATAGTAACTCCGCTGGCAAGACCAGATACAAGCCAATGCCACATCATCCATGTCACTGTCGTGAAATAGAGCATTCTTTGGCCAGGCAGGATGTCAGACTGTATTAGATGTTCCTTTTTATGTTGCAGTAGTGTCCCAAGAGCAGCATGCACAATTGGTTTAGGTACACCAGTTGTGCCAGAAGAATAGAGAATATACACAGGGTGTTCCGGGTGGAGATATGTGAATTGTAAAGGCCGAGAGGAATCACCTTTGGAGAGAAAAGAGGTGTACGTCTCTACTGTCGTGCTGTCATGGCGTTGTAGGGAGAGAAGGTCGAAGTGATGCCCAGGTATTGTCTCGAATATGGCAACATTCCGGATGGAAGGCAGATCCGCGAGGACGTGAGATATCTTACTGTGCGTCTCATGCGTTTTGCCATTATATGTCACCGCATTGTCTGCCAAAAGAAGAACCGGCTCAATCTGCTGAAGTCTGTCGAGGACTGCATGAACACCTGTGTCAGGGCTCACTCCTGACCATATGGCTCCTAGAGACGTCGCTGCAAGCATGGCGATTACAGCATTTGCGTGGTTTCCTAGGTAGCCTGCGACTCTTTCCCCTGTCTTGACACCATGTGCCTCCATGGCCGCAGCACATAGTCTCACTCTTTCTCGTAGCTCCGACCACGTCAATTGTTCGCGAGTCTGCTCTGTGGCACCGATGATAGCAAGGGTGTGAGGCGCAGGGTTCGAGGCGGGAAATAAGAGGTTCTCAGCGAAATTCAACTCGCATCCAGAGAAAAAGGTCGGCTTAGGAAACATGGGTAGAGACTCGTCTAGGACCTTATAACGAGAGTCAGTCTTCAAAAGCTCTCGACCATGTTCAGATCCCACTCTACCTACCGAGTCGTAGTGTTTATGTGCTTTGATCCCAGTATAATGCCAGACTTCTTCCCAGAACAGCGCAGGGTGGTCAACACTCCACTGCCAAAGTTCTTTGTATGAGGAGGTGTGGACGCCATGTTTCTTTGCGACAAGCTGCTGGAAAGCATACAACTGGGTCTGTTCGGGGTGAGGATGTTGCCACAGCTTGACAGTGGCCTCGTGCACGCCGTTCACACCATTTTGAGCCATGACGAACGAATATAGGGAAGAGAGAATCTATCGGCGGTGCACAGTGTACGAGTAGTCGCTGTAGCATCTCCCCCAGAACTTTTTGAAGGTGGGTCCAGGAACGGCTCCGAGCCCTACGGGAGAAAAAATCGCCAAGTGTTGAGCCTCGGAATGAGCGAGGCGAGCAATGCCCGGGTCAACACCATGGTAGCAAACGGAGGCTTTGCCGTATGAGTATTTTGCTTGTGAAAATAGCGCACAGACACATCCATTTTTTCAAGCACACGAGTTAGACGTAGTAGGGATTAGGAAGAATGGGATGAGGTGAAGAATAGTCGTTGATGTGTTATTGTGTATGCGGACAAGGTAGAGTGGTACAGACCACCGGGTACTCGCACAGTACAGAGCATTTTGACATTGCCTGGTACTCGTTCTCCTATTCTCGCGTTGTCGGGTCAATAAATGAGATATTCTGATTCACCAGGAACAATAACAGCGGTTCCTGATCGAGTACATCATTCTGCATGGTTTGTGCGAGTTACTTCCGGGGTCTGTGGCATGATCATGACCTCACCACCATTTTTGCGGTATGGAGTATATGCTTAGTGTAAAATATGTATTGTATGTATGATCTCGCAGGTGCACTATGACCTCTACCACGGATAACGGTAGATACCATTCGCTTCCAGGCGCCTATGGAGTCGACTGTAGGCATTTCTTTAGGCCGTCCAGGGGGGTGTGGCCTAGTGCCAAGGGGCCCATGCTAGGCTAAACCTTTAGCTAGCACGAGGACAGAAGAGTGTGGGCGTTAGGGCCAATGGTGGCCTACGGGTGAAATCTTAGCAGCCCACGGCCCCTATTATTCATTCATCTGGCGCTGATGAAACATGCCCAAAGCAATCTCGGGGAGGCCAAAAAATTCACTCTCTTCAAGTTCTTCATCTCCATCCTCGTAGCTACTGCAGCCAATCTGCGACCAAAATCCACTTCCTCCTCCATCTGTCAGCTTTGAATCCGAAGTCCAACAGCTCGCGTCTTTTTCGTGTCGTGTGCATCTTCTCCCTATCCTAAGACTATCCGTATATTCTCTTCATTCTCTTTTATTCAATCAGCACGGCTCGCCTGGCTGTTCGTAATACTTTTCCAGAAACCTTTGTCCGCTCGTATTCGACGATTGCGGTAACGCCTCCGGCGACGTGCGGGCGCTTCCTGCAAGGGACGCTGGCTTTTTGATCCAACCACAATCTTCTTCTCGCACGGATCAAGGCGGAAGTTGTTCTGTCATCGTCCGCTTTTACCGGCCTTTCCATCCACACCTTGTACTTCTACGCAGCACAATTCCTCAAAAAAATCATTGCGAGCCTTTGCGAGCCTTGGTCTTCTATCTCAGCAGATTCCACTAGCAACGACGCCGACTACATCTTTGTTCGCCACCAAGACCATCGTCTTAGCAGTAGTCGACAAGGCTTCCTGCGAACTCGGTCTTCCTCCTCCTACACCGCCACACTCGTCTTCCCGCGGCTTTGCGACACCGCAGCTGGTAGCTGACGAGTGTTCACCAGCCACCGCAACAGCTGCGCTCTCAAGAGTGCTGGCGACTGGCTTAAGAGGAGGACTTTCTCTGAACATCGCATCTAGTCTTGCACATCTTTTTGGCCATGCCTCGTCGATTGTCGAACTCTCTTTTAAGCAGCTCACCTCCGACCCCCTGGCCGTCCTTTTCCCCCTCCGAAAAGGGCGGCAGCTTCGTCAACAAGACATCGCAAAAAGCAAGCAAAATCGCACAGTTCTTTTCTACCTCGCCTAAGACAAAGGAAGCACAGAGTGCCGCCGCTGCGCTGTTGGCAGCCAGCAAAGCCCAAGAACAGGCGTTCTTGGCCTCAGGTTCTCCTCCGATCAGCACAGCATCTCTCTCATTACCTAGCATTTCCTTATCAACTGCTCGAGCTGATTCTGCCAACATGGACGAACCACCCACCACCCTCTATCAGCCGCCATCTCCGGCTGAGGCCAGGAAACTCGCCAGAGCACATGCCCAGTTTGGCCCTCTCAATTCGCAGTCGCACAGATATACCAGTCAGCATCAGGGTGGCGAGTTTCCTGAACCCATAATGGACGAGCCACCCTACTACTATCTCCTCACGACCTACATTTCCTACCTCATCCTCATAATATTCGGCCATGTCAGAGACTTCTTTGGTATGAAACTGAAAGAGGACAACTACCGACACCTGAAGGCCCGAAATGGCTATGCTGCTCTCAACAGCGATTTCGATAATTTCTATGTCCGACGACTGAAGATGCGTATCAACGATTGTTTCAACAGACCGACCACCGGCGTTCCAGGTCGGTATATCACCTTGCTCGATCGTACCACAGACGACGGCAATCTACACTTCTCCTTGACAGGGACCACGACTGAGACTCTGAATCTGAGCTCTTACAACTACTTGGGTTTTGCACAGTCTGAAGGCCCGTGCGCGGATGCCGCTGAAGAAACTTTGAGGAAATATGGACTGTCGACTTGCAGCACCCGAGCTGATGCAGGCACCTCGGAGCTTGCTATTGAATGCGAGGAGCTGATCGCCGAGTTCGTGGGCAAAGAAGCTGCCATGGTGTTTTCTATGGGTTTTGGCACCAATGCTGGCATCTTTCCCGCACTCGTCGGTAAAGGAGACTTGATCATTTCGGACGAGCTCAACCATGCTTCAATTCGTTTCGGTTCGAGATTGTCCGGCGCCATGGTCACAACCTTCAGGCACAACGACATGACAGATCTCGAGAACAAGCTTCGCGAAGCAATCTCGCAAGGACAGCCTCGTACTCACCGCCCATGGAAGAAGATTCTTGTCGTCGTAGAAGGTCTTTACTCCATGGAAGGCACAATGTGCAACCTTCCAGGCCTGATTAGACTAAAGAAAAGATACAAGTTCAACCTCTTCATTGACGAAGCTCATTCCATTGGCGCGTTGGGTCCTCATGGACGAGGTGTCTGTGACTACTTTGGCATTCCTCCATCAGAGGTCGATGTCCTCATGGGTACTCTTACCAAGTCCTTTGGTGCCAACGGAGGTTACGTTGCTGCTGACAAGGCCATGATCAACAAACTGAGATGCACCAATCCAGGTGTGATCTACGGCGAAGTTCCTCTTCCAGTTGTTCTGACACAAATCATGGCGTCTCTACGACTCATCAATGGCGATATCAGCCCTGGCCAAGGTGAAGAGCGTCTACAGAGAATCGCGTTCAATTCACGGTATCTCCGTCTTGGTCTCAAGCGCCTCGGTTTTATTGTCTATGGTCACGACGACTCGCCCATTATTCCACTCATGCTGTACAACCCTGCCAAGATGCCTGCGTTTTCTCACGAGATGCTCAAGCGCAAGATCTCCGTGGTCGTGGTCGGCTACCCAGCCACTCCCTTGATTTCATCGCGCGCTCGCTTCTGTATATCGGCTGCCCACAACAAGGATGACCTCGACCGCTTCCTGGCTGCATGTGATGAGATTGGCAATGTACTTCAACTCAAGTTTGCAAGCGGCGTTGCTGGGGGTGCTCCTCCGTTGGCCGATGGAGTGAGCTGGGAAATGGACCAGAGTCGCAAGCGATTGGAAAAGCACGACAAGGTGCCCAAGTCGATGGTGCTCGCGCCTCGATGGACGCTGGACGAAGTCATCAAATGTGGTGTCCAGGACGTGAAGCAACCTTTACGATGAGTTGTTCAAAGGCCGGGCTGATGTCCGGCACGTGTTTGTGTACTCTTAATGTGTGAAGACGAAGTCATGCACGGGTGTCAGTCCTGGCAAAGTGTCATTATTTGATTTTTGGGAATTACTGTTGCGCGATAGCCGAAACACAACTGTCGATCGTACAGGAAGTTGTGCCATTACTGGCGCTGGCGAAAGGTGTGATTGGTTTCAAGGGCCTGAAAGAGCTATGGAGTTTTCTCATCAGCGAGTCCAAGATTCACTCAGGAAGAGTGCAGCCAGATCAATATCTAGTAATACTATTATCTGAACATCATCGTATAATCACAATTCTTGCATCTCCCGTACCGTAAGGAGCCGGTCGTTGATCGTGACTGGAGCGCCGGGAGTGAGGCGAAGGGGTCGCTTACCTGCAATGCAGCGTACAACTCACCCCTTTTGCTCCCGCATGCTGCATACTGCACGAATACTTGCATGATGTCTGCCTGTGGTCATGAAGCCTTCGGAGGGGACGGATATGGTGCTACCAGCAAGCCATTGGCGGTGTGCCTGCGTCTGGTGTGCTATACCCGATGTTGGTTGCCAACAGATTGCTGACTACATAGGTATGGAAGTGCATTCGGACCCTCCATCTGGATCTCAGCAAACAACATTGAACGTCACTGCTTCCCATCATTGATGCCGGTCATTTTCTGGCACGGTACACATTGAAAGGAGCGCAAGCCTGAACCTTCTCGTGGTATGGAGCGTTTTTCTGGCTGCTGCGAATGTAAGGGCACAGCTTCAAACCCTGTGCTGCGAAAGCTAAGCATGAACAGTTCGCCTCACCAGATCTTCTGCGAACCGCAGTTATACACTGCTCCAGGCCAAAAGGGCCTAGGGATTGACCTAGTGCATAAAAGGTCGACGTTGATCCGTGATCGTCGACTGGCCGGAAGGTTCCAAGGGCTGATCACGGGTGACGGCCCCAGCACTAGCAGTACAGCGTACATATGTGCATCTCGAACATTGAGTTTTGACTTGAACAGCAAGGATTGGCATACGTGTTCAGCCGTCTCTCCAGAATGTGTATGTGCTGTAATCCGTACTCCGTACTGTAGCTAACCATGGGTACCTTGGTGTTTCTCAGGTCGAGAATCACGTGTGTCCCACCAAAGGAACAAGCCCTCCTCCGCTCTCGTACTCGTACTCGTAAATACAGTACATACTCCATACTCCATACTCCGTATTTCAATCTATCGCAATCTTAGCCGTAAGCAGCCATGTCAGAAAACATTTCGAATCACATTCCATCACTCTGCGAGTATGAGCACACGAACGCGCGCACAATCGTGCCCTTGCGCCCGGTTGCATCATGAAGCGATATCAGTGTGATTTCTGACGCCAAGTCGGTCGCCCATTTGTTCAATCATGCAGCTCCAGTGTTCGCTACTGCAGGCTTGGGGCGGGCAAGGCCCATGCCCTTCGTCTTCCTCCAGACCGCCGTTTCACAGGTCGACCCCGGTTCGACCTGTCATTCCTCTGGATGCCTTCATTCATTCGTCTTGATGCCCCGCAGATACACGCCATCCTTTCACTTCTCTGACTGAGAAGCCAACACTTAGCCCTGGCCAGCACCCGAAGTCTGCGAATCCAACACAGCCCTGGTCGTCAAATACCCTGGTCGGATTGGTGCGTTTGCAGGAAGGCAACCATCGTGGATTTCCTTCGCCAGTTGATCGTACCGAAGCGATGTCCAAAGTCTGACTCAAAACACCAATGACTTGATGATCGCTCCTGGGGACGTGGGTCAAGAGAGCGTTCCCTCTGTTCTGGCAAACTCTCCCACCTCCACGTCGCTATTCTGCCTCAGGATTAGAGCATCAACCCGACAACTACTTGTTTGCTTTCGGTCCATCCATCAACTAACCCATCTATCGCACTTGTACTGCCCCACTAAGCCTCACCAGCCTCACACCCTCTGCTTGGAACTTTTGTCAGACAGACGTCTGCACCACTGCACACGAAGTCTAGACTGTGCCTGGTGATCAACTTATTTGACTCCGCGGGAAGAGGCAATGGAACCATCACCTCCTCCAGATCACCACTTTGCCCCTGTGAACCCTGACCTACACATATTAGACGACGCTTTTGACATCCTTCACGAAGAGCCTGTCCGTTACGAAGAACGGAAGCCGACGGTCCAGCAGCGCATGCCCGCCATGCCACTAGATGACGACGTGCCAGATGTTCGGCCACTCAAGGAACGTACGAAGTCCAGCGAGGTTCTCCCCGATTATGTCTACTACCGTTTGAGGAGAAATGGAGACAATTGGGAAGCGGCTGCAAAGTCCAGAATCATTGCTCCCATTGAAGACATCGAGAAGACTGTTCGCAAGGGAAAAGGAGGAGACGCTCCAATCCTGGACCAGATGAAACGAATGTCTGATACACGACGAGAGATGATCGGAGAACTTGTACATGGCGTGAACAAGAACGAAATGGGAGGTCATCGATTTGAAGTTGCATATATCACTGCGAAGAGGATTCGAAAGCGCAGCGGCAAGGTTGAAGTTCCAGAAATGGACGTCATCCTGACACGGACAAAAGTCAAAGCCAAGGGTAAGAGTAAAGATGTCGGCGAGGAGATTATTCTGAAGGAGTCTAAGAAATCAGGCGACAATGAGAAAGAAAAGAAACACGACGAAGACGGCCATTCCCACTCCCGAAAGGACTCCGTATTGGAACCATTAAAGGACCCCATTGCCAACATGTTGTTATTTGACCCAGATGGACGTCCCAGAGACGAATTTGGCCCGATTAACTTCACAAGCGCGGGCCTTCCGCCTCGGATTCCACAGGAGAGGCCACTTGGTGTCAAACCCGAGGTCAGGAAGGAGGAGAAGAAGCGTGGCAAGAGTCGCAAACGCAGCAAGTCGAGGCAACGCCATGCTGAAGATGGTGTTGTGATGGTCGGCGATGTTGAGGAATTCCATGATGTCGCAGACGCACCTCCTGTCGACGGCTTCTTTGGTGAGGTCAACCCACTTGACAGACGAGGCCGACGGGGCAAATCGCCTTACCCTACTGAACACCCCGAAGTCGTGGGCGGAGAACCTCGAAGGTCTCACTCTCGCCGACGTCCGACGACAGAGAGTCGTCATCATTCTCGCGACAAATCTCGATCTCGACCGAGCTCGATCTACATTCCCAACCAGCATACCAGACAATATTTCCACGAAGACAGCGCCTCTTCACACGGCAGCGACTCGAGCCACTATAGCGTTGTCGAGTATGCCGAGAGCTCAGCGACGTCTCTCACTTCTGGCGGACTCCCTCGACGTGGTAGCCTTGTTCGCCACGAACCTCGTCCTGAGCAAGTGTACAAGATGCACCACCGTGGTCCCACCAGGAGCGCTTCGTACGTGGACAAAACTTACCGCGAAGACGAACGAGTGGTTATTCCTTCCCGCTCACGCAGAGACTCGTCGTACTTGGCCTATGACAATCATCGTCCACCACCACCGGCAGAGGTTCGCTATGAACGTCCACCACCACAACCCCGACTTGTCAGACAGATGACCGTGCCAATTCCAGAGGAGAGGCAGGTCATGTACCACCAGGATGTCGCCCCGATGGTGCGCCGCATGACAACCGAACAAGCTCCCGTGATTCGGTACGCCGTACCTCCCGTCGCTGGGTACCCAGAAGAAGAACGAGATATTTTCTATCGTGACGACTTGGACAGGCGATCATCCAGGGTGGAAGATTATCAACGCGAGAGGGTTCGAGAGGAGTACTACAAGCAGCGAGAGCAAGAATTGGATTCTCGACAGCACGAGTTGGAAATTGCCGAAGCGGATATGAGGAGGCTCAGACTGCAGGAACGCGAGTATCATGATGACAGAGAGAGACGTGAACGAAGACAATCCAAGCCTCTCTACTATGATGAGGAGACGGGGAGATATTTTTATTATGACTAGGAAAGGAACCAAAGATCAGAGACTATGGCAGAATGCATGACAACCAGAAACAGCCGGGTTGATTTTGGGAGGCAGTATTTGTTTGGGGAAGGGTCAAGCAAAGAGGAGGATAAAAGGTACCAACTAACTGAGTTGATGAAAAGATACCAAGCTGGTTGATTGAGCAAGTTGGTTTGTCGAACATTCAGATCCAAGAGCTGGGCTTGTTGGGGTCAAATTGTTGTACTCTTCGTTTCTCTTTTCTTTTCTTTTTTTGCCTTCTTTCTGTCATTTCAGAGATACCCATTTTTACTATGATGTTATCAATTTGATATGCTGAAGGGAGACGGACACTTTTATGTATGCCAAGGAAATGATCTCAGCCCGTAATTGTTTGAAGAATAAGCCAGAGACTGTCATGTCAAAAGGGGTGAATGGTAGGATTTTGGTCGGAATTGGACTACAATCTTCTCATGTCTCCTTTTTCCACTTGTATACCTGTCAATCTGGTAGTAGCACGGCACGCCACACATAGCAAGGGTTGAGAAGAAGGAAGACACCAGTAGGAGTTATTACTTAGTGTATGCAGCGATGCTTATGACATGATAAAATGATAAGTCGATCTAGATTGATCTTTTGTTTCCGGTGCGCTCTTTTTGCTTCGCTTGTTCCCTTTGCCCGAGCAATACTAGAGAGTCCTAACCGGTACTTCCTTTCCTCATCATAGATATCTGTTGTGTACTTGCTATAAAGGCTGTGAGATATTGTGGTTGCCATGAAATTGTGTACTGTATTGCAGTGGTGGCCGTTTTGTTGTTCGCATACTCATAAATGGCAGCCTCGTAATCTGACAAGGCTGAGTTCCCGATTGTTCTCCTTTCACCGTCGTCGCTACCACCAACCACCATTGGCTTCCAATCACCCGCACCTACGCAACATCAGGGCGGCGATTCACTCGCCAACGCAAGCTCCATTCTGACACTGCAGCAGAAAAATAAGGGAAAAAAAAGAATAAAATCCCCAGGAACGTGGTAGGAGTCGAACCTACCACAGATGTTCCTAGCCAAACCCCAACCCAACCCGCAAGGCGCCCACAGGCTCTGCACTCAAAGCAACTTCCTATCTGCAGGGTACACCGTCCGAGGCCGGCAGAGCTTCAGTATGGAACCGGCCTGCCAAAGGTTTGCGAGAGGGTATTGCCACGAGTTCAAGCCGCGCTACCTGTTGGGGTTCCCTGCCAAGAATCGCAGTGATAACGTCGAGCAACTCCTTGCCAGGTGAGGGTCGCCGCAGTTCCCGCCTCACTGAAGAGGCCGGTTCACTGGCTTGTGCACAGGGACAACGTCGAGCCAAACTCGGATGCAAGTGACACCCCTGGGAGAGCTTCGGTGTGACCGTGGCTGAGGTGGATTGAGACTTTTTGGTGCATCGCAGGTTGGGCCAAGGATGGCTGTACTGGGGATTTGAGACAGAATTTCACCTGTTCAATATATCACCGCAAGGATTATTTCGGCGCTGTGAATGAGAATTGGTGGAGCCCCTGAGGGGGGCAGGCAGCACTTGGTGGTGCGGGTGAAGTGAAGTTGGTGGTGAAGACTGGGAACGCGACGCGGCGGCGGAGACGATGCGCGCGACGGCGAGGGCGATGACGACCAAGAAAAACAACGGTGGGACTCGAGAGCGAGGAGAGGCGAGCCACATCAAGGTTTGAGATTGATTTGAGCAAGAAGACAGACACCGTCGTACTGATGGATGAGGTTGAGAATGTGATTGATGAAATCGATATTGTTGGCCATGGTGATGATGCTACAAATACCACTCGTACGCTGTGTAGAGTGTGGCTGTGGGTGGATGCAGAACAATACCAACTTTCGACTGGAGTACACATCGCGAGATGCTCGCTCGGACGGAAGATGCGTACGGGCTGTATCATACTGTGGCAAGAACATGAGCAGAAACAAAATTGGTACAAGGTCGGTTTGAACAACGGAAAGATCAACAAGAGGAGGGACATCACCAAAAGTACTCGTATAGCATTGGATGAGTACCCGTACGAGTAAGTGCCATCAACCCGTTCATGACCTCTTCCTGCTCGGCCTGGCATTCTTTTCCCTTCTCTTCTCCTTGGCCCGCCGCTCCTTGACCATATGGTCAACACTTCTGAGTTCCTTCGCCCCTTTGTTGACGCCCATACCCTCGGCGCGCTCCTTTGCTCCAGCAGCCTTCTTCTTCTGCTTCTCATAGTCCTCACGATATTTGTCAGGAGCTTTGGGCATTTTGTTTGTTTTGTGTTTGAACCGCTTTCCTCCGATGCCACTACCCCCCGGAGTGGAAATATTACCCTCGGCCTCACCGACTCTGGCCACGCGCTGAAGTCGATTTTCCTTCTTCCACTTTTCGAACCGACCGGAGCGGAAGCTTGCAGCAATCTTCGCTCCTGATTCGCCACGGACAAGTCGTTTGCCCTTGCTACCATCGTCGTCATTATCCCGCCGAACGTACTTCTTGTGTCGCTTATCCCAACGCATAATGCTGCGTGCTTCACCGAAAGTCTTACTGGATTCATCCATTGCGAGATCCATGGTTGCGGATCGTGCGGCTTCGGCAAAGTTGGTATTGCTCCCGGAGTGTACACCGTAAGCGCGGTCATCGGAGAGGTTGGTCGATGTTGGAAGGTATGACATGAAATTCTCGGGATCACGGAAAGAGTCGGCTTTGTGATCAATTCGCTGGTTCTGTTTCTTGGTTTGGGGTTGGGAGAAGGTAACTTCTAGCTCATTGGACGAGGCTTCTGACATAGCATCGTCAAAGCCATTCTCAAGTCCATCATCTTCCCACTCTTCTGCTTCAGCATTTGTACTAGGCACGTTCTCATCGTCGGGAACACCGGCTGGTGATTTGACCGCATCCAGAGACTTCTGCTTGCGAGTCTCAAGACCAGATCGAATCTTGCGGATTGCATCGATGGCATCGTCATTGTTCTTGCGGCCACCACGACGAGCACCAATCTCAAAGATAGATTCCTGAGGACGAAAGCCGCCAACTCGAGCCAGCATTTTCTCTCTCTGGGCCTCAAGATCGTCTGACTGGTCGTTGAACAGAGGATGTAGCTCTGACCAAGACTCAGAGGAGACCAACTCTTTTGCCCTCTTCGCGCTCTCGGACGAAGCCGAGTTTCGAGTACGCTGGTATAATTTTTCGCCCTTCATGGCAACAGACCGTAGAGCGGACAAGTCTGAATCATCATCAAGCGATCTGTTAACCCATTCGCACGAGGTTGTTAAGTCATCCCGACGTACACCCCCCACAACCACGTCTGACGCGAAGTTGATATTCTCTTTGATGGCCCTGCCAACCGAAAGCTTGCGACCGAGAAAAAGTTGGAGATCGAGTAGATAAGGAGCATCAGCATCCCGAACAAGACTGTAACTCCAGCCTTTTTGGCCGGCTCTCGCTGTTCGTCCGACCCGATGGACGTAGATCTTTGGTTGGGATGGGAAGTCGTAGTTGATAACGTTGGCCAAAACAGGAATATCAATACCTCGAGCAGCCACATCGGTAACAACGAGAATATTTGTTTGCCCTGTTCGGAATGCATGAACTTGCGTTTTTCGTGCTGTCTGGTCGAGTGAACCATACACGTATGATACTGCATATCCGGCAGAACGGAGAAGGTGTGCTAGGTATTCGACATGGTGTTTGGTGGCTGCGAATACGATAGTTGAGAAAGGGTTGGAATTGGGCAAAACAGCTCCATCTGCATCTTGCCGTTTTCTTTTCTTGCTTGATTTATCTGATTTATCAGTGTCTCCAGTAGTCGAGCTGACCAGTTGAGATTTGGTTGGTACTTTAGCGACCTCTTGAAGTAAATACAGCAGCGCTCCTTCCTTCTCGGACGACTTCAATGTGAAAAAGGCACTTTGTAGGTCGGGAGAAATCTTGCTGTCTGCATCGAGTCTTACAAGCACAGGATCTTGCAGGCCCGCTCGAGCAAATTCGACCAGCGATTTTGGCAGAGTGGCAGAGAACAACAAGGTTTGTCGAGAAGCCGGTAATGCGTGCAGAATTTCTGTCAGTTGTGCTGCAAATCCCATCTCAAACAACCGATCTGCCTCATCAAAGACGACATATCTCATGCTCGACAGATCCAAACCCATCTCGACTTTCAAATGCAGGAAGCGACCTGGAGTGGCGATAATTATGTCTGGATTATTTGACATGGCAGAGAACTGTTCTTCGAGACTGTCTCCTCCAACCAGCAATATTGATCGCAAGTCCGTTCCTCTTCCAAGGTCCTTGACGACTTGTAATGTCTGCAAGGCCAATTCTCTTGATGGAGACAATATCAAAGCCCTTGCACCAACCTTGGTGCTATGAACCTTGAGCCTTTCAATCAGAGGTATTACAAATGCAGCTGTCTTTCCCGAACCTGTTCGTGCCATTCCCACCACATCTTTGTCATTGAGCAATAAAGGAATAGTCTTGCGCTGAATCGGTGTCGGCACAGAGAAGCCTTTTCTGGTAATGGCCTTGAGGAGGTTCGCATTGAGACCCATTGCCTGGAATCCACCGCCCTTCTTCACGGTTCGTCCTTTCAAATTCGTGCCTTTGCGGTTCGATGCAGCCAGCTGAGCGGCGATGATTGCCTCGTCACCAGAGCCTGAATCTTCTCCCATGACATCTAGGTCGGCATCCTGAACTCTTCCATTGTCCTGATCAGACTGACTGGCAGTGGACTCGACATCATCGCCGACCAGTGCAGAGCCAATGTCGAATTCATTCTCGGAGCGAGCAGGTGAGCCCGATCGGCCCTTCATCGTGGCAACCTGTGCCTTTGAATATGTCAAAGAATTAAATCCAGACTAGCAGCTTACAGGGCTCATATTCACCTGATCGTCCTGCGTTCTTGCGTCTGTTGACGGAACCTGAAAATTGCCTGCGCCAAACATAGAATCCCAAAAATTTCTGGGTCACCGCCTTGGGCAGAATAATTGTCTTACATAAGCGAGGGGAATTCGAGAAGCGCGTCGGAAACGCGTCTCATTTTGAGGCTTTATGCAGCCACTTTCAAGTCAACACCACTGACATTTTCAATCAAGAAAAACACTCACAACAATAGGACAAATGGGTAAGACTCACCAGAAAACCATTGTAGATCCTGCTCGCTGACCCCTCGTGCACAGATTACGGCTACAACAATCAGTACACGACCTCCTACGGTGCGAATGGCGGAGCCGACGGTGGCGGTTTTGTCGCAGGAGAACCACAGAGTAGTCCTGCTGCTGGAAGAGTATGTACAATTTCAATCATAGTGGACATGAATTGACTCATGCCGATAGGGAGGCTATGGAAAAGATACTGTCCGACCCATGACGATCAAACAAATTCTCGACTCACAGCAACCTCATCCAGATGCAGACTTTCGAGCAGACGGTGAGCCCTTCGGCCTGGTAAGACGTTTGCCCCCTTGTCTTCCTGATGGCGAATAGATGCTGACTTGGAACGTAGGTCACATTCGTCGGCCAAGTCACAGGCATCAGCACACAGCCAACAAATATCACATACAGAGTCGACGATGGCACTGGCATAATCGAAGTTAAGCAATGGATCGATGCCGAGTCCAGTAAGGAGGACAGAATGGACGGTGTCGAATCTGGCAAACCGAAGCTAGTTGAGAATGGATATTGTCGAGTTTGGGGCAAACTAAAATCATTCAACAACAAACGGCATATCGGTGCGCACGTCATTCGACCCATCACCGACTTCAACGAGATCAATTATCACCTGCTGGAAGCTACTGCGGTGCATCTCTTTTTCACAAGAGGGCCACCTCAGGCAAACCAAACACATGGCCAGCAAACCACGAATGGTGGAGGACAGCAATTCGCAAGCGCGGCGGATGGTGCACTCTCAAGCATCTCACCCTTGGGACGGAAAGTCTTCCAGACACTTAAGAACACCGCACAGAGCAACGAGGGCCTTCATGTGCAGATGATTGCTTCACAGATGGGTATGCCTGTCTCTGAAGTCTACAAGGGCGCAGAGGAGCTGCTAGCGATTGGGATGATCTTCACGACCGTGGATGACAATACCTGGGCAGTTCTAGAAGTATAATGCATTATTTGTCGAGTCTTCAGATCCTCATTGCTTGTGTAACAGAGGTTCTCGACTCGAGACCCAAAGGTTCTGGACTGTGATTGACGACGACTGTACAATAAGGTATGATGATACGAGGGTGTGGAACATTAGGACTGCAACGACTTCCAAGTTTCAGGAATTAATGAATGCAATGTATCAGTTTGATCACAGCCACAATCTTTAATCTACTATTGTGAGTACAGCTTGCAGATGGACAAGGCCGACGTGGGACAATGCTGGCATTCCCCACGCAATATGAGAACTCCGTCCCCACAATTTGAATGCCCTCTCCTATGGAGTCCCCGTATAGGTGCCCATTGAGCCTAAAATACATACGGGGCATTAGATGTCCATCAGTGGAACACAGGCCGGTACATCAAAAGGTTCTGGATGGGCGAAATGATGATTACCCATTCGAGTAGAGGTACTGTGTCCTCAACAGTAAAGTCTATGTAAGTCTATGCGGACAGAATGAATCTATTTTAGATCTTCTTTCGCGGCTTCAGGTGTATGTTTCTAGGTGTTCAAGCCTTTTTTCGGCTAAAGATGTCTTCAAACCACTCACAGACTCTTTACTTCACTTCACTCAACAGTCGCCTGGCCGAGCGATCTGACGTCCTCGAGGCGTGTACTTCTTTGTTGAGGCCACTCTTGCCTTTCTTTTCTCCTGCACGAACCAGACTTCGGCTTGGGGCGACGGCAACCCGCTACGATGAGGCAGGCGCCCAGCTCGAAGGCTTCACGAGACCCATGTGGGGGTTGGCCGCTTTGCTCGCCGGAGGTGACGACTTTCAGGAGGGAACGGGACTTTGGCTGGAAGGGTTGAGGAATGGGACGAACCCTGATCACCCGGAGTTCTGGGGCTGGTCAAAGGACATGGACCAACGCATGGTCGAAATGTGCCCACTGGGGTTTGCATTGTGCGTTGCCCCCAAGCAATTTTGGGACCCATTAGCGGACAAAGAACGATTGAACGTCCAGCGGTGGCTCGACATCAACAGGAAAGAAATGCCAAACACCAATTGGTTGTGGTTCCGGGTTTTTGCCAATCTTGCATTGATGAAGAACGGTGCAACATATGATGCCCAACGCCTGGAAGCAGATCTTGATCATCTCGACACATTCTACCGTGGAGACGGTTGGTCGAACGATGGACCCGAAGATACACTCCAGATGGACTACTATTCTGGATCTTACGCTATACAATACCTCCAACTGCTGTATGCGAAGATCAACGGCGACGAAGACAGGAAGCGCGCCGAAGAGTACAAGGCACGGGCAAGACGGTATGCGAGGGATTTTGTACACTACTTTGACGAACAAGGTATATGGACTCTCATCTCTATGCATCGATCAGGACTAAACCAATGAATGCAGGTCGAGCCATCACTTTTGGTCGGTCCTTGACGTATCGCTTTGCCATGGCCGGCTTCTGGGCAGCTGTGGCATTCGCCGGCCTCGAGCTTGAACCTCCTCTGACCTGGGGAGTTGTCAAAGGACTTTTACTTCGCAACCTTAGATATTGGTCTCTACAGCGAGACATCCTAGCGACAACAGGGACTTTCAACATTGGCTACACCTACCCCAACCAGTTCATGTCCGAGAATTACAACTCTCACGGGTCCACTTATTGGTTCATGTTGAGCTTTGCTTGCCTGGCAGTCCCAGAGTCGCATCCGTTCTGGACCAGCAAGGAGGAGCCGTTCCCTTCTCCTTCGATACCAGAAATTGTGCCGTTGAAACACCCTCGTCATATCATGATCAGACGTGGAGGGCACACTTTCCTCCTCTCCTCGGGGCAAATGTGTCACTATCCCATGAGGGCCTCGGAGTCAAAATATGGAAAGTTTGCGTATTCTTCTGCCTTTGGATATTCGGTGCCAACCGGTGGTTATTTTGTCGAGGCCATCGGAGGAGACAATACGATAGCACTATCTGATGACGCCGGGGAGACATGGAGGGTCCGGAAAAAGCCTATAAACGCAAGGCTAGAGATTATGGAGGACAATTATCCGGTGTTGATCTCTTCCTGGGAACCGTGGCGAGATGTATCGATAGAGACCTACTTGCTTCCTCCCACCGAAGAAGCACCTAATTGGCACCTCCGCGTTCATCATGTTTCGATGGGCAACCGGGCGGTCAAGACGAGTGAAGGTGCTTTTAGCTTACATGGAGTGGCGCAGAAAGATGAGCGAGATTTATCCCATTTGGTGAGTGACCAGGACAACAACAGCAACAACAACACCGAGGGCAAGAGAGAAGCTGTAGGGGAAGCTTTGGCCATGTCCAGAGGTGGTGTGGTGGGAATCGTCGAAATGCATCATAATCAGGGTGGTCGTCTAGGTCGCGTGCTGGACGAAGATGCGAACAGCAATTTGACCGAGAGCAGGTCTGTGTTGCCTAGTCTGGCCATGGACCTCGAGGCCAACGCAGACGTATGGCTAGCCACAGCGGTCTTTGCCATGCCTAACACCGTACAGGGATATCAGCAGAAGTGGCAGGCACAGTGGGACAGGCGACCTCGCATCCCTGTGTGGGTCAGGCAGCGAATGAGTTAGTACAAAGAACTTGTCGTTACACACGGCAATTTACCACGGTCACTTGAATCACATAGAACCGCAACAGGCTCATCGAAACCTTGGTGAAAGTGTCATATGACAAGATGGCGAGTGATGCTGTGAGCAATCTCACCGTTGGCCGTCGGACAATCAAGGACAATCAAGGACACTCGGTATATGATTTCACCGAAGGTCCTACAGGTGTCTCTCAACGTCGGTTATCATGTGCGTGTAATCTCACTCTCCATTTCGTCTGGGATTTAGCCGGCCGCAGAAAGTCATTTGCCGTAACCCCCCATTTCGTGCCTATCCAGCTTGTCAGGTTGCCGATGAAGTCCTCCGTACAGCGTTATGCCCTCTTTCTGCCGGCCTTGGCAAGAATCCACGAGCCCAAATAGGAAGGAAGGTGGTCCCTACTTAACACGACAACATGCCTTCGGCATATGGACTCATCAAAGCAGAACGGCAGGTCAGCAACATCTAAGCTTACTCTACAAACGTAATGACTAGACGACCTTGTTTTAACTCTCACACACCAAAGGGTTTTCAGCCTGAAAAGTCCGGCCCAATCTGGAGATTGAATGCGCCATCCCCACAACCTCAATGAATGACAGTGACAATTCTTGAGTCGTGGAAGAACGTTGTACTTCATAGTAAGTTGAACTACGCCAGCAACGCTTGTCAAGTCTTCGTATATCTTGATACATATATTTTTCGCGGGTACGGTCGGTCGAATGATGGAGTCAAAAGATGTATATATCTAAATATCCAGGATGAAATCAAATAGACGACTCTGTTCATGCCTTGTTTGTCTCATTGACCGAACCCATGTACGCCTTGATCCGTCACTCCAATCGACGGTTTTGTTCACTCCATTCAAGTGGAAGTGATTCTTGTAGAGTTTTTGCATATGCGACGTGAAGTTTCCGTCAAAACTCGCCGATGCTGCCAGGATCACGGGGAGCACACTGCGGACCAATTCTCGCAGGGGTTCTAACTGCCGGGCATCCAAAGCTCAATCTTCAATCCGGAATTTCGAAATGGTCGTTACCTGGGAGGTGAACCTCCACACTGCCGCCAAGATCAATAGTATTAGAGTGATGAGCAAGTGTCAAGTGCCGACATACACAGAGAACGGTGCTTGAAGAGTTGAACATCTATATCCATGCCCGTTCGCAGAGAGTATTGACGCTGTTTGATGAATTCCTGTTCAGCTGAAGGTATGAAATTTTGGAGCGTTTCGTGCGGATTTATAGAGGCGGATTGTCGTAAGATTAACTGTGTTTCTGGTTGCATTCTGGAATGATATTAGATCAGTGTCTTGCTGATTGGATCAATGTTAGTTGCGAATCGATACGACCAAAAACAGACAAATACTTACTTGTTCCTGACACGGTGAGTTGCATCGTCATGTCTTTCTATTTTCCATCAGCATACAATCGTAACAGGCAGCAGGGAAAGGACTTACTCGCATTGAGTGAACAATTGGCAGCGCGTTGTCCCCAGTGGCAACTTGCACAAGCTAATACACAATGTTACGACTCGTTACAGCAAAAGACGAAGAAAACTTACCACCGTTAAGCTCACCGGCAACACTTTTACAGACTGTAAAGGGACCTTGGGAGGCGCCACAAGGAATGCATTCTATTACGATTATTTACGCCGAGTTTCGAGGAGAAACACTCACCTTTCTTATTAACCTTTCCAACTTGCTGCATCAGGTATGCCTCAGCATACCCAGCGACTATGTTTTAACACGCAGGTACACTTTTGGATACCAGGTTTGGCGCTGCTGGGTCGCAAGAGCTACGACCCAACTTACACTGTCTGATTGTTTTGGAAGAGTACGGCTCTGGTGTGCGTAGAAGTCGAGTTGTTGCAGCAAGCAACTTCCATTGTAGACTTCTCTCAAACGTATCCAAGGTCTTGTCGAATTGCAGTGCGAGAAATCTCCTGTTGATACTCAATCTTGGCCATTTTTCTGTTGAGGAGATTCATGTGAAGTAGCCATCTTCGGTGGAGAAATTGATGCCGATTTCTTCTTTCTTTTTCGCCTACTTCTTCTTCGCTTTCCACGCTGTCTCGAGTTTTCCATGCTTATGCGTACATGATTCCCGGTGTATTATATATAAGGTCGGAACAATGCATTCAGGAGTACAACCTGGACAACTGACTAAGAAGATGGAAGTTTGCGATTCTTTAGCGCAAGGTTGGAGCTCACCATCGACTTCATCTGAGTTACGAGCGCTCCTTCGAAGGGTTTTGGTGTCCTGAATTTGTGTCTCAAGGCCTAGCCACTCCACCGCTCTGTGCCCATTTGCTGAAGTCTTCTCGGAGGATGCAGTTTAGGAAGACCCAACAATCTTCTGGCTTGAGGATTTTGTACTTCTGCACGTACTCAGCAAAAATAGGATCCTTTTCCAAGGCGCCCTGACCAAGAACCTTACCTTTCGTTGCGGCTGTCGTCTGTAATGGATAGGTGTGTAGGTCGTCCTTGATATTCTGCTTCATCTTAGTAGAGTAACATTTCGGGGGTGCTGAATTTGGGAAGGCGAAGTACCATGAAGAAACTGGCTCTCTTTGAAAGGGTGACGAGGCTCCATTTCAAATTCTTGAAAACACCCGTTCTTCGCATTTCCAGCAAGAGGTCCAATCACTTATTCGTAGACTTCCCTTGTGGTCCAAGGGTCAAGGATGCTGTGTGTCTTTTGTCTTCCTTTCATTACACAGCGCTTTCAAACTCTTCTCTGCTTGATCGATCTGCTCTCTCTGATCCCACACAGTTATATAAAATTGATGTTTTGGTCAAAGGAGCCAATGATCGTCCATGCCTTTAATAACTCTCGTGATGATATAGTCCTCAATGACTTCTAGCTCATCAAATTGTTCTCTTTCCTCGTCTAGAGAAGAAAATTCCTCAGCCTGAGAAATGGCCCCGGCATTGTCTCTCTCCTGTTCAATAGTTTGCTTCAATAGATGATTATCATCGATATTGTCGGATTCGACAAGTATACCACCATCAAGGGCACTGGGTCAATTGAGAAGTCCGCAGGATCATATTCAGAGAACTGTTGTACAGGAAGATCAATGCGAGACGAATGATGAGCTTCTTGCTTCTTGTCTCTTCGAATAGTGGCTGTCTGTAGCTGGAGGCAACATATCTTTAACCTGCTCTGGCCACTATTCACACTCTTTCTTCAGTGCATGCCATCTGAATGACATAATTGTTGGCAGGAATCAGTAGTAGCGGCGGCCATGTTTGAGGATGGAGTTCTTCTTGATGGAGCTATACATAAAGCATAGAGCAAGGATATTTAATCTTCATTCGGCGCAGGGCGAGACTTTGCATGGGGCAATTATTACTCCCATCGTCAGGATCACGGATAGATCAATGGGAAGGGACAAGCATAGCAGGGAACAAGAACTCAGCTGGAAAGGTGTCTCGATAAAAATACCGGATATGGGGAGGCAAGATGGTTGTAGCTTGTTGCGGCGAGACACCTCGGACTTATAGGAAGCCACATGAGTGAAGGATGACAGCTTTGAGACAATGTGCCATATTCAAACGCTGTCAGTTCAAGAAAGAGACGTACAATTTCTGTGTTGAATGTGCGACGTGAAAGCGAAACTGTGATTGACAACAGATCATATTCCTGGACTTACATACAGTATTCACTGTTGGTGACACACACTCAGCACTGCGATTTGAGATAGTGCATGTATGGCACCATAGTCCAACTCCTGAAACATACATACCTCAATTATCGAGGTCATTTCTTGCACCCCATCTGATTCATTTTCCGCGGGTGACATCGTAGAATAGAGGTTCTGAATGTTCATCTGTCAGTACCTAGGTATGTAGGTATCCACTGCTTATTGGTAGTAAACAAAGGTTTTTAGCCTGAAAAGTTTAGCCTAATGAATGCTACATTCTCATGGCCTCCTGCAAGTCAGTCTTGAGTCGTGAGGGAACGTTACAACAAAGCGAAGTAGATCAGCAATGCCTGTCAAGTCTTTGAATATCTTAACTCTTTAGGGGTGGAGCGGCAATGTATGGCCGATCGCTATTCGACACATGAGCAGAATCCTGCCCCGCCCCACCGACTTGCGATTCCATCTTCAACATGGGTCATTCCATCGCGCCATAACGCGGAGTCCCCAGTATGGGCCCCAAACGTGTTGATCTGCTGGAGTTCAGCCAGGAAGCTCGACTGACCTGAGGCCACTCGCCTGAATGCCACAGCTCGACAGCATGCGACTACCACGATAAAGCCTGGAGATGCTCCAGGTATATATCTAACTCTGTTGAACCCTTGTTTGGAATTTTGGCTTGTGGCAACTTGCTCTTCTCTTTTGGACGCTTCTCACCACATCTGCCAGAATGAGTCTCATCAGGAGAGTTGTTCATAATGATGCCATCAAGCTCGACCCTCCGGAGGTGTATAACTGGAGGGTGTTTGCACTTGCAAGTGCAGCATGCTTTGGTGGAACACTCTTCGGCATGGACATCGGAATTATAGGTGGCGTTTTGACGCTTCCTGACTTCAAAAAGTAACGGCGAGTCGACGTATGTTGATATCGATCGAATCTGACACCTTGTTTCTAGAGAATTCGGTCTCAGCGACATCAGCAAATCCGCAGCCTCCAATCTATCGGCTAACCTTGTCAGCGTCATGGTAAGTCCTTATGGAAGCGGAACTAGTGCTCAAGCGTTGCAGAAGGCTGACGGTGGTTCAACAGCAAGCTGGTGCGATTGTGGGTGCTCTGGTTGCCAACCCTTTGGCTGACTGGATTGGGCGGAAGAAGAGCATACTCTTCATTTCAGTGTTCGCATTCATTGGAGGTCTACTCCAGGCCCTCTCTTATGGCAGTCTAGTGTGCTTCTATATTGGGAGGTGCGTTGCTGAACAAGTTCCATCATCGGACCCTGTGAGCTGATAAGAACAGATTCGTTGAAGGCATCGGCCTTGGTGGTGCTACCATGCTGGCTCCTACATATGTAGCTGAAAACGCGCCTCGTGGTATTCGTGGTCTTTTGGTTGGCTTCTATCAGCTCTTTGAAACGATGGGAGCAATGGTAGCATTCTTCATCAACTATGGCTCCTTGTTGCACTTCAAGGGCCACGCTACATGGATTGTTCCACTGTCCATGCAATCATTGCCCGCACTTTTGCTATTTGTGGCGATTTTGTTCTGTCCAGAAAGCCCTCGATGGCTTGCGTCCAAGGATAACTGGGACAAGGCGTCCAGTATTCTGTCAAGTGTCCGCAAACTTCCTCCAACCCACCCATACGTCCAGGCCGAGCTGTTGGAAATGAAGACTCAATTGGATGCCGAGCGAGGTCGAGCGGGAGGAAACAGCTACTGGGCATTGACAAAGGAAGCGTGGACGATTGCTGGTAATCGACGACGCTGCATCATGGTCATTGTTCTGATGATCGCTCAGCAAATGACAGTAAGTGGCTTTAACAGTCTCGCTTGCTGCTGCGGAGATCAGATTTGCTTACGCTCTACCAGGGGACCAACGCGATCAATTACTACGCACCTGTAATTTTCGAGTCGTTGGGGATTCACAGTAATGAGAACAGCCTCTTCGCGACAGGCGTGTATGGTATTGTTAAGATGGCTTCGTGCGCCATCTTCATCGTTTTCCTTGCCGACACACTTGGACGAAGATGGTCATTTGTGTGGACCGGCTTCTTCATGTGGTTCTGCATGTTTTACTTGGGCTTCTATGTGCGCTTTGACCCTCCTGCAGAGGATGCCCCGGTTTCCAGCGCGGGATATGCTGCTCTCGTATTTGTGTATCTGTTTGCTGCGGCATTCCAGTTTGGCTGGGGTGAGTGCATCAAAAGGGGCTGTTGGGCTAATTTGTAGCACTGGCTAACAGATATTAGGACCTTGCTGTTGGATATACAGTTCCGAGATATCTACCCAGCGACTCAGAGGATTGACTGTCTCGTACGCCGCAGCGACGCAATGGGTCTTCAACTTGGTGGTTGCTAGGTCGACCCCTGTCATGCTCGACACTGTTGGGTCACACGGGTACGGCACATACTTCATTTATGGTTCATTCTGTTTCGCGATTGCTGTTGGAGCCTATTACCTCGTGCCGGAGACCAAAGGCGTATGTGACAAGCTCTATACCCCTCCCAAAGACCTTTGGAGCTAACTGAGATTCTAGGTTTCCCTCGAACGAATGGACGAGCTTTTTGGCGTGACTGATTTCAGTGGCGTTGAGGACGTCGGCCACGCAGCTCAACATGCCAAAGGCGACATCGAAACCGTTCATCTTGAAGGGGAAGTCAAATGAAGCAGCCTATGAATTACTCAAGTCTCGAAGTCATGCAAGGATCTCATAGTGGTAAGGATGGTCGCGGCATGTGGTTGTCCAATGAATTCCGCATGAGCAACGACTTGGCCATGCTAGGCACCGGACCAGGGAGCATTCTTCCAGGCGTGCAAGCTTTTCGCTGCGTTGCCCATTCTTGAGGTCGAACAGTTATTGTCGTGAATATAGAGACCGATACGGAGTTCCAGGCAAGACACATTTCACCACTCACGCCGCCAATTCAAATGCCAGGGATTGCCTGGCGATACGCAAGGCTGAAGGAGAACGGGGGGCAGCATGTTCAACCACTGTAGATATCCACCGTGGGACTGTCGGGACCCCGTAATGATCCCGCAAGCCGAAGCTATAAGAATCCACCAATCTAACATCTTCCTTCTCTCCCTCTTGACTTGTGTGAGCAGCCATCATCAACCATGTCTAACCCTCATCCAGAATGTCGACGCGTATGACTCCCACAGATGACTCCCGACCGTCGTCCCACGTCTCTCTTCGGCCAACTTCCGCCTCCCACTGGGCGAATGCAGTGTCCCTTCTCTTGCAGCATCAATTTGATTGAATGGACTTGTCCGGCTTCCCTCATCTGAATTCTTTCCGGTATCCGGCAGCCAGTAGCGTGGGAAACAGATCGATCTACTGTGATTGTATGGTTTGCTGACACTTGTACGTGTCGACATATGTCGTCCGACATTAAACTTGGCCATTTCTGTCTTGACAAGTGGCTCCTTGGACTTCTTTTTTAGGTGGACCAATTGATAAACCTGGTTTCCCCTTCACTTATCCTCTTCATCGATTTGCAAATCCGAGATAATCAGAGACACACAGCAGCGAACAAGCTCACCCCTGTTGACATCGGCCGCATTTCGAATCTGAAGATTGTGACTGCTGACGCTTATTGCTCATCATCGATCCCGCATCGCTCATCATCAGTGGTGACCGTCTTGAACGGCTTTGTGCCACGGATCGTGTTAAAACGAGCAAACCAGCATATGTCCATCTGGCTCTCGATTTCTGTCCCTTGGGGTTTTTCTGTCCTTTGGAAAACTAACTCGACTGGACCATACGCTGATGTCGGTTGATCTACGTGCATCTCGTACCTGTCTGCGTTTCCCGTCTCGAGTCGTCACCGTCTCGAGGGCCCAGCTATCTTCAGTTCACACTGGAGATCTCACTAGACCTATTGATAGAGGTTGAGTCAGAAAGAAAATCAAACAGTAGGTGATACCAGTATGTTTGTGCGTTTCACTAAAAGTCGATCAAAAGGACACATCATATCAAGAGAAACAAGAGGCTGCTAAAATAAAAAGACCAGCTATTCAACATGGCTCTTGCTTCCAGTGCCACTATCCCTGTTCTCGATGCCGCTCTCGTGCACGAGAAACTGGAAAGCATCGACAAGAACTCCTCAACCACCACGACGAACCTCGACGGAGTCCGCATCGTCGCTCCACACGAGTACAAAGAGGCCGCAGCATGTCTTGCTGAAGCATTTCGCTTTGACAATATCGTCCGCTATGCTATCGACACCCCCGATCGCGAGCATTTGACTCAAGAGGAGAGGTTCGAGATGCACAAAGCTGTCATGGAATATGTCACTTATGCCCATTGTCTCAACGGCTTAGTCTTGACCGCCGGAGAAAACTACGACTGTGTCGCTCTGTGGCTTCCCCCCGGAAAGAACATTGACGACTGGGTGACGGTCATTCGAAGCGGAATGTGGCGGCTTAGCTACAAGTTGTCCAAGGAAGGCAAGATTCGTTTCTTCGATGAGTTTCTGCCGTTGCTGCACGATACTAAGCAGGAGATCCTGGGTGAGAGAGATGATCAGTCTTGGTATCTCAACTACGTGGGAACGAGACCTGAGGCTCGTGGCAAAGGTTATGCCAGAAAGGTGATCGAGTATGTTTCGAAGCTGGTAGGTTTCTTGCATCATTACGCGGCATGACGAGATGAGCTGACAGGGCTACAGGCTGATGGTCATGGCCTCCCATGCTACCTCGAGAGTTCTCACGACATCAATATCATCATCTACGGTAAGCTTGGGTTCGAGCTCAGGAAACAAATCTTCTTGACCAGGGCGCCTGGCAAAGAACTTCGGCTGGATGTCATGGTAAGGGAGCCTGTTGGCCGTGAGAAGAATGAAGATACAGCTGCATCAAAGGCCAAGTGACAAGAGATGGTTGCTTTGGCAGCATAGGAGTCCCAGGGTCTGATATGGCTTAATGCAAGGAAACACAGAATGATCACCAAGGTATCCACGTCTTTCTTTACACGCTCTTTTGAAGAAAATAGTTTTTGAGAATGGATGGATGATCACTACGATTGTGTTTTTTTATACAGTCTATCATCAGTGGTCCAGCTTTGACCCCAGTATACTTGTCGTTGTAGACAGACCTGCTTCGAAGTAATGAAAGTGCAGAGTGTTTACTGCATTCCGTAGGCGATGCCCATTGGTATAATTCATTAGTGGCCACTAGATAATGAAATAGGCATGTTGGACGAGGCTGTCACCGGCGCCAGCCGCGTGGAAGAACGAGGCTTAGGCCTCACCAAACGTCACCTTTTCACCTACAATCGACTCAAGGGTCCTTAAGCCACACGCGTTTCAGGTAGATCAATATCCCTACTTTGAACCTTTACAGTACGACACCTGCATTCTTCCAATGTCATCCCTGGCCGAACCGCTTGCACAAAAGTCTTGGATCTAAACTTGACATCGTTTTGCATAGTCTTATTTGAGCGACTTCTGTTCTTTGTCCTCAGGCCCCCGTCTTCTCGCAAGTTCTCGACCCCGACGACTTGTAGTGATTCAGGCACGATGCCATCTTCGAGATGACATGCCGCAAGCGCCAATGAACTCGACCGCCTAACCCTCGACCTCCCTTCTGTGTGATAAATCACAACGCCCTCTCCAGACATCACCGATGCCTAGCTACTCGAGTCCCTCTCCTTCTCCTCCCCCGACCGGTCGACGTCGCCGACTACGATCATGCGCGGACAAATGTGAGCGAGGATGCTGGACGTTGGCCACCTTCTTCCCACTCGCCTTTGTATACAGTCTTTCGACATGGGCGGTCTGGGTCGTCTCGTCTATAGGATTTGGCTCCCACCGATCTAAACATGTGTGGTGGTCGATACAATTCATCTCGCTCCTCGGCATCCTATTGTACTCCCTGGCGAATCTCTCATACACGGTCGCAGTCTTTACGGACCCAGGATCCCCGTTGAACCCTCCAAAAGGCTCGTCCAGGCGAAAGGGCGCATACTCTGTCCTTCCGACCCGCGAGCGGTCCACAGACCTCGAAGGGGTCCAAAACATCACAGTCTCTTCGACAGGGGCGCCGCGGTACTGCAAGAAATGCCACGTCCCCAAACCAGACCGGACGCACCATTGCTCGACGTGTAAGCGGTGCGTCTTGAAGATGGACCACCACTGTCCGTGGCTGTCCACATGCCTAGGTCTACATAACTACAAAGCATTTGTCTTGTTCCTGATATACATTTCTTTATTCAGTTGGGTGTGCTTCGCCAACTCCGCATGGTGGATGTGGAAGGAGCTTTTCGAGGAGAGCGGATACCTCGAAGAAATCGCGCCGGTCAATATAATCCTCCTCGCAGTGGTCTCGGGAATAATAGGCCTGGTGTTGACCGGCTTCACAACCTGGCACATATACCTCTGCGCAAAGGGGCAGACGACGATTGAAAAACTAGAAAAGACGAGGTATCTAAGTGGTGTCCGAAGCCGAGTGGAGCGGAATAGACAAGAACATCAACTGAATTCCCATAGACGAGGGTCCGAAGGGGTCGCCGAACGATTACAACGAGCAGGAGAGCAGATTCTCGAGTTTCACGCAAACGCTGTACCGGGGGCGTCACGGTACGAAGAGGGCGAGGAACACACGTCGCCCGTGCCGAGTATTTACAATCAGAACTCCCATCCGAATAGCAACGACTATCACCACCCTCGACATCCGTATTCTAATTCTCAATTTCAAGATCCGGTGGGAGATGTTAATTCCAACGGGGACACTCCTGCCCTGCGCGCCTTGCGCAGGACGTATAGCAACATCGAAGCCGAGCGCGAACGAGAACGGTACGATGAATATATGGACGACTTTGAAGCCGAAGGGATGCCAAATGCGTTCGACCTTGGCTGGCGACGAAACCTGACACACTTGTTCGGTCCAACCGTTTTGCTGTGGTGGTTGCCAGTGTGCAATACCACCGGTGACGGGTGGCAGTGGGAAGTCAGCGAGAAGTGGCAACTGGCGCAAGAGGAGGCGGCGCGACGCAAAGAACGAAGGATCGAGGAGATGATGAGCAGTCAACAGAGGGGTGTTGGCGCGGGGGTCGTTGGCATGCGCGGTGGTGGCGGCGGTGGAGGTTTTGCCGGGTATGAGCGAGACCGCGAGAGAGACGGCAACAATAATAGCAATGGATATTATGATGGCCACGACGGGTACGGCGGAAGTATGCAGAGCGCCATGAGTATGAAATCTTTGGCGGCTCGACAACACCAGCAACATCGTCAGCATCATCAACAGCAACAACACAGAGGGAGACAGAGGACCGATTTCGACCGTGGGGAGAATGGACAAGTCGAAAGGTTCCAGGTTAGTAGTGACGGTGAGAGTGACCATGATGACAGCAGCGACGACTCGGACTCGGATTCGGATTCCGATGATGTTGGGTATAACAGTAACGAAAATGATGCTGAAAGGGGTTGGAACACGAGAAGGAATCGTCGGCCCGGGAGGTCGAGGAAGAGATATGGTAGATGATAGCTATAGACAATAGCCGATTGTATACTCTGTACATCAGTATCTCTTTTGGGTCTTCTTCATTAACTACTCGTATCGCAAGGGTAATTTCGACACATCAAGGTATACTCTGCTTTGACGTTCCTCAACATTGTATGGAACTATATAGAAGTACGATGGTCTATTCTTCCCCTGTCGGAACGTTTGCTTACGCTCTAGAAGTACTCAATCCATCCCATTCGATGACATTAGGTGTCGTGTCTTTCGTTATATAGTGTTTTACTATGTCTCATCTTCTCTCTCCATTTTCGTTACTCTCGCTTCGCTCGGCCGCTCACTCCATCCACGTACTCCGTACAACGGATAGAGTAGAGACGTCTAGATCATTCTCTCCGCCCTTGATTTTCTTCCCTCCAAGCCATGATCGAGCGAGTGCCGACTGTTTACGCATGTATAAATACACACACGGCATACATGGTTCAGTCATTCGCGTTGGAGGTAAAAGTCATCGACTCCTCCTCCGAACCCCATACCACCGCCGTTGGTGCCGGCAGGGTAGAAGATCTTCTTGAGGACCATGAGACACAAGGCGACAAAGATACCCGCGATGGCCCGGTCGATCGTGATGCTCTCTCTCGCCCTGTCTCGCTGGAGGATCAACGGCGCAGCCGCCCCCATGTTTGAGTTCTGGAGAGCCGCATTCGCGGCGGCCAAAGGAGGTGCGTGGATTCCACCGGACATGAGGGATATGCTCGGTCGATGCAGCCTGGAGGAGGAGGAGGAGGAGGAAGGAGAGGAAAAGTCGGAGGGTGTGAGGACCGCTTCGGCGGACGCTTGTGCCGCTTCGGCCGAGGGAGTAGGTATCATGCGTGGTGGTGGCGGAGAGGCCGGTGGAGGGTGTAGGTTTGTTGTGTCGTCGTTGCTCTTGTCTGGGCGGGACTGTTGAGATTGCCGGACTGTTGATGTGTTCTGTGTTTGCGCAAGTGAATCTACACTGGTCCTCGTATTCGCACTTGTGCTGAATTCGGGCTCAGCGTGTGCTGGCGGCGTTCGTATTGACGGTGATGTCGGCATCTGAGTCTGTCGAGCATTGGACGTGGCATCATCTCCGGTGCTCTCTGCTTTGGCCTTTCCATTGTCCTTGCTTTCTGATGCTAATTGACTCTCTTGTTGACCTGAAGCCGCCGCCGTGGACGATTTCTTCTTGTCCTCTGGACTGCGCGTTTCTAGGTTCATGCCTTCTGGTAGTGATTCCAGTCGCACGCCTTCCTCCTCTTGTACATTGACACCACTCTGCCTACAGACCTCCCACCACTCCCTCATTATGGCCTCATTACTTTTCCTGCACGCCTCACACCTCCAACCTCTCGACTCTCGCGCCAGTCTCTTCCTGACGTCGACACTGGCTTCCAGACCGCCGACTTGTCCCGCGGTACCCTTCTCTGCCATGAAACTCCTCAGCGCCGTCAGGGCCGTCCGCACCCCCCAGGCGGGCATCCATGTCTCCTCGTGGAACCCGGAAATGCTCAGGCAGATCTCACGGTTGACCTCGAAGCGACCCGACGGCGTCAGGAACCGGAAATTCGGCGGTTTGAGCGGGTAGGTCGGAGGTAGCGTGATGCGTCCGTGGTACATGCCACCCTCATAAGGAGAAGGGGAGGGCGGCCCCAGCAGTGTAAAGTGCCACTCGTGAAGGTCGGCGTCCGAGACTGGAGCGGCGTAAAAGGCAGGGTTGGGGTTGGAGGAAGGAGAGGAGAGTTCGGCCGTCTCCTTGAGGAGTCGCCGCATCGTAGGAGAGGGTGCCATAGTCTGTGTAGAAATTGTACTCGTAGGGTTTTGTATTTGCGCCCGCTGGAGTGACTACGACTACAAGGATAGCCCGCAGTCTATTGGGGGTCGAATGAGGTCATCGGAACCCCGGTGCGTGGGTTCTGACAGGCGACAGTTTATGTGTTTGATGATGCTGGTATACGAATCGAGAAGAGGGTATAAGCTTAGGAATTCGAACACTGGGAATGATCAAGGCACGAGACACTATCGAGAGAATTGGGAATAATGGAAGATGACAGGGTATATAGAATGCGAGGCTGCGATTTGCTCTCTTTTGGTGGTGGGTTTGCACATTACGACGCTAAGTCGACATACTATTTTAAAACTCTTGTCCCTTTTGTTTTTTGGTATATAGAGCACTCCGTATAGATTACGAAAACACCAACCACTTACGAGATGCATATTCCACGATCCATGAAGATTATTATAGCAAAACTTATACTTTTGAGAAATTTGGTGATAAAAATATAATTGAACATTAAGCCAAGTTATTGCTATCTCTGTGCAATTGATGTCGCTATATTGAATGCATCTGTAAATCAATTTCTTATTGCCTCGCCGAAGAATTCCACATTTGATAGTATACAGAGGAGAGTAATCAAAACAACGGCCGTCGCAATTTCAATAGGAAAGGTAGAAAGTTCATTAGCCAGAAATTCCCGCTGGCTGTCTTGGACCACTTGGTCCATTCTTTCTCGCTCAAATAAAGGAAAGTCGTTATAAGGAGAAAACCAAAAGTCTTGTATCTGTAAGCGCACAAGGTATCAAATCGAGAAGATTAGGTAAGTTTATGTGTGTTGTGAGGAGGGGGAGGTATACTGTTGCTTGTGTCGCGTATGTGTCTGCCTCGATTAGAGGTGCGAAGTGATTTCTGGGCTTGGTCGTGTGCCCAAGACAAGACATCTGGAATTAAATGATAGAGTCGAGAAAGAAAATATATCGAATATACCGCGCGTGCGCCGTTTTCGATGCCGAAGGCCCACAATTTCGCCATGCAGTAAAATAGGAAAACCGATGTGAGAGAGGATATCGTAAGATGGTGTTTAATATGTCGTCGCAATGTCCATAAGATTCTGGTCGACCTGCATTCCCGTAACATGGTCTATTGAAAGCTCGTCGACATATCCAATCAAAGCTTGGGAATGCAATTTGAATGACTCGCCCATGGTTTTTGAGATACTGGAATATGTTAGTCAAAATCTGCTGGCAATTGACAGATATGCTTACCCCCAAACAACCACGCCGTCCAACATCGAGCCCCAGACGCGCGCTACAGTTGAGCTTAAACGTGATCCATTTGCGTCCACGGCGTCATCATCGAACAGTCCGCGTACTCTCATGTACATGGCGAGCTCTTCTTCGGTGGCTTCCTGATCGTCATGCTCAATACGATATAGCCACAGGCTTAGAATAGTGATGAGATCCAGTCCACAAAGAGGATGCTCAATACTCCAATTGGTCGACGATGTTTTGGTGACCCAATTGATACCCTGCATGGCAACGATTTCCATGCACTCGTAGCATTGCTCGACAACCTTGATCATCTCTTTCGTTCTCTTGACATTGTCACGCGCCGATGACATCGCGCCGGCAATCTCATATGAGTTGTGGTACCGCAGGGCTTCCTGGACATCTTTGAGATCCACTTCAAGGAAGGCACGGGTGTTGCGGTACACAGCCATCGAATTGAAGATCAGAGGGTGGCTCTTGTGTGGTGTGCTGAGAGGAACAACAATGATTTCGGGCTCGCACAGATCCAATGACCGTTCCCATGTTTCTAAGGCAATGCGAATCTTCCATTCCAGAACCACGTCCTGTAGCGATTCGAAACTTCTTCTTAGATTCCACACTTCCAAGAACAATGCGTTGATCATCACTCGAGTGGCAAAAGCACTGTATCTAGCAGCATCTCCTTGGAAGAGACTGTCATATGCTTCTCGAACAGTAATCGTGGGCGACGCTGCGAAGATATCCTGCCAGGAATCCTCGTCCGAGGGCTCAATATTCCATAATGACTCGGAAGATGGTAGTGGCAATGTGTCGAACTCGTTGAAGCTGATTGCCGGAGTGTGGTTGTATGTCAGAGTCAGCATGCCGAAGAAGATATAGACGGCATAATAAGTCCGTCGACAGCCCTCTTCATTGACCCACTGATCATGTGTCGGTGGTGCTCCAGCGCGACCATCAATACGCAACTTCAGCTCGTATTTGTTGCCGGCAACCATCTGAACAGGTTAGCAGAAGATTGGACGAATATTACGAGGTACTTACATTGGCAAGCAAGCTCTTAATAGAACAAGCCCATTCAAGGCCTTGCGAGCCACCGCTCCAGCTCTCGAAAACCATATTCAGCAAAGTGCTCTGCATGGTCCAGAGAGGGCACTTTCGAGAATCAAAGTTGTCCTTGTTCTGAAGGAATTGATTCACGAGTTTCTTGGAGCCATGATGAAGGAGATAGGCTTGTTCTTGTTCGAAATTGTAGAGAGCGCCGATGGAGAGGATGGCAAGTAGAAGAGCCGGTTGACAATTCTCAGGACGAAAGGTGACAGGATGTAGAAAGGGCATGTGGTGATGAAAGAGATTGAAGTAGGTAGTTAAGTATAGGTTCATTGTGGGCAGGGAAGGTAGTGTGATGTCTCCACCTAGCTGGTTAGCAATGATAGCTCTCTCGTCATCATTGTTCAACTGCGGAGCTTTGGGTAAAGAAAGGGGTTGGGCTGGACCAGGAGACTTGCGATAGTTCACTGGTGATACAGGCCCTGTCATAGAGGGGAAGGGAGAGAGTGCGTTGGGGGTCGGCGTCCCTGAGACTGGGAAAGTGTCGGGCAAAGAGTGGAATGTCGGGGGCAGCGAACTACCCAAGGAGGTTTGACGTTCCATGATGGGTGGTAGTTGAGACTGATGTGGCTGTATCGATCCCATATGGACGAAAGGAGGCTGCGACAGGTTATCTTGCGACGAAATGCTCGACATTGAATGCGCTTTGGGTTCCGACGGGCCGTGGGGCATAAAGGTGTCCCAGGGCATTTGCGGAAGGCCGTTAGGACCGGCGAGGTAGTCGGACGATTCGAGAAGTGAGCTTCGATCTGGAGAGTAATCGGGGATTGTGCTTTCTCCGTTCTGAATGTGACCGTTTACTGCTGCTGCTGCTGCCGCCGCCTTGTGTTGGAAGTCTGTCATCAACATGGCGGCAGTTTCAAGGTCGAGCATACCATCGCTGCTAGCCTCAATTTGCTCCAAAGTCCCCGGATCAAGACTTATCGAAGGCTTGGACGGAGCGGCCGTTGAGGGCGTCGACTTCGTCCCTGCGCCTGTTCCTGTTCTCTTTCGTCCTTCAGATTGAAGGGGCACACCGCCATCCTTTGCATGGACGGTTCGATCGTGGCGTAATAGCAGATCGCGACGGACGAAGGTGCTACGACATTTCTGGCATTTGAAGGGACGCTCCTTCGTGTCTAGCAAGGGATGAAGGTCAGTTGAAGATTGCCTGAAAGCTCATTCAATGGAAAGAGGTGATGGCGGGGTCTACGGTGAAGCCCCACGTCGCAACAACAAAAAAATATTCTACTTACGCGATCGTTCGTGTCGACTGCGGTGTTCACTTCTGCTGAAGGCCCGGTTGCAATACTGGCATTTGTACTTCTTCTCGGGCGCTGAAGTAGCCTTCTTCGGGGTCGCAGTAGCTGCGCTGGCATTCGCAGGCTCAGAGGCGGTGGAGGTGTCAGCCTGGGCCATGGTTCAGAAAATGAAGGGTTAAAAGTCCTCGGACCCGGCGCAAGCCTTTCGCTCAGAAGTGAGTTGGGACGTGGACGTAGATTGAGCCGTTATCATTCCGTGTCGCTGGGCAGTCTGGAAGTCGAAGCGATTGAGGAAATGATTGCTGGCTGTGATTGAAGGGGAATCGGCCTGGATCTGGTTTGGCAAAAACGCAAGGTGGATCACGTGGTCGGTGTAGTAGTGAATGCAAGGTGTGGTGCAGCGCCGTACGCAGCGTGACGATAGTCGATACACAGGCTGAGATGCGACGATATTATTACAGATGAATGCGACGACAATAACAGTTGATGTTGATACAGACAGAAAGAGGAGAAGAGTGTGCGAAACGAAGAAAACAAGGAGGGGCAGCTGATGGCAAGAGAGGAGGGTGTTCAGTTCAGATTGTCCCTCCTCCTGTCCCTTGCTCGCCCTCGAAGCATTCTCTCTCGCGTTGCCCTCCTCAGTCAGTGAGCCCCTGAAAAAATACCGTACGGAGGTGACCAGACCAGACAGCCCAGTCCAGCGGCACACCAAGCGGGCGTCCAAGCACCAAAAGAGACCCGCGGTATCCTTGCACCTAGCGTCTCCGTCTTCCCACTCCCACCTCACCAACAGCCCACCTTTTGCCTTCGAGAAATCGCCATGAGACACCCCTTCCGGCAGCAGCCAGCTGGGTTACCGCGACAGCCAACCTGTGCCGCTTCTGGCTTCGCGTGAGGCCTCTAGTCTCGATGCGCATCTCCCCGAGTCCACGCAACACCACCGGAGAGGTTACTACGGAGTGATGGTTGATGTCCATGGACAAGGGCTCCTTGGAAGAGACCAGGCATTTCTAGGGACTACCTAACAGCGCGTAAAGAACCCAATGGAGCACGAACGCTCGGCTTGTGTTCATCACAGAAGAAGACGAGCACAAGTGACAATGAAGGGTGGGGATCTTGGATGTCTTTTTCGATCTCGAAACATTCCTCGTCATCACGATGCAGTCCCCAGCCACCTCTGAATAATGATGCCCACCAGCCATCAAACATTTCAGGTATGCTTCGGTCCGTACCCACGCTTGATCGGTTGGCTCTGCAGCGTGACGCCCAACGAACGATAACACTGCTACAAGCCACGGTCTGCCTGCCATTGGGTTGTCCAGGGCCAATTATCGGTCCTTACAAGGACTTTTCGGTGCGAATATGTGGCACATGATCGAACCATGTACTGCCCTTCAGCTCTGAATTAGAGACAAAAGAGCAATCGTGGCACCGAAAAAGTTGGTCAACGAGCGATCGTCAGCACTTGGATTGTCGCCCTCGGACCTGTTCCTGCATGTTCCGTGCAGCTCCTTGATCTCTTAGGTAGGGGGTACCGCTCTAATTCGAGGACGTGGGACCTCGCTAAGGACTTCCAAATGCCCGCTTAAATGATCAGTGTCTTGTCTGACAAGCTACCGAAGTAGCCATGAAGTGCTCGGTCTCAGCTAGGAAGCGTCATCCATCTTCCCGTTGCGATGGTCAAAGCCATGGATCCGAGGCCCATCCTCGTGGATGGGACCCGTTTCAATGGTCTTTTCGCGGCGAGGTGGGTAGCAATTGGTGGTCTGAAGAAAACGATGGTGACCCGGCAGTAGAGAACCGAACAAAAACGCAACGAACTGGCGCCTTGACTTTGACAAGTCTGCCCCGAGTCAAGTCCTTTCCATTCGTTGTTGATACCTGAACAGGGGTCGAGGAATGATTGCAGGCTTGAAGAGTTGCAAATACAGCTGCCAATTTCCAGTACAAAGCCAGATGTACCGGCACTTTGCTGCTGCTCCAGGCCGATGCTTGCAACAAAGGGCCCCGCGGTCCTCTCTCAATTTTCGCGACAGGTCATCTGGTGAAAGTCTCTCATGGTCGGCTTATAGGCGGTCGCCTCACTCATGGTACTTGCTGACCAGCATACCGTAATCTGTTTTAATCCGTACCTCTCGTTCAGATGTCGGTGAAGAGCCCGTTGAACACTATGACATGCCGGAGGCTTCATTCAGGCAGGCCAACCCCTCCACATCAAAATCACTGCCATCAAAGGATAGTCAGACCTGCTATAACCGAAACATGCCGACGTTGGTGCGGTTCCGTAAGAGCGGTTTTGCGAGAAAATGGGTTCCGCCAGTGGTGAAGCATGGCTCCCAGGCTCGCCCCCGGCTGAACCGGGGCTACAAGAGCCACCGCGGGCGCCAGTCAGTGCCTTTCCGCCGGAATCCCACAAGCCGTGGCACTACTTCCTCCCCACTCCAAACCCACCTCGTAATGGAGTTTCAATCCCTCACCTCATCTGAAATTTTGACAATCTCCGGCGGCGTCGCATCATACAGTGATTCGCTGCCTTGAAAACTTCCCCTGTACCAGAGCAACGCCGCTTCGAGAAGCTCCAAGGAATCAAGGATCAATTCGGTTGGCAATCAGCTGATTACGAACTTATTATTCAGTCTGGGCTGAGACGAGGGGTCAACAGCAGAGGGGCTGTTCGTGCAATTTTGTCAATGATAATATCATGGGAGAAAAAACAAAACATGTCGACGCCTGACGAGCTTAACAATTTCAGCTTCACCGGCACTGTCTACTGCAAAATTCAAGAAGAGTCGCTGCACAGTAACACCGCCATCTCAATATCTAGACCGCCCTTCTACAAAACACCGCCTAGCCTGAAATCGAGGCGAGTACCGCTGCAGATACGGAGTATCGATGGTTCACCTTCCTTTCCGATCCTGATCTGGACGGCGGTGACTGTGACAGGCCTCCGGGATTTGAGCCATCGCTGAGACGGTAAGCACTGGTGGCAATGATTGCCGTTAAGAAACGTCAGTACCGATGCAGTAGTCCCTTCATGACTCAGGGCTGTCCATGTTTGTTCCAAGCTGGGAATGCTCGGCATGGATGGGGCCTTCATCTGTCATTGTCCTGCCAAACGTCAACTTCAAGGATCTCAAGCAACCTTTAGTGAAGGATTACGGAGTATAATTTTCGGATATGTCCAGCCTGGACCGGCCCAAACTTCGGATATCTGCTTTGCAGCAAACGATGCTGCAAGACACCTGGCTGATGAATCACGTCTCGTGGCTTGAGAGCAAGAAATCAGATGCGATCTGTTGGAACGATTCTCTTTTCGAACGTAGCAGAGCACATTTACTTCCACCGTGGTTATTGTTTGCTTGCCAGCCATCATGCAGATGTAGGCTGGCCTGGCCGTCCCGATGAGGCTCAGTCTGGGCCCAGCGTGTCAAACAACATCCCGATCCTGGTATGTGTGTACAGAGGCATCAGTCCGTAACGGAATGGTCATTGGCCAGGCAGGTTTCGATGACCTTGCCGTTGTTTACTTGCATACACAACCAGGTGCTCGTCTCAAGGACGACATCTCTTCCACCCGCTCATTCTGTTTACTGTTGAAAGGTTGACGAGAACATTGTGTGCCTACCAACACAGCTGCCGGGTTTGTTCACGCCGTGGTAAGAGCTTCGGATGTTCTTGTCGTTAGGCTTCTATTTTTTCGGGAGAAATCCTGCGTAGATACTCGCCCCTTTGTCATATGGTAACTATGATTTTAACTTGAGATTGTCTCTCACCTCGTGGGGCGAACGGCGATCGTCTTGTGCTGACCATGGGCGAAGAGAACACAAAACGAACGATGCCATGCATCATCATCGTCACTGCGTGTCTGTTCGTTATGATGTTGGCTGTGCCGCTCTCCCTTTCTCTTACTCGTACACAGACACAGATATGTCATTACGAATCGAACTGCTCATCATCAAACGATGCTGAGAACTTGCTACGCCGCGTGGAGTACTCCTGCGGTCACTGTGTCTTGTATGCGACCGAGTGCGTGGAAGTGAGACAAAAACGTTTTTGCCGTTGTCGTTGCCGCATATCCGTACGATTATTTTTGGGGGGTTGGGACGATCTACGAGGTTACAATTAATGTCCACCATTTCAATCCGGGTCTCTTTAGGAGATGGATCGACAAGTTTTTTAAATTTCCATGTTGGTGGAGCGTACTCCGTATGTATTGTACAGTGGACTTGGGGAGAAGCCGGTATTCATACGAGTAGATGTGGGCCTACGCCATCGAAAAGAAAATCGTTGCCCTGTGAACTTTCAGTGAGCACCATGGTCAGTCGTACGAGACTGGAAAGGGAGTAGGGGACTTGGAGAGGGAGCAACTTAAAAAAAAAGGTACGATATGGAGGGAACAGAGTGTTCGAAACGGAGCATGGCTTTCGCCAATTGAGTGTCCAGAAGTGGAAGTGACATCAGTTTTCAAAGAGATGTACGATTAACAAGTCCATAGGTACCAATTTGTATACCTATGTATATCGTATGCTCATCGAGGTAGAAGATTTACATCCTGACATATGGAGTAGTCACGCAATCTTTGCTTCAGACTATGTAGTTGTTGATGAGATTGTGTCTTGGTCTATGCAGCTATGTATTGCTGAAGATACGCAGTGTATATGTGTGGTGGTTATGTAGTCCATACACAACTCCGTATCGATATATCGTATATACTCACGGTATCAATCGATGCCGTTGTATTCAACGGCACCCCACCATTTCCGACTCAAGCACTTACCTACCATCGTTATGTTGTCGACTTCTCCCCTCTCGCGATCTTGCTCTTGTAGATACTCGCACACGGCGTTGTCGGCGTCTCCTTCTGCATCGTAGTAGAATATCCCCGGCACACTATCTGGTGAATCAAAGACCTGCCACGATCGGTAGTTCGGTGGAAGTTCTGGGAATGCTGCTGACGACCCAGACCCCTCGCCCGGCGCTGCAAGTTCCGGCTTCGAAGCTTGATCCCTCTTCGCGAGACCCGCCGGGTCGGAGCACATGTTCAGTTCTCCCGAGACTTGCGAGAGCTGCTGCTTCGTCCAGGCGCGCGGCATCCGTTTCTTCTCGTACAGGGACACCGCTTCACGGATGCTGAGCACGCCCCGAACGACCTCGCTGATCACGCGACCTAGGAAAACACCGTCCTCTTGTGCAGTGCCGGCACCCTGGCCCGTGTGGTTCTGCATGCAATGGCACGCGTCGCCGAGGAGGACGACGTTCTTGTGCTCGTTCGTCCAGCTCGGCATGGGTGGCATGACGAGTAGGGGCCAACGTTGTGTGTAGTTGACGAGCTTGATGATGGATTGGATGGCCGGACTGTAGTCTTTGTAGTATGCACGAAACTCGTCAATGTCGACCTCTTCCATCTTCTCGACATAGTAGTCTTTGCAAAACGAAGTGACGACGTTGAGTTCCTTGCCGCCCGACAAGGGGTAAGTGAGAATATATCCATTTGGACCTGGGGGCGATCAGTACAGGCCGGGCACCGCGGCGTTGTGTAGACTAGGTACATACCCGTCCACATATCCATGGTGTTGCTTAAAAGAGACTTTGCTTCGGGGATCTTGCTCAAAACCTCATCTCGAGTCACCACGCCACGGTAAGCGGCGACCTTGGACGTCGCTCGGGGCTGAACATTGGGAAAGAGTTGTTGACGAACGAAGCTCTTGATGCCATCGGCTCCCACGAGGAGATCAAATGTGTACGAATCCCCTTTGGTCGTCGTGGCAGTGACCTTGTCCGGGGTAGATTCGAGCTTGTTCACACGAGCGTCGACAATGATGTTGACACCGTGACGGCGAGCAGACTCTGTGAGTCCCGCGTGGAAATGGTCCCGTCGTGCGATGTAGTGTGGGAAACCACTTATTTTCTTGACTCTCGCGGAGTCGACTCGAGTGACAACTTGTCCATTCAGTCCCCAAGTACGCACTTCGTCAACTTCGACCAGATTGTCGCCGATAATTTCATCAATCCCCCATCGTATAACATATCACGAGACGTTGGGGAAAATCTATCCGCCAATTGTCAATCACTCTCGCACAGGACTTGCTGACAATGGCCAAAGACAAACCTGAATACCCGCCCCGATCTCTCCCAACTCTGTTGCGGCCTCGAGGATGGTGACCTTTGCGCCTCCTCGTTTCAGAGCAATCGCTGCTGCTAGGCCACCCAGGCCGGCGCCACAGACGCCAACGTGAACTTGAACTGGTGCCATTGCCGCTCGGGCGTTGAGCATCCGGCATTACCTGTAATGAGATGATCAGACGGCCGGGAACAGCCAAGCCTAGCAGAAGACGCTTGCAACGGAGGCGCTATCGGTGCCTTGCATGCCGGAGTTGGGTTGGATGGTTTTTGCTTTTTCGGCAATGTGGGATGTTCATAGTCCTGATTTCTTATCATGTGCTTTGATAAGATTCATTTTGGCCCTCGACACCCATTATCATCTGTCGTTGTTATTGCGAAAGGAGAATGTGATCGCGTGTAGTCAACATGATTTTTCTTTATCAGTATGCCACCCCAACTACCGTCGATAATGCCTGTAACTTGATTGCAAAGAGGGGTTACTCTAGGCGACCTCCATACTCCGGTGTAGGTGAGAGTCGAAGTATCTCTCCGGGCACATGTTATTACACCAAACACACAACAATCTACCTGTAGCCGACCTGACTTAGGCCCGAACAAAAAGTTAAGACTCCGTGCACAAATAGATAATAATGCTTGCTTGCAACCTCACGATCTGGGGTAACTCCACACCTACAAAAAGCATGGTATGAGCGAGATGCATTGGGCTCGTAGACCATTTCCCAGCACGGGCCCGGTCAAGGAGACCCCGTCCCTCTTCTAGAGTTGATGGGTGCATGAGCCATAATAATGAAGCAGATGTCTGCCGCGTCCAAAGTCTCGCTAAGCACGGCATTGCTGGTCGTGGCGTTCAACAGTGCGAGACATGTTCGAGCCCACCAATAACACAGGCACGGCAAGGAAATTTCAAAAACATTGGCGAAACGAGAATCTCACACGCGTCGTCGTCGCGTTACGAATAGTCTGCAACTGCGAGACCGGAGAAAGTCAAGATGATTAAGCTAACGAGCCTGGTGAGCCCTGTACGAGTACTCCGGGTCACAGCCACCTCCTCTCCCATCAGTCAAAACGGACGGATAAGTCAGACCACGAGAAACAGGAGTGCTTTAGCATGCTTCATGGGGATGTTCTGTATCTATCCGTACTCCGTACTAAATAGGCATGGGCACCTTGGGGGTAAGGAGTACGGAGGGGGAGGATGTTGACACTATCTCACTTGTATAGGGATGCCTGGAGAGCCTAATCATTAGACTAAGGTAGTTCTAGGTAAATACTGAACCCTGGCGAGCCTGTTAGGTTTAAATGCCTTCAGCTTCCTAGAGGTAGCTTAGTGCTTGCGAACCCCCAGGCCATCGGGGGGAAGGGTCAGGAGTAAAAGAATACGAAATATTACTTGGGCAGGGAGACAGAGACATGCCTTCAAAGATGATATTTCTCTCTCTGTGTCGTGCATCGTACTTTGTGACCACAGTACGTCGTCGTGCATGGCGATGATTTATTTGTCCGACCGCGAGATGTCTCTGCCAATTACGGATACCGAGTTCTGTAACCATTGGACGGTGGCCAGCCGAAGAAGATGGTTGGGTTCCCGAGTCAGCACTTTTTTTCGGGTGTCGAGCTGCATGCTGGGTGGATTCTTCAGGCGTGGATATAGACGAGGGTCAGGGAATTTCGTAGTTGCAGTCGTAACCTGGTCGCTCGCAGTCGGGCACCTGCATTCTTCAAACCTCCACCACCTCTTTTGCTTCTACTCCCTCGTGCTCATCTTTTCGCAGGACACACAGTTTCTCCCTTTTTTCCCCTACTACTTTGTGTGTGACTTCTCTGTATATGCTGACATTCTTCGTCTTTCTCACCTCTTCTCTTTTGCCCTCACAGTGCACTCAACTTGCAGGAGATAGCCACCCATCGACATCCCGCCTGACCTCTGCCTCCTCTTTCTCGAACCTCCAATCGGGCGCCTATTCTCTGCCCTACTCCACCTTCGACACCTGCCACTACAACTGACAAAAAGACTTCCCTCTCTGCCTCCGTCCAAGACCCTGTGTCGTTTGCATGAGGCCTCGCATGATCAGGTCCTCGATAGTCCTGTGTTAACCTGCCGCACACGACCTATACCACGCCCGGATCCCGCAGCGATCGAACATGCAGATCCTGGCCGCCCTGCTGCGCTCCGAAAGGCACCATCAAGTCGTCCTGTCCGTCTCTCAGCGGTGAACTCTGGTGAAATGTCAACGTCGCGCAGGGTTGCACAAGACTCGACTCCTCCATCACAGGCAGTCAAGTCGGGGTCGACCTTTGCCGCAGCTTTCCATTACACAGAGCCCAGCAGACCTGCTCAATCCGCCCCGCGTACAGCAACGTCTGCCGTCCATCAGTCGGGCATGAGCGGCCTCTCGCCGCGCCGTCGTGCTGCCCAGGCGGCTGCCATGAACGGCTATGTCGCCAGCCCTGATCTCCCTCCTCCGCCACCGCCCATGTATGTTCGAGCGTTGTATAATTACGATGCGGATGACCACACCAGTCTGAGTTTTCGCGCAGGCGATATCATCCAGGTCTTGACACAACTCGAGAGTGGGTGGTGGGACGGGGTGATCAATAATGTCCGGGGCTGGTTCCCCAGTAATTATACGGTTGAGATATCGGATGCAAATGAGCTGGTTGAATTAACTGGCCAAGATGAGAGTGAAACGGGATCAGGGACCGAGGAGGATTACGATGATGAAGAGGAGGATTCGGATACTCGCACACAGGACGAAGATTCCGACCTACCTATAGAGGGTGGAACGGAGCAGCCTCAAGAAGAGGCCGCCTTTTGGGTCCCCCAGGCGACTCCAGATGGACGATTGTTCTATTTCAATACCTTGACCGGTGTTAGTACCATGGAGCTGCCATTAGAAACGCCAACAAGCTCAGATGAGACTGGGCCAAGGGAGCGCAATAACTTTCGCATACCGGACCAGACTAGACCGCCTCCTGAAATGATGGCTGGAAGGTATGGGCAGAACGAGGAGGACTATGATGGGTCGGCGTCTGAAGCAGATGGTGAACAGTCTTTCCGTTCCTCACGCAAGAAGGGGTCCATGACTTCTGGTAGTATTTCCACGTCGACGTCCATGGATTCAATCGATGTAAGTGCCGCGAGACAAGCTGGTAATCAGGTTTCAAATCCTCTCACAAGCACGTTCGGAACCTCAATGGCACTGCCGCCACTAGGAACGACTGCCACTTCATTCACTGTGCCGCCGCACCAGAAGCTCTCCAAGTCACCAATGCCCAAATATTTCCTGGATGATACAGGTGCTGCGCCTGTCACGTGGAATACACTTGTCGAGAATATGCGTGTAGCCATCGAAGCTTATCGGCATGCTATTCGTGTCCAGGCACGAGCTGACTATGTTCGAAAAGCTGAAGATATTTCCGACCACCTGCGGATGTTACTTGCCGCAGGTTCAGGGACAACTGACAACCATTCTGGAAACCCTTCCATCATCTCACAGAACAAAGCCTTGTACCCTCACTTTAGGGAAATGATGTCCAAATTCTCCAAACTCGTCCTATCCTCCCATATCGCCGCCGCCGACTGGCCAGGACCGGATGCTTTGACTAAGTGTCTACAAGAAGCTGAAGGTGTTATGAACGGTGTCTATGGTTATGTTGATGTGGCAAGACAACAACGTGGTGAAGAGATACCTCGACTCATCCCGGGCTTTATCATGGGGAGCAAGGTGGGAGGCAGTTGGAAAGACAACAACCTCGACAGCCAGACTAATCTGGAGGAGACCTCGTTCATGGACTCTGGCGATGAACTGAGCTCACGACCATCCCTGCCACTTGATGCCAATCTGCTACAACAAATCGATGATTGTAAGAACAATCTGATAGCGGCTGTTCGCAGTCTAGAAGAGAATCTCGTCCTGACCGATAAGATTGTGACACCGGCACGACAATCTGCCATTAGCGACGATGTCTGCCACGGGGCAAGCATAGTCATTGACTACTTCCGACCCTGGATGCATCTCGTTGAATCCATTGACCTTTCTGGCCTGGGCAATGTTTTTCAGAAATCAACACCGGTAGAGTTTGGGTCCCAGAAGCAAAGAGTATACGACTCTGTAGGCGAGGTCGTTGTGTGCTGCCAGGCTGTGACAGCACCACTTCCGGATGAATGGGCGGAGATCAGGGGCGAGTCCCTGGATACTCGTATGAACAACGTACGTGATGCATGCAAGCAAATGGAAACACACGTTTCCAATTTGGGCCACTCACTGCGGTTGTTGCTGCCAGCTAGCAACCTAAATGTTTCGGGGGTCACGAGCAAGCGAGACCACCGAAATACGGATGGGGGCGAGACATATCAGAATCACCACCTGAGATCCGACTCTAACCATGCCAACAATCTCCGACCAGCGTTGGCTGACATTGGCCAGTCAAAGTCATACACTATAGGTCAAGAGCCACCAGCAGCGGACAAGGTCCGTCGTCCTCCCACCAAAGATAAGGCAAGGCAGTTCTTTGGCCAGATTCCGCCAAATCTCACCCAATTGAAGACTTCCAATATCGAGCCCAGCTTCAATTCTGATGATGTCCCATGGTACTTGCAGCTTGACCACGCTGACGAAGTCATATATGACACCAAGACTGATCCGCCTCAAGTCAAGAGCGGCTCGCTCACGGGTTTGGTCGAACAGCTTACTAGACATGACCGACCTGATACAAATTTCACCACCACCTTTCTCCTCACGTATAGATCCTTTACAACAGCGTCGGAGTTATTCGAACTCTTGGTCAAACGCTTCAATCTACAGCCACCTCCTGGTTTGAACAGAGACGAGTTCTTGATCTGGGAAGAACACAAACAGAAACCGGCACGATTCCGAGTCTTGAACATTCTCAAGGCCTGGCTTGAGGTGTACTGGATGGAGTGTGATAACGAAAAGAGCAGGGAATTACTTGAACGCATTACAGCATTTGCTAAGAATGCGCTCAACAGCACCAAAATACCGCTGGCCAAGGTTCTGATTACTATCATCGATCAACGTCTAAAGGGCCAGGAGACGTCATCGAAGAAGATGGTCCTTACGATAACGAACTCGGCTCCAACCCCAATCTTGCCGAAGAACATGAAGAAGCTGAAATTCCTTGATATCGACCCCACCGAATTTGCAAGGCAGTTGACCATCATGGAATCCCGGCTCTATGCCAAGATCAAACCTTCAGAGTGCCTGGCAAAGACATGGGAGAAAAAGGCCCCCGATATGCCTCCTTATCTGAATGTGCAAGCAGCCATCTTGCACTCTAACCAGTTGACCAACTGGACGGCTGAAATGATCCTAGCACACTCTGAGGTGAAGAAGAGAGTCGTCGTCGTGAAGCATTTTGTTGCGATCGCGGATGTAAGTGATAACATTGAAGTATACAGACTAGTGCTAATCTCTGCATAGAAATGCCGCGCGCTGAATAACTTCTCAGCTGTGACAGCAATCATTTCTGCATTTGGAACAGCACCAATTCTTCGCCTTGGGCGAACGTGGCAAGGAGTCAATCCAAAGACACAAGCAATGCTGGAGTCGATGAGACAGTTGATCTCTACAGCGAAGAACTTCTCGCAATATCGAGAGACACTGGCTACTGCAACTCCGCCTTGCATTCCATTCATGGGTGTCTATATGACGGATTTGATCTTCATTGAAGACGGCATTCCGTCACTTGCAAAGAACTCGGAGCTGATCAATTTCTCTAAACGAACCAAGACAGCTGAAGTTATCCGATTGATCCAACAGTACCAGAATGTTCCATATAACCTGAATCCTGTACCGGACTTGCAAGATTGGATCGCAGAGAACATGAGGAATGCAGGTGATGTGCAAGAGATGTATGCGCAGAGCTTGAAGATTGAGCCCCGTGAGCGAGAAGAGGAAAAAATTGCTAGACTATTGTCAGAATCTGGGTTTTTGTGAAGACCTATGGGGGGTCCGTTTTTCAAGTCTGTCATCTTCTCCCAATGGCCAGTACATATGTGGTGTTTATATGGTTGACAAACTCGGAATGGTGGCGGCATTGTGTCTGGCTTTCAGAGCTCTGGTGTTTGCGAGAAACCCGTGCTCACTGTTTGGGGCTTGATTGATACTGCTGCACGTGGTACCTGATGGGGGAAGTCCACATTTTGCTCAAAGCTACGAGATCACGCAATAGGTTACGAGTTTCATGCCATGGCTATGGATTAATATGACGGCGCCCAAGTCTAGTATCAGAGGGCAAAGGGGGATATCTATTACTGAGAAGGCGCAAGAGACCAAAAAAAGAACGATGATATATACTGAACAATGCCGAGGGTGATTCGTCTATACCACAGTACCTATATTTTCTTCTTCCATATATATGGGGTATTTCCTGCGCCTACAGAAGTGTGTGTATAGGTAGGTAGGTAGGTAGTTGGGTAAGTAAGTACATAAGATGTCCGAAGATAGCTCGGAATACAGAGTACATCCTCTGAGGACTCAAATGGTAAGCAGACGGATATGTTGCCGTCGACCGGATAAATGCCCACGGAGTTGTTGGAGAAGCTTGGGCTTTGTGTGCCTCGCTCCGAACCCCGTTAAAACCCCAAAACGGAGTCAAATAGTGATAACGCTTTCTGTCCCTCACAAAACAAGTGACTAAAGCTACAAGTATCTTACTGTGTCGCATCTTTTGCCAACTACTCCCCACTGCCACAGATTTTTTTTCTTTCTCCTGTGCTGTACATGCCTACCTACCTCCCTTCATCTACTGTCACCAACATCTCTCGCGCCGCTGGTAGATCCGTCCGCCTATTCAGCGCTGCCTCTGCTAGACCTCGACCGATACTGAGACCTTCTTCTTCCCCGCACCACCTCTCCCTCCTCCCACCACCGCAGTCTGCGTTCCGCGCCGCACCACGACAACGGCAAGGAAGACAATTCTCACAGACCTCACACCAAAAAATGTCTCTCTCTGCCATGTCCAAACGCCTCGAGGGCAAGACGGTCCTGGTGACGGGAGCCAGTTCTGGGATCGGCAAGTCGGTCGCCCAGGAATTCGCCCGGACCAGCCCAAAGAACCTCAAGGTCATCATCACGGCCAGGCGCATCGACACGCTGAAGACGGTCGCGGCCGAGATCGCCAAGGAGGTCGGTGACGGGGTCAAGGTGTTGCCCGTCCAACTCGACATTTCGAAGCCGGAGGAGGTCGAGCGGTTCGTGCCCAACCTGCCGGCCGAGTTCAGAGACATTGACGTCTTGGTCAACAACGCCGGCCTGGTCCGGGGAATGGACCGAGCCCCGGACATCAAGGCCGAAGACATGGAGGTCATGTTCGCCACCAACGTGACGGGTCTGATCAACATGACCCAGGCCGTGATGCCCATCTTTTTGAAAAAGAACGGAGGCCAGGACGGCGGCAGCGGCGACATCATCAACATCGGCAGCATCGCCGGCCGAGAGGGTTACGCCGGTGGAAGCATCTATTGCGCCACGAAAGCCGCCGTGAGGTCCTTTACCGAAGCCCTGAGACGGGAACTGATCGCTTCCCGCATTCGTGTCATCGAGATCGACCCTGGTCAGGTTGAGACTGTACGTGACCTTTTTCCTTCTTGGACCCCCTTCGCGTTCCCTCCTTTCCCTTCCTTTCCTATACTGGACGGGACACACATGGTCACAACCTGCTCGAAAAAAAAAGGAAAACGAACCATCACATACGAGTATGACAACAAAGGAAAAGGCAAGCAAAGCTAATACTTTTCTGTGTGTGTGTGTGTATGTAGGAATTCTCGGTCGTCCGATTCTATGGTGACAAGGCCAAGGCCGATGCGGTCTACAAGGGTGTCGAGGCCCTGACACCGGACGACATTGCGGAGATCGTCGTCTTCGCCGCCGGCCGACGAGAGAACGTCGTGTTGGCCGATAGTTTGGTTTTCCCCAACCACCAGGTATGTCACCTACATTTTCCATTCGTGCCAACGAAGAAGAAAGTCCTTGCCATTCTTTTGACCATGGATCCGCTGACAACTGGTTTCTATATAACCGGGTACATAGGCTTCGGCGACCATTATGCACCGAAAATCATGACTGGAAAAACTTTCCTTGCCCAAAATGTGACAAGTCAAGATGGCCGCGGACAGCGATCACCTTTTCTCTGACCTTGAAAGGATGTCTTTTCCAACTTTGCTCTACGAGTAAACTTGGCTTCGGATTGGTCGGCCCCTCTTCATCCATCGGTCGGTCTTCGCGGCAGAATCTACACATGTTAAAAAAACCACATAGAACAAACATATGGATGACTAGAAGAACAAAAAAGGCTTTATGATACTCTTTGCATTTCGATATCTCATCTTTGCCGAAACAAATCGTGACTAGCTAACGCTTCCACACGTCGACCCCATGCAGCGACCCTACCGCCCCCTAGAGGTCCAGCAAGGGTGGTCGTCTGCTGCTACTGAAAGCGAACGGACTCACGCCAAGTCTCCTCGGAGCCTATCGAGCGCCATTCTACATGTCACATTTCTCAATTCAACCTCCGCCGCTTTTCAGAACCGCCTGCTTCGCCTGTGACATATTGTTCTGGATTCTTAGGGGATTGTTTCTGACCTCGTTTGTTATTTTTCCTTCCTTGCCGATTTCGTCGCGACCCTTGCCGGCCTGGACGACTGTCTTGTCGAGGGTCATTGTAGCTGCGGAAATCGACTCGATGATGAGAAGATCCCGATCCACGAGGTCCGTGGGGAGGAGGATTGTTTTGACGTCCGACCTTTTCGTTCGTTTTGTTCTCTTGCTGCCGCTGAAATTGGTTTGGATGCTGACGTTCATATTCTCTTTGCCAGGTTCTCATCTGCATCCGCCAATCATCATGGTCTTGAGGTAAACCACCTGCTCTGGATTGGCGCGGGTCGGCGGCTGGATCGGGGGGTTCATAAGGGTCGCCGTAGTTTAGCAAGACGGGCCACGGATGTCTGGGAGCAGTGCGTTGAGCTGAAGTTGCTTCTACAGTCGTAGGGAGCTGAGACGGCGGCCTTGAGGGACTGGTGACGGAGGGCGTAACAAGGCCTTCTTCTTCGTCCGACGATTCTCGTGGGCTGGCTTCTGGCAAGATGCGTCTGCGGATGTACATGGGCCTAGCCTCCGCAGCCATAGCTTCCTTTCGCACATGCAGTTCATCGAAACTGGTAATCTCTCCATCGGTGGGAATCAAAGCGAACACCGGGTCTTCATAGACCGCATTCCAGTGTGGAGTTGTATTGACGTTGGATAGAGACTCCTTATCGTCAACGTTACGGAAAAGTCGGGACGCAACAAGTGTTGGCTCATGACATTCTTGAATATCCTGCAATGCCATGGTCCCCGCCATAGCCTCAAGTCTCTGTTGTACGGGTCGACGAGTCTCGGTGATGGGATAATCAAGCGCCCAGAGCTCGTCATCTTCATCAAGAACGGCGAAACCCCAGGTAGACTTGATCCGACGGTCAGCTTCCTCATCCCACGGCCCCGATCCGGTATCCTGTTCCCAGTGGTGGTCGTGACCTGATGCTGCGTTCCAGGTGTCCCGGTGAGAATGGCTTCGAGGTTGAGCAGCAGATGACATCCGGTCTGTTGTAGCACGACGCGAAGACTGGCTCAGACTGTAGTTCTCCGGGCCTTGTGCATAAGCACCGCCGTACGTGGGGTTCTCGCCACGATGATAGCGGTTGTGGTTTCTCGATTTCTTCCGTCCTTGAACCTTTCTTTTGGCTGCATTTGCTTGAGGCGTGTGCTTGTGTGACCGGGCCATGTCTTGAAAGTTTCTATCTTCGCGAGGCGGATGGTGGTCTCTGGCACTCTGGGTGCTGTCGTCATTGCTTCTGCCATCCGTCAGCATTGCTTCAATCGACGATGACCTTGTCTTCAGTTCATTTCTGATTCATGGCAGCTGCCATGGACTCACTTACAAGCCGTGTGTGTGGTCATACCAATGACGCGTGCCTGCTGCTTCTTTAGTAAGTCCACGTATTGGCCGCCTCATGAAGTCGATTTCTTGGAAATCCGACTGGCCCAAAGTTGCGGATGCGTGACTTCTTTGGTTTTGATGATGAGGCGGAAGTGGCGAAGGACGCGACCCTGACCCTCGGTAGCTGTGGCTTTCCATGTCCAGATTCCCAGTCTATTGTGAGTAATTGCAGAAAGAGCGATTGTCCGAACGCAGCGGGCAAACTTGCATCGTGTATCATATGAGTGAAATGCAATAAGCGGTAACAGAGAAGTGAAAGAAAAGTTGAGATGATCACCATGAGGCTGCAACCAACCAACCAAGCATCCGTACCCGTGGTGAAGAGATATATACCTACTATCGCGCAAGAAGTTAACGCAAAGACAGATGTGCATGTTAGACAAGGCAACAATGACATCTCGATGAGTATCGACGGCGATCTGGTTTTTCAGATGTAAAGTCGATCCCATTGTTGTTCTTATTCTTGTTGTTGTTAACCTAGGTTTGTCTTCTCAATGACTTTTCTCTAGCGTCAGAAACTTGGTGCAGTATGAATGATAGCCCGCATATAGTCCTCAATCGGTGACGATAGGTCTCGAAAATGTGCTTCGACACTGTTACTACCGGGCGCCATACTCGTGGGCCGGCAACGTCGAGGCTATATCAACTTGATGTTTGTGGGGACCCCATGGAGATTTTGTGATCCATGTCTCCCAGCTCTTGAAAGTAGTCCCGCCATGAGCTACGGATCACGGATAGAGAGGTCCATCTCCTCCTTTCGTTGCTTGACGGTCTCTCTTATACTTTGTGGATAGCTTGTACTTGCTCTCACAGGAGCGATCGTATATTTCTGAAATTGGAATCCCACGGTCATAAATTCTAATGAGTTCTGTGCAGAGTCACCTCGACATCTCGTTTGGGTGGGTAAGCACGAACAAGCTCGCGACGTGTTACGCAAGCTGTATCATGATCCTGCCCACCCTACAGAGGCCGGTCCCCTTGCCGAACTCACCCAGATTGTACGACAGGTCGAGGCCGACAAACAAGAAATAGCCAGGTTCATTCAAATGTTCAAGAAGCCGAACTGAAGACGTCGTTCGCTGTCGGGCATGTTCCTTCTGTCAGTGCATCCAACAATCGTGTAGTGTCGATCATCCTGACTTGAGTGTCTCCAGGTTTGCCGTCGAGTCCACAGGAGTACGTCTGACCAATTGCAAGCTGCACGAAGAGAGCGAAGTCGACTAATGTGAAAGCAGGTCCTCAGCATCACCAATTTCCTGGGTTTGATTTCCAAACATCTGGGAATCGACGGCGACATGCCTCTGGCCACGTATGGCAAGGATTTCCCGGGCCAAAACTTGTCCCGCGAGTCTCGCCTTTCTGACTGTTGGCAGCCCGTCTTTTCAAGCTCCGGAAACGGCCGTCTTCGTCTTCGTCAGCATGCTGATAGTTGACAAAGTTGGCCGTCGGGTTCTGTTTCGTAGGTCTCTTCAAACCAATTCGTTTCTTTGATGCCTGCACGAAGGACTTCCACTGCTCTCAGGCTCTAGCTGACATTGGCATCGGCAGTCATCGGCTTTTCAGCCCTTGCTTGCTGTCTCCTTGCCGAAGCCCTTCTTCGGTGGGAATATCTTGGGTCCGACCATAAAGCCGGCGATTCCGCCAGCGTTCTTTTCACTTTCATCTACATCATGTTGGTCCAAGTAAGTAGTCGGCTCTTGTCTGGAACATGTCGTACTGATCGAACGTGCAGTGTGTCGATGCATCGGCTTTTGTCTGGGCTTCGGAAATCCACCCTAAAACAATTCGAGCAAAAGGATTGAGTCTGGCACTGCTCGCCAACTTTACAGGACCATCACTCACACGACACCATCAGCATTGGTATTCAAGAACATGTAAGTCAATAGTCCTGATCTGCCTGTGGTGGCCAATATCGACGATCGGTTCGCACAGCGGCTGGCGTATGGATCTCATCTACGTGGCGCTTTGCATAATATCGACCATCGTGGTTTAGTTCTGGATTCTAGAGACCAAAAACCTGCAGGTGGAGGAGATGGGAGTGCGGTTTGGTCGAAGTCATCGTCTAATTGACCACTGATAGGCATGCCATTGTCGCGGATGAAGCTGATAAGGGCGTTGTGTAGGAAACAGAGTCGTTGGCCGCTGAGAGCTACCACTTGCAGGGTATAGCGCAGGAACACAAAACTGAGAAGGTGCGCGGGTTCTACGCGAGAAGGAACCTGAAAGAACAATTGATCAGTTACTAGATCGATCATGGAGGGGTCCAGAGTCATAACGTACACCTGCACGCCCATTTCGTTCTGGAGCTCCCTCCAATCAAGTTTTAGATTGAGTCGGTGTTGCCTTTCCCAGAGGATCTCCAATAACTCCAGCCCTCGATCAGCATGCTAGAAGCGAATCTTGTTAGCCTCTTCCAAGACTGCTCTTGATCTAATACTCACATAGATACTGATGCTCGCATCTGAACTTAATTTTCGGCGAATTAGAGCCTCTGCTTCGGTGTCATGGAAGATGGCAACTCCAGCCATGAACATGCCCCAGATTAGACCCATTTCCAGACCGAATCCTTCTGGCGTCTTCCTGGCAATGTCCAGAATGCTTTCGGCTGCGAGGGCAACTTCTGATCCTTGAGGTTGTATGCCAGTCGGGTGGATGATGTGTTGAAGGTAGATGATACAAGCATTCTTACATGATCGAATACTCGAGAAGGACTCCTGTTCCAGCAACTCCGGCTCGGTTAGTGGTTTTGACCTGGGCTGGCACCGCCAGTCGTTACTTTGGTCTCGCAGTTCCGTGGGCCGTGAAGTCCACCATTGATGCAATCCTTGTTGGATCGACATGGCTTTGTCTCGGATGAGACGCGGATTATGTCGGCCGAATTTGGTCATTGATAGGGCAGAGAGCTTCGAGAGGTTCGCCATGTAGACCATTAATTCGTGGAACGTGTCGACCATGACAGACCCATCGTCGTAATATGGCCAGTTCAGGTGGGATTGATTCAAGGAAACGGAGCTCAGCTTGCCGACTTCGAGCCAGTAATTGCCTTGTATCAACGGGCCTCTACCAGATGACAAGGATCCAGATATGTCCAGCAACGAGAAGAACCGGCAAAGGAAGTCGGATGTCCGTGGACCACCTCGATACATGATCAGATCCCGTGCTCCTCGAAGATGCTGCAGCCAAAGGCTTTTTTCCGAATGGGATATCTATGGGGTATTGTTGGTAAGTTGAGTCTGGATGATGAGATGTTGTTACCTACCTCATAAACACATAACAAGAGGCATGCGCCGAGCGTGGAATTTGAGGACAGTTGAGTAGGTTCGGACAAGGCAATGTTCAGTTCTCGAAGAGCAGTCGAGTAATGCTGAACTGCTGGGAGAGTATGCCGCGGTTCCAGCCGAGCCATGTGACCGGCAGCAACGGCGAGCATTGAGTGAAATAAAGCTGAAGAGGAAGCTGCAAGCGGGACCAGCTCTTGCTGAAATGGATTACCCTGTCCGTCATTGGTGTAGGCAAGAAATCGAGAGCAGAAGGTAATGAAATGGCTAAGATAGGGCAGAGACGCTCGATCTGCTTTCGGAAATTCGACAACAAATGGTTGTTTGAGTGGTCCGCACGATTGGACCACGGCTCCTCCGTCGGCCAATTCTATTCTCCCTCCTCGCGGTACACGCACAGATCCTGGGGGGTGCGGCGAAGGCGGCGGCACAGCCCACATGCATTCAAAATGCAGCCGCCGACACCGTTGACAGGTAGGTTTCTCTTCATCACATTTGACCTTGCCCTGTCTACAAGTCAAGCAGCCTGTACATTGACGCATAGTCAGTGAGGATCTTCTTCACCACGTAGCGGAAAGTAGTAATGCTGACCGGTTCTCGTTCTCGGAACGGGAGGCTTGACGCCTGCTCCGGGCGCCATCTTTTTCCGAACATTGAAGGCTCACATAGTACATGGCTGCACTCGTCTTCGGATGTTCGACAGAGACTGTAGGGGCCAGCACTGGATGTCCATTGTTATTGATGACGGGACTTCCTGCTTATGACGAGTTCCTCGTCGTCTCCCCAAGCTTTATCCTCGCCAACCCTTGGCACGAGGCTACTGGAGACACACGTGATCTTAGGAAGGCTCACGTGATTTTTGGCCCGCTACCAGGGTCTAGAGTTATCGGGGACCTGATCTTTACACCACTGCTATTTCGGACCGATAAAACAAAAGACACCATTTCTAGAATCTCTGCTACCGCTTATATAGCGAAAAGATGAATCAATTCGAGTTTGTTCATGGCAACGAATTCCGTTAGAGCAGAGATAGCGATAAATCATAGCAATGTGCCATGCGATGTCTGATGAAAAACTGCATGTCAGTGGCGCACTATCTGTACCTATTCCTGACCTGTGAGCGAGTCTGTCATTTTTTTCACGTCCGCGGCGTTGATGTCTAGCTTCCGCAAACCGGTGGCTTCCTTTTCGAGGTACCTGGCGCACTCGACCCGACTCTTGGACTCGCTGATGAAGAATATCCCGATTGTAGGCACAAGCACCAGTGCAGCCACAAATGGGAATGGTGTCCATGCATTGCCATTCACGTCGACAATGGCGCTGGAAACAATGGGCCCAATCCAAGCAGAACCCTTGGAGACAATTCCTAGCAAGCTGAAGAACATGTACTCCCTCCCACGAGGCACAAGTTCCGCCATGAACGCCTGTCCATATGAAAACTGTGCACCCATAGTGAAGCCGTACTGCGCGTTGAAAAACCAAAACTCCCACAGGTTGTGATAGCCGACCTTGGTCGTCCAAATTCCAATCATTCCCCATAGTCCGACGAGAACGCATCCGATATTGCAGGTCTGGAGCATGGTTTTCGTTCGAAGGTTGAAGAGTCGTTGGACATAGTAGGCGCCGAAAACACCAACAACACAAGATCCTCCTTGAACCATGATCAGATAAGTGTTCTGGGTAGCAGAGAAGGCAACCACTTTGGTCTGTGCAATCGCGACAAGAGTGATGATGGTGCCAATACCATCCGCCAGCAAGAAGAATGCGATCAGGTAGAAGAAGGTCTGTTTCAGCGTCCAGACTTGCTTGGCTGCGAACCAGGTCTGTTTGAATCCGAAGGTCAGATAATTATCTCCTGCTGGTAGTGGTGGCCCGGGACGTTTCTTCTCGCACAAAAACCAAGGGATGGCGAGGAGTATCCAGAATCCGGTACACACAGCCACCGATACTGAATAGCCCCAATTGTTTTGAGCGACCGAGTCATTCGCACCGATGCCCGCCAGTGCGGCAAGTGAGAGTGCACCACAGGCTGTGAATCCGACGTTATTCCAGCCATAACTCATGTTCATGATCTTTGAGCGGGCCATGGAACACTTATGTTCATAGACCTTTTCACTGATCTTGCCTTCCAGGAGGTCATCATGTGCAGTGCGGACTTCGGGCAGGTCATGAGAGAGCTTGGGAAATATCGCGTTGAAGAAGACATAGGATGCCCAGAAAGTGATGGCTGGAGCATGATCAGTCTGGAAGAGCACAAAGATATGGGGTGTGGACCTACCGCTCAAGATATAAAGAGCCATCGACGTCCTCCATTGGTCTGCTCTTCTGACACCGAGAAATCCGAATTCAAATGCCCAGCATATGACTGAGAAGGTTCGGACGACCCAAGGATTCCAATTGCCATAATCGGCCAAGCTTCCTACTCCGATGAAGACCAAGGCCTGGGATAGGAAGGTGAGACCAGAGGCGATCAAGACGACAGAACTGTAGGGCTTTGTGCCCCCATTCCAAAAGACATGGCACGGCGCATTCGGATCGACATCGCAGCTGGAGCTTCCCAATGGCAATACGTTCGGGTTGAAGCCTGCCTGATAGATCAGGTTTTGGAATAGGAGATTCGAGCTAGAGGGAAGGTCAGCATATCTCATCGAGAAGAAGCTTCGGGCATGGCATGACTGACTATTGGAAGGACCCTATCCCATTGTTGCCAGCGTAGTAAGCGTAGTATGAGAAGACTTCTTTCTTCGTGGCAGGAGGACCCTCGCTGACATGGTCATAGTCTTGCAGATCGGAGGGAGCTGATGCTGACTGGCCGCTCGCATCTGGAGCTGGTGCCGCTATAGAAGTGAATGCCAGCTTTGTGGGATGGTGCTCCTCTTGTTTGGCGGTGATGTGGTCCTCCATGGCGCGGTTTATAAGTGTAGAAGTTGCAGGAATTGCTTGAGTCTAAGTGGGAACTGGCTCTGAACCTGCCTTTATACACAGTTCTCCGAGTGTGAAAGGGGCGGATCGTCCTGATATCGAGACTCGTCTTCTATGGCCCATGGCATGATCAAATCTCGTGTCCGGAACCAAACCGTATCATTGATTCCTTGCTGGGAGACTTCTTATGTGTTCCTGGTGTCGGGAGAACAAAGGGAGCACAACGTCGATACGAAGTAGTCACATTGTGGGTTTTTCCACGGCCCACTTCGGACGATTGGCCACTTATCTCCTACCACTAGTGCCTTTCATTTGTTATCTAGCCGACGACAGGCCTTCGTGCCACCTTGGCCACCTGGAGTGGGGCCAGTCAAGCTGTGTGATGTCTGTTTTCCCTTGCCTTTGACACCAGCTAATGACCGCGTTGCTGGGCCCAATGCTGATTGGGTCCCCCACACCCAAATGCCCCAAAAAAACCAGTGGTTATTTGTGCGAATCAAGATATCAGCGCTAACCAAGACGTACAATACTATTGTAGTCAGGGAACAACAGGCGGGGCAGATCTCCTATCTAGCCGACAGAAGGATCGTCTGGCTAGGCGGCGTTTATCGGCACAGACTCCGTTTGGTCCCTTACCGGGAGTGATACTCAAATTCCTCCCCTGCCAAGTGCATAGCCCGCAGTTTTAGCAATATGTCGGGAGATCTGGAGCACACGCCGGAGATGACTTGCAGAGATACGACTCTATCCATGCTAAATCTACTTGCCTAGAGTGCCGGAGCTACCCACAGCGTATGAGCACTTCCTAGCTTACTCCCGAGCACAGATTCCGGCCTGTTTGCTACAAGAATTAGAACCCAAGAATGTTCCGCGGCTTCAAAAGACTCTGTACTCTGCAGTGTCTTAACAGTAGCTACTTCTGTCGTCTCGTTAGCATATCTCACTGCAAAAATGCCAGCTAGGACGCCTTCATATGTGATTGGCATTGACGTCGGCGGAACGAACACAGATGTAAGAGAGTCACTCCCTGATTGGCACAGCAACTTATTGACACGATTCGAGGCCGTTGTACTTCAAAATGAACAAGTCGTGGCCTGGCATAAAACGCCTACAACCTCTGACATACAAGCCGGTGTCGAACTCGCAATTCAGGAGGTTGTGAGGAAGGGGCATATTCCTTCAGGTCAAATTGGATCAGTCAAAATTGGTACAACGGTAAGTGACCTCGAATTGGACTCTCGTCGCGGGATGGCCGCTCACAGCAGAATGCAGCAATTCATCAACGCAGTTCTGGAGCAAGATCGGAGCAAGCTTGATAAGGTCGCTGTCATCCGACTGTGTGGACCTTATTCTCAGCGGTCACCGCCATTCGGTGAGCAATTTGATCAATCCATCGCATATTCAGCTTCTAAAAGATGCTTCTCCTAGTGGGATTTCCAGCAGATCTTCGTACCTTGATGGAAGGTCATTGTGGTTACGTAGATGGTGGCTATCAAGGTGAGTTGCATCATGTGGCAGCTGTCCCATGTGGCCCGTTCGAATACCATCTGATTGAACTAGTGGATGGTAGACTCGTACTTGCGTTGAGTCACAAACAGCTCAAGGAACAAGCTGCTATAATCAAGTCGACGTCGATCAAAAGCATAGTCGTGATCGGCATAAACTCTCCATCGAATCCGAGGCAGGAGCTGGAAGCGGAATCTTTTCTCATATCAGAACTTGGACCGGGATACGATGTGTCTTGCTCCCACAGGATTGGCAGACTAGGCTTTCTTGAACGAGAGAATGCTAGTATCCTCAATGCAAGTCTACGACGCTTTGCTCGCCACGTAATTGCCGGTTTCAACTTTGCGGTCCAGAGATTGGGAAAGTGCAGGTTGTACATCACCCTCAACGATGGCACTTTGAGCAAAGCGTCGGAAGCCGCCGAGTATCCAATAGGTTGCTTCTCATCAGGACCTACGAACAGTGCGAGAGGGGCAGCGTTGCTGGCAGGGTCACTTTCACAGGATGAGGGCGACGACAGAGAAGTCCTCGTGGCAGACGTAGGAGGGTGAATTGATCCTCCTCAAGACGCCATGCTCGTTAATCTACTGACACACGATAGGACCACGACCGATATCTGCGCCTTGTTGAAAACTGGTTTTCCACGACAATCCGCCGCCTTCGTCAAGGTTGCTGGAGTGAGGACTAACTTCACCATCCCTGATGTACACAGCATTGCCCTAGGTGGTGGCTCTCTCGTCAGAACAGAACAGGATCAAACTCGCATTGGTCCGGACTCGGTAGGCTCACGCCTGACGCGAGAAGGAGTCTATTTTGGAGGGCAGACTCTTACTGTCAGTAATCCGGACAATCTCGCATCCTCTGGGCTAACACTTCATGTAGACAACAGACTTGATCTTGTCCAACCATCTTACAGAGAGACTGGTCCCATCACAACTCAAGGCTTCTGGAAGGAGAGAGATCAAGAGAGCTGTCGAAGAGGCGATTGATCTTGTCAAGACAAAGCAAGGAGATGCACGAGTTATCCTCGTTGGTGGTGGGAGCATCATCATCGGTGATGAGATTGCAGGTGTTGGAGAGCTCATCCGTCCTAATCATTTCGAAGTGGCCAATGCTGTCGGTGCTGCGGTAGGAGAATCTGCACAGTATTCTCCAAGATGAAATACTGACTCTAGTACAGATCGGGAAGATCAGCGGTTCAGTAGACACGATCGTTACACCGAAAGCTGATAATTCCTCAATGGATGAGCAGATTGAGGAAGCCAAAGTCCTTGCAATGGACCGCTGTGTTGCCGCAGGAGGAAGCAGGACCACGCAGGAAGTCGTGGAGATCGAACTGATCCCAGTCTCTTATGCCACCAACGGAGCTACGAGACTGATTGTTCGGGTTGTTGCGGACCTATCAGAAGGCTTTGAAGATGCAGAAGAAAGCCATTTGCCAATGACTCACGATTGCGTCAAGAGTGCCGATTCGGAAAGACATGCGGACGGAATCGATGCTAAAGCATCATCCTATGATATTGTCGAACAATTTGATGTCGAGTCATACAGACCAAGAATAGAGGGGGACCTGTGGTATTTGTCGGAGATAGACTTGCAATTCCTCCAAGACGGCGCTGGTGTTTTGGGAGTCGGGAGCTGTGGTGATGCATATCCCAGTTATGTTGCCTGCTTGCACGCGTTAGCCAGAGGTGAGGCTATCACCATCAGGCGGCAGGACACATTACCTGATAGCGCTATTGTCCTGGCTGCTGGTTTCATGGTGAGGAACCTTACATTTTCCACATACACATGACTGACCTGATCAACAGGGATCTCCAACCGTCTATCTCGAGCGAATTCCAGGCATGCATGAGTAAGAAGCCTGGTATTTCACCTGTTCAACACGCATTGACCATCTGATCTAGGGTTACCGATGCCATGGACGCAGTCATAGAGACATCTAGCATCACTTCGTTCGATGCTGTTATTCCTAATGAGATAGGAGGGATGAATGCCTTTGAGGCACTCCTCGCGGCGTGTCATTTTGGCAAAAGCACCCTAGACGCCGACTGTGTAGCGCGAGCCTATCCTTTCCTGTGGCAAACAGTTCGCTGTCTCAGAGACGTCTCGGTTGTTCCAGCGGCTGTTGCAGATGGAGCAGGCAGACGACAGGTACAGTCCTACTGTCATTTCCATCTTCAGCTGCGACTGACTGACACTGGGCTTAGGTTTTCACAGCCGAAAAAGACAACTTTCGGGCTGAGGAGTTAATGCGAGATGCCTGCACCGACCTAGGATCATTGGCAGGTGTCTGTATCAACCCTCTTAATGGTAGTGAGGCTCGCAGCCTGCCTCGAAACAGCTATTCGTTAGGTTTGTCATTCCACCAATCTTTCTGCGGTTTGCGCAACACGTCTATGATGAGAATTCACTTAACGCTTGCATAGCATGGTCTATTGGCCGTTCGATCGCTCTCTCTCGCAGCAGGAAGATAGATCCTGTCACTACGCTGCTAAAAGAGCAAAACGGCGTCCTTCTCTTCCGCGGGAAAATCATCTCGGTCGTACGACACGTCACAAAGGGCTTTACCAGAGGCAGTGTCGTTCTCTCATCCTTCTCAGAAGAAGCAGTCTCACGATCCGACGGCGGGATGTACGCGTCAGGTACCTCCTTGGCCGTCGAGTTCGAAAATGAGAACCTCTGCGCTGTCCTGAAGCAAGAAGGGGAAGAGGACAAAGTCCTAGCAGTCTGTCCTGACCTCATTTGTTTCCTGGACATGGCGAATGGCGCGCCATTGGGCATCTCAGACTACAAGTATGGCTTGAGGGTTAGTGTGGTCGCACTGGCAGCTCCGCTTGTATGGAGAACCGAACAGGGATTAAGAATGGGTGGACCATCGGCTTTTGGGTATGTTATACGCAACTTATTTGTGCTTCCATTTCGCACCGCTTCAGGCTAACCCATAAACAAACAGGCTCAATATGAAGTATACGCCTGTTGGCACGGAAGCTTACGAACCCCCTAGGAGCGTTTGGGAGATGTGTGGTGGAGACCAACAATAGGCATTTGCATCGCCAATGTGAAGTCGATATGAGGAAAAGGGAGGACTCGAGGCAGATATCTTTGGACGGGCGGGTGAATTGTTTAGAGTGCCATCTTAGAGAGTACCACCAGGAGTGCACTTCTGCCCTCTGACCGCGACTCCGGCCGGGGCCTGGAGTACTATTTGCACCCTACAGTAACAGCCTCGATAATCTTAAAGTTAGGACTGGATATGCCTACAAACCATTTAGAGGCACCTGCTGAGGTTTTATCCAGGGAACTCCGATGAAATCCACGTTATTAAGTCGAGGGCGACCGAAAAGTGCTTGTACTGCCCGCAAAGCTCAAACATCATCAGTTCATTGCTTCCTGCCCGATCATGGTGGATGGACAAGCCACTGCTGACAGAGATCTTCTCATAGATTCGCTGCTCAGGCGAAAGATCAGTATGCATCAGGTGTGTGAGACTATACGGAGGAATTGTGTCTACGCATCTCCTACATCGACGACACGATCACTACACTTTGTCTCTAATTCCAGATCGACAGAGGCGATCATGTCGTCCAGGGCCTCGTCCAGCTGCCACAATAGCTAGCAACGACTATGAAGCAACACTTCGTAAGGGAAACTGAGCTGCCGCCTATCCCGTTTGAGCATGTAACAAGAAGACACTACTGTATAACCATGCAAGTCATACGAAGACTGAATAAGAAGAAAATATGAATTTGGACTTTGTTTAAATCCTTTAAAGGGTGACTGAGGGAGTTTGTTTACACCTACGTGAATTTTAAGAGGAGAACGATTATTTAATTAGATCTTTATGCCAGCCTGGTGAGACTACTCTTTTTGGAAGGCGTGGCGAGTTGGGTGAATGGCGTCGTCACATTTGGCGAACTTGCCTGCGCCAAAGAGCACGAGCGCGCATCATCTTCTTTGGCTTGCCATCCATGCAATGGAAACCCTACTATCACTGCTCGTAAGCTGATTAGCTTCTTATTTTCTTTTATTGCCTATTATCTCTGGTGCTTAAACAGCCTAGCACAATGAGAAATCTGGCCAAACCCATTTACTTACCAAGGATCATTCCCTAAGCACAAAGGGCACCTGGGTGTGCGTGGCGGTGCGGGCAAAAGGACTCAAGTTCCAGGATGCCTGGTCTACCTGGTATGTCATGGCATTACACGACGTGTTTACAGCGATACTGAGTCACCTTGTGCGCGTGTAGCGAGTATCGACCTCGACGAATGTATCGCCCAATTGTACAAGAAAAACCTACTAGCGGAGTCATTAATCGAAGCAATATGCGCCAAAGCAAAGGAGATGCTCATGAAAGAGAGCAATGTTGTCCACATATCCGCACCTGTGACAGTTGTCGGCGACATACACGGTCAATTCTTTGACATGCTGGAAATATTCAAGATTGGAGGCTTTTGTCCAGATACAAACTATTTATTTCTCGGTGCGTGGCAGAGACAGACCCCTAGCTGCTGGCTCCGACTCTCTGACTTGTCCCCAGGTGATTATGTCGATCGTGGGCTATTCAGCGTCGAAACCATTTCCCTCCTTGTTTGCTTGAAATTACGATACCCTCAGCGCGTTCATCTCATCCGCGGCAATCACGAATCCCGTGGCGTCACGCAGTCCTACGGCTTCTACACCGAGTGCGCTAGAAAATATGGCAATGCAAATGTCTGGCACTACTTTACCGACATGTTTGACTTTCTCACTTTGAGCGTGGTGATCAATGATCAGATCTTTTGCGTCCACGGCGGCCTTTCTCCTTCGATTCATTCCATCGACCAAATCAAGATCATTGACAGATATCGAGAAATACCACATGAAGGCCCTATGGCAGACTTGGTCTGGTCGGATCCGGATCCAGAACGTGATGAATTCTCTCTATCTCCTCGGGGCGCAGGATATACCTTCGGTGGAGATGTTGTCAAAAAATTCCTCCAAGTTAACAGCATGTCTCATATTCTACGAGCTCATCAACTTTGTCAGGAGGGCTACCAGATACTTTACGATGATCGACTAAGCACGGTCTGGAGTGCACCCAACTACTGCTACCGATGTGGAAATTTAGCCAGTGTGCTTGAAGTCAGCGATACGGGGGATCGCTACTTCAATATATTTGAGGCTGCACCGGAGAACGATGTGCATCGAAATGAACAGCAACAACAACAGCAGCAACAGAATCAAGGAAAAGACGGTCAAGGATCTCATATTGAGTACTTTCTTTGATCGCTGCTCGACTCATGGCTCGAAAACGCTTTATCAGGCTCTTCGTGGCAGAAATGCATGTTGTTTCATCAAAACGACCCTGAATCTCAGCAGAGCTTGCGTGGACATGGTACTTCAAAGCTCGCACATATTCAATGAAGCCTATTGGTCGTCGGTATCCTTCCATGGAGCTCAAGCTTCTCATTTCCAATCCTTTCCAATCTCGAACGACCATTCAAATTTCAGATGCGTTGTATCATCGTCATCAACGAAGCGAGATACAGCGTCGTAATGACCACGCGCCAGCATACCAGATGGAGCTTCTTCCTTAGAGAATTTCTTTTCGTATGTTGGCTTGCCAGTTGTGTTGGGAGGAAAGCTGCCGATCATTTCTTGGTCCTTGCTTACTCGAATGCCTTTGCGCTTTGTGAGTTGAATGTACTTCAGACCTGAAAGAACCTGATGTTGGACAACGAAAGTGGCCTTCATCTGATACTCGCATCCTTCTTTGATAGTGAATGGTTTGTCCTTCAGACTCTCGAGAGCTCCGGGCTGAGACAGATCTATTGTAATATCGGGCCGTCCTGTAACTTCCTGATGCAGCATTAGAAAATGATGGGGAAAGATCGGACCTTCTTACCAGAGCAAGGGACTTGATGATACATAGACGAGGGTCGTTGGGATCAGAGATTGAGTCGCCGGTTGCAAGGCCAAGAGAGGCCTTCCAACGGTTCATTGCTTCATCTTCTTGATCTAAACACCGCTAGAGTTAGCCATTTGTGACAAGACAGGACTTGAATGAGGAGCATGGCACAGGAGCTCAAATAGGCTCAGATGAGACTTCATGATCTTCTACCCCTCTTTCCCGTAATATTATTCTTGCCGTGTGCATCGTCGCTCTAGATACAATACTGTCTACACACAGATATGGTCCCTTCCGGTTATTAGTACTCACCTAGCTTATGATACTCATCAAGAGTTTTCTTTTCTCCGACCTTGAAGCCAGGGGTATGCTCCGCTGAGATGTCGTCCGCCATGGTGATTTAGAAAGGAGTTCCTTTTATCCGCGTGCAGTGTAACAACTGTGGCAGCTTGATGAGGTCTTATGTAGCTTTGATGTAGCTGATGCGTAACACTACCGTGATATTGAAGGGATTGAATGTGGAACACTGTTGATACTCACTGGGGGGCGGTCAGAGTGGCATGTTTCACGTGATGTCTTGTTCGAACATTGTTGGAAATCCACAATTAAAGTGTCGCCCCGCAGGAGCCGCTTTTAACTGATTAAATGGAATGACGCGACGCGACTTTCTCGCGCAATCAAACCATCTACAATATCCAGGACGCCCATGTTCATCGTCACGGACACTCTGCTTCTGGCCACATTTTTTTTTGTACAGAGCGTCAGCAACAATGCCTGGACGCGTAGTAGATAACCCCAAGAGGAGGGTGCTGACCGACGCCACCAACACTCATAGCACTTTGAAGTCACCTCCATCGGCAAAGAAGAGAAAGCTCAATGGCAATGGACCCAGTGTATCCTTCCACTCGTCTCAGCATGGTCCGAATGGCGTCAGATCCAAGTTTGGCTCTAGCCAACCCAAGAGTCACTTCGAGACAGAAGTCCTCGAGAAGATGACCCAAGATATTACCGGCTTGAAAGAGAACAACGCGGAGAAAGATCAACAATGGGACAGACCAAGCCTGGGTGATTTTGACCCTCAAAGAGACAGTCTACGCTTCCAGCAGATTGAAGTAGAAGAAGGCACACTACATGGAGGAAGAGTCACTCTCAAGTTGTTTGGTGTTTCTGAGGTTAGTCATATTCAAAGCTCGACAGTAAAGATAGCAGATGCTGACCAGAAATTAGACCGGACACTCCATCTTACTCCATGTTACCGACTTCCTCCATTACATCTATGTAGCAGCCCCCGTTAACTTCCAACGGCAAGATGTGGAAGGCTACAAGGCGTACCTCGAAACTCAACTGGCACAACACCAGCCTGTCATCCACTCGGTGCAGATGGTGCTACGAGAGAATCTGTATGGGTTTCAAGGCAACCAGAAAAGCCCATACCTCAAGATCACAGTTGCAGACCCAAGGTTTATCAACCGACTGAGGTCAGCCATAGAAGATGGCCATGCCAATTATAAAGGAATGTGGAAGGGTGTGGACAGCAAGATTCTGACTTTTGACAATATTCAATATGTTTTGCGGTTCATGATTGACACCGGAATTACTGGCATGTGCTGGGTCGAGGTTCCTCCTAATAAGTATCATGTTATGCCGCAGCATGAGCGTCAATCCAATTGCCAGATCGAAGCGTATTGTCACTACCGTGATATGGTCTCCCTTGGACATGACGGAGAATGGGCAAAGATGGCACCACTACGGATCTTGTCCTTCGATATCGAATGTGCTGGTCGAAAAGGCGTCTTCCCCGAGCCCAACCAGGATCCAGTCATTCAGATCGCCAACGTTGTCACAAGGTATGGAGAATCGAAGCCATTCGTACGGAATGTTTTCGTGTTGGATACCTGCAGTCTGATTGTCAATACGCAAATATATGAGCACGACTCTGAGTCAAAGATGTTATTAGCCTGGAGGGATTTTCTGGAAAAGGTCGACCCCGATGTGATAATCGGTTACAATATTGCAAATTTCGACTTTCCGTACCTCCTTGACAGGGCGAAGCATCTGAAGTTGCCAAAGTTCCCATACTGGTCACGACTCAAGAGTGTCATATCCCAGGCCAAAGACACCAATTTCTCGAGCAAACAAATGGGCAATCGCGACACGAAAGCCACAAATACAAACGGAAGAATCCAGCTCGATTTATTGCAGCTGGTGCAAAGAGATCACCAACTCCGAAGTTACACTCTTAACTCTGTTTGTGCTCATTTTCTGGGGGAACAGAAGGAAGATGTGCACCACACTATGATTACTGAGCTTTTCAATGGTACACCTGACTCGAGACGACGACTGGCTGTTTACTGTCTAAAAGATGCTTACCTGCCACAACGGCTCATGGACAAATTGATGTGTTTGGTCAACTACACGGAAATGGCCAGAGTCACGGGTGTACCTTTCAACTATCTTCTTTCTCGTGGTCAACAAGTCAAATTTATCAGCCAGCTTTTCCGAAAAGCATTGGAGCAGCAATTGGTCATCCCTAATCTCAGAAACGAGGCATCAGAAGAACAATATGAAGGTGCTACAGTCATTGAACCCAGTAGAGGTTACTATGATGTTCCTGTTGCAACTCTCGATTTTGCCTCCTTGTACCCATCGATCATACAAGCGCACAATCTGTGTTATACCACCCTGCTGAACAAGAACACCATCGAGAAACTAAACTTGCAAAAGGACGAGGACTATATCCAAACCCCTAATGGTGACATGTTCTGCACAGCCAAGGTTCGGAAAGGGCTCCTTACTCAAATTCTGGAAGAATTGCTAGGTGCTCGTAAACGAGCGAAAAAAGAGCTTGCCGTCGAAACCGATCCTTTCAAAAAGGCTGTGCTCAACGGTCGACAGTTGGCGTTGAAAATTTCCGCCAACTCAGTGTACGGTTTGACTGGTGCTACTGTCGGAAAATTGCCGTGTCTGGCAATTGCTTCCAGTACGACGTCCTATGGTCGACAGATGATTGAGAAGACAAAGAATGAAGTCGAGTCAAAGTACACCATTGCCAATGGATACTCACACGACGCTCAAGTTATCTACGGTGATACTGATTCTGTCATGGTCAAATTTGGAGAGAAGGATCTGGCCAAAACAATGGCGCTCGGCCAGGAGGCCGCCGATTATGTCTCGGGGAAGTTCATCAAGCCAATCAAGCTGGAATTTGAGAAGGTGTACTTCCCATACCTCTTGATCAACAAAAAACGTTACGCCGGTCTTTATTGGACCAAGCCTGAAAAGTTCGACAAGATGGACACCAAAGGTATCGAGACAGTTCGCCGAGACAACTGTCGCCTAGTCCAGATCGTCATCGAGACCGTTCTCAAGAAGATTTTGATGGACCGAGACGTCGATGGCGCTCAAGACTACGTCAAAGAAACAATTGCCAACCTGCTCCAAAACAAGGTTGACCTGAGCATGCTCGTCATCACCAAGGCGCTCAGCAAAAGTGACTATACTGCCAAACAGGCACACGTCGAACTCGCCGAACGCATGAAGAAGCGTGACGCTGGCTCCGCTCCGGCCTTGGGTGATCGAGTCGCGTACGTCATCATCAAAGGCGCAGCTGGTAGCAAGAACTACGAAAAGGCTGAAGATCCGATCTTCGTGCTGGAGAACAACGTCCCGATCGACACAAAATACTACCTTGAAAACCAACTGGCGAACCCGCTCCACCGCATCTTCGAGCCCATCTTGGGCGAGCGCCGTGCGAACTCTCTACTCGCCGGCGACCACACGCGTAGCATCTCGGTCGCGGCGCCGACGGTGGGTGGACTGATGAAGTTTGCCAAGAAGACCCAAACGTGCATGGGTTGCAAGAAGCCCCTCGTCGGCAAGGAAGAGAGCAGGGGCGCCGTGTGTTCCAACTGTCAGCCACGTATCGGCGAGTTGTACACGAAGCACGTCAAGAAGGTGGGCGAGATGGAAGTGCGCTTCTCCAGACTCTGGACCCAGTGTCAACGCTGCCAGGGCAGCATGCATTCCGAGGTGCTGTGTTCTTCGAGAGATTGCCCCATCTTCTACATGCGCATGAAGGCACGCAAGGAGGTTGAAGAGGCGGGCAAGGAACTTGCGAGGTTCGATGAAGATGTGGGTGCGCTCTGGTAGGGTGGTTCCTTGCTGGGCTGCTGGAACGGTCCCAGGGCATGGATATGAATTAGATTCTCCGTACAACACGGAAACGGTCAAAGCGGCGGTTCCTATGTGGATGGAAGACACTTTGCCAATGGGCGTAAAGGGGTTTTTGAGCATTTGGGGGTTTTTATGGCACGGAGATTCGACTTTTTGCTGTGGGAGTTTGCAGTAGTGGCTTTTACGTAGGAAGCACGAAGCACGAAGCAGGTATATTTAAGAGGGTCCAAGGACGATTTGTACCACCAGCGTGATCACCTATTATTCCTGCAAAGGAGCATGACGGACGGCCCTGTTACGCGAAAAGGACCTGAGGCGCTAATCAAAGTAAAATTACATTCAATGGTATCTTGGGATTCACAATGCTCAATATTGGGATTCAAACAAAAGGGAAAAAAGCAGGTGTCGTCGCCCAACCGTTACCGCCTTTATTTTTTTTCAATCTGTCCTGCATTTCTTTCATTGGGAGTAATTTGGCCCTTCCAACAAAACTCGATACATTTGTGTTGTTGCGTGTGTTGGTCAATCAAGAACAAACACTACCATTACTCCAACCCGTTTTTTTCTCCTCTGTTTGCCTGCTCCTTGATCCTTCCTCGACCTCGCACTGCAATTCCAATGTCAAAGATCGGGGTCATCTTCCAGAACTGATCGGGTCGTCGAGCCCTCGTACAGACTTTCGAGGTCAACGGAGAGCCTCGATCCTGCGATCGATCCAACTTCCGAACCTAACATTTCCATGTCGTCGTAGACAAATGACGAGTTTGCCCTGAGTGCCTCTTTCCGGATCTGCATGGCCACGATGGCGACCCCGAGCGCGTTCCAGACATCTTGATCTTTCAGGCTGAAGTCGAACTCGGCGATGATGCGGAGTCGGTCCGTGGCTTCGCTGCTCGAAAGTGGTGGACCTGTTTGAGCATCCCGGTCGGAGAACGGAGGGGAGACCGTTTGACGAATTGAGGGGGATTGTGTAGTTTTAGATTGAACGTAAGGGCTCAACGTGACGACTGCAACGACAGAAGAAATCAAGACAAGACCAATCAGCGTTGGCAGGGAATCGTCGTCTTCCATGATTCTGGTGTTATCGTCGTCGGCGAGACTGAGAGAGTGAAGCTCGATGCTTGGTTGCACATTCCTCGCGTGGTGGTGCCTCTCTGAAAGTCTTTGCAATTTCTGGGCCATATGCTCAAGTGTTTGAAAGGTTGTTCGCCCTCGTCGCCTTCTCGTGAGCGTGTGTACAGGGATGTAGTTGGGATCCGATTTCGGTCGAAGTCCCATGTCAGTCAAGGCCCAGTACAGATATCTCTTGAGTGCTCTTTCGAGCATCTTTTCACGCTGAGCGCCGGGGCTCACGTAAGACCTGTCTCTTGCCTCGTGGCCAGCCTCGAATAGTTGACGAAGTGCACGAGCAGCTCGAAACTGCTTGTCTCTTATGTGATGGATCAGTGGCGCGACTGTGGTGTTTTCGTGAGCAAACACGCTGATTGGGAGCGTTCCAAAATCAAGCATCCAGCTCTGAGGGAGGAGAGGCTCGAAGCCGCGGTACGCCAGGTGGAAGAAGAGGTCTTTCTCGGTTTGTGACCAAATGCCCGAATTAGGTGGCAGTTGGATGCTGGCGATGTATCTGCGTCTTTCTTCCATGACACCCTCCATGTCCTCAGCCCTTCCTTTTGCAAGCGATGTTAAAGAGGCGCCGTCGTCGTCGTCGTCTCGTACAGTAGGTCTGATGGCTGGTGTGATCGAGGTAATCAATGGATTCTGAGGTATCTTGCTCTTGTGACCTGCATGTGCTCGAGGTGGTGGCATCAGCACTCGGTCATTGCTGATTTGAGGGCTTGCTTGGAATGACTTGACGGGTGAATTGACCGCCTCCTCACTGCAATGTGCGTCGCTGTTTCCGGTTGCGGTCAGCACTCGCTTTCTCACTGGTTCATCGATCTCATCGTCGACTGCCTTTCGCTTCTTGTTGCTGGAACTTATGGACATCTGTGTGCCTCTTATTGTGTCTATGCTGTCGTGTTTGGACTGGCCGGATCTAGCGTTGTCAGCTGCAACCAATGTCGAGTTGTCTGACGGCGAGGCCGAGGATCTCAAGGGCGTGAACTTGCTTAAAAAGCGGAAGGGAGCGCTGAAGAATGACGCCGCCATGGTGCAAGCGACAAAGAATGCACAGAACTGTGTCTGAACCAAGCAGGTAAGGAAGTGGTTGAATATGACAGGTTGGTGAGAACAAGGCACAGCCTTAGCAAGAAGATGGCTTGTGAATGTGCAGATCAGTAATGAGCCGATCTAGAACAGGGCGAAACACTCGCCCATACTCAACAAGCATATTGAGGCACCGTTAATAGGTCGCAGTGCAGACCGTGCAGTGACCAAGACGGTCTTCTTTGTTCGCAGGTGAGAAAAAGATGAGGTTCGTCAGAGGTTGTTCAAGAAGGATGCTGGGATGACGCTGCTAACGGCGCTGTTGTTTCAGGCATCTGTCTAGCGGCCCGTGCCCTCAACGTTCACGCGTCAGTCACAATTTAAGCTTAAGTTAGTGCATCCCGTTTCTGACTAGCGTGGCTAAGTGTTCGCGATGTCACGTGTGGCAACAATAATGTCACGAGCGCCTGGACGATGAGGGTCACTAGAAGAATACCTCACTGCAAAGCAAAGACATAGATGGATGCTGCCGAGCACGATCTTGATGCCAAACTCTACAAGGCATCAGGGAACCTCCTTCAAGAATTCAAAACCAAATTGCCGCAGCTCATATATCACCATAGCCGGCTCCCACAAACGCGACGTCTTTTTGTTCTTGATTCCAAGTGCGAGGAGTTGAGGTCGCTGGTAAGACACTTGGGTGGTATAGCATTGCTGTGTAAACTACTGACATAAACACAGCTCGATCGCTTCCAAGAATGGCCTCAGCTGTTAGATCCTCATTTATCGGAGTTTGTCCAGCTCCTGTCAACCTCCTTTGTGGACTATCTTGTCAACTCGAACAGCCACTATTGCACCAGTATCACAAGGGGCTATAGCGGCATCTCGCCTCTACCACGAGCAATATGCCGCCTCCTTTATTCGCTGTGCAAGGTTCGCGGCTACAAGGTTGTTGTTCGACTACTCAACAATGAGCCAAGGTATCTGGCTCCCATGTTGTCAACTTTCAGGACATGGAGTTCTGGTTCGTTTGGCATGGCGTGGGAAGAACGTTATATCATTATGTTGTGGCTATCACACCTGATGCTCGCGCCTTTCGAGCTAGCTAACATGTCTCTGGATGATCCGGCCTCGGACGCTGCCATTCCAGGTACCTTTGCACACCTGCCTAACGCCGCTGGCGATGTAATCTCGCTGGCTCTAGAGCAACTCGAAAGCTCAGGTAAAGAACGAGAGGCTGCAAGTGTGTTACTGGTACGCTTGAGTCTTCGGACGGACATGCAAGCTCATAATGTGGCGTCAGTCCTCGTTGATTATGCGGTCGAAAGCCTCCTCCACGATCAAGACCTGCTGAAGACCAGTCCCTACAGAGCTCTTGGCCTCCTGTCCCTGATTTATGGAATTATAAGTGCGAGCTCTGACAGCGAAGCAGCTCCATTCATTCAACCCCTTTTTCGGAGCATGATAGAACTGGCAAATAGCCGGCAGAAATCGCATACTGGCATTCGAGATTCCGCTCCCGCAAGGAAACTCATTCTGAAAATCCTAAGATCTATTTTGACTCACGCAATATCTCTCAACGAAAACACCAATACTGCCTCTGAGGACTTGCTGACCAATATGCTGGAGGAGAGTATTCAGTATTTTCTGGATGCTCTGCACGACAAGGACACGCCTGTGAGAATGGCGGCTGCAAAATCTCTCAGTGTCGTTGTGCTGAAGTTGAGCTCAGATATGTCGCGAGAAGTTATTGAAGCTATACTGAGTTCTCTTGAGGAAAACGTGCTTCTCGAAACCCCAAAGACCCAAAAGCTCGTGCCTATCACAGACCAGGCCAAATCTGACTCAATCGGCTTGAAGAGGAACATCAGCGCCGTCGATCCTCTTCAATGGCATGGACTGATGTTGACATTGGGACATCTTTTGTTCCGGCGGTCCCCTCCTCCTGACATTCTCCCGGAAATCATCCAGGCCCTGATTCTTGGGCTAGAGTTCGAGCAAAGGTCAAATGTCGGAACATCTGTCGGAATCGGCGTCCGCGATGCTGCTTGCTTTGGTCTTTGGGCATTGGCTCGAAAGTACAGCACTGTAGAGCTGGGCCTGATCTCCGTTTCGAGTTTTGCTGAAGCGGCACAGGATTCGTATATGGACTGTAAGAGTGTTCTGCAGTTAATAGCGATCAAGCTGGCTATATCTGCCTGCTTCGATCCTTCTGGCAATATACGACGCGGATCTTCCGCAGCTCTGCAGGAGCTCATCGGACGGCACCCCGATATCATCATTCATGGTATACCAGTGGTACAAATTGTCGACTATCATGCCATCGCTCGGTTGTCCAGAGCTATGACAGAAGTCGCTCCACAATTAGCAACCCTGGGCCAGATATATCACAGGCCTCTTCTACAGGCACTTGTTGAGTGGCGAGGTGCACGCGCTACTGATGTCAACCAGAGACGGTGGGCTGCTGATGCCATCTCCCGTCTCACGAAGCCGTCAACAGCTGAGGTCACCTTGCTACTCATCAATGTCACTCTTGAGCAGCTGTTCGACATGAAACCGGCCAATATCGGCAGCACAGCAGCTGCCCGGCACGGCCTACTTTTGGCCCTGACATCGGCACTGGAGTCAGCCACAGACAGTGACTCGATGACTATGAAGTCTTGGTTCATGAAACAGGAACAAGGCATTTATGCGTTGACACGATTGACTGGTAGGATGGACGTGAGAGTTACTGCTGATTTGGAGCTTGTCATGGAAGGAATCGCTGCCTTGATAGGAGCCATGTGCCGAACTTTCAAGATTCTCGGATGCGATTGCTCGAGTGGTATCCAGCAGGAGTGGATGGTCTCTGCATCAGAAATTTTGAATCAATGCACAGTAGCCGGTGTGAAAGTTGCAGTGGTCCAGGCAAGCAGCGAGGCCAATCTGGATCTGATCAAGATGCTTCCGGACTCAGCTGATGCCGAATTGGTCGAGAAGTGGCTGGACAGCAAGGCCCAGGCTCCCACAGCTTTCACGAGTAAAGGTCGAATCAAGACGTTAAGCCTTGTCCATGCCTACTTGGCTAGCTTGGGTCTACATTCGAGCCTTCAAAAGTCCATCAAGTCATATACCATTGGAATCGTACAAGGCAGCCACAAGATTGAAACTAGAGTTGATGCTATGGAGGCACTTGGTGTGATTATTGTGAACTCAGACCTCTGCTCACGAAACGAAGCAGAGGAGATGGCCGAAGTCCTCTGCTGTGGCTTGGACGACTACTCGAACGATCAGAGAGGTGATATTGGCTCGATGCTTCGTCTTCAAAGTATTGATGCCCTCGACGCTTATCGCATTGGGTCATCTCAGTCGTCAGAAGTCATTTCCCAGACTTGCCTGCCATACGTGGCAAAACTGGCGTCGGAAAAGCTCATCAGTGTTCGCTTCCGTGCGTGGAAGTGCTTAGAAGGCTACTGGGGAACGAGTACAAATCTGCCGCAGCTCGAGCAGTGAGTTTGATATTTTTGTTTCAATGGATATACAGGACTGACATTGCTAGTACCTTCGACTATCCTGCCGACGTGTCGTCAATTTCCTACTTTCTGGAGCTCTTGAAGCTCCTCCAAATTTCGAGCTTTCGCGAGCACCTCCTTACAGGCTTCGTCTCATCAGCCACTTCGGGGACAGAGGATATCTGCCGTGCTGCAAGCAATGCATTTGTGACATATATGCAACAGCTCGATGATGAATCTCGCAAGAGAACGACCGAGAAGGTCTCCTCCATTATCCTTGACCAGCTGAATCAAAATGCGTTACAAGATGATCGACAGGTTGTCCCGCTCCTTCAATTCCTGTGTTTCCTCCTGGATCAAAACTTGTTGATCGAAGCCTCGGCGGATATCTGGGCCATCATGAAGAAGGTGCACAGCCCTAATTCCAGTCTGTCAAGGATAGAGGCTGCGATGAATTGTTATGCCAGACTGCTCGCAATCGGCCACTACCAGAGGCAGGCTAAGGACAAGCTCACGCGCCAGTTGCTTCATCGCTGGCCAAAGGTAGATGTTTTCCAATTTCCAGTCCATATACCATTATTGATGCATATTCGCAGGTCCGTAATGATGCAGCAGATCTGTTATACTTTGAAACCGGCAACACCATGTTGGCCACGGTCGACTGGAATGGAGCTCTAACGAATACCAAGCCGGTTGTCCTTAAACTAAGGAAAGAGCTTGGAGTTTCCGGGATCGACACTTCCAACTAGTAGCTGTGCAGTATCCAGAGTGACAAAACAGATCAACTAAGTGCTGGGATCGATGATCAACCGTCCAGCCCGCGCGACTTCAAGCACCGTGAGACGGTGTCCTTGACGGACTTCTCGTTGTATTGTTCCCAGGCATCGTACAGCGCTATCATCTCCTGTGTTCCTTCGATCATCCGCTCAATGTCAATACCAGATTCTACCAGGAATTTCATCGTGTTCTGCATTTTCTCCGACTCCTTCGCCGTGGCAATTGCCTTTTCTTTGTCGAAGGGCTGAGTATCACTCTGCTGCATTCGAGCTTTGCCATTCCCATTGGAGGTGTTTGGCAACACTGCTTGGCTCGACATCTGGAGATTCCCCAGGACACCTCCAAATGAACCAGAAAGGTTCTGGCGGCCGACGAGAGACGAGAATGGCCCGTTGTCGGGGTTGGACAGAGTTTCATGGGACAAGGGTCGCAAGGTTCCTGTGGACTTGGCTGTTGGCAGGAAGACCACTGCAAGAAACATTGCAATAACTGCAGTGAGATGTGGAGCACATGTCAAGGGCAAATCCGTCATGAAACTGTCGTTGATGATGGACCAGGCTAGACCAAGTTCGTCGTTGGACAACTTCAGATCTTGATTCTCCTTAAGTGCAATCAGAGATCGATATGGATGCCAAACGATTAATTGCGACCGCATATCGGAAATGAGACAGAATTCCATCTCACCCAATCTTGCGACGTCTCCAGGAATAAATTCTGGCCACGACTGTCTGGCCTCGGCAGCAACAAGTCGTACGTGGTGAGGCGATTCCTCTGTCTTGGACGCTAGATAAAAAGCCGTTGCCGCCAAGAGGTACAGATTGACATTCTGCATCGGTGTCGAGAGGAAGTATCTGTGCAAGTAGACCAGAGCTGTTGCCACACATTGTTGTCTGAATTGCAGGCGCTTAGCCAGCTGAAGCAGACGATCACGCAAGAAAATCATCATGTGTCTCCGGTCCGGATAGGGATGTTGCTCGATGATTTTCGCATTCTGTTTCTCGAGATCATCGCGGATGTCGACGAGCTTGTCCGGTGTAAACGTCCAGAATTTCCGCTGGGTCGAAGTCCAATAATTCGCAGCCATTATCGACGTACTTTTTGGTTGGTACTTCACCAAACTGCTTGAACGGCCTTTTACGGCCTGCCTGATCACAGCGGCGCAGATGGATTTCTTGCCGGATCAACAGCTGCCATGTCCCTCATAATAGCATGTTAATTTTCAGGCTTTACCATTCAATATCAGATGGGCCTCATTGTAGTGTGTCGCTGCCATATGAAGAGACCGAGATGTGTTTTAAGTTCCTGCCTCAGCGCACTCTGGAGTTGCCATTAGATCTGGAAGGTGAGCCGAGGTTCTACTAAAGGTGCCGCTTTTACAGTGCAGAAGGCGAGTAGAGGAGTACGATCAAAGGCCACAAGGATTAATCCCAGGATATGACCTGTGCATCGCCGACAACCAATAGAGCGTGTCGAAGAGATCAAAAGATAATACATTCAGCCCTCACGCCAAAGCCAGCATAGTTATCGATTCTGCTGGGATTTTTTGGCTGGCAGGTGTTCACGTCTCATGGCGTTTTGGGCGCAGGTCAACACTAACCCCACACAGACGTCACAGGCTGAAGTCGCAGTTGTACCCAACCCGAAAGCTCACAATGGACCACACTTGCTCGTACATATTCCCTTGACCAGTACCAGCTCCACCTGCAACAAATCTGTTCTTCCTGGAATTCTCACCCATCAACAAGCCCAGGCAATCACAGCCACCTGCTCTTGTTGCAAAGGGTGTGCGGCCTGAACAGCATCCATTGTCACAGGCCTTCAAGGAATCTCATCCACCTCAATCGCCGCCTGCAAAGCTCGGCTAGTCACAGACAAACAACCATGCTCCCTCACAGATAGCCTCAACTCTCACACCATCAAGGCGGAGCATGAACGGAGAGTCACACGAACACCGCGAACAGCGGATTCAAGAATTATGGCGAACTCTCGACACCCGTAGCGAAGGTCAACTTGACTTGGGGGCTCTGAAGAAAGGCCTGCGCAAAATCGATCATCCTCTCAAAAACGCCGATGATCTCCTTCACGATGTCCTCAAAGCCGTCGATACTTCGGGTGACGGAAGAATACAGTACAATGAGTTCAGGGTGTTTGTTGATCATGCCGAAAGAGAGTTGTGGCAGCTCTTCAACAGCATTGACAAGGACAATAGCGGCGCGTTGGATAAGGGAGAACTTCGTGCTGCGTTCAGCAGGTCCGGAGTGACGATCAGTTCTGCCAAGTTGGATCAATTCTTTGACGAGGTCGATGTGAATCATGATGGCGAGATCAGTTTTGAAGAATGGAGGTGAGAACAATGATTTATTTCCGGCGTTGGAAGTTTCTAACCCATCTCAGGGATTTCCTACTCTTCTTACCGGCGGGCCAGTCTAATCTTCGGGGGGTATTGTCCTACTACTCAGCTACGGGCAATGTCAATCAAGAAGGGGATGTCACCATCAATGATACTCTTCAAGGGTTTGGTAGGCTTTGCCCTTCCCTTGTTTCATTTCGTCACATCCCATTTTGCAGCTCAAGCAATTCATTCCTCCAGTAGAATGCGGTCTATACCGTAATTCTTCATCGTCTTGTGTTAATGTCTTTACCCGGTTGACCCGGTTGACCCGGTGTTGTCCACGAGGAGTTTTATAACACGGCAGACCCTAACCATTGTTGACGATGCTGACAGATTTTCTCCCTCCGCTAGGCTATTTCATAGCTGGTGGGCTTGCAGGAATGGTTTCGCGTACAGCGACTGCTCCACTCGACCGGCTGAAAGTCTACCTAATTGCGCAGACAAATCCGAAAGAAGCCACAATCAAAGCTGCGAAGGAAGGTGCCCCCTTTCAAATGATCAGAAATTTTGGCAGGCCCTTGGTTGATGCATGCAAAGAACTTTGGGCTGCTGGTGGTTTGCGTAGTCTGTTCGCTGGGAATGGTTTGAACGTGGTCAAGGTTATGCCTGAGTCGGCCATCAAATTTGGTGCATATGAGGCTGCTAAGAGAGCTTTTGCCAAAATCGACGGGTCAGATCCTAAGCATCTGCAACCGACATCCCAGTTTCTTGCCGGTGGTATCGGCGGTGTGGTATCTCAATGCGTCGTTTACCCGTTAGATACCCTCAAATTGTGAGTCTCACACTCGCACTATACTGACTTTCACTAATCACCATCTTCTTCAGTCGAATGCAGTGCGAGACTGTCTCGGGAGGCTTGCATGGGAACGCTCTGATCATTCAAACGGCCAAAAAGATGTGGAAACAGGGGAAACTCATGCCCTACTATCGAGGCCTCGGGATGGGCCTCGCTGGTATGTTCCCCTACAGTGCTATCGACCTGTTTATTTTTGAGAACTGCAAGAACTTCGTTCTGGCTCGTAAAGCACGGCAAGCACGATGTCACGAAGAAGATGTCGACATGAGCAATATCGTGACCGGTGTTATCGGAGCTACATCTGGCGCGATAAGTGCCACAATGGTGTACCCAATCAACCTACTCCGAACAAGATTGCAAGCTCAGGGGACGGTATTACATCCACCGACATATACCGGTATTGTGGATGTCACTAGGAAGACCATCCAGGGCGAAGGAGTGAAAGGCCTGTTCAAGGGTGTGACGCCAAATCTTCTGAAGGTTGCCCCGGCTGTTAGTATCAGTTATATCGTTTATGAAAACAGCAAGGCACTGTTGGGCCTGCGTTGAGAACAAGCATAGCGTTTTATGTGGACTGTGTATACATACGGAATCGCCAATAAATGTATCGAAAGAGCGGTCTCTTTTCAATCCAGGGACTATTCCATCCTTCGGTCTTCTCGCTACCTACAGTGGATCGTTTGTGTGTTGCCATCGAGTCAGTAGAGCGATCCGTGGTATCCAACTTCATCAATGTGACGCCAGACTACTGTAGCCCCTCGTATTCAGTGTCACCAGAGTGGGCTTGTTAATTAATCAGAATGCGGACATTGGCGGGTCTGGAAGTGCGGGATACCGTGCCTGACTTTTTTATTGATGACTCCCGAGGGTTTTTTTAAGCGGGAAACTGTTCGACAGGCCACGCCCACGCCCACTAGACTTGAACCCCACGGTCGAGACTATTCTTCGGCTCATTGCCTTGCAGCGCAGGCTTTCGATTTGAGTGCTCAATTTGAACGTTATCATCAACACCAAGATCTACACAGTAGACACCTTCCAGCGACCTCTCCTCTCGCAAAGCTAGTCCTCGAGCGCCCACCTTTATCTAGGTACCTCTAACTAAGCGTTACCATAATCTTGCGAAACCGATAGACCCGATTCAACTGCATGGTCACACTCTCTAGCATGGCCGCACTTGAAGCACACTCGAGATAACACTTTGTTCCCATTGCCACTGCACGCAACGCAGAAGCAATGATATTCCGCGCCGGCCTCTGCTTATCAGTTGGCAGGCAACACAGTAGCAACAGCAGGACGACATCATTATTCCGACCCAAGAATGGAGACAGCAATCGAGGCCGAGCCGGTACCTCCCCAGACTTCTCCTAGTCCAGATGGTCAGACAGAGAATGCAGACACGTCCATACCGAGCGTGTCAAAAGGAAAGAATAAAAACAAGGAGCAAGAGAACAATGCTTCCACGAAAAGGCGATGTGTAAGCACGGCCTGTATCGCATGTCGCAAGCGCAAATCGAAGTGCGACGGAATGCTACCGAAATGCGCCGCATGCGCATCAGTTTATTTGACGGAATGCGAATATGCACCGCATACAGACCATCGTCGCAAAGGCGTATACAAGAAAGACGTTGACGCTTCCAAGGCAAAATTTGCTACCCTCCAAACATTGTTCCAGGCTCTTCTAAATGCCGAGGAGGAAGATGTCATGGATCTAGTTACCCAGATCCGCACTTGTGACAGTCTTGAAGAATTGGCCGCCAGCATAGAAACGCGGGAGAAGGGTCTGGCTGAGGGACCCGCCGAGTCAGGCCACAACGACGATGATAAGGATGTGCCACAGTTCGAGGCCGAGCTATCAGGTAAGATGGGAGACTTGATGTTGGATGGGTCGGTCAAATTCATCGGTGGTACCTCCAACTTGATCTGGCTCCCCCAGGACTACGAACATAAAGGTTCCGCTCCGTCACCTTCTCAAGATCTCGCGCTCCGACCAAAAGAGGAAGCGATACTGTCATGGACAAAGGTAACTCAGAACAAGGATGATATCCTGCACTTTATGAACATGTACTTTTGCTGGCATTATGCATTTTTTACGACACTGGCCAAGGAACTATTCTACAGGGATTTCTTGACTGGAACGTCGTCTCAATATTGTTCTCCTCTCCTGGTCAACATTATGCTTGCTCTTGGATGCCATTTTTCTTGTCGACCAGCTGCTCGCAAGGATCCTGACGATTCGGGGACGACCGGTGATCATTTCTTCGCGGAAGCCAAGAGATTACTATACGAGGATGATGAATTTGCCAACGCCAAACTGTGCACGGTCCAAGCTCTCGCCTTGATGTCCGTCAGAGAAGCTGGATGTGGCCACGAAAGCAAGGGCTGGGTATATAGTGGCATGAGTTTTCGAATGGCATGTGACTTGGGCCTGAACGTTGACGCACAACCGATCAACGAATTGTCTCGACTAACAGACGAGGGCATTGATGCAAGAAGGATCACATTTTGGGGATGCTTCCTCTTTGACAAGTGAGTTGATTTCGTTCTCTCCCAAGGCCTAACTAATTGTTGCAAGATGTTGGTCAAATTACCTTGGCCGGCAACCGCAGCTACTTTTGAACAACATCACGGTCAAAAAGCCGGATGTCTTTCCTTCAGAAGATAGCGAGGTGTGGTCACCTTATACCGACTCTGGCATCATTCAAGCGCATGCTCAACCAGCGCGGACAAGGGCTGTTGCTCTACAGCTATCCAAACTCGCCGAAATCTCCAGTGATCTATTGACGTCTTTCTACAATCCTGAACAATTACAGAAGCCTCATTCAAAACAAATCGAACTGAAAAGACTCACCGATCTCCATACCCGATTAGAAGCCTGGAAGCAAAACTTGCCATCAGAAATGGAACCTCGTGAAGGTCAACTGCCCCAGGTCCTTCTAATGCAGTAAGTTCAAGGACAGATGAATGGATCAATCAACAAATTAACACTTCTCTAGCATGTTCTTTCAGCTATTATACATACACCTCTATCGCCCATTCCTCAAATATACACGGCCAACATCTCCCCTACCTGCTCACGTATCTCCTCGGAAATACTGTACCCAAGCTGCTGGTTCCATCTCGAAGCTGTTTCGCTTATACAAGCGTACACACGGTCTCCGCCAGATCTGCAACATAGCAATCTATATTGTGCATTCGGCCTGTACAATTCACTTGCTAAATTTGCCCGATAAGAATGCCCGGCGCGATATCATACATGGCACAAAACACCTCGAAGAGATGGGTGAATGTTGGACCGCTGCCCGCCGAACTTTGCGTGTGCTCCGCTTGTGTGCAGACCGGTGGACCATCGACATGCCGGAGGAGATTGATATCGTCTTTCGCCGAGTCAAAGTAAAATGGGGTCTGGCCGAAGGATCATCTCCAATCTCGCCGCAGACCATGGGCCACTTAACGAAACAGATGACGAGTCAACCTGTGTCAGATATCATGGCACAAAATATTGCTCAGGAGCAGCAAAATTCTATGGACATCAACCCGCAGATGCAAGGAGGCCTCTCGGCACCTACAGCCCCAACCCCGGCGGAGCAGATTGATACAAGAAGATCGACAGGGAATTTGTCCATGCCTCCTGCAAACGCGGCGGAACTAGGGCGCGATCCACAACGTATCAGAGCATCGACGCATCTCACCAAAGCACAACAAGAAGCGTGGAATACGCACCAAGCCAGACTTGCCAACACGGCGGCCCTGGCGGGGGTGGGCACAAGTAGCAACCACGGCTCCTCAGGACAGAATGCTGCCAAGTTGTTTGGTGGGGTTGACAGTCTGATTGAAGATGCGCAAGATTGGTTCTTCCGAGATCAGAACCAACTTGCAATGGGATTTGAGAACTGGGGAGAACCGAATGGAGGCGATTGGGGCACGTTGGATCTGAGCTTCTTCGATGCCGATGGCGCAGGTGCGGCCGGGGCTGGTGCAGGAGCCATCACAGGCACCGCCAGTCGGATAGGTACCGGGACAAGTGGAAGCAGTCCGGCATACGAGTATACAGGTCAGTATTATGATCCTGGGAATGGGGTCGGAATAGGTGGAGGTGGAGGTGGAGGGATGGTCGGCGATGCACTTGGCTTCCCTTCGGACTATGACTATACGACTACCAGCACTGGTGGATACCCTAACCCTGGTGCAGGGTTTGGTGGAACGGATATGAATGCCATGAATGGGAGTAGTGGCGTAACGAAGATGAGCATGTCCGGAATGGGGCCAAACATGAGTGGTGATGGTGGCGGTGTCGGTGGCCCCGGTATACGTCTATCGGCCCCAACAGGCGGTGCGAATGGGATGGGGAATATGAAGCGAAGTCGAGGGTCAGGCCAGGGACAGGGTCTGAACATGACAGATTTCAATGACGAGATGTACTATTAATGATGACTTATGGATATGATATGATTTTGGGGGGAACAAGTCAAGATCGTTTCTCCTTTACGAGTACTCGGGAAGTGGCCTGGAGTATGAAGTACTCGTGATGAGTATTCTATCTCCGAGGGAATAGATGGACGACTTTGGGGCTTGTCAACAACGTCAGTACTTGTGTATAGAATATGAACATATAAACATCAATATACAGTACGTGGACCAATGGGCAGTTACCGTAAAGGTTTTTTTTATTTCTTCCGGGTGAATGGAAGGAATGCCCAGGTAATAATATGGCGCAAGTACGAGTTGTTGGCCGGAAGAGGGACATGTGATCTTTCCTGGGAAAAAGTCATCCAAAATGATCATCCCGGGTAGAAATACGAGTAACATCGCAGGTCGATACGGAATGAGGGTTCCGTGTGTGTGTGTGTGTGTGTGTGTGTGTGTGAGAGAGAGAGAGAGAGAGAGAGAGGGAGAGAGAGAGAGAGAGAGAGAGAGGGAGAGAGAGAGAGAGAGAGAGAGAGGGAGAGAGAGAGTTGATTCTGATTCTGATTCTCACATCAGGACCAGGTCATGTCTTTTTGGTTGAACGGTAGAATACAATGAACAAAATGAAGTCAAAAAAGATCAAACTCAAACAAAGACCCCGAGGTTTCGGGAGTCAAAGTGTACGAGTACAGGAACGATCACGCAGTACCGAGGTGGTATCGACGAATCCCGTATGCATACTCCGTACCTGGGTAAGGGTACACCTCCTACGAAGTATAGGTAATAGAGATCTCAAAGGTCGGACGGAAACAATATGCTGCCGTTCCGAGCGAGGCTCTTTACAGAAAGGGGTCCGAGGGCAAGGCTGTATATGCAAATAGTGAAAAACAAAAACAAAAACACCCAGAAAAACCATCTCCGAGTCTGCAAATCGTGTGGGAAACCTTGCTCACGTTGACAAAAAGGACAAACCCTGTATTTCTTTTTTCGTCTCAAACAGAAAAAAGTAGAATGTCAATGTGGCGAATGCTTTTCGCCCTCTCCCCATGCGAATGCATTCCGTCATATCCAAAGCACAGATCCAAATCCCATTTCTAGCCCTGCTATGCATACACACACACACACGCACACATACAAATTGACGGGTTGGTTGTCCCAGCCGCCCTCACATTGAATAGACGGCGTACCGTGAGACCAAACTGGCTCTTTTTTTCCTTGCTATCCTTACTCCGCCGTGCGACGAAAGTGGAGAGGGGTATTGAAGATGAAAGAAGAAAAATCCAGGACACCATAAAATCCGCATTATGTCATTTCCTTTCCGTGACACCATAGCAACGCCGTGGAGAAAAACAAAAACCAAATGTCGTAACACCCTGGGAGCAAGTACATCTAAAACTCCTCGTTGAAGTTGAGGCCGCCGGCATCTTCTTCACTCTTCTCCTCGCCTGGAGATGTGGACTTCTCATCTCTCTTGGAGGTCATGACACCGGCTTTCTGGTAGTCACCGACACGCTTCTCGAAGAAGTTGGTCTTACCGGCGAGGGAGATGTTCTCCATCTGTGGTCCTGTCAGTAAGTGCAATGCATCGACATTGTAGGGCACGTACGAATGAGAATGGATTCTGTGCATTGTAGAACCGCTTGTTGCCAAGAGCCAGCAGTAGACGGTCGGCGACGAATTCGATGTACTGTTGCATGAGCTTGGCGTTCATTCCGAGGAGGGCCACTGGCAGAGCATCCGTCAAGAATTCCTTCTCGATGGTGACGGCCTCAGTGATGACCCTCTCGATCAGCTCTGGAGCCGGCTTGTGCTTGAGGTGCTGCATCAACAGACAAGCGAAGTCGGTGTGCATGCCCTCATCACGAGAGATCAACTCATTGGAGAAAGTCAAGCCGGGCATGAGGCCTGAGGCTGGTCAGTACCGGATCGTGTCACAACATGAAGAGACATACCCTTAGACTTGAGCCAGAAGATAGAGGCGAATGAGCCAGAGAAGAAGATACCCTCAACTGCAGCGAAAGCAACAAGTCGTTGAGCAAAAGACGAGTTCTTGTCGGAGATCCACTTCAGTGCCCAGTCGGCCTTCTTGCGAATACATGGGATTGTGTCGATAGCGTCGAACAGGTAGGTCTTCTGCTTCGGGTCTTTGATCTATTTCGAGGTTAGGTATACTCTTGCGGAGATAGGAGAGGGCCAACGCTCACATAAGTATCAATCAAGAGTGAGTACATCTCGCTGTGGATGTTTTCAATCATGATCTGGAAGCTGTGGCCCAAAGTTAGCACAGAGCGAAGAAGGCGACCTCTAGGTAGCATTGACTCACCCATAGAAGCAACGAGCTTCGGGTATCTGCACCTCGTTGCTGAATCGCTCGAGCAGGTTCTCATTAACGATACCATCGGAAGCGGCAAAGAAAGCCAGGACGTGGGAGACGAAGTATCTCTCGTCGTCGTTGAGTCGGTTGTGCCAGTCATGAAGATCCTTTGACAGATCAACTTCTTCGGCAGTCCAGAAGCTGGCTTCTGCCTTCTTGTAGTGATTCCACTGAGTGACGATCCACGTTAGTCCTGGTCATGTAGTTGCGGGACGGAGACGCGTCGCGCAAGCACTCACAATCTCGTGATACTTGATGGGAAAGAGAACAAATCGGTGCGGGTTCTCTTTGAGAAGGTCTTCTTCTGCTTCCAGCTCTTTCAGTGTCTTGGGTCGGTTTTGTTCCTCGGACTTTGGAGCCTCTTCTTGCACCTTTGCTAGCTCGAGCTTTTCGGTCATTACTGGAGCGGCATCGACAGCAACAGGATTGTTCTCTTTGTCGTCAACGTTGAAGTTGAGCTTCTTGATGGGGCTGTCCTTGACTTTGAGGTTTTCGAGGCTCGAGGCCGCCTGAGCGTATAGCATTAGTGATATACTCTTTTTGGTCAATCGATGACGGCAGTGGCAAAACGAACCTGCTTTGACGGCGTGATCTGGGTCTGGGTATCCATTGTCTTTTGTTGTAAGTAGATGAGAGTCTAAACAAAGAAATGTAGCAAAGAAGTACTGGAGGTAGAGACTTTGACTTGTTGTGAGACGCGAAGAGTGGAAGAAGAACTGATGCTCGAAAAGCCGGAGGCTGCACGGTTTTAATTGAAGATTCACGTAACGCGCTAGCGCGACCGCGTTTTCCAGGAGAGCCCGTTAATTGATCCTGGCAGCCTCCACTTCCACATCAACACTCGTCACTGACCAGCGCGCGACTGTGGATTTCGTCTGTTGTCACAGCACTGAGATCTCTGCTTTACCCTCTGTCAATCAATTTGGTACTGACCGACATCTCCTTGATGGCCTGATTTACCCGCTTCCAAGGCAGCAGCCCGAGTCTGGACCAATATCATCCAATATTGCGGAAGACCTGTGCGGATCTAATCTAATCTGATCGTCTTAAAGTGCTCCAATGTCACGTGTGACCGTGAACAAGCGTGTTTTCAAGGGTCAGTAGCTCGTCAACCTGCATGAGTAGTCTGTTGTCACTCCTCTTTTTGCCCTGGGTGCCACGATCCTCTCAGTGCCACATCCGATGGACCATCATGCTACTCGATGTGCAATACCGAGTACCACCTCTGATAGATTGCTTCACATTGAAAAGCGGCGGAGATGGGCTATGTTGTTCCCAGGAGAGATTCCAGTGAAGGCTAATTTCATCTAGAACGCACATTTTTGAGTTCAATTGCACCCAGAAGTCTTTACCTGCTTGTGTCCAAGATGTATATTGATCGCGCGTCTGCCATTGTACACCCATGTTGTTCTCCAGGCTCCGAAATTCGGAACTCATTTCCAACTCATGGCGGCCCAGGTCAACCAGTCAGTTGAACCTTCGGACAATGTCACGACTGTATTCTACCAAGTTGACAATTTCATACACCGTGCAAGTAAGCACAATGGAATCTGAGGTTCTTGGGGAATGTCCGTGTTAGATATGCGAGGAAGAGTCACGAGATGACAATGCCCAAGAGAGTGTGCGAATCGTTAGAGAGACATGAAGACAGACCCCAAGAACAAGGATAATGGGACTCGCAATAGCAGAACAAAGCTGGTGGAAACGATGTCTTTCAGCTGACGCCGAGGCTGAGCATCTTGATATCGTTGATGTGAAGCAACAGAAGCTGGAAATCGTGGACAGAACAGTCGTCAGGGAGCCGAATAATCAATGAAAGGAGTTAGGATCGGACTTGTTGTCGCCATCTTGTTCACTATTGAGTCAGATGCTATGGGTATTTGTCTCAGTATCAGAGATGGCTACATAGGCATGCGATTCTGACTGGATTGTAAGTGGCTGGATTACATTGTTGCTCACCATGCTCAGAATACCTGTCTCCAAAGCCCGAGTTTACAAGCAATAGAATTGGATCGAAGAATGTAGGACAGATAAAACTACTTGCCTGATTTAGAAGAGATCAAACGACAAAGAAAGCAAACATATCTGGACGTACAACATTGTACAAAGAGGGGGAAGGAGTGAGGTGAGGATGAATGGCCGACACGTAATCTTCAACGGAGCATTGTTCATACTGTTTGCACAACAGGTGTAGTCCCGTACAAAACTCATCGGTGTGCGAACGATAACTACAAAATGCCTACCTACCTGAGGTATAGAAAGCATCTTAACAGTTCCAGTGCCTACGCAATCTTCTCTATTGCCCGAGTTCTAATTGTTTGCAATATGTACAGTACAAAGGCTTGGAAATGGTGACCTCTGACACGGGCTCGGAGTCCAGCGTCCTTTCCTCTGAATATGTTGTCTATAAAGACCTTCATAACTTATCCTTGAGGGCCTGCGGTAGAATCCGCGTCTCAATGCCACGTACAAACTTGTTTGTCTGCTCCGCCAGACTCAGCGTGAGGATCGTATGAGGCAATATCCGAGCCAAATGAGCCGTAAATCCCTTGTACACACTAAGAAGTCCTTCTGTCTTGATTGTCTTGTACAAGCAATCAAAAATACCGCTGTAAAGATTGCCGTGCTGGTTGTATAACCTAGCCATCACTGTGTCCTACATTTTTGGTCAGTAAATGAGGCGATGAGTACGGGCACCGTTGTACTTACTGGAGGATGCATCACACAACAAACCACAAAGCCACTAGCTGTTGAACTCAGCAGATGCAAAGCAGGCCCGTCTTCCATGCCAGCATGCCGCATTAACCGTCGTTTAGCGAAGAAATATGTTGGTAATTGTACGGAGCTGCCAGCACCGGTTCTGACCATCGAAGCGCCCATCCCTCGATATAAGCCTCGAACTCCTTCCGTACTATAAATCTGTCTGATTCCATCCATCGCATTGCGGTACTTGTGCTGCGTCCCAACGGGAAGAAAGGGCGAATAGGACTGTAATCGAGTTTTTACGAGGAAGAAGGGAGAGCCAGCCATGGCACCAAGAATTCCTGAAGCCGCACCAGAAAAGATGTTGACACCGAGAGACTGAATATTGGCGTCCTTAAAGATAAGTTTCGTCCCAGCTGCCCTCAGTGGTTCGTAGAAGCCTAATCTACACCCATTGAGCAGGATCTGGTAGACATATGCACACCCAATACCCCGATAGATTCCTCGAATCCCTTCATTCTTGACAATGACTCCTACGCCATGAAAGACACCTTTGTATTTTTTGACCGCGACATCTTTTGACTGTAATTCTCCTTGTAGTTGTAAGCGGATCTTGACTGTCTCGAAAGGGTGTGTCGCAGTGACAGCGCCGCAAGCTGCAATGCCACCTGCGATGAATGCGCCGGTCGTAGTCGACATGGCGGACGGCCGATATCGCTCGAGGTTAAGAAATTGCTCTCCAATTGAATTTACTCTGGATTTGAGAACAACGAGAGTGTGCTACCGCCATGCAATGTCCTCAACTTGAGGGAGGGGGCGAAGTGCGGGCTGTCAGCACGTTACTGAGGTAAAGGTTGAACAAGACGGAGCGCAGAGTGACTGTGTTAGAAAAATAAATCCTGTGGTTGAAGCTCACTTTCTCTCTCACCGCGAATAGCCGCAGCCAGGTTGTCAGCATGGGCTCTCTAGGCTTGGTTCCCCCAGGCCTGATTGTTTTATTAGTTGGATGTTCTAGTTAAACCTTAGGCACGGATACTCCATGGGCTTCCTCGATTTGTTGGAGAAGCCGCCCCCCAACTCGGACACTAGAGGTATCTCTCGACTAAGCCTTTACTAGTCCAGCCAAGCACCTACGGTATTTAATTTTTGTACATGCCTCAGCAAGCCCGCATCGGCAAAACTGCAGGACGCGTTCCTGGATCGCCCATCATCCCTCCATATCCTGTGAACCCACGCATTCATTCTCGGACCTCATTGTACCCAGCCACTATAGTGCAGACGACCATCAACAGCAGGCGGGTCTCTCAAAATCTTCTGGCGGGGACTCGTTGGTCGTCATGGCCGCCGTCCAGCAGAAAGTCCAAGATGTGGTCAAGCATTATCGACCAGCAAGAGTATATACCGCTCCCAAATGATACAGACTCATGCTAATGTATGGCAGCAATTTCCTGGCTCCACGCGATCTGATGGAGTCGACAGTCGCGTCACATCCCTAGACTTCGATGACATGGGCGAATTCCTCGTCGCAGCTTCAGATGACGAAACTATGCAGGTTTATGATATCAAAGAGGGAAAGAGAACGAAAGTTATACCTAGCAAGAAGTATGGCATACACCTGGCTCGCTTCACACATCATCCGCGCAATGTGCTCTTTGCCAGTACGAAACAAGAAGACTCCCTTCGCTTGCTGGAACTGCACAACGAAAGCTTCGTCCGGTATTTTACAGCTCATACCGCCCAAGTTACCTGCATAGCATTGTCACCTGGAAGTGATCAATTCTTGTCATGCGGAAACGATGATATGGTCTGCCTGTGGGACTTGAATTCCAGAAGTCCTCAGGGCAAGTTGAAACTGGTGACACCTTATCTGGCTGCCTACGATCCTTCGGCAAATGTTATGGCTATAGCGTCACAATCGACTTCCTCCATCCTTATGTATGATGTCAGGAATTTCGACAAGGCGCCGTTCGAGACGTTCGACATGTCGCAGGCTGAAGATAGATACACCCCGACCACAAAAGGGCGGGCCTGGACGAGATTGGAGTTCTCCAATGATGGAAAAAGTATGCTGCTGGGGACGGACTACCACGGACACTTCCTCTTAGACGCCTACAATGGTTCTATCAGATCATTTCTGGCAGGGAAAACCAGTGGCACGGGCAGAGCTGCGCCAGTATCGACTTCCGGAAAACCGTTAGGACAAGGAGATGCTTGCTTCACACAAGACGGTCGGTATGTCATTGGAGGATCTGGCGATCAATCGGACTTGATGGTCTGGGATACTCAAGCAGCGACTGGTGGTAGACAGGATCCTACTGCCAGACTTGCGAGTCGTGGGATCAAGTCTGCGGTCGTACAGTGCAATCCGAGATACAACATGCTGGCCACTGCTGACACAAAAGTCTGCATGTGGCTGCCAGGAGACCAGATCAAGACACCTGACCTTTGAAAATCCAACGATGTGCTGCTCCAAAGAGTGCATCAGTGAGCAATCGAGAATGTGCTGAGTCTGAGGTGATCATGCTGCTTTATCGGTTTGTATGTGTTCTTTTCGATTCCGCCAATGGGATTCGTCTCTGCTCGGTAACCGGAAAACATCGTCACCCACATGCATACTTCTCAGAACTTCACTATTCACATCAAAATATGATTCTTACGCCAAACGGGGACAATGTGCCAGACCATGCTCCTTGATGGAGACCGGCGGCTGCAATCAGATGAGACAAGCAGCATAAACCTTTTGACAAGCTTGAAAATACGTGCGGAGGCGTTGTTGGCTGAATTCAAAGCTTTTCGAGCGCACCTTGAATCCCAGCACAAGCAGCATGACGTTGAATTAAGGATTTTCAGACGTGGTGTTGAATCTGAGGTGAAAAGTCTGACCAAGATCACACAGCGAATGTCCGTCAGTGACAGCACTTATAATGCATCCGATTCTGAAGAAGCAGAGCAGTTACAATTACATGCTTTGCGGAGCTCTAACTTGTCATTCTATGAAGCAGTCTGGGGTGTTGCAAAGGCCAGCAATGCGATAAGTGCCTTAGGGAAAAGGGTCTACGTTGAATGTGATCCCCTCCAGGTCGATGAGACGTGTGACAGCTTGAGAGGAAAGTCGCCGTCATCGAAACGCAAAGACATTCCTGTTGATATTGTTACTGAGAATGGACTCGAGTGGATTAAAGTTTCTACCATAAATGAGAAAAGACTTCTTTTCGAGATGGCAAAAGAGGGATGGGAGAACTATGGAGATCTCAGCAATACCAGCGATACAGACGATAGCGAACAACCACCCAGTCGAAAACCCAGTAAATTGGAGCTCGTGCGCCTTGCTGAAGATCTTCAAGCTGCGTCAAAAACTGTCCGGGTCCAGTTCAAACATCCACGTGTGCATTTCGTCCTGCCGAATATTCAGGAAGGATCTTGTCCTGATATTGATGCTTTCCTGGCCGATATCAGGGCAACAGGCGCGAGTGCACAATGTGGCACATCGTCGAAAGACATCCATCAATCACGGGAGGCTTTCAACTTTGACCGGATGACTCCAGCACTTGCGCCGGTCCCTCTAACACCCACTGTCAATGTCGACTGTACAATACTCTTGGCCTTGATCTCTGACATATCCCATCTCCGGCGTCAGGATATGTCGCCAGGCTGCAATCCCACTTCCGCAACATTCCATAAAGCAATCCAACGACAGATTGAATCAGAGGAGACCCATCCGCTACTACCGAAAGAGGTCTACCCTTACCTCCTAAATCGAAGCCTTCATTGTACCTCACACGCTGCACAACGAATGCGTGAAATTGTCCAGTGTATGGGGACTGTAACCGAGCAGCTTCGCGCCGACATCATTCTAGGAGAAAGGTCATTCCAAGACCAGTCAAGCGCAGAATTACGGCTGGCACTTAGCAAGCAGTCCAGACATGCGGTATCAGAGACTCTCAGGTTACCAATCATCATCATTGATTTCGAGCCCACAGACTACTTATCGATCACTTCGCGTGAGGGCCCGAAAACTGATCAACAAAAAGACAACTTTCCCTCCTCGATCGCTGCTCGAGCAATCTCCAAACTCCATCTTACTGACATCAATACCTCGGTGTTCATGTATGGATGGACACACGAGATCGTCACGATTACAAGCAACCGAGCCGTTGCGAATGCACTTCTGGCTTCGATCAATAATTTGCTTGATGAAGGCGAACAACGCTCATGGGAACCAAATGACGATAGGGAAGACTTCCTAGGGCCGCATATCTATGTGTGCGAATCAGCACGCAGCTTGGTCGGAAAGCCAAAGGGTAAAGCAGGAGGATAATTGTCGGACAATCGGCTGTAGTGAAGCATCATGATCTCAATTGAAGTAGAAATAATGAAGTTGACAACATGCCAGCGTCAATTCTGAAAAGAAATGCGCTATCGATTGTACTCGTAACTGATGACTCGGCAGCCCAGACATCATCAATTCTGCTGTTCCGCCTGCGCCGATGCGCTCCACGTGAGCTGCATATACATTCGGCACCTTAATTATCAACAACTCCCATGAACATCAATTGCAGGGGACCTTTCTTTTTATTTTTGCAACAGTTGTATCGGGTAACAGGCTTATTCTCGGTGCCATGTGTTGTACCTGAGGCTTGCCTACCGTCTCCTACCAGACGCATCCTCCCCGTTTCTTCTTCTGACCTCCTCCCCATCTTCGGCCCGTTGCTCACAATCTCTCTGCCTGCTGCCGCCTTGACAAGGCTTTGGGCACAATGAAGCGTTGGGCACCATCTCTGGGTCTTCTGGCATATTTGGCCGCGCTCGTGGCCGGAAATGAGGTCAAGCTCGTAAGACTTGCCACTCTGTGATGAATGTTTGTTCCAAATCTTTGTTTGGCTGACCGAGGGACAGAAACAAGACGACCCGAACCGCCAACGATGCAGTGGCATGTACAGTCGGAAGTCATGGGGCGGCTCCGTCGAGCCCTTCATTCTTGTAAAATATCTGCCTGATCACACCGAAGACGACACCGACCCCGTCTCGTCGTTGATCATATTCGAATGGTCCGACGAACCCCTGATCGGGCGCATGCCTGCCGGGAGCACTAATTACCGCGACCTCCAAACGATATGCACGTCGGACGCCGTGGGCAAAAATTTGTGTGAAGAGAAGGATATTGGCTCATTCATCCTCGCGCCCAATGCCACATCTCTCGCTCAAAATCCCATATACAATGAGGCCATACACCTGAAGGACCCAAAGGCCATCAACTACCCGATACGCCGGACGGGATACTACTGCGTCAGCACCTATGCGTTCAGTGACCACGAGTACGACGCCGTGGTCGAATTCCGCAATAGCTACGGCGAATTGCCCGCCGCGCAGATTGCCAAACTCCCCTTTTACGGCGGTCTGACCATTGTCTACGCGGTGCTCGGGGTCTTTTGGGCGTTTCTGTACGTCCAGAACAGGTCCGACATTCTCCCTGTGCAAAACTACATCACCTTCACGATCGTGTTCCTGATCGTGGAACAGCTCATGACCTGGGGCTTCTACGACTACCAGAACCGCCACGGCAACAACACTCTGAACAAGGTGTTTATGATTGTCGTCTCGATACTGAACGCCGGCCGTAACTCGTTGTCTTTCTTCCTCCTGCTCATTGTGTGCATGGGCTTCGGTGTGGTCAAGCCCAGTCTCGGCCGGACGATGATATACGTGCGCATCCTCGCCGCCGCACACTTCATATTCGGCGTCATCTACGCCATCGCCAGCATGGCCGTGACACCCGAGTCGGTCGGACCCCTCGTCCTCTTCGTCATTCTACCACTCGCCGGAACCCTCACGGCTTTCTACGTCTGGACGCTGAGCAGCCTGAACGTCACGATCAAGGACCTCGTGGACCGGAGGCAGAAGACCAAGGCACTCATGTACAAGAAATTGTCCTGGTGCATTCTGGGGTCGATCCTGGTCATCTTTGCCTTTTTCTTCGTAAACAGCTTCGCCTTTGCCGGTAGTGGCGAAGCGGACTTTGTGCCCAAACATTGGCAGACGCGTTGGTTCGTCTTGGATGGTTGGCTCAACCTCGTCTATCTATTCGACATCGCCTTTATTGCATACTTGTGGAGGCCAACTGCGAACAACAGGCGATTCGCAATGAGTGACGAAGTAAGTTGTTTCCTTCTCCTCCTCCTCCTCCTCTCCCGTTCTCACACACCGCCCTCTTCACCCGCGTCCTAGGGTGTTGGGAGGAAATATCCTGATCACGGGTTCGCTAATAAATATCCCATAGTTGGCACAAGACGACGACGGCTTCGAAATTAGAAGTATCGCCGATTCGCTCTCGGATGATGAAGAGGCAGCACGAAAGGATCACGAGCGTGAAGTCAGTCCGGCTGGAGGAGCCAGTACGTCGCTCACGGATGCTGTCAACATTTCGCCAGCGAGAAAAGCCTCGCCCGCTCCGGCATTGCAGAATAGCAGTCGAGCACCTCCAAACCCACTGCCGCCCAGAGAGTCTTTGGATGGAGAGACGATCTTTGCCGTCGGTGATGACAACCTTGAGTGGAGCGATGGCGAGGAGGACAGTGACGACGAAAGGAAGAAGTTGACTAGCAAATAAAACATCGGTTGAAGCTATCAGGGCCGCGGGTGTCCCACTGGGTTTCCTACGTCGAATCCCTTATGAATTTTTGAGACCATCGGGGAGTCGGGTTTTTAAGTCATGAACAATACTGTGAAATGGACTTTCGGGTCGGGTGGCCTTGTATACATAATGTATTCACACACACATAAAAGACAGAGGCATTCTACATGGTCGAGGTTCCCACGTATGACTTCTAGTCCTCTCCTTCGTATATCTCATCTTTTATGTATTGTGCCGAATGACCCTGAAGGAACGCTCAATGCGAGGGCTTTGCAGATACTGGCCTATAAGAACAGACGACATTGAACCCCCCTACTAGGCTAGCCGGATTTCGAGGCGTGAAATGGGGTACATGCCCCCCTTATACGTCAGTTTCGACCTACGAACAGCGCAATGGTCGTGGATAGTCAAGGTTGAAGAACCATCGAGACCTCGTCGGCCAGCCCAAAGCCAGATCTTTGACAGAAGCCTGTCCATGAAGTTTTCACATGTTCAATTTCCTGGCCCGATCAGAGGCAATTTCGCACATGGCCTTGATGTGGATTGCAGGTCAGTTGGTAACAAACAGTTCAGGGTATGATCTTTGGGGGAGGTAGAGAACTGACCTTGATCGAGTCTCGCTTCTCCTGCTCGATGTCACCTCGTTCGATTCTTTTCTCCATATCCGCCATGATCACAGGACGGCTTCGCCCATTCACAAAGACGCTGTAGATCGGCAATGAGCGATAGTTTGCAGACACCAATCTAGATGTGCTGGGAGACCTTACACATATCGTAAGCCTGGAAAGGCGCGTTCGTAATTCCTGTTCATCTCTGCGAGCTTCGCCGCCTGCTCCTCGCCACCCTGATTGAGCTGGGCTTGCTCTTTTCTACTTTGTTCGCTCTCAACCTTCTTCTCGCCCAGGCGAGGGTGGGCAGACAGGATAGTTTCCAACCACTTATTGTCGCTTTCTAACCTGGACTCGCAGAGGTCTTTGAGCTGCTGGCCGACTGCGTCTATGAGCTCATCATAAGATGCAAAAGATTTTTCCCGAAGCAGGCTGACTGATAATGTATGGAGTTGTTGGCATGGTTCAAACAGAGTGTCGAGTACTTGTGCCCTCTCTTCGGTGGTGAGTGTGGCCACTTTCGAAATAGGCGGGAGTGTCAACATGGTATATGATCTATGAGCTTGTCTAAAATGTACTGAATCTCAAATGCTTCAGAAGGCCTTGGTGCAAAGGGAATGACGAACATGTCCTACCTTCAAATGCAAAATCACTAAGGATGGAGGTGTTTCGACGTCAAACCAAGTTTCGGTGGGCTCCGTCCGACCCATCGATAGTTCAGCTTGTCACGTGGTTATGAAGATCCAATTGTCAACTATACTCGTACAAGTACAAACAAAAGCACCGTTCGGGGAATAAATGATGAATCATGAGCATGGCATCTGCCTCATCGTGACGAAGTGTAAAGCCATGTGGGCAAAACTCTTTGGTGAGCACCCACGTGAATATATGATATGCGTGGTGCATCAATAGTCCGAGTTGAGGCGCAGAACGAGCCCATGTGCATGCAATAGATATTGCGCAATCGATACAAGTCTTCTGGGGCACCAGCTGTGAATCCTAGGCATGCGCCTTGTATTGCGCATGGGCGACGCCGTATAGTTCAAATTCGCCCGAACGAAGTATAAAAAGGCTTTATAACCTCCTGTCATATCGAATGGCCGGGCCGCAGTTGAGAAAGGAGGCCAGTGCACATGGCATGGTTCTGGTGTCAAGGTGGTGACAGATATCCCAAACTTTTACTCCTTGTTATCGGGGTATATTAATTACTCAAGTTGTTGTGTGGCACCCGTGTCACATCAAGTATCATGTGCGCTCGCTTGCACGACAGGCGGTGGGTGTATTGTTTTTACAGTACTCTTACAAGTACTTTGTATCCGAAGACAGAACGAGAGAAATTGATAGAGATCGCTGGCGTGAGTTGGTGACTCCTCAGATCGACTGGTCTTTGTCTGTTTACCCTCCCGTAATAAGCAAGGGCACGGTCGATGTCAAGGGGACGCCCGGCGAGCCGGCGGTGGATGAGCCCTTCGTCCCTTGCTTCTGGCAGAGAAGGGCCAGCTGCGCCTCGGGAAATTGGCCCTCGTTTTAGGTGATGATGGTTGAATAAGGCTCCGGACGCTGGCCTTGTTCGGGCGGTTTGAGGTCAACCATACCCCACCAAGGCCATTAAGTGTGTGCCATCAAGCTCGATGATCCTGGTCGAGCTTCGCTTCGTAGCTGACTTGGCTGTGGGTATCTTGCTACGATGCCCCCTGAATCTGCAGATAGTGTTCCCCACTGTGCTTCATTGGTATTGCTCCTGCATGTGGATTCCCCTCGAACATGCGTCTCCAGACTTTTGGCGCTTCTTTGTGTGTTAGCCGGGTTGTTTCGTGTGGTGGAAGGCCTGCTGTGTTTCCCTGAGTCTTTTGTCCTCCATGCTCGGTATCCTTATGTTCTTCATCTGTAGGCATCTGTCTTAATTTACCTTGGCTGCGGCCCTTTCAAATGCAGCTGAGAAATGTCATTGAATGGCCTTGATGAAGCTGCGGTCGCCGAAGCGCACCAGGCTGCGCTTGCTGACGCTGGAGGATGGTACGTACAGCCGGACACGAATAGGTCTCGACGAACTGCGCTGACGAGACGGATAACGTCCAGGTTCCTCCTCAAGTATGCCAACCGTGACACAGTAGAGCTGCTGCAGAAGGGAACTGGAGGGATCCAGGAAGTCAGAGGTGTGGTAGAAAGATATGAGGAAAAGTCACCGTTGTACGGCATGGTGCAGTACCGGCGCAAAAAAGTCATTCTCAAATATGTGCCAGAGGGAACGTCGCGACTGTTGCAAGGTTCGTTCACTTACACCTCACAAGTCACAACTCACGACACTCTTCGCACAATGCATGGCTAACCTGATCGTTACAGTGCGCTTGACCGTCCAATTCCAATCGGTCCTAGAAGCATTTACACCTCATGACAACGTCTTTTCGTTCACTGTCGCTTCAGAGCTGACCGATTCGGCCCTGGGCCTGAGCACGATGCTGCTGCCATCTGCGGGCTCATTGACATCGTCTACTTCATCGTTACGACGTCGAAGACTGGATGAAATCACTGAAGATGCCGAAGAAGGGAGCTCTATGCCTGAAGAAAAAGTTGTCCGCCCAGCGCAAGTGGAACAGGAACCTGCTATACCCAAGTATGGGAGGCACGAATTAGATGAGCTGCCAGCAAGTGCAGTCCTCGCGAAAGCACTTCTGGCAAAGAGAAAAGAAATCACTGCTGCAGTCTCTACAGGTCAAGATGAAGACTCAGTCCGCCTGGAAAACCCTTTACCTCTGCCTAAGGACACCGTTTCTCACAAAGGAACAACATCTCCAAATCCAGCCACTGACAAGGACTTGCCTGCCACACCAGTGTCAACTCCGCCAACTACGAGCGGTGGTGAGGCTGGACGGGCACCAGATTTCGAAGCCGCAAGCAACATCCTTTTAGACGCAACGAGTCGAGAACTAGCCGAGCCTACTACACCACGTCCTCCTCAATCTCATCATCTTTCGCCTGCTGAGTCGGATAGTATCAGTCAATGGAGCAGTAATGTTGCCTCGTACGCTGATGTTAAGCCTAAGAAGAAAAAGCTAGGACCGAGACCACATGTCGAGGCTACGCATCGTCCAAAGACGTCCGGCAATGCTGACGGCAGTCTCGGCGTACGACCAGTTGCAAACCTACCGCACAGCATTCGTGTGAACAATAGGTCTCTACTGACGCTTTCGGGTCGTCCAGGGTCACAGCAATCCACTCGCAGTGTTCCTGGACGTTTCGCGAACTCGAGCCATTCGTTCAATGGACCACCACCACTACCAACCACCTCTCATATACAGTCGCTCTACAACCCCATAGAAAGTCGGCCAGCCGTATCAAGAGCGGCTTCGGTCACCACCGAAGCATCTACAGCGACGCCAGAAAAATTAAGGATGATGAAGGCCCTCCAGCTTCGCAAGCGGAACATGTTGCTCGCACAGCGATCAACGTTGTCACCTACCACCTCGCATGCACCTACTCCTTCGGATTCAAGCCTTAGTACTATCTCGTCGAGCAATAACTTGTCCACAGTGGCTAGTCAGGAGCAGCTTTCTAGTGTCGATGAGGAGTCAAAATTGACACAGTCCTCCACCACGACATCTCCTACCTTCATGACGAACACTTCAGAGGAGCCATCTACCAAGGCGTCATCCTTCTCAGAGCAAGATAATATCTCGAACAAGCGCAGATCACTGTCTTCAGCTACCAGTTCATCGATTACGCCGAAAGCTCCAGCTCCAGAGCCTGCTACACAATCTCCTGAGATAGTGATCGCTACTAACCCTTCCAGTACACACGGGCTGGGTATTCCTCTATCGAACAGCCAGCAATCTGATATCAGCAAAGACAACTCGACTTCTGATCACACACCAGCATCCGCTATGGACAGTTTTCCGACAACAGTGCCTACTCTGGAACTACCTTCACAAGCAAAGCGTCACGCACCTCGGCCATTTCAGCTGGCTGGTGGTGATACATCTGCTTCTGAAGATTTATCTGAGGACGAACTTCTTATGGATGACATCCACAATGCAACCGTGCACGAAGCGAAACCAGTATCTGTTGCTCGTTCTCCGGTTACTCCTATCATATCAACGAAAGGAAGTTCGGATAGGTTGCGCGAAATTGTGACCAAACCTTCGTTGCCCAGCCATCCTCCCAAAACCAGCCGTGGTAGTACTCCAGACGGGAAACGTACTGACAGTAGGTCCGGCAGTGTTCGAAGCGTGTCTACAGCACTTCCACAATGGCCCCCTGTGCAAGCTGAGCCAATGCCCGCTCCCTTGAACAAGAAACCAACTCTTGGAACGGGGATTTCCAAGCGCATCAAGGCTCTGGAGGTACTTACAGCAAAAGACACGATTGCGTCGCAACCCCCTACACCTGCCCGGGAGACTACTATTGGGAAGTCAGCTTTCTCCTCATTCATGAAACGTTCGTCGCTCATTGGAAGCCCGATGAAACCGAACGCCTCGACCGAGACATCACCCCCAAGGCAAACACCGCCGATAACATCGCTGTACGATCCTGTCAAGCGTGTGAATGACGCGAAGGAGCCTCGACGACCGTCTGTCGATAGCTATACGCCCTTTCACAAAGCAGATACCATATCTGTCACTGCAAAAATTGTCCGAGATCCCAACAGCAAGCACCCTCCTATGTCACCCAGTTCGAATTTCAATAGCCCTCTTAATCTTTTTCGAAGTCCCTTAATCGTGGAGCATGAGAAGCATGACAATCTTCACAGAAAAGACTCATTTACTTCCAGGCAGTCCAACACTAAAAGCCCAACCAAATCGGATAGAGGCCGTTTTTCATTCTCCTCGCACCGTTCTGCTTCACAAATCAATCTACCTCGCTCAGAATCAAATCACAGCAAGATTTCACTCACCAGCACACACAAAAAGCATGGACCGCGGTCCAACAGTGATACGGCCTCCTTCACGGAAGAAAAGAAATCTTCGAGGACGAGTCGGTTGATGAAGCGAGTGTCAAACCTGACAGCATCCCGGAGCAAAGGACAATCGACCTCGAAGGAGCAGTTACATCCAAATACAATCCAGGAACAGAACGATGAAGACACCAAGGAACATTCTGTCTCCGAATCACTGATGCACATTGTCGATATTGGTGATGTGAACGTCCAATTCCCCGAATCTCTCCTTTGGAAGCGCCGTTTCATGAGGATTGATGATCAAGGATATCTCATATTTTCACCACCCATGAATGATTCAAATACAAAATCTGTCGGCAGGAAATATCATCTCAGCGACTTTAACCGACCAGCGTTACCGGATTTGGAGAGGGAAGAGATTGCTTGGAGCATAGTTCTTGATTTGAAGGACGGATCATGTGTACAGTGTGCATGCGAGGGCAGGCAGTCTCAACAAGCAGTGCTGCAAAGTGAGTATTTCCCAACTTCTATGTGCAGTAATCTTCTAACCTTGATGCAGTGCTTGTTGATGCACACAACGCTTACCACCAATTATATCATGGAGGTTGAGATGTGCCATGGATGCCAGAAGCAACGACAAACATTACGACTCTTCAACGTTTGCAATACCCAACTCGCGTGAATTTAGATGATTGACGAGCATCAAGCAAAGGCGCTGGAATGGTTGGCAAACGGCGATCTAAGCCCTTCGGTATTGGCGAACACGAGATTTTGGTCCCAATTGTGAACAGCGCATGGGCAGGACAGGACTTTTTATCTATAGTCATGGTCACAACAGCTTAATGTGTATCAATCAATGCTAACAACATTCAATACTGTCCAGCACTGATTTCTGTATGCATTTTACCATGGTTGTCTGAGTAGATTTTAACTGAGGAAAACTAATCACCTGAAGACGTGAATGATTACTGTATTGAGGCTTAGACAAGGCTGCGCTATTAGGAGACAGGTGTCTTTTCCGATGCTTGGAAATCGAAGACCCTGGTTATACCTGGATCAGCAGTGACCTGCAACACCACCACCGCCAATAAGCCATACAAGTACAACATCACTCGACCGCATCTAACACTTCTTTTAACCTAGGCTTTGCATATTAAGCCTTTCACATTACTGAGCGACTTTCAGCTATCCATCATACTGCAAAAACCCGATTTACGAAGTCCCACTTCAACGCCAGAATGGTACAATTTCGTGCCCTTCTGTCTCTGGCAACCTTCGCCTTACCCCTCGTTGCCACCGCATCAGATGTGATCAACTTGATTCCCTCGAATTTTGACAGTGTTGTCTTCGAGTCCAACAAGCCTGCCCTCGTCGAGTTCTTCGCTCCTTGGTGTGGACACTGCAAGAACCTCGCCCCCGTCTATGAAGAGTTGGCTACCGCGTTCGCTGCCAGCGGCAACAAAGTCTCCATCGCCAATGTTGATGCAGACAAGCACAAGGATCTAGGCAAGAGATTTGGTGTTCAAGGGTTTCCAACATTGAAATGGTTTGACGGCAAGCCGGGCAGTGAGCCGGAGGACTACAATGGTGGCCGAGATCTCGAGTCTCTGACCAAGTTCGTCACCGAGAAGAGTGGTGTCAAGAGCAAAGGCCCCAAGAAAGCCCCTAGCCATGTCGAGATGTTGACGGACAGCTCGTTTAAGACGGAGGTCGGTGGTGACAAAGACGTCCTCGTGGCATTTACCGCACCTTGGTGTGGCCGTAAGTTCTCCGTCTTTGGGTTTCAACATTGGGTGACTTCTAACAATGACATGCATAGACTGCAAGTCCCTCGCTCCAACATGGGAGAAGGTCGCCTCTGATTTCGCCTCGGAACCCAACGTCCTCATTGCCAAAGTCGATGCAGAAGCCGAGAACAGCAAAGCTACAGCCCAAGAACAAGGAGTCACAGGTTATCCTACAATCAAGTTCTTCCCCAAGGGCAGCACTGAACCCGAAGCATACAGCGGTGGCCGCAGCGAGGAAGCGCTTGTGGACTTTGTGAATTCCAAGGCCGGCACATACCGCGTCCCAGGTGGAGGGCTGAACAGCCAAGCGGGCACGATTGAAGTCATCGACAACCTGCTGGCCAAGTATATCACGGCCGGCGGTATCAAGGATGTCGAGAAGGCAACTGCAGAGGTCAAGAAAGCGACTACCAACATCAAGGACAAGAGCGTGGACTACTATCTCCGTGCGCTGAGCAAAATTACCGGTAACCCAGAGTATGCTATGAAGGAGCAAACAAGGTTGGCAGGATTGCTGAAGAAGGGTGGTCTTGCTCCAGAAAAGACCGATGATCTTCAGAGACGCAGCAACATTCTGGCCAAGTTCTTGGTCAAGGACGAGGCAAAGAGCGAATTGTAAACTATTCAAGCATGATCGGAACGTCACTAACTGGGTTGAAATGAAACAATTGGGTACTAGGTCGCAAAAGTCGAGCCTGCTAGAGGAGTTTAAAATGGCTTAAACATGATCCTTTTTTATATCAGATTTTCGTTGTACCGGCTCTTGCACTGTGCAAATTGTCACTCAACCCTTCGCAGCTAGGCCATACTACAACGAGGAGTACAAGTATGGAACTCTTATTGAGAGAGAGGAAGAACCTGGGATCTGATGTGCTTCGTCTCCGCCTTGAGTGAGACTGCGACGTTCGCAAACAGGAAGCAGAGCATTCACAGCACCAATTGCACCGGGAGGCGTGAAGCAACATTATGTCACCGTAGACCTCGTCAGAAGTAGAACTCTCAGGGCCACCGTTCATGACCTGAGTTCGGCCCCAACCTTTCGCATCAATTTCGTTATTTTTCGCACGGTGGATTCAATCCAAAATTATGTGTAGAAACAACTCCTGAGGGACATCGACCGTTATTGTCATGACGACCCAGCATTTGAGCCCGTCGACGCCTTGCCTGTGTTCTCCATTGCACTGGCATCTCTGAGCAGAATCTCTTGTTCGAGACGATCGCAGCGCTCGGCCATGTCGTCCAGCTTGGTCAAGATCTCGTCGCTAATGCCTTTAAACTTCTTCTCCAGATCGCCCAGGAAATCATCTATCGCCTCGGTAAGTTTGGCGGTCGCGTCGTTCGGGGCGGCATAGTCGGAAGCAGAAGAAGAAGCCACCGCTGCAGTCTTGCTGGAGGAATATGGCGGGCTGGCTGGGTGAGTAGGAGGTGGCGGTGTCGGGAGGGAAGCGGACTGGAAGTACGTCCCGTTAGGCATGGCAGACATAACAGATACAGCGCCAAAAAGAAACATGTGGAAATGAGAAGGGGATAAACGCAGGGGGAGGGGGAGTTGGTTACACGAGGTTGTGTAACCCATGATTCCAGTAACTCTGCTTCACATACCATGATCAACGAGTGGTTGCTTTGTGTTTGTGAATGGTTCCCGCGGTTTGCAGTGTGAGGCGCTTTGGTGGGAAGCGATTGTTCGTATTGGGACGAGTCCTCGTTACCAGTTTCTTTATATTTTTGACAACATCCTCAATCAGTTCGTACAGGCTAAGAGTTGCCCTCGAGGGTTCCAACTTGCAGAACGCTCGATAGAATGGGCATTGGGTGTTGAAACCCCATGTTTGGTAAGTCCGCAGGGAGGGTGGTCACTCAAAGGGGATGCAGAAAAGCAACCTGCCTGACAATGAGTCTGGTAGTAGATATTGATTCAAGACGGAGCGTCAGACGAAACATTTTTAGTTTCCGCCAGGCTGGATCCACCACCAAAACTGCCACTCCGCAACCATCTCCAACTCAATATAATTTTCTGCTTGGATTCCAGAAATTCTTCATACAACACAACTCAACCACCTTATTCAAGACCTGCGAGGTAACCCCTTTCACTTTCTCCGTGGGCTTTTGGGTTGCATTGTTTGACAGTCAACTCCTCGGAAGATGGCCAAGAAGAGTAAACTTCTCGCGGCTCTAGACCGACACAAGGGACGGGACTACGAAGCCGAGAAGAGGCAGAAACTTGTCAAAACGGCAGAGAAGCGCAAGCGGCAGAAGGTCCAGGAAAAAGGAGAAGAAGTTGGCGATTCAGAAGAGAGTGGACCAGAAGATGAGACCGATGGTGCAAAGCTTGAAGAGGACAAGGAGAATTTCGTATCCTTCTCTGACCAAGAAGAAGAAAACGCTGCGGCCAACGGTGCAAGTACCGCATCTACTACCATCCCTCAACCTCCCCTCCCGGGTGACGCCTCGGCGTCGGAAGTAGAAGAAGAAGATGATGAATCCGACGTCCCCCTCTCCGATCTCGAAGACGAAGACCTCGAAGACACGATCCCACACCAACGCCTGACGATCAACAACGGGCCCGCCCTGATTGCGTCGACGAAGCGTGTCGCGCTGGTCAAGAAGCCCGGTGCTACATCTTTCTACGTGCACAACTCCCTGATCTCCCAACTCCCGCCGACGGAATCCTCGGTCCCGGACCCGAACGACGACCTCACCCGCGAGCTGGAGTTCTACCGCATCGCCCGCGACGCCGCCGCCGAGGGGCGCTCCCTGCTCAAGAAGGAGCGGATCCCCTTCACCCGGCCGACCGACTACTTCGCCGAGATGGTCAAGTCGGACGAACACATGGGCCGCGTGAAGAAGAAGATGTACGACGACGCCGCCTCCAAGAAGGCGGCGGAGGAGGCACGCAAACTACGGGACGCGAAGAAGTTCGGCAAGGCCGTCCAAGTGGCAAAGGAGCAGGAGCGGGCAAAGGAGAAGAGGAACACACTCGATAAGATCAAGGAGTTGAAGAGAAGTAAGTTTTTTGGCTTTTTGCCGTATCCACACTACACACCCACACCCACACACACACATTCCTATACGTTTCTTTTGCAGATTCGGGCCTTGAGAGAGAGTAAAATACTAACCCGGATGTAACCCTCCCGCAACAGAACGAAAAGGACAAGATACAGGCAAAGTCGTCGAGGACAATGACCTCTTCCAGAGCATTGACGTAGACAGCGCACCTACAAAGGACCGCGCCGGCCGCGAGCGAGGCTCAGGACCAAACGGCGGAGCGCCAAACAAGAGACAGAAGCGGGATCAGAAGTTTGGCTTCGGAGGCAAGAAGAGGTTCACCAAGAGCGGCGATGCCATGAGCAGTGGAGACATGCGAGGATTCTCGGCGAGCAAGATGAAAGGAAAACCTAAACGGCCAGGCAAGAGCAGGAGAGCCGCGGGACGATAATAATAACGCAATGCCATTACAACACCGCGCATCGAAGCACGAACCATAATGATATGTCCATTCGAAGGTCTCGAGAGTCGAAACAACTACAAGGTGTTTTCATGGTCTTCCTTACCATCCTAAAATGCAAGAAGGGGGTATCACAGTTACAGAATGCACCCACGAGGCCCTACACCAACCTCCCTCAGGACACCACCGTTTTATGTACAGTCATGCCACCCATTGTCCCAGGAAGGACTGCAAATGTCCTATCTGGTACTGTCTCCCCACTCGCTTGGCTTCCTGAGATACCAGATCGAGCATCTCCTGAGCTTCAGGTCCGGGAGGGAGCTCGGGCAACGCATCTGGATCGTAGTGACCATTTAGCTGACGACTAGGACTGTCCTCACGACTTCCTGCCGAGTCTGCAGTGGTTTCTCGCAGGCGACTAGGGAGTAAGGGTGCCTGTCGCCTAGCCATCGGCGATGTTGAGATGGGGACATCACTCATTTCCTCGTCTTCATCTACGGAGTCGGGAACACCTCTTGCGCGTTTGTGCGCCTTGCTGGCGCCGCTGGGACGGAGGACAGATTTCATACGATGGCGCTGTTTGGCTGATTTGCCTGGCGTCCTCATGGTTTCATCAGCTACCTCGTCCGCAAGGGTGGCTTCTAGCTCGTCATAGATTCTGCGAGTAGACCAATTGAACTTTTTGCGGAGTTTGGCTTCGTCCATGAGTCTGAGCAATTGTGATGCAGAATGTTCAAAGGCGGCCACGGCGTCCTCATGTGTGCCTTCAAATACTGGAAGTTTCTCAAGTTCGGTTGCAGCCTCGTCAATGCCGCAATGTCTCATGTTGAAATTCGCCGACTTCCGTAGAATATTAAGCATGTCCCAAATAGGTTTCGTCCAGTCCACAGGTTCGGGTTTTGCTTCTGTCGATGTGCTGCTTCTGGAGTCTTCGGAATCTGCTTGAGAACGTTGTTCTGATTCGGATTCTTCTGCCTCGGAAGATTCGTGCTCCGATTCGTCATCACCGTCCTCACCGTCGCCGACTGTTTCTGGCTCTTCCACTGCCACGGACTGAGTAAGCCGAGACATTGTTGCTTGCAACTCTTCTACCTCGTCTGCATATGTGTCTGCGAGATGTTTCCACAGATAAGTCTGAGTCCAATTTATACCTTCCCTTTCCTCAATCATCTGCTTGAGAAGGAATCTGTGATGTTTGTGTATTGTTTCCATGGCCTCGTCGTCGTCGTCAATTCTGTATCCCGTGTGCTTTTGGTAGTCTTTGAGGAACGGATCAATCCTAAAGCCAAAGCGTTGTCGCGTTTTAGGGAGCCGTTGATGCTGGTCGACCATGAAGTAAAACAGATCGATGGCCTCGACAGTATCATTGTAATGGCTCAGGTAACGATCAGACGGCGAAATTTCGTACCAGCCTGCTTTTCCCGCAGCCCAGATGACAGGTTTGCCGTCATCATCCTGCCCAAAGCTATAATTTGTAACATTATCAATCTTTATTCGCGCGTGAAGCGGGTTTTCAATCAGGACTCAACAAGACGTGTCAGCGTGGTTCACGCGTCCGAAACTTTCGAAAAACAACACACCTAAATGGTCATGTTCATCGTCCAACGGCATCAGCTCCCCAACAACACAAAGTTGTGTCTCGTCAGAGGCGTGTAACAAGTCCGCATATCGTCCTTTCCCCTGGTAAAATATTTTCGCATCCCTCAAGGCGAAATCAGGCCACTCGTTTACATCGTCTGGAACGGGATCGAGGGGTTTGAGGACGTGATCTTCTGGCAAAGTGGACATATCAGTGACGAGAGTCAGGTCTCATGCTGTGACATTGAAGGTGTCTTCGCGTCAGGATGCGGGCGTGGTAGAATGTGGGTCGATCATGTCGCAGTCAGCATCAATTTTGCGGTTCGACGGCGCTTTCCGTTGGTAGTATGCACGTCACAAACGATTTTCTGAGTCAATCTGAGTCGTTAATAGCATCGAGATGTGAAGTTAACAAAGTCAGGAACATGGTGGAGTGAAGTGGCAGTAGTCGAGGCTGGGAAGCAAAAGCGCGCTGGATCCTCCTGCGCACGAGGCACGTCATTTGTCCGATTGGCTTGAATCTGTCCTTTGCATCCTGGGCTGCACTTGAACTAATTGGTCTTAGTCTACTACTCCTCACGTGGCAGCCTTTCTCCGCATGAATTCAGTTAAATATTTTACCAGAATGGATACGAAGGTGCATCTTCAGTGGTAAGGCATACGAAGTCCTGAAGTAAGGACTCCGGTCTCACAAACCAGCGGGAACATTGCCCTCGAATGATTCCGAGGCATCTGCTTAAGATGGCTCAGCCACCCGCTAAGATTCTCGAAGGCGTCTTTGGTGAGGCCAATTCCTCTCCCAAGGTCCCCATCCTGACAAGTTCAATTTCCACTTAGCCGTCAGCAAACCACCGAGTCTTTCCTCTGCTCAAGTTCTACGAGACCTCCAACATCATTTTGCCGAGTCGAAACTTTTTGCGCCCTTATTGGATCGGACCAAGCAAGATGAAAATGCAGAAAGATTCCAACCGTCTAAACGGCGTAAATATAACCGTGACAGGGATCTCGCCTTTAAGATGGGTCATGGAGGCACCCTGGACCCTTTAGCGACAGGTGTGCTGATTGTGGGAGTTGGAAGGGGCACCAAGCATTTGTCCGAATTTCTATCCTGCAAGAAGACATACGAGACGGTCGTGCTCTTTGGGAAGACCACCGACAGCTACGATGTTATGGGCAAAGTTGTTGCAGAGGCACCTACGGGGGACATCACAAGCGCAGTGGTTGAAAGCCAGATGGCAAAATTCACAGGCAAGATGAAGCAGATTCCGCCCATGTACAGCGCAATTAAAGTTGATGGCATGAAGCTATATGATTATGCTCGCGGTGGAAAGGAGCTTCCTCGTGAGTTGGAAAGCCGCGAGATTGAGATTACAGAATGTTCTCTACTGGAATATTACGAACCAGGGTCGCACGACTTTCGGTGGCCCGCTGAGCAGGCTGGCGAAGAAGAGAAAGCCGTGTTCCAGAAATTGATGAAAGGCGCAGAAGACACAAAAAGATCGATTGAACCACAGAGTGGACAAGGATCCACGAACAGCTCACCCAAGATATCGGCCCGGTCCCATAAGAACAATCTTCCGCGGCATGAAAAAGCAGCCATGCATATCCACCATCTACCAGAACAGGAGAGCTCTCCTGCAGATGCTCCTGCAGCTCGGATTCGCTTGACAGTCAGCAGTGGCTTCTATGTCCGGTCGTTCGCATACGACCTGGGCATCGCCTGTGGTTCTTATGGTACTATGGCTAGCCTAATAAGGAGCCAGCAGGCAGACTTTACAACTGCCCAACCTGCTCCAGAGGGGCTCGTGAGCACCCTCACATACGAGGATTTGGAGGCAGGAGAGGACGTTTGGGGACCAAAGCTGTCGTCCATACTCGAAAGGTGGACAGAGTGTCATCCAGACAGAGCCCCCGAAGATAGGAACCGTGACCAAAGGCAGCCTCACAGGCGAGATTTTCGAGATCATAGGAACTTCCTTGGCAAGAGAGGCGGCGCAAAGAGATCATGGAATAGTCATAAGAATGGGAACAGATCTGACGCACGACCCAGGCGCAACAGTTCGTCGCCAGAGGCGTGAAGGGGGAGGTCGATAGATGGCTTTGTAACATTAAGGATGGACTTGCTAATCGGTCAATGACGAAGAATTCTAGCACGTTACAGGAGCACATACGAGCTGCATCACAAAGTGCACACCACAACAGTGTCCCCAGTGTACATCCCATGGAACTAATACTGCAAAATTGTGTCTACCTTGCCTATAGGCATCTAGGTGACTTTTAGTAGGAGTACGAGGGATGTGGTTTGGGGGCACACCAGGCTCGTCTCAGGGGCCAAATTACGTGTGCCAAGTGGCCGCTCCAGCCGGGATAAATGTTCCTTGCATTCGCACACCGGCGTGCTACGAGTACGAGGCTTGTACAAAGGACCACCTTAAGTTAGTGCCCGAGGCTGCTCCAGGCTTACTGCTTGCACCTACAATAAATCCTCGTAGGCCCACCAAGTTAGGCTAATCAGGCGGCGGTGCTTGCCGTAAATCTCAGGTTTTTACGCCGCATATCGGCAAACGCAGATCTCGCCTGCAGGCACTTCTGCCTCGCATTGTTGGTTGCCTTGCGCCTGTCTAAAATCTTTCCATCTCTCTCAGTCGTGTGATCCAACATTCCTTTTCTTTAGAATTTGGCGCTTTCATTTCTTTCTTTCTGCGGTCGCATGTACCAACAGATCTAGCTTTTGTTATCATTGTTTAACCACTATCGTTTCCCTGCACTTGGTTTCATTTTGCGACCATGGGTTCGCTACCGTCACAGCGTCAGCCCTTGTCTGGGTTGGCGGCTCTCAAAGCGAAGAAGCAACCTCCAAAGATGTTGACTAAAATGGTCCCCGTTGCTTCAACCGCGAAGCCGACACCAAAGCTTTCCGCATCTGCGCCAACATCTTCGAGGAGTCCTACCATGCGCGGCGCCAGTTCCAATGGCATCTCTCGGAAGGGAAGTGTCCCTCGCAAGTCTCTCACTCCAGCTTCCACACATTCCAGACAGGGCAGCCGAGAACCGCTCGAGCGCATCAGACATGAGAAGCACAGCCGAGTCAAGCGGGCCTCGCCTGCTATATCAACGCCGCAGTTTACGAGTTCGGATGAGGAAAGTGAAGAGGAGGACATGCCTAGAAAGCGAATGCGCAGGGATGAACAAGACCCTGTAGACGAGAAGCGCAAAGTTAGAGATCTCCAAGCATTCTCCGAGGATGGTCGCAACCGACGTTCCATGATTCACGCCATCCAGATTGCCAATCCACAACCCGATCAACACGGCAAAGTCAAGTACGAGGAGTTCTTCAAGACATTGAGAGTGGATGAGGACGAGTATCCAGTGATCGAACTTCAGTATCCCACCGCATTACAAGGAGAAAAGTACCAATTACTCAGGCCGATTGATTCGTCTGATTTCAAGCCGCTGGACGAGATCGAAGCCAACATGAGAATGGTGGCCGAATATTATCTCGATGTCGCCTCAGCCCGCAAAGTGAACAATGAAGAAGAAGGCTCGGGTTTTGTGCAAATGCTACATCGACACGCGGCCCACGGGCTCAGAGGCCGCGTTGGAGCACAGTCAGAGTATATTAAAACAATTGAGAAGTACAACAGCCTCATGAAGGAGAAGCGCGACGACGGCACGATCGCAGAGAAGTTGGACCAAATGAACCGAGTCGAGCTGAAATTGGCTGAACACATTATTAGAGGTCAGGTTTATGCTCGCACAGTATCGCCCAAGGTCGATTCTGTACGGCAATATGAGGCCTTTTCCAACTCCGTCTACGGAGAGCTCCTTCCCAAGTTCTTGAGCCGGATCTTCAAGGATACGGGTCTGAAATCGGAACATGTGTTTGTCGATTTAGGCTCCGGAGTTGGCAACTGTGTCGTTCAGGCAGCATTGGAAACCGGCTGCGAAGCTTGGGGCTGCGAATACATGGACAATCCAAACAAATTGGCCCAACTTCAGGCTACAGAATTCCGAGCGAGATGTCAACTATGGGGCATCAAGCCTGGTGATGTTCAACTGATTCATGGTGACTTCCTGAAAAATGATATGATTCGACAAGTTCTTAAGCGCGCAGACGTCGTCCTGGTCAACAATCAAGCATTCTCAGCACAATTGAACGACAATCTGAAATACGTGTTTTTGGATCTCAAGGAGGGATGTCAAATTATCAGCCTTAAACCATTCCGCAGCCCTTCACATAAGATCAAAGAATCGAATCACAATGATCCAATCAACGTGCTGTCAGTGGTGGAAAAGGAGCGCTGGAGTGGCATGGTCAGTTGGACAGACGATCCCGGGAAATGGTATCATCAACGGAAAGATCGGAGAGAATTGGACGCGTTTCTCAAGACTATGGGCGGTAGCGATTAGGTATTACGACAGGTCCTGCGGTACAGGCCAAGATCAGAGGGCCAGCGTTGACTTTGGCTGAGCTGAAATCACCCCTTTTCGGACGATAGGCCTCGATGATGTTTACGAAATTTTGCATAGCGTCGGTTTACTAACAGACATTTCGACCTTTGGATTGCACTCTCAATGCGGTACTACCTATCTGATAGAAGCTGGCCAGGCGCCGACATTTATACCAGCGATAAATAGTATTTTAATGCATCATTACCTTCTATGATCAACCATTGCAGACAAATCAATTGTCTTGAAAGCGTCAAGGTCATCGAGGCTCTTGTGAGGTGTTCTCTACTGGTATTCATATAGTCGTTATGGAAGGTTCCGAAGTCACGATTCGTACGTTCCTTCTGCGTCGGTTCAACCGAATCTGTTCTCCTCGTTCATGCGATCAGCTTCCTTGCCCATCCGGGCCATCCAGCGATCGACGAGTTCCTTGTTCTCCCGTCTCAACTTGTCGGACCGCTCTTCGGCCATGTTGAGCTGGAGATTCAACGTGACGTTCTCGTCCTGCACGCTCTCAATCAGTTTGGCTTTGCCGCGGATCTCTTCCTCCCGGTCACGCAGCTTGACCGTGATCTGGGACAGGCCGGCGTTGAGCTGGGCGATGCGCTTCGAGTCGACCTTGGCTTTGGCCTTGAGCGTGTCGAGATCCTGGACGGCTTTCTCGAGACGCGCCTGTAGGTCGCCACGTTCCTGTTGCGCCTTTGCCAGGTCCTGACGGATCTGTGCGACGACGACGGTGGGCGAGTCCGGACGGGCGGCAGCGGGCGACGTCACTCGCCTTATCCCCATGCCCAGGTACGACGATGGCTGGACAGATGGCGACTGCTCGGCATCCTCAGCCTGTGTGGTCTGAGCCGCCGCGACAGTGGCAGCCTTGTTTTGGAGACCGGCATTCTCGTCGGCGAGCTTGGTGCAGTAGTCGTAGAGCGTGAGGCTGGCTTGTTCGACCTCGTGCCGTTCTCGCAAGGCTGCGAGGTATGTGTCGCGCCAAGTTGTCATCTTGGCATCAGGTTCGTTGATGGGTCATCCTGAAAGAGTAGAAAACAGGGACAGCATGTCGAGAGAGCTTCTTTCATGGTACATACAGCTCAAGAGTTGTACATCCTCGACCCAAAAGAAAAAGAGATCGAGTGGGAAATGTGTTTGGACGATGGATTAAATGCTCCCAGATTATTGTAGGACAAGGGCGTTTGGTAACATAGTCACGAAGTGCCCCGTACCAACTTGAGGTTACGAGGTCGGCTGACCTGCCTCCATAAGCTGATGCCTAACCGAGCAGGTACTTTGACAACTTGCTAGTGAGACGTGGTAGTGAGGGCCTCTCTTACGGGCGTCTCCACGGGCTAAACTGCGTTTTGTCTGAAAAGGGTGCATGACGACCATCGCCCGTGGTCGTCTTGCCGTACAGCGCCTTTTGTTCCATCGCAGGTCCCTTACTCGACTTTTGACTCAACGAAGGCCTACTCAAGAACCTGCACCTCTTGAAATTGTCCTTTTTTCCCCTCTACGGTGATCGACCACAGTTGCTACCCATCATAACCAACCCGCGTGACCTCTTCCCGCGGAAGAACCGCCACCTGCGCTGCCACCAGCCACACGTTATCAGTCGAAGCTCTCCCAAACGCTCCAGACAACCCGCACGCGCAACCTCGACCTTGCGCTGTTGAACTCTACAGTTTCTACAGAGTATTTGAAAAGAGAAAAGGTCGCTCAAGAGATATAAAAAGGAGTCATGTCGTCGAGAAAGAAGGTGCTCTTGAAGGTACGCTGCCGCCCTCCCCAGCCTGTGCTCTCATCCAAACCTGCCTCCCCCTCCCGACCATACTGACACGTTTATGGCGCAGGTTATTATCCTAGGTGATAGCGGTGTTGGCAAGACGAGTTTGATGAATCAATATGTACGTCCTCTGTCTGTCTCTCTCTCTCTCTCTCTCTCGTGAAGCGCCTGTTTTCCCTTTTTCTATCTATCCCCGCCTGCAACCTCACTACTACTTCCGATGCCATGCTCTCGGACACTGACGCGATGTTTCTTCTTTTTGGTCATGTCCAGGTCAACAAGAAATTCTCCACGTCCTACAAAGCCACCATCGGCGCGGACTTCTTGACCAAGGAAGTGAACGTCGACGACCGAATCGTGACGCTCCAGCTGTGGGACACGGCCGGCCAAGAACGTTTCCAGTCGCTCGGGGTCGCCTTCTATCGTGGCGCCGACTGCTGCGTGCTGGTCTACGACGTCAACAGCGCAAAGTCGTTCGAGACCCTCGACTCCTGGCGCGACGAGTTCCTCATCCAAGCGTCGCCGCGCGACCCCGAGAGTTTCCCCTTTGTCGTGCTGGGCAACAAAATCGACATGGGCGAGGAGCGGAGGATGATCTCCCAGAAACGGGCCATGGCGTACTGCCAGTCTCGCGGGCAGATGCCCTACTTCGAGACCAGCGCCAAGGAGAGTATCAACGTGGAGCAGGCCTTTGAGGTCATTGCCCGCAACGCTCTGGCGCAAGAGGAGAGTGAGGAATACGGCGGCGATTTCTCAGACCCGATCAACATCAATCTTGACCAAGGAAGGGAAGGGTGTGCTTGTTGAGACTTTTTATTTCTCGGGGTTGGCGGAGGACATGGCGATTTTTTTTGGTCGACTGGGTTTCTCTAACGCCGAAGCACAGTCGTCGCGTGCGGCCCCTTTCGCACGAGTTGAGAGAGGGACGATACTACAACAAATAGATTGCACCAAAGTATGACGTTGAAGAAATGGACGAGCGCAGCAACCTTTTCTTTCTTGTCTTGGAGTGGGTACATGATATCGAGTGTTTCATCGCTGTTGGGTTGTTTGTGCACGTTTCAAAGTGTGTTTTGATCTTTCTGCGTCGAGGCGTTGGGCTTGCTGAGATCTTTTGGGGGAGGGGGGTTTTCAGGCGCCAGCAGCAAAACGCCACGAAGCCCGGCAGGGCCGTGGTGTGAGATCCATACCAACGTACCTAGGTAAGTAGCTCAGTACCTTGAGTAGCCAGGTAGTCGAATTGCACAAGAGTCGAAACGACGACAACGGAGTACAGTACCCTACGGGCACCTGTATGGGATCAACATGAGTGTGTTGCGGAGTGTTCAGGTATGGACCGATCGTCACCCAAGCTGACCTGTGGTGAAGACCTAGGGTACCTAGACATCTTGAAGATTTTGTTTCGAATTGTCTCTGCGCTACTGTTGACACGCTATTTTTTGGTTTGGTAAAAAAGAGGAACAAGGATTGGAAGCATCAAAGTGATATTTTTCCCGGTGGTGTCAACGTGCCACGCACACACACATCTCTCCACGTAAGACAGACCTCACAACTTCTGCGGAAAAAAGGAACAAAGAAGGAAGAGTAAGGACGACGCCACAGGTATACACCTAGGTACAAGCAGTGGCGGCAATGGCAACGTAACATAGTAACTCCGTCTGCACCAGGCACTTTGTCATCATGATCGTAGACGATAAAAAAGAGACCAGCACGAGCACGCTCTGTCTGGCAAAAGCAAGGGGAAAAGAGCCGCCCTCCTCACTGGAACCCCTTTTGCGTTGATACCCATCCAGGGATTCTCTGCCGTACAATTGAGTGGCGGAGATCCTCGTCCAAGTAAGTCAGCAAAATCTCGTGTGGAATGCTTGTGGTCGATCGCACAAAAAAGGCCGCAATTGCTCCAACTTCTCGTTTCCTGCGATTCTCATCGGGGGTTGTGTAATGTCGTGATTTGATGTAATGGAAGAAATGTCGGCCGATGATGGATTTTTGGTCGGTTGTCGCTCGCCAGGTTCGAGATTAATCATCTGAAGATTTCGCCGTGAATGAAAAGAGAATATATTCTTTTCCCCATAGCACTCCCAAATTTACCAAGCCCAGATTTTGAGCTACGGAATGAATGTCAGCGAAGGTGGACTTTGCGGTGACGAGGTCACGATGGGACTTACGAGAGAATCCCAGGATCCAGTACATAGACTGATGCCATCGTTGCTTACACCAAGACAGCTAACTCGGTTTTCATGGCCATTGAGAGAGCCCACTTTATCACCACGAAGTGTATCCCAAACCTACCAGGAAGATCAGTATGCTTCGAGTATGGAGATGTCATGGTACAAACCTTGCATTCAAAGTCGTCGTAACCCGCAAAGAGCAAACGACCGGACACGGAGAAAGCGACCGAGGTGATGCCGCAGAGCACTTGCTCATTCTGTAAGGGTGTCAGTAAATCTCTAGTCGTGGCAAGTCGGCACACGTACCTGATAAGACATCAACTCGCGATCTGCACGGATGTCGAAAAGCCTGCAGGAAGCGTCGTCGGAACCAGTGCCAAAGGCATTACCGTCTGGGAAAAATTGAATGGCATTGATATCCGATTCGTGTCCAGCGAATGTCTGTACAGCCTTTCCTGTCCGAACGTCCCAAAGCTTTGCGAAGGCATCGCAGGCCCCAGAGACAAAAACATTCGCATTGGTTGGGTTTATACTGATGCTCATCACATCGCCCAGATGATCTGCAAACTCGGTCACCTTGGAACCTGTCTCGATATCCCACAGCATGCAGGTCATGTCTCCCGAAGAGGTGATGATTTTTCGGTCATTGACAAACCGACAGCATGACAGGTACCCTGAGTGCCCAGACAGTTCGCGAGCAACACGGGTGGGGCCTTCTCTTGTTGAAAGATTATAGATTGAACAGATGTTGTCAAGGCCACCACAAGCAACATAGTTTCCACTAGGTGCATATGCGCAGGTCATGACCCACGATGAACGCAGGGGAATAGCGTGGACCTTGTTGGTTGTATAGGCATCCCATATGATCAATTTACCATCTTGAGAGGCCGACACGAGATGTCGCCTGTCTGTAGACCAGTGCATGGCATATATTTTGGCCAGATGCCCCTTGAGATTCCTTCGCGGTTTCATGCCTATTCGTGGGAGTGGTTCGGTATTGTTCATGGCGACTTGTCGCACTGATTGATAGCAAGTATTAGCAGTCAGGTCCAACATATAGCCCTGGCCAGCCCAATCGACTCACAACTGGTGTCGGCCAAATCATCCTTCTTGCGCTTGATACGGTCTTTGAGCCCTTCAGCTTCTCTCCGTGCAGCCGTGATTTTGGCCTGCATCTGCTCTCCCGTCAAATCGTTCGACATGATGTCGGTTGGATGGCCCTGATCGGACCACTTCGAATGAAAAGGCACAAATATTGCACCAGGCGTATTCGACGAGCTCCAGGGGTGTGCGCAAGGTAGAAAACGATCTCGTCGCGGTGTGCAAGCGATAGTCAGGAGTGCGGCGCGGAAGAAGCAGCTCGGGGGTTGGAGGAATCAGGGATGGAGAGACTGGCGCGGTCACGTAGACCTCAATCAGAGAGACTTTGTCGCAGCAGAGAGGGCAAAGTGGCGAGGAAGGTTAGAGGGCGATGGCGATGTGCCGCAGGTCGAGCGAAGACGCTGCGTGAGATAGGGTGGTGGTGGTGAGGTTGGATCAAGAACAGACACAGACGCACCTTTGGGAAGGTAGTTTGGATGGCAGGTCGGGGTGCTAGTAGTACAGGTCTGTGGGCTTTCTGTCTCTGCGGTGCAGCAGCTAAAACCAAAGGTTGCCAGTAGTTTGTAATTCCATTCGCAGTTGAGATTCCAGTAATGGGGTCACTCCCCGGCGGGTCATCTGGGCCGCGGGAGGCAACACTAGAAGGCAGATCAAGCCCCCCGGTTGCTGCTATTGGCAAAATCTGACGAGGGCTCGTACGTACAATACCCAAGACCTAAGCGTACGAGTACTGTAGGCAGATGTGAGTACTGCTGTCGGTCATGTCAAACAACTGCTACGGGGTTAAAAAACTCTGGTCGCGGCATTGGCGGAGACTATCTGGCTACGTCTTTTCCACCGTTGATCTGACTACCTCTACATTGTCGCAAACCACGAACGGCGAAGAAAGGGCCCCTCCAAAATTACTGTGGTCATTCTGCACATACAAGTACCTAGGTAGAGCTTGGGCGAGGCGATACGGAGCATATACTCCGTACTCCATGAGAGTAATGGCTAGTCAATGGTCAGACCATCCCGAGTGAAAAGGGAGGAACAAACGAGGTTCTTCCGCCGACAAAGATCCATTCCCGGGTTCGCTTACAGCCCAACGGCCTGTCAATCGCAGGAAAAAGCACCAGGGAGGGGGCGGGCCTGCGTCGAGAAATGCATGAAAGAGGCTTGCCCGGGTGTTCACGCAAGCAAGTGCCAGGATATAAGACAGTGACAGAAGAGAAATTGGCCCGGTCGCATCTAACCGTGACTAAACACCAGCCGGTGCGACGGACTGACGGTAAAGCCATCTAGCATCTGCACCTCCCTGGCAGATACATTAGTTGCAGCATCTCGAGACGGAGTATCCGTATGATCCTTGGGAGATCATCATATATGGATAAGTTAGGTAGCATTCAAAAATAATAAAAAGCAATTCGTACACCCGACTCACACGGGTGACATATGGAATGGTGGGCAAGTCACTACTTACTACCGAGTACTACCTAGGGAGGAATCTACTGTAGGTACTCCGTACTCCCTCCGTACCTTACCTAGGTAAACGAGCGTTCCCTCCAAAGATCTCATCGTGTACAGAACATTTCCCCACAAGTTCCTTGACAAGATTACTCGTTTCTAATCAGCACGCGCAGTAATCTCATGCTAGATTGCCAGGCAAGTCTTTGTGATTTCGGTCTCGCCAAAGTATGAGACTAGCAGACACGCCGTCCACCTCACGCCTATTGATCACCCCTTTCTGCTGCGAACTGCGGAGAATTTCAGCACGTGGATGTCCAGTCTCTATTTCAAGGCCTTTGCTTGTGCTGTTACAAGTATCATGGTCCCTACGCCTGTTGCTGAAGAAGTGGTTTTTCTCGCGCTGCTGTCAATCATCAATCAACAGATCTACATAACACGATAGTGTCAAAAAGAAGAGTGGGACCGTGCTGGGTATTCCCTGTCTGCGAAGTCCCGCTCCTTGTGCCGCCATATCAAAACTCGTCCCACCCTCTCCAAATCAGCTCAGGGCCGGCAGTACTGCTAGCGAGGCTTCGCTAATTCCAGACTGTGAACGGAGTACGAAGGATAACCGTCAAAGTTTGATATAAGACGTCGAACGGTCTGGCCCTAGATCCGGAGTACGCGGTCTTCCAAAGGTTAAGGACTCAAAAATGATACTTCCTGATCAAACATTTCTATTTGTTCCAAGACAGACCATCACATCAGTGACATGGGGATGTGCTTGGTTCGTTTCTTCCGTGTCCTTGCTTGATAGCACTCATAGCCCAGCAAGTGTTCGGGTCAGCTTGTATTGGTGCGCCGAGGTTCGGGTAGTCGAAGCATCGTTGGAGAACACCCTGCCAAGCCTTACCGGGTTATCCAGATATTGTATGTAGGTAAACTGTACGGAGACTCCGTGACTACCGGTCAGAACAGCACTAGTCAGACCTCCCTTCCATGATGATCATGCTGTCAGTTGCACCTCTCTTCTGGTACTTTTGATCGCTTCGTTGACCCTACGTACATCAAACTTCAACGAAGGTCTGAGTTATGTTTTGGACACTTGGTTGCCTCTACGGAGCCTCATCCGTTATGCTCGGTGCGTTCGGGGCTCACGGCTTGAAGAAACGCATTGCCGATCCCCAAAGAATTGCAAACTGGTCTACAGCAGCTCATTATCAGGTACTTCATCTATACTCGTCGTTCATGCTCTCCCTTGCTTGCCACTGGGAGATGATCCATCTTGGTCACAGTTCTGACTTGGTCTGTTGTAGTTGGTTCACAGCGGAGTTGTGCTCCTTGCAACAAGCGTTGCACCGAAGAACAAAATTGCAGCATCTCTCTTCGTTGCTGGAATGACAATGTTTAGTGGAAGCATCTATCTCCTGGTCCTTGATCCGCAACGCTTCAAGGTTCTCGGTCCAGTAACGCCGTTGGGCGGGATGTGCTTGATTGCCGGATGGGCAGCTCTAGCTTTTGGTAGCAAAGGCAGACTGATTCGATAGAGGCATTGTTCTTAAATCGCCTCTCGATGTATTAATAGCTCAGGATGGTTGAGCACGCACTCTCTCCACTTATACAACAAAATTTGAGAAAGCATTGAATCGTGGTAACTGAGGACGTCTGGGATCAACTCCATTCATCGACGTGACAGAGGCTTCTACCCAGGGATTCGACATGATCGTTGCCGTCAGATACGGTTGAAGAGTCCCGAGCAGCTGAATCTAACCTATAGAACTGCTCCTCAGCAATACTGGGCATTTTCAACTGCTACAGTGGTGCAGGCTTTCTTCGACAATAACCTTGTATGAGTGAACAGCCTCCTGAGAAAGGCATATGCAGGTCTATTCCGTCTCATGGTCCACAGGCGAAGGGACAATGGCCATTGGTTCCGTAGCCGCTGTTCGATCAATGATCAAGCTTGTACGGATATGTTGCGTGGCTTAATGAGGACACAGCAAAAATAGCAGGGCCTGCCTGCACATCTAGCGGGGATTCGTGTCATCAAACTACACCGTAGATCATTCGCTGTGAGTACCAAACAGCAAACTACAGATGACTTGGACGCAATTGCTCAGGTCGTGCGAGTTGAACTTGATCAGACAATGAAACGGGGTCTAGAGCTGCCTCTAATCTCGATATAAAGCAAAGTTCAAGAGATGGCCGCAAAAGAAGTACGACTTTCACTTCGCAGTCCTCAAAAGAGGTGTTCTGGCTTTAGCGTCACTTGACGCGAAGGCAAAGTGCAGCTACGAGCAAGTGGAATAGATAAAACACGCATCACAGTCTCTAAGAAGAACTGTAGTACTCCATACAGTACTCTGTAGATCACTCTGGAAGTGATTCGCAGTAGCCAACCTCAAATTCCCACTTGGCGAGTGGCGTGGAGTTTGCCACCACTGAAGCGACGAGTGTACTGTAAGTTATTAGTACTCCGTCCCGGCTGGCCAGAACCATGGTATTATGATTGTGAACTGAGGATTGGGGGCGGTCGCCGTGGCTCTGGAACGCCCTTATTAGGCTTGAATTCATTAGGCGGTCGGCTGCATTACTAATGTCTAGTTGGGCGAAAGCCTCTCTCAACTCACTCTCTTATCTCAGACTCGTCTGACTTATAGGTCTTGGAATTGCGAGGCAAAGGTGAGGCATCAATGTAGGGGAATTGCACGGTGATCATGTAGCAGCAAGGGACTTCTTGCAAACATAAATGATAGTGAGAACGAGTGTCTGTCTCAGTCTAACAAAACATCAAGAGCGCTATGCTTTGATCCGAGTCAAGAGCTCAAGATGCATCATCGTCAACAGCTTGAGACGATGACTCCATTGCAAAGCCATTGTGTAGATGCACTTGATGCCATCGAATGTTGCGCACGTTTGAGAAAAGCTACATTGCGCGATATGATTACCGACATGGTACGAGCACGCACATCATGAAGCATACGACGATCACAGATGAAGTGCAAAGAGTTCGATCAATGAACCCTTCAAGGGACGAGACTCGAGTCCGGCGGGCTTTGACTAGGTGGCTTAAGGTCTGTGTTATAGGCTGGTTTGGCTAAAGGCAAAAGCCCTGCTGTCGAAAGGCGAAGAAATTGCGGTTAGCGAGTATTTTAGTGGCCAGCAAAGGCCTGTCAATGCCTGCGCCGCCGCCGCTGCAACTTCAAACACAACCGTCGAACAGCCTCCTCATCTCTTCCCTAACACCATCATTCTTCTCTTCGCCCTTCAGCCACCTCTATTATCATCCTCACCATCAACCCCTTCCGCATTTTGATCGAAGCTGTCGAGTGCCTTTGTTTGCTCGCCGCATCTGCATCTCCGCTACCGAGTTTTTTCCTCGACCGCACCTACTCGACTTTCCAATTCTCGTTTCTGCTGCCGTCTGCCCCAGCCCTCAACCTCTCTCCCGCGCGTCTTCGACTCGACCCTCCACGCTCCTTACGAATCCATTTTCTCTGTACGAAGTACAGGTTTAACATATCTGCCTCCTCAGCGATTGACGACGAACAAGCCCTTCCGTCTGAACCACGACTTTCTTTCGTTACCGCGCACAGGCTGGTCAGGATACCCCCAATCCAGGGGATCTCCGTACATTGCGGACCTTGGCCGGGCCCCGTTCAAATCATTCTTGCTACGACAGAGCAATCGTGTCACTTGATGGCTGCTTGCTCCTTTCCACACTGTATGCTGTAGCGTGCATACCTCAAGTCGAACTCTAGACTCTTTCGCTGTCTGTCATATTTCATAGGGGGTGTTCAAGTGGTACGACCTTTGCATTGTCCAATCCAAGCCTCACATTTGGCAACATATCCGGAGCTCGTCACATATTCGTTGAACATCAATTGCATGAAACAAAAACATAGTCGGAAGACAATATGAGAGAGGTCAACTTCAGCATTCCCAATGTCAACAAGGCCTCCGTCCACATTACCCCCACCCTTTACGACCGCCGAGCTTTGGATTGTACATCAACTCTTCCCCTGATCAACTCCCTGAACCACCTTGCTTACCTTACCACGTCCTCGGCTCGAATCAGAGATATCCTCACAGTGGATGGCGGAGTTGAACGTCTAGTATGCATATTAAAGGAGGGTAGGAGCAAGGATGAAATGCACATGTGGAAGTGGAACCTTGCGTTCCAGTGCATTGTCAACATAGGCGTTCGAGGTTCAGAGGTTGTCCGCACCCGCGTTGTGGAAGCAGACATGGTACCTGTGATTGCCACTATTCTATGGGACTACATACTGGTGATTGAAATGGAAAAAGCAAAGGTTGACGCAGAGCAAGAAAAGCGCAACGGCTCGAAGCACGGTGGCAGTTCCAGATCAAGAGCGTCTCGTGAGCTTGCGCAAGACCCTCTCTCCAGGACATCTTTTCTCGAGCATATGAATGCTGCGGCTGATCAACGGTCCACCCGTCGGCAAGCACCTCCGCCTTCACTCGATCTACCGCAGTCGTTTTCTCAATCTTTCGGAGCCACAGAGACAGGCCCTGCTGGTGGTAACGCCGTCTCTCCTGGGGTCTTCACCTCACCCCCTGAACGCACTGTTTTCCCACGCCGCGACTTCCACCATCATGCCCGAGGCCAGGACAGCAGGGGATCCTTCCACCGCCCCATGAACATCCAACCACCCGCAACTGCCGTTCCTGCTATGGACGCATCCGATGGTTTTTCACTTCGTCCCGTACGTGAAGTCGATCGGTTACCATCGATGCTCCCAGCCTTAAATACCGGTGTGACTTCCCATCCAGACTCTCCCACCACTCCCTCGGCGCCTATTTCCCGTGGGCCGTTATCTCCAGCCGGCCGCCGCATACGCAGACCTTCTATTCGCCATCAAAACAGCACCTCGGCTGATCCTGACGACGTTATGCTGGACGATGTAGCGGCTCCCGGCGAGGATCTACTAGACGCCGATGGTCATCCTGCAGGACAGAGCAGAGCGCAAACCCGAGATCCCAGCCCACATGACCCTGAGGACCTGCCAGAACGACAACCTCTGAGCCTAACTATTCCCCCTCAGCAGCTTCAAGATATCGACAATGTTGATATTGCTCAGCAAACACCAACTGTTGCAGGCATGACCAATCCACTTGGTCCTGCAGCCCATGAACCGATCGGAGCATCACCTATACCCCCTCCGCCCGCCACTGCCGCTTCTCCAGCCATACCCTTGAATGCATATCCTAATTTCTTCCTGAGAACCGCTACTGCCACAGCTTCAACAACTGCGTTGATGCCACGAGACGAGGATGTTTTGATGGGCTTGCAATTACTTGCTTACATCTCGAAATATTGCTACCTTCGCCATTACTTCCAGAAAACCCATCTCGTCCCCAGGTTGCGGATCGATAGAGAGGTAGAGAAGATCTACGGTCCTATGCGTGGATGTCCCCTCTTGCCAGAGCCAACCGAGGACGAAGAGGAAGAATTTCTTCAACCTGATGACTACAATATATTTCCGTTGGTTGAGAAGTTCACCGTCCGCCACCACTCCAAGGATATGCAATACTGGGCATGCGTAGTTATGCGCAATTTGTGCAGAAAGGACGATGCTAGGGGGGGCATTCGACAGTGCGCCAACTATCAATGCGGCAAGTGGGAGGAATATACACGCCAGTTCGCAAAGTGCAGACGTTGTCGGCGAACTAAGTACTGCAGCAAGGTATGTTTCTCAGCCTTTGCATCAGACATGAGGCACAGCTAACCGTCATCAGGAATGCCAACGCGAATCGTGGAGCATGCACCGGCACTGGTGCCACCTGGAAAACGTTTACCTCAGCCGCCGAGCGAACCCTTGAACCGGAATAAAATGCATAGCCATGGAGTATTGATGAATTAGTATTGTCAGGCGTTGCGGAAACTTTAGGTATCTATCAGTCAGGGGTTTTGGGTTTTCATTGTGGAAAAAAAAGGACAGAACACGGCACCTACTACGAATTGATGTATAGCGCATAGTGTTATTGGATGAAGTTCGATGGCCCCTCGAGGTACATATTATCGCCGTACAGGGTGGATGACGGCTCATGAGGCTACGGGTGGCGAAGGTGTTTTGGATTGTTGACCTTCGAGAGTTGCTTTGTGCTAGGGCCGCCTTGATCCTGATATGTCGCTATTGATTGTTATTGACACAGATGTGTAATATGACGATGTCACCGCTGCACAATAATGAGAAGAGTTCACTATCACACTATACCTTTTAGATGACCTGCTTCTTGTGATTGTGTTGGGAGAGGTCCATTTGGTCGTGGATCACACGGAACTTGTCGGCTGTCTGTAGAGGCGTTGGCTATGGAGTGGTTCAGATGCTCTTGTCCAAAGAGCAAGGCTGTGTGGCAGCCTTGTATGCTGTCAAGCACGGCCCCTGCATCGGCTCAGTTTAAGACGTGGATGGTGCCCGCGTTCTCCATGCCAGACTTGGCACCACTGAATGTCCAGGCGCGTAACCCACCTCGAATTTCATGTACGGGTGCCAGGCGTGCGCAGTCAACACATCAGTTGTAGGTCTCTCAAAAGTCCAAGAGAGGTCGATTGCACCTGCGCTCATCCGCTCACTTGTGCGTGCTTGCCCTTGTATACCTTTCCTCCTTTCACCGCGACCTCTGCTTCCTCGCCTCTTTCTCTTCTTAGCTTCTCATCCATCTTCTTCCGTCTCCATTAGCGTTCACCATGTCAGGTATGGAAATGACACACCCAGCCTTCATTCTCATCTCACATTTCCCTTTAGTCCAAAAGTTCGATCAATGGGTCAACAAGCATGTTGAGCTTTGTCCTTTGAACATGCTCAAGGATGCCGTCATCGGTGTCGATGCCTCATACTATCTTGACCTCCGGGTCAACAACGAAGTCGAACCCCTCAAGCACGCCCTCGGCGGCCTTCCGTTTACTCTCAAGAAAGCCATAGAAGACGATATTTCGTTACTCCGTCAACATGGCGTCACTCTTGTCTTCATATTCGACGGTCTCGACTATGTGAACAAGAGTGCCCCAGACTCCCTCTCAGGGGAAAGCAGAAGAGCTCAGGAAGAAGCATGGCACGAATATCTGAGCGGGAACAGCAAAGGAACTGTTTCGCATTTCTGCAAGGCTAAGTACCCGATCGATGTCATGACAAGGATGCTGCAGAAGATACTGGTGGAAAATAAGATCGAGTTCATGGTTGCACCATACAGCGCTACAGCACAAGTGAGCTCAAACAACTCCGCGTGCAGGGTGTGAATATTGACATGTACCAGCTGGCCTATCTTCTCAAACTAGACGATCAGTATATCGATGCTGTAATGGGAAACACAGAGTGCTTCCTCTTTGGCATCGACAGAGTCGTGACTGATATCAACCTCAACAAATCGGCTCTCACACTGATCAGCAAGGCCACTTGTGAAGATCTGCTCAAGGTCACTGGCGATATGCTTCGTGATGCTCAACTCCTGCTTGGAACTTCTTTCACGCCGACTTTTCCGATTCTGGAGGCGATGACCGGCACAAAATCTACGGGCATTGTGGACGCAATCACCTTACTTAATGGAGCAGGAAAGTCTGTGATTCAACTCTGCAACTTCCATCGCGATCATCCACAAGTCCAAGCTCTCTCCTATGCGGATAGGTACAAGAAAGCCATCATGACCATAAGGCACCATGTTATTATGGAGAAAAATGGCGTTGTCGCTCCGCAAAATTTTGACGAGGCGCCTGGAGATGTCCACGAATTTGTCGGGCAAAGACTCCCAGAAGAGCTGTTTTTCTATATTTCCAAAGGCCTGCTTGGCCCACAAATACCTAATTGGCTGACGTCTGGTGAGATTGTGCTCAGCCTCGCTGGAGGATCCCTAGATTCAGAGCCTTATCGCAGACTGATGATTCAACAACTCAACGCCTACCGAACTGAAGCTTTGAAGATCCTGGCCGAATCTCTCAACTACTATTATCAATCCAGAGTCATCAAAGTCGAATTATGGATCCCTCAGGACACTAGCAGCTTGACAATTGAGCTCAGGAATACTCCAGCTATGAAAGCCAAGCTGGCGGGATGGAAGGTACGCGAGCCTGCGCTCGAAACGGTGTTTTCTAAGGTCAGCGTGAGTCTAATCGGACATTGTGGTATGATGTATTAGCGACTGACCTGGACAGGGTTCGAATCTTTTCTTGCCTTGCCTCCGTGCCCTGCATGATGCCCAATTCGCCGAGAAGTCAATTGTCAAAAGCAAGTTAGACTACCCGGCGTTTCGCTCTTTGAATGAGGTCTTGACGAATTCGGTGTTCCGCTTCCTCCATGTTCGCGGATATGTCGATGATAAGCACAACCTTACCACCTGGGGCAAAGTGTTGGAAACCGCCTTAGTAGTCTCTGACGAGGAGAGCACAATCATCGGAGTCGAAATGCTTAGACTGGGTCTTTTTACCTCGAATTTTGCCACGGGAACACCCCCTTCCAAGACCGGTTCGTTTCACCTCATCTTCGCAAGAAAAACTGTGCTAACTTTGGTGGAGACAAGGACTACGAAAAGAAGACCTTTTCCAATCTCATCTCGAAAACTGCCTGCTTGGGTAGAATCCGGCATAAAGCTATGGGGTTTGTGGGCCCACTGGATAGAGAAAAACTCACTTTTGCCTGGAAGGTAACTGCAGTGCGCACAACCCTACGAGATCTCCTAGAGACAATTATGACAAGCATGTTCCTGAACGGAGAAGTAGAGCGGGAACGCTCAGATTGGGCAGAGCTTAGCCAGAAGTACGTATGCCTTATGGGTGCCATAGACTATTCTGACCTCTTGTACAGGCTTCCCTTCATTGATGACCACGGCTCAGGCCTTGGCATAGCAGTCAAGACCTATCTCGATGCCTTTGAGGATGACCAAGAGATCACGGAAGCACTGAAAAAGACGATCAAGCAACAGGAGGGAAAGTACAACTGGTTTCACCAATTAAAGAGTGGAGGGGGCTTGACCAAGAGTCTCGATCAAGCCTGGAAAATTTGGGATGCCGTAAGTTGAAGCGACGAAGAAACATGTCGTATGCAATACCAACCTCAAGCAGATTTATGCCGCCAGCCAAGTTCCTGGCGTCGAGGTCAAGGAAGCTAAAGTCTTCTCCGAGGCAAATGAATGGCTGGCCATCCGTCGTTGAACCAGCCCCTCCGTGCGAAGGTACGCGTTCCGACATCCTGATCTGCGATACCATCAACCTCTATTTTCAGGAGAGCGTCATATCTAGCTCTGCGGCTTCTCTCACCTCTCTGCTATGACAATTTTTGGCTACAGGTGCTGGGTATGACGTGCCGAAGCTTTAGTGCCGATAAGGACACTTTTGAATACGCAACATTCATACTGCGTATCCTTCCGAGAGATCAGTCATGACGGCATATTTGAACAACCTTTTCTACATGCCAAAGACTTGCCTCGAAGGCCTAAAACGACGCATGTGCTGCGTATCGGTGAATACAACAGTGGACCATTGGCCATCATTCAATGAAGGATGGGCTGCTTCAATATGCCCGGCGAGGTTGACAGATGACTTTCATTCTCAAGACCGATCCTCTTTACTGACAACAATTGGTCGACCTTGTGCCCAAGGAATTCGTGATTGGTCTTTCGATGGAAAGCAAGGTTCTGGATACGGCCGTGTTCATCTCCTTGGACACTTTATTCGACTTATTTTCATTCAGTCTGACCTCCTCGAAACCACAGGCGAGTTGTTCTCGTTAAGCCTGACAATTTCATGACTGGGTTTTCCCCTTTTGGAAGCACTCGCCACGAAATGCATGACGTACTTCTTTCAGTGCTTCTCGACAATGAAACCGGCTTCAATGTGATGCCGGCTACACTCACCTCACTCTCTCGCGTATGTGCCCATGGCAAGCTGTTTGCCAGCTCTTTGCCATTACATTCTGGATTACGACCTCCTGATGCCAGGATGGTGTAACTTCCAACAAGAGATCTGGATTAAAAAGGCTTTCGTGATTCTTTTTTGTCGCAATAAATGTATCAAAGGGTTCGAGCAAGGATCGGAGCATAGCAAGGGTGACCCGTTGGAACTGCCACCGGCATACAAATTATAGAAGAACAGACAATTGTAGTCAGGAACGAGAACTGCCTCGCTTGACTGAGTGACAGGTTTTCTTATCAAGAATGATCTTGATTCCTTCTGTCTGTAGGCAACATGTCTTGCAGTGAGATAAGCCCATCAAGCATCAACCGAAATGCAAAAGTAGTCATTGATTGCCGCTGTGCAGAGGATTTCAATCCCGTAGCCTGCCTGAAACGAGGCTGAGGTCTGTGCATGAGAGGATCACGCTGCCATGTGGAGTACTACTGTACTTTCTACTGCAAGGACTAAAAGTAACTCGAGCTTTACAGGCCGAAGAATGTCAAACGGCCACTCTTCTCTACCAGACTGATTTGAGGACCTCCAAACGGTGCGTTTTTGCCCGTGCAACTGCGCATGATCCCTGCCTTAGTCACGACGTCAGAGTTTGTGCCACCCCTGTCTCCGTCCCCGTCGTCGAAGCCGTTGTAAACCTCCCCCCCTTCGAAGTGACGGGGAAATGAGGCACAGGTCCGGCGATGCACGACAAGTCTCCGCGTCAATACACGGCCCAACAAGACTCGGACAGGCAAGAGCAGATCGAGATGGACGATGGCGACGTGAGGAGGAATTCTTCCAGGCAGAGGCTCCTCGAAGCCGGACGCGAGACAAACACAGGCACGACGGGGCAAGGGGTCGTCGCCGGACTGGCGAGACACACGCTCGGCCTCATGCTCCTTCTCCTCGTGGTGTTCCTATGGACATTGTCGAATTTCTTGGGAAGTGTAAGTGCTGCCATGATCCTCCCTCCCCCTGGCCTGCTACTACTGCGGAGCAGACTTCGAGCACGCACGCAAGAAGGACTGACACGTCCGCGTCGCAAATCGTTGTGGTATAGAGCATATTCGCAGACAACACTTATGCGAAACCCTTTTTCCTTACGTATCTCAACACGAGCATGTTCATGCTGGCCATGATCCCGACGCTCCTACGGATCGGTTACAGACGGCAACGAGATCACGGAGACTTGTACATGAGACTGCGCGGGGCGTTGTCAGGACGAGGAGGAAGAGGGACATACAGAAGATTATCGTCGGCCGGCGACCGAACACTAGTAGATCCCGAGGGATCTAGGGAAGACGAGGCCTTCCTCGCTGCTCCAGACGACCCGAAGAATCCATCGCAGCCGGAAGAAGGCTTTTTGGGGAGTGGTGGTCAAGAAGGAGCCGGAGCGGCAGCGGAGGAAGAAGAAGAAGAAGAGAAGGAAAGGGCGAAACACCTCGACATCGCGTCCACGGCTCGACTGGCGCTCACGTTCTGCATCCTGTGGTTCGGCGCGAATTACTTTGCCATGGCTTGTCTGCAGCACACCACGGTCGCGTCGACCACGATATTGACCTCGACGTCGAGTATATGGACCCTCCTGATCGGAGCCTTCACCGGCACCGAAAGGTTCACGTGGCGCAAACTCCTCGGCGTGTTGGGCTCGCTGGTCGGCATCGTCCTCATATCTCACGTCGATCTATCCGCCGCCAGCCCCGAAAACGTCGACGGTGACGGCGGGTCACCTTCGTCGCTACCACTGTCTCGGCGGGCCGTCGATGTGTTCCCGGACAAGCCGGCGAGCGAAATGATGCTCGGGAACGCCATGGCTCTCTTGTCCGCCGTGATTTACGGCCTGTACACGATCACGCTCAAAAGGACGACCGTCAAGGCGCTGCCGAGGTCCCTGAACATGCCGCTGTTTTTCGGCCTCGTGGGACTGTGGAACATTGTCCTGTCGTGGCCACTGTTCCCGATCTTGCACTACAGCGGGCTCGAGCGGTTCGTCCTGCCGCCGACGGGCCACATCTGGACCATCCTGCTGGTCAACAGCGTGAGCAGCCTGCTCAGCGACATCTGCTGGGCCTACGCGATGGTCCTGACCAGCCCGCTCGTCGTGACCGTCGGCCTCAGCCTCACCATCCCGCTGAGCCTGGTGGGGGAGATGGTGCTGCAGGGCAGGTACGAGGGCGTCACGTACTGGATCGGCGCCGCCATCGTCGTCGGTAGCTTCGTCTTTGTCGACCACGAGGAACGCGAGGAGGAACCGCCGCCGCCGCCCGAGGTAGCAGCAGCAGCAAACCAGGCTGCTGCGATGCTGCCGCCCCCGTCGCATTATTCTAATCACGACCGTGGCGTCGCACTGGGCACAGAGCAGACGACGAAGAAGAACTTGTCGGGAGGACCAAAGGGCGCTACTACTGCTGCTGCTGCTGTCGAGGCAGCATCCGGCCCTTCCAGTAACAAACCTGCCCCTCTCTTCTCACCCGAGGCCGGACCGTCGGAGGACCAAAAGAGGAAGAAAAAGAGACCCCCTTGGAACCGACTCCTTTCAGGTGGAGGTCCGGGCGGCGGCCACGTGTCGAGCGACGACGACGACGATGATGACTTTTGGGATAGCGATTCTGATTAGCCAGGGGCTCAATTTGTTGTTTATAGGGGGAGCGCATTGCATTTCTTTATCGGCATGGTGAATGGATGCATCGTAGGGAGGGGGGCATCCTGACTTTTGGCAAGCGAAATGGTGAAAACTCGTAGAGAATGATATCCGGGCGTCTTTGTTTTTGATTACCTGGGTAGGTTCCCCTCTAAAACCAAAGAAATGCATGCATCTCTCAATCCCAAACATCAAAAGCAAGAAAATATTGTTCTCGATTCTCTTATTGTCCACATTTTCCTCTTGGCCGTAGCGCCGTATATCTATACATAAGGTATATTTCAATCATAAACATCGTGGTACTTGTGTATTTTTACGAAGTACTCCATAAGCACGTCTCAATTCTTACCTAGGTATGTTTCAGTTCCATTGCTTCGTCTCATCCACCTCGCAATTAACGCCCACCCCGAACCCGCAACGAAGGTAAGTTACGGATCAATAGGGCTGCTGAATCTTGGTATCACGCTCCTAACCAGACATTCTGAGGCTCATCCTGACCCAGCCCCATGTCCTGCATCGTAGGCATACCGTCTCTCCAAGGCCTCAGTTCACCTGGTCCAGGAAGTTCTGTCCCGTTGGGTAATTGCACCCTGGGAAACCCTTCGTTTTGAAAGATGTATTCTTCGTCTTCACCAACATCAAGATGTTGGAAGGCGCCAGGCATCGACTTCGTATGATCTTCGTGATCTTCGTGATCACCGTGGCGTTTCGGCACGACCCACAGGTTGCGGACCTCCCACGCCTTCTCTTCGTCTTTGAGGACCAGCGCACCGCTATGCCAACCTGCAGCCGCAACGGCAATTACGAAGTATGCACCGAGGTTTACGTAGTCACCTGATTCCTGCTTTTTTGGAGCATGGTCTTCGGGTGCAGAAAGAGATGTTCGCGACGCCGCCGGCCCTTCTTCCCAATGCCGTCCCTCTTGTTCCACCCATTCACTAAAAGCGGCCTGTGCCTCTCCATTCAAGATGTCAGCAAAGTTTCGAGGATGCTCAGTCCATGCCTGACTCTCTGACCGCTCTTGGTGGCTTGACTCGACCAGAGGACGTAGCGATGAGTCTTGAAGCCATTTAAGCCAATCCCTAAGTTCAGGTTCGAACCACACTTGACGACCTCGGAGATAAGCTGCTGGAGTGAGACAGGCATCCACTTGAGGCAGAGCTCGTTCACGGAAGAGACCACGAAATTTTGCGCCTTCCTCATAATGTCCGAGGCCTAAGGATCCGCATTGTTTTGATTCCGTCCCGTATGAAGTGATCTTCCCGTTGACATGCAGAGCATGGTAGTGATAGTCGCCGTAGGCTAGACCGATAACCCCTGTGTGCTGCAGTGCTGGAATGTCTCGTGGCTTTGAGGGTAGAAGTTCTGCCAGTATCAAGTTGGACCCAACTTCCGCACATCGTCTCAGGTATTGAACATCTCCTGAAATGACTTTGCCTGATGCAGTGAAGACAGCAAACTTCTCGAATTGGCCTTGAATATCCTTGAGCTCGCTGTTATCTCCACTAAAACCAGGAACCTCAAAAGGAGTCCCCGTCGGTGCGTCTTGCTCGGCGCTATCAACATGCAGATCACATGCATATATTTTCGAGTCACTGGTGATCCAAACCGCGAAATTCGTCAATATGACATGCTTCGTGATCTCAATGTAGCCATTCTCTGTACGTTTCCTTGCCGTCCCTGGAATTAGTTTCTCTTTCACATGAATGCTGTCGTCCATGTCATCACTTTGATTGTTTCGAACAGGGTCCCAGAATATGATCCCAGCCTCAGGTACGTAAGCTGAGCTTTCTGCCCAGCCGGCAGATACCTTGATAGGTTTTCCGCCAAAGTCTCTACCGCTTCTCGGAAATACCTTCAATCCCTTGGCATCAATACGATCCCACGAAATAATTTCTCCATCATCTGTCAGAGCCAGTATGTGTCGTCTCCCGGACGAAAATTGGCGTACTGCCGAGGTGCTTTGTGTAATATACTCAAGCATTGTGAAGTCTTGCCTAGACTGGCCTACGGGAATCCCATTCATGGAATCAATGATGCCAACGGTGTAGAGTCTGCCTTTTGAGGAAAGAATAGTGGTTGACCAACCTCCGCATTGGAGGTCGACAATGACTCCCACTTCATCTGGAACATGAGTTTCTGTTGGCCAGTTGGATGAAACTCTCCGGAAGATCTGGCGTGGATAAGGTCGTGGAAGCTGCCTTAGACGAGGGCGATTGGGGATGTTGGTAAGGGGACTCCGTGCTGGATTCGGTCCCCTGAAGGGTGGATGGGGAGCGAAGCTTGGAAGAGCTCTGGCAGGACCCAAGTTATTTCGGACTCCTTGACCCCAGGTATAAAGTTCAGTCTGGGTCTTCAGACGCTTGTATAGCCAATACCAGCGAGGGCCATCGGCAGCAAGCAAGGGACTGATGGGGAGGCGGAAGGTGATGGAGGTTTGGGTCCGCCAGTACAATGAGTCTTGTCGATACTCTGAATAGATTGCATTGGATACCTGACAGAAAGCAAGGTAGTCTCTGGGTGCAAGATGAGACAAAATAAGTGAAAGGACATCTTGAGGTAGTTCTGGGAGAAGCATCTTGGGCAACAAAGGGAGATTAGAGAAAGAAGAAGCCTAGTTGTTCATGGATAATGAGAGGAGAGCATTTCAAGTTCGTGCACTGAGGAATAACTTGGTGTAATTGTTGCCTTAGGTACCTAGGTTATGTATCGCTTGTTGTCAGCCTGATACTCAAAGTGAGTGAGGGAGACAAAGTTGACGGTGTGACATACGCAGTGATGTCAGAGGCAAAAGTGGTACGAGGGCAGGCACCGAGTCAAAGGAGGCAAGAGGCACCTGCACCATGCACTGGAAGCCACTGATTCTCTTGGCGTCGGCTACAAGAGGCGGCGATGGACAGTTTTTGGGCTGCAGACAATTCGCAGCAAACGAAGGACAGAGAGCGAAGCACACACCATCATACACACTCTCAGATCACTAGAGAATTCTCCCCGGTCAGAGCTCGCCGTGGAAACATTTCAAAAGGTGGGGTTTAGCCAGCAAATAACACCTCACGTTCACCCATTTGTTTGAAGTCCTTGATTCTGACTGATAATAATCTCAATAGTCTACCGCTTCTCTCTCCTCCATCATACCTGCGCCCATATTCTTCTCTCGACCATCTCCGATTTTCACTGTGCCATCCACTGTCTGACCGCGACAATGTCGGACGCAACCGAAGTCAAACCAACCCCGTCTGCAGACCAAACTGCATCCTCTGCACCAAGACTGGCCGAACATGAAACCAAACTAGCCCAGAACCCATTGGGTGATCCCTCAACTGAGGCTCCCGCTGGTGAAGACAAGTCCTCCTCGGTGACCGAGACTGCTGCCAATGCGGCCAGCACTGCAGCCAGCACAGCCTCTGCCGCAGCCACTGGAGTCAAGGACTCGGTTTTCTCCATGTTTGGCGGGGGTGCAAAGAAAGATCGCAAGGTCGAGGAGGAAGATGAAGCAAAAGATGAGCCGAGCGGCAGTTCCAAGGCAAAGAAAGACGATAACGAAGAGGTAAGGATGTCCCGACATGGGACCCACAGAGCATTCTCTGATTGACGTGCCTCTACAGGACAAGGCCGAGGAAGAAGAAGCTGATGTCGAGTTCGAGCCCGTCGTTCGCCTCACCGAGAAGATTGATACAAAGACCAACGAGGAATCGGAGGAGCAAACCTTCAAGATGCGTGCTAAACTCTTCAAGTTTGACCGTGACTCAAGAGAATGGAAGGAGCGAGGCACTGGTGACGTTCGACTGCTGAAGCACAAGGAGAACGGCAAGACAAGACTGGTCATGCGACGTGACAAGACCCTTAAGGTCTGCGCCAACCACTATGGTAAGCTACACTCAGACCCTGACCTCTGCCAGATCTATTGTTAACTTGTCTAGTGACCCCTGACATGAAGCTCTCTCCCAATGTCGGCAGTGATCGCAGTTGGGTTTGGAACGTTGCTGCAGATGTCAGTGAAGGCGAACCTGAGGCTCAGACATTGGCCATCCGCTTCGGCAACAGTGACAGTAAGGATCGATTCCTCTGGGCGTTTTGAGCAGTACTGATTTGAAACAGATGCCAACCTCTTCAAGGAAGCTTTCATCAAGGCTCAACAGGACAACGAGGCACTATTCCAGAAGTCATGAGTTGTTTGCATCTGAGCGATCACGGAATGCTGTGTTTGTTGATATCATGATATTCTGCATGCGAACCTGGACCATTCTATGCAAAGTCGAAGGTGAATGCGACTATTTACGAAGGAATAGGTTGAAGATGAGCGTTGATAACCCCGATGAAAACTAAACCCCCATAGTAGCTTCCAGGCTTAGATAGATGGAAGCCTGCCCCCAAGCCAGCAATAAATCTCGGCAAGATTTTGTAAAGCTGCTGAAGGTCTCTCTTTCATGTTCCTGACGCTTTACTGAATTAAGGAAAGGAGACTATTTCGTTGTAGCTAACCCCAACGTGCTTAGTGATTCGGCCGACTTGCCCTTCTGGACCCCGCATAAAGATTCCTCAGCACTGGGTCCCTCCATGCGGCGTGGCACTTCGCGCAAGTCATTCATCACCAGACACGAACCGTTCGACTCAAGATTATTGTCTCCTTGCCCTCACCAAGCCTCATATTTTTCCCCTACTTTTTCGTCCAAAGATCCTTCTGAAGGCGTTTCCGCACGATCTCTGTCTCTTCCCGCATATTTCTTGATCTTACAGGCTCTCAAGTCTGTGGAATTTGCGCCTGGGGTTTGGCGCGTCAACGGATCTCCTTCTCCAGAAGCAACTCTCATTCCTATATCATCCATCGTTTCTTGCCCAACATGCCTGACGTGAGTTTGATACGGACAAGTCATAGGACATGGATCTAACACTGTCGCAGATCAAACGATCTATTAAGATCATCACCGAGCAGAAGATCATGTACGTCAAGCCACCGTTGTGCACCTCACACTTGCCTTTCCTCATGCTACCCTCTGGGCCGAGTTTTTCTGCAAGATCTACACCTTGCGCTTCAACAAAGAAATGTATGTGAGACTGATTGTTGTTATAGTCCTGGTGCAGACAGCGGTGTGGCGGGGTTTCCTCTGCGCCATTGGAGTATGAGAATTGTTCTGCTTCATGCAGACACAAAGCAAGAGCTCGACGCAGACATCTTCGAGTCCGTGACATATGTTCTTCACGAATCCTTCGGCGATAAGATGAGACAAAGTATGTACACGCTGCCCTTTGCGGCTGTGTCTGTGGCATGACACTGACGGACGTTCAGCCTATAAGAAGCCTCCATTTCGCGTCGCCGAGGATGGATGGGGTGAATTCGAGCTCGTGATTGAGTTGAAGGATCTGGGCGGTAAAACTCACAGCATCACGCATGATTTGAACTTTGCCAATCCCCACTACGAGACAAAGCAAATCATCACCTTCAAGAACCCCAAGGGTGCGCTTCTTGAAGCACTTCGCACCTCTGGATCTATTCCTGGTGATCCTGCCGCCAACGGTGCCGATGCTAGCAGCAAGAAGCGTACCAGTGAAATAGGTGCCACTGGTACTCAGAAGAAAAAGAAGGGCGGTGATGGAAAGGCCATTGATATGGACAAGCTGGCCGATGGCTTGCAGAGACTTAGTGAAGACGCCCTACTCCACGTCGTACAGATGGTACACGACCACAAGAGCGAGGACTCTTGGATGCGAAATGACGTTGAGCGTATGTGTCTACCCTCACTCCAACTTGGTTTCATGACCACTGACGCTGTGTCGCGTTTAGAGGGAGAGTTTCACGTCGACCTCTATACCCTTCCAGAGAATCTCATCAAGATGCTATGGGATTACACCACCGAGATGAACGCGATCTCGACATCTGCATAGAAGGCAGTCTTGGGCCAACCAATGGTCAAGCGGAAATCCCTTCGATTAGCCATTCCACGTGTCGCAGTCAAGTGACGATAAGCTTGATCACGCTGGACCTGGATTGTAACAACAGTTCGTCAACGCCGCCTCATCATTCCTTTATTCAACCTGTGTCTTATGGCATGAGGGGCACCTCCGCCTTCTCTGTGCCATCCAACGTGATCCTTAATTAACCACCTCCCCAGCATCAGAAGTTACTTGGGTGGTAAACTGCATCACACACACAAGCCATTGCGCATTTTCTTCGACGTTATATGATGATACCAAAATACTTGCTAGCAGATGGAGGAGGACGGTTTATTGCAACTTCTGAGGGCTTGGAACTCACCATGAACTTTTGCATCGAGACCGCGTTGTAACTCTCCATGGTCATAGGCTCTTGGTGGGTAGAAAGGAACAGGACAAGTGCATGCCAGGTCCACTATCTCGAGAGTCGAGGGCGCGACATGGGGAGGCTTTTCTGCTTCTGTGCGCATGAATCTGAGCATGCATTTTATAAGGCGGAACGAAATATCAAACGACTTGATGCGCAGTTATAAAAGTAGAGCAAGACGCCTTCAGTGCTTTCAATTCACCGTAGGCAAAGGTTTCTGCCTGATCCCTGATCCAGCGTAGTAGAACATCTAAATAGATCCCTAGGGATGCATCAGTCACTACAACATAGGGGAAAAGAATACGTAACTATCGAGTACATCAGTATGTTGGGCCACTTGCCGTCGTGTACTGTTATCGCGCGTACCAGGGAGTAATCGGCGCCCTCCTTGACTCTCAAACTTGTCTCCTGTGCTCATCGAATCTGAATGACGTAGGTAAATTACAACCTCATCAGTCAGTCAACTTGTTCTACGTAAAACAGTGTTTCTACTTTGGGTGTATTCTTAATGTTCGAAGCGAGAGAGAGAGAGAGAGAGAACCAGACGGTGGCAAAGGTAGGAGAGACATCGGGCACCTTGCAGGGCTCTTAAGAGTATTAGCGGAGACCTAACTGGGAAAGTAAAGAAGACGAAAACTTCCACAGTATGTATGTGTCTCTCTGCACTTCTGTCTGTCTGTCTGTGTTGTGGTTTTCTTACTTTCTCCAGCGACATCACGTCAGTGCTGTTACAGACAGGTACCTTCGTAGGTGTACGTCTGGTATTTTGGGCATACGGCTACTCCGTACCCAGGTTCATTATTCTCTCTCTACCTCGATGTTACGTAGGTATATACGGGCGCAAGAACGGGTCAGACATGAGGAAGAACAAAAAAACCTAACCTAGGTACGCGTGCAACTATGAAACAGGGAAACAGGGCAGGTACTCTCCATAATAGTACCAGGTGGATGATAATTAAAAAAAGACTACTTTGTATTTGGAAAATGGTAGCCCCCCCTTTACTGTGATAACCCTCGTAAATCATGACCTCTCTCTCACACATTTTCAAGCTCAATATACTATTCTAGTAGTCTCTCAGGTGGAAAGGCCTTTCCCCCCCCTCCCAGGAACGCCTTCGTGGGGAGGCTTTTGATAAGCGCCCCCTTCCCTCCCTTCCGGATCATTGGTTTCGTCCAAATCTGGCTGGCTGGCTGGCAGTGTGAGGGTGTGGTGGGCGCACATTCCAAACCTCCAAGCACTTTTGCTTGGAGGGAAGAAAAAACATGTAATCCTTCTGGAAGAAGGCATCTGCTCGAGACTCCACACGACCGTCCTATGATAGGAGCTTGCTTCGTTCAAGAGACAAAAACAGCTCGGTAGGCCCGCTGAGAAAACATTGTAAGCGGAGAGCATCCGTTGTACTGTCTACACGTAGACATGTACCAAACGCGGGGGCCGAAGCAACCGATCGACGAAGGCATCTGAATAGTGCAGCTCGCGGAGACAAAGGACGACCCACATCCCAAGTCGACGGATTCGATTCAGTATGATAGCATGTCTCCGGAGAAACGTTCGTGGGATACCCAGCAGGATGCTGCCCGAATGGTTGTCAAGGAAATGAGTAAAATTCTCCCGTTCCCAGACTCAAATGAGTATGAAGCAATAATAATACTCATAGCACACGATTCCTGTGACGTTTGTTAGTCGTGTGATCTTCACGGCGACAAGTCCACCAAAGATCCAAAAGCACACATACCGTATCAGCACTCCTTCCAACCCTTCAGCCTTTGCACCGGATATGGTGGCGAAGACGTCGCCACCTCGGTAAGCCAGTACGGCAGGGACCTCGACGGTCTCCATTTCTGCAACCTCGTGGTGCAGCCGTATAAAGTGAGTCTTGTTGTGTTTATAAGCCAGAGTGCTCAACTCATCCTCGACCTCTGCGCTGGCGGTGGACAGAGGGTCGTGGATCATGACCACCACGACGGTGTCGTCCGAGACCTTCTCGATGGCATCCAGGTAGCCACTGGCATCAACTTCGTAGAACGTCCCCCACGACCGTTGGCTCGGGTATTGTCTCTTTTGAGAGTTATACGCGGATTGTGACTGCGAAGACAACTCGGCCAGGCGGTTCTCCCGCCATGTCTTCATAAAATCCGAGTCGGCTTCGTCGTCGGAGAGGGTCAGTTGTTCAGATCCCGACGAATTTGATTTCGGCGAGGTGCCAAAGATACTTTTCCTCTTGTTGGGCTTTTCTGACAGGCTACCCGAGGGCTTATGGGAGGAGGTCAAGTTGCCGGCGAAGCTTGCTATCCGTTGGCGAAATGTCGTTTGTTTGGCACGGGCGAAGGACTGGGCATCAGCAATGACACCCTTCGGGCCCGTGTTGGCGAAGTGTGCCTGGGAGGGTAGATGGTAGCTTGTCCTGGTGGTCGTCATGGTGGCCATGTTTGTGGCGTCGGCGTCGTCGTCGTCGGTGCCCGGATCAGAATGATAAGCTTGATCTGGAGACTGGGGTCGATGATCTGAAGACCGATCTGAGTCGTCAATATCCTCGGGATGAGAGGCAGAATGGTCTTGGTGAGAGAAGTAGCGATCAGCCTCTTCTCGAGCGAGGTCGGCCATGATGTATGTAAGAAAACAGTGCGGAGCAGTAAGGTGCTATGTGTGTCAGGCCGGGAGGGGGGCTGAGGAGTCGACGACACTGAGATGCGGACACTGCAGTCAAACAGACGGCGGGCTTTGCAAGGATGTCAGTGACCACCGGCGACATGCGCTAGAATGGTTTCGACATAGAAGATGCGGCGGCTCCAACGGTGCCTCAAAGCGCGATCCGTAAATGGTGAGGTTCAAGGGTGATCCGCTGAAAGCCACAAGAGCCTTTCGTGACGTTTTCGAGAAGGTGTTGCTGGACAAGGCGGCGGGCGGACGGGGTTGATGCAAAAGTTGTCGCAGTGACAGACCAAAGAGGGATGGTTTGAAACACCTCCCCTGCTGACTGCAATGCGGCGCCGGTATGGGCGGGTCCAGAGGATGAGGCTCGTATTGATGTTGATGTTGTATTACTGTCGAGAGATTCGTATGACAGGGATCTTCTCTTTTGGTGGTGAGGGTGGGAGTACGAGGAGGATGTTGGAGGGACTGATGCTGCTAGTTGTAATCGTACCCGTATACGAGGTGATGTGGCAATGAATGGGTTGAGAGGTTGTTGACAGTGGGCGTCAGTCAATTCCAAACCTGTTGTGCTCCGTAACAGCGCTCCTTGGAGATACAGAACAGTACGAAGTGGTTTGTTTGAATTGTGACCAACTAGTGAAACTGACACAGACCATCAGGCTGCAGCCATCACTCTTTTTTTCTCTTTCGGATTCTTTGGAGATTTCGCCTCCTTTCCAAAGTCCGAACAAGCAATAACAAATTCCCACCAGATCTGACAATCACCACTGGTTCGGGCCTGGCCATTTGTGTCATGCTAATGTGGCCAAGTCCACTAGTCGTCGATCGTTGGAGGATCGGTCTACTATCTGTACATAGGTTGAAGGAAAGACGTTTTGCTGTTCGGGACCTACATACGGAGAACGACCGGCCACTCACAACTGCTACTACGATTATGGAGGGGGTTCCAAGGTATGGGATACAGGCTACGGGAGTACGGATACTTCCAACACCTTCATCCATCTACGAGTAGCGCCAGAAGCTGTTCAAAGAAAGAGCCGGCCCGTTGTCTCTGACAGGCTTTTCCTCTCATGGCGTTACGAGTCCCAATCCTCGATCGTCAAGTCTCTTGTTGGTCCCATACGGAGTACGGGAGTACACAGTATCTTATTCGACCCAGCTCACATCTCGTGACGATCGCCTTTTTGATAGCCGAAGTTTGGAGGACGCCGGTTCCTTATACCCCGTAAGTCTTTCGCGGATATGGACTCGACCAAAGGATACGCAAAAGCATGTACGAGCAACGCACCAAGACTTTCCCCTTGCCTGGGTCACTCTGGTATGCACGTCTAGGAGTAGTCGTACTGGCTACAGCAGCCGAGGTCACCGCTCAATTGTATTACTGATGAGCTGACCATCTCTGACAAAAATTGGCATCTTGACATCTGCAATCGAGCCCATGGAGGAGACCACCTTTTGTCCATACTTGCAGACCCTCTCGGCGAGGTGCTGCTCCTCGGACACACATTCTCTATGATGCTGCTTGAGACCAAAAGACATGCCTAGCTAGCTTGTTAATGGGATTGAATATTTCCGAAGAACTACCTCAGCTATCAAGACTCGGCCCACCGTTCCCATGGGTTGCCGTCTATTTTTCCTCGTTGGGTTTCTCAAAGATTGCTAGAGGACAGACACCCCGGAAGAAAAACAAATGAATCTCAACAGAAGAGTCGGTTTACCTTTGGATTGCCATAGGTCAAAGGTGTGACGGGATATATGCAGACTTTGGCGATTGACTCAAAGATCATGGTCCACAACCCGAGCTATCATCATTGACAGCTTGACCGTTCGGTTGTCTCTGTCAAGAAACTGACGGTTCATCGCCCAGATATGCAACTACTCGTAGTAGTGTCCAGGTTCTTCATCATCATCACCATCATCATCCTCCTCCTCCTCCTCCTCCTCCTCCTCCTCCTCCTCTACGAGTTAGCTCTCCGGCTATACAACCTTTACCGAGCATGTCAAAAAGTCACATCCCTCCCTTCTCACACCACGACAGGCTTGTATCATCTGGGCGAGGAAAGGACAAACTCGGGCCATTCGCTCGTCGATCCGCAAATCCCCCAGTAAATATTACTCGACACATCTCTAGCCTCATATGTATAGATACCTTGGAAGGGGTTCCCACAATTCTGCCCGACATCAAAAGCTCATCCTCCGGGGAATGGTGCCCGTTGGAAGTTTACGTACAGGCAATGATCGCCGGGTGCTCCATTTTAGTCTTGTCTACTACCTCTTGGGAGACAAACATTGCATACGCAAGTGTGTACGATGAAAAGTTGATGTCAATTAACATTCCTTTATTTCAGAAGATAGAAACCAACTTTCCGAGGGACCTATTTATTGTATAGGTATTGGTGGCCAGTTAAGAAAATAACCAATGGTCCAGAAATCTATACCTACGTATTTTGTCCTCTTCATGGATGGGGTATCAGGTCAGGACATAGGTTGGTAGCAAGAAACCATCAAAAAACCCAGACACTCCTCGGTACCTAGGTAATGCAACTTAATCCAATCATGTATTCGGTACAAAAGTCCAAATATCGAGCAAACTACCTACCTAGGTAGGTATTTATTCTGAGGCGTAAGCCTTCGGAAAATGCTCGCAAAATAGCTCTCTCTCTCTCGCTCTCCAGAGCTAATTCAAGATCCGTTAGATGACCCTGTCAGGAGGACTTTTCTGTTTATGTCTCGTCCGCCTGCCTGCGCCCCATCCGGCGCAGCTGAGGAGATCGTCGTCTCGGATCTTTCTGTTCTCGGGCTTCGCCCTTGTAATGGCAGGCTGCGGGTCGTGCTCGTCCTGACCGAGTTTCGATTTCTTTCGGCGTGACGCGGCCAGTTTCTCCCGAAGTATTACTGCTTCCTCGGGGTCCTCATAGCAAAGCTGGGTCATTCGAGGCGTCTCTTCGTCCTCCATGCGTCGGGCCTGGTTATCAAGCGGGTGGTCGAGGTCATCCATACCAAGCGAGAGCGGAGTTACGCCCGCTGTCATGGTCGTCTTCGCCCGACCTGTGAACGCGAATGTTTCCCTCTCGGTGGACGAGCCAGTCACTCCTGAGGGTGGTCGCTCCGACGGCATCGGAACAATCTCACTTCCCATCCCGTCGGTGTTCATGCTGTCGATGGAGCTGGCCCTCGATTGTCGTGGGTTCGACGATACCGAAGCGTTGGACAAGTTGCTGAGCGCTCTTCCGAAGAGCCTGCTCTTCTTCACGGGCCGCTCACCGCCAGCCGCAGCAGGCTTTCGGCGTATGCCCTGATCAAGGATGTCGCGTATAGCGCCGTTCAGTGCCTGTATACTGCCCGCCTTTTCATCCTGTTTCGTGGTGCGTGAGTTCTCGTCGGCCCTTGATTTCTTTATGCCTGACTCGCCATCTACTGCGGACAATGCTGTTCGCACGTCTTCCACAACGCCGGATTTATTACCAGAAGAGTTCGACGACAATTCTTGAAGTGGGAGATCCTCCTGGACAAATGAAGCTCCCTGAGTCTCGTTCTGATCTAAATCATTCTTTGGTTTGTCGCTCATGGAGTCCAATTCTTCTTGTGTTGCGGATTTGACCTCCCTAGGATCCTGGTGGATCTCAACGGATACATCTCGAGACTTCGATCCATTTCGTGTTGCCTTTATTGATCCCATGCTGGTGTGACGGGATTTGCTTCTTGGTCGCTCGCGGCGTTCCTTCTCCTCAGGCCGCAAAGGGACTGTGCTTACCTCCACGAACTCTCCGCGAGCTCTGAGATCCCTCTTTTCTTCCTCTTGTGACTTTTTGGTCCCCGCTGACTGAACAAGGTAGTCCTTGAATCCTGCCTTTTGCCCATTCTTGATCGTCGACCATAGCCAGTCTTCCGACACCACCGGTATTCCCCATTCGTGTGCACTACCAAGTTTCTGCTTATTGTGACTACCGCTCCGGATCACAAGGACAGATACTCCTGGTGCAAAGGTCTCGACATAACTGCCACCAAGTGTAGCGACAATTTTTGAGACGTGTAGCGTCTCTAACCCTGAAAAGCCTGATACATTGACTGTGGTCGAGGAAAGCACTGTCGACGATGGCCAAGGGATATACCCAAGCTGGTACCTCGTTGGTGGAATGAATGTCTTATCCAACATACACCGTTCCAACCAGAGTTCCGATACTGTTTCGAGACCTGGAATAAAAAGATCCAGATCAGCTGTGCGCCTCTTTCTTCTCACATCGTGAGGCATTATCAATAGTGTCTTGTCAGACTCGTGGGTGTCTACATCTTCGGCATCAATGATCATTCCTCCTTCTTCTAGCACAATTCTGCTGATGATACCATGCTATTGGGAGTCAGTAGGCATTAGAGAAGTAAGACGTCCATCACCTACCTTTCTTTCCTCGAAACCTCTAAAGATGAACTGTCGGCCAGATAGGAACCCAGACCATGACTGGGCCTTTTCCGCTGTAGTACTTGAGTGATTTCCTGAGTCTTGATGGGTCGGAACCTCGTTCTGCCTCAACGCAGGCATAGAATCGGAAGGCTGCAGTCGAGGGCGATCTGCTGTGTCCGCTTCAAAGCCAGCCCCTCCCACGATATCAGTCCACAGATTCTGAGTTTGGCTTCCGAGTCTGGCACTAGCAGTGCGTCGAAGTTTTCGAGACGGTTCAGGTACACTGGTCTCTTCGCGAGCACGCTTGGCCGGTCGAGGGGAGAGCCGAGGTCGTCGCTTCCAGGAACCGATACCTTGTTCTGACACCGGTAGATTTGGGTGATATAATGTCTCATCAAGCTGCATTCCACGCTCCAGCGTATCCTTGTACCATTTCAGGCTCACCACTTTCTTCTGCCACGACAGGGCATATTCGTACTTTTTGCCTTCTGGCTTTGCTGCAATCAAGTGTGTCACATCTTTGGTGAGATCGCCTGTATACTCTCCGCCATTCTCAATCACATTCTGCTGCAGCTGAGCGCGGAAGGAGAGATCATCGAATCCGGTAATACAGATTTTCAGGCCGCTCATAGTCGGCATGCGATACTCGGTGGCCAAGGCCTCGAGATCTAGTGGCAAGTCCTTGATCCATAGCTCTCTAATGGCCTCGATCCAATGTGGTCTTAGAACTTTGATGTCTTCTCTTTCCCTTGCAACATACTTGTACTTTGCCGTATCAGTGTCACCAACAATAAGATGTGTTGTATCGGAGGTCAGGTCAAGTTTGTGCTCGGCACCCATTTGAGTTGCCAGTTCTGCATATCGAGTCTGTGATGAAGGTCAATGATCCAGGAGCATTCTACCACGGACTCCCACTCACTCGTTCTTCTGGTCCAATCGAGGTGAAGCATAGCACAACACCTTGAAGAGGTCGCTCGGCGGATCCTGTATTGCCCATCAGACAAAATCGTTGACGACGGTACGGAAAACAGACCTCGTGTATTCGCTGGCGCCATTCTGCATGTTGTACGTCCTTGGGTTGGTTGCTGACGAAGCTGAATCGATATGGGTTGTTAAGAGTATTGGCTAAAACGAAGTTATTTTCTGGTGTTCTACGGACGCGTCGAGCCAACGCGACGAGGGGCGCTGCGGAGGCTAGTGGGCTCTATATTGATTTGGAGAGCCTACTGTAAGAAGCCCACGCCAGGTTTAGGCATGGGACTTGCCGAGGTGACCCCGAGTGGACCGCCTAGAAGGCTTGTATCGCTGGGGCTTTCGCTACTTCGATACGAGACATTAACACCCACTCATCGACCAACGACGACGATCAAAAATAACCAGGCAACTAACGAATCTCCATCCGGTCATCGATGCGAGTAAGGATCGCGTTTCCTACGGAGTACAATGCAGGGACCTTCGCTTTGCTGTTTACCCCCTCAAGATCCTCATAACATAAGAAGCAATGCGGATGGCCCGGACCTCGAAGACTACCTAGATTCTAGGTAGGTAAGTCGCCATGGTCAACCCTTCTTTGGGACGAGAGTCTCAGTGATACTCGACATCTAGCAAGCGTACCTCTCAGTTGAGAGGATGTATTTCAGTAGATCGCTTTCAGATTGAAGAAGAACCGACAGAAATCGTTAGGTCAAGCCAACCAGCGATTGACTCATAAGTTGCCATTCTGACCGAGGCTGTCTGAGTGAAGACTTCCTTGAAATGGTGTGAGGGACTTCTAAGCATGATCTCAGTCAGATGTTAATTGGGCCGGCGACGCGCAGCTAGGTCTCTGTCTGACCTTAGCAAACCTCAGCCTCGATTGTCCACGCATGCTCGCCTCCCGAAGATCATGCAGGGCACATGTTTTGGCATCATTCTGGTTGTGGTAAAGCTTACTGTACAGAGTCAATTCCCCTTCGATGAGCCTATGACAACCGCAGTTGGTGACGGGTATGGCTCGATTTGGTTGTCCTTTTTCCCTTACTTGTAGGGATGGCGGGGGTTACATACAGTTGAGCACGGACTATTCTGTAGCCGATAATGACTTTTACTGATGAAGTTCTGTCTATGTCACTGTTATCAAGACTGGGAACGACAAAATTTCCTCGACGATGGCCGTGTAGCATGGTGTTGCTTATTGCTCTCACAGTACCTTAAATGTTGCGATTGGTCGTCATAAAACTCCTGCGGATGCTGAGATATTAGGAAAGACGCTGCTCTCGATGCGGAAACGTCTTGGGAAACCGTCAGACATTGAAGAACGTCATGGGGTTGAATACCTTATGTAGCACAAAGCATGTGCATGGGCCGCAGATTGAAGGTTCTCTCGGCCTTGGAAATACTTGATATTCTGACATCTCTGTGTGTGTCGAGTCAGGGGTTCATAATCGGCATGCCTTCTGTTTCATTTGGCGGTGCTGACGGGTGAAGATTTCGTTTCCGACCGGAAAATAGTTGAAGAAATGGTCGTAATGCAATGCCTAAGACCTGAGCATCGTGTGGTTGGCTTGCCGGCAGCCTCGGGTCTCGACTTCCTCGCCTTTCCGCACATTGTGATGCGATTTTATGCGATTTTTTGCGCTTCTGAGTCGCATACAAACTCGTGACAGCTCGGCATAAGGCAAGCCAGATCTGTCATGAGATCTCACAATGTGGAATGTTTCCAGAAATCAAACGGCTGTGGCAAGCTAGATCTGTAGAGGACAAAACCATGAGCACATGCACATGGGAAAAAGTACTAGTGGGCCGGATTCGGATGGGTGGTCAGGCACACGACAAGATAAGTAGTAATAAGGTACGGAGTACGAGCACGGGATACCTTGGTACACATACGATGTGTTGCGCTGGTGAAAGATTGACAGGACGTGCCCCCAGACAGGCCTGTCATGGCGGCCATGTTGATCAGCCTCATGAATACGAACACCCCGTCATAACAAATGATTATCATGCCAAAATTACCTACCTAGGTACAATACCCCTAGGTTCGGTAGGTACCTGAGTCAGATACTCCGCAGGTTGGTACGGATCACGTACCTACGGTAAAGACCAAAGCCATAAAGGTGGTATTTGCTCATCCGCACAACCGAAAGTCTCAGCCCTCGTACTCCTCGTACTCTCGTGTTCATTACGAGCGATACTCTATACCCATAGCGAGGGCACTCACCAGGGTAATCACGCATCTCTGACGCTCTTTGCTACTGTGGTTCTTCTTGGGTACTCCGGTCAATCGGCAAACCCCGTATCATCCGCTGAAGCCTGGCTAACCGGCGAGCGGGCACAGCACAGCGTATTATATCATCAAGCAAGCTGAAGACCTGACGCGGCAACGGAGTGACCAGGGCAGCATCACATCAAGGCCCACCGTCTTATCCACTACTGATTGTGGCTCTTACTCCACCCTGTGTCATGCTTGTCATTATTGCCATCGTTCGACATCTTTTCCCGGCCCGCGAAGAGCCTATTGCTGCTGCTCTTCGCCAATCGAATCCCTTCCAGAACCATTACATTTGCTCACGGGTACAGTCATTTTCTCACTCGAAGCGGTCGCCGAGCACAAACCCATGAGCAGCTCTTCATTCAGAAACTTCCGTTTTGCTTTCTTTCTTTCGTTCTCACCTCGTGCAGGAAGCAACTCTCCTCCCATTTGATCAGCCAGCAGTGATGAGGGATGCCATCCTGGTCTACGGCACGCTCTAAGCCGATCTAGCTGCGGCAGTTTCCCACTAAAGATCCGATACTGCTGGATTCGGTGAGTAGCAGCCAAGCCAACCCGCAACTGCGGAGTCGGCACGCCTGGTCGTTCCTCTTGCCCTACATTCCATCACCTCTGGGCAGGCCTACGATGCTTAGATCTATCCTCTCTGCAATACATGTACACACACGTTGCGAATCGTCAGATTTCTAACAGATGAAGATTCACAGTCAACCGAAGATTCAAGACCTCTCCAAGTCCTTGACCGGCACCCCTCAAGCCGTCGACATTGTCGCTGAGTCTACGCATCCGATTCACCGAGGGCTAAGCAGGTCAGTCCGTGAAGCTGGCTTTCTCACGAGACCACGCAAAACGTTTCTTTCGATTATCTCTTCCACCGGCATCTACACAAGCAGTCACTTTACGGCCTGTGCCTCCTGATCAAGGCTCACGAAGGGGTTCGGTGCAGTCGGGGGATATGGTGTTTGCCGATACGGGTAGACGTTCTCCGGAACGCAGGGGGAGAAGTTCGAGTATAATAAGCGGTCCTGTCAGTGGGATGGTGCATCGACCGCGACTCGAGAACGAAGTTCGAAATGCCTCGACTCAAAGAGCGAAAGCCGATGCTGTGTTGAACATAACCAACCTTTCCGACGAGAAACCGATTGCCAGCGGGAATGGCGTTTCTGTCGCAGTTGCGTTGGCTGAACCTGTCCTATTTCTTCAAGGCTACGATGCCAATGACCCATCAACACACAGCACAACTATGCTTCGTGGAAGTCTCGTGCTGCGGGTCACCAAGCAAGCCAAACTGAAGTCAATATCCCTGAACTTTCGCGGCAAGTCTGAAACAGAATGGCCAGAGGGCATCCCGCCCAAGCGAGTAGAATTTCGAGATACGACGACAATAATGAACCATACCTGGTCATTTTTCAACGCCCAAATTCCCTCGGCCGAGTATAGCTACGGTGCGGATATCGTCCAGCTGAACAAAGGTCCCTCAGTCGAGTCTAAGGAGCTTGGAGTTACATCCTCTTTCGATTTGTTCCAGCGCAGCGCCTCGCCTGCGAAGCCTGCACCCACCTCACGCGAGATAAAGCGGCTGTCGCTACAAGCGAATCACTCGCGAAGTTTTGGGAAAGGTGATACCATCAACGGCGGACCTACTGTTGCCCAAAAAGGCTTCAAGGTATTCCACCCTGGAGACTACATTTATAATTTTGAATTACCTTTAGACTCTCGTCTCCCTGAGTCGATCAACGTGGATCTAGGACACGTCAAATACGAACTCGAGGCATTGGTTGAGCGTTCTGGTGCCTTCCGAGCAAATTTGGTAGGCACCAAAGAACTGACCTTGATAAGAGCGCCTGCCGAAGGGTCGCTCGAGCAGGTCGAACCAATTGCTATTTCACGCAACTGGGAGGATCAACTTCACTATGACATCGTCATCTCCGGAAAATCTTTTCCATTAGGCTCGACTGTGCCCATTGCTTTCAAATTGACACCCTTGGCAAAGGTGCAATGTCACCGGATCAAGGTGTTTGTCACAGAAAATATTCAGTACTTCACCAATAACAAAAAAGTCCACAGGCTGGAGCCGACCAGGAAGGTCCAGCTGTTCGAGAAACGGGCAGACGGGCATAGCGTTTCGTCGTATCCTGGAAGCTCTATGCGCATCCTTGCTGGTGGGGGCGTCCCATACGATTATCGCTCCGCGGCAGCACGCGGCGAAGAGGACATCCCTAGAGACCAAACCAATCTCCTAGGGAACCTCGACAACGATGCTGGAAGCATCGGACCAACCGAAATGGAGTTCAACGTCCAACTACCAAGTTGTCATCAGATGAAGGACAAGCTGCGGAGCGAGCGTTTACATTTTGACACGACGTACTCTAATATCCAGGTTAATCACTGGATCAAGGTAAGCACCGTTTCTCTCCAAAGCTGTGAACATACTTTTAACCTGGTTTCAGATTGTGATGCGCCTATCTCGCCCGGATGAGAATGACTCCGCAAAACGACGTCACTTCGAGATCTCTATTGATTCGCCATTCAACATTCTCTCTTGTCGTGCCACTCAGGCAAATATATCGCTCCCAGCTTATGACGCAGGTGGGACAGCACCTACGCCGGCTGACGAGTTCGAGTGCGGCTGTCCAGGTGCTGCTTTGAGAAGAAGAAACACACCTCCGGTTTCTCAGAATCGAGTTCCACAAATCAATACTCAAGTAGGTAATGGACCTGGGGCCGGTGTGCAGAGGAGCTGGACCAATGACTCCGGTGGGCTCGCAATGCCCTCCCAAGCACATATGGCCAACGACTCCAATACCGCACAGCCAAGACCAATGCATTTGCTGCGAGCACCGTCCTTCAATCCACCCGCTTTCGATGAGGATGAGCCTCCACCACCATTGGTCACCCCTCCTCCGTTATACGATAACATCGTGCCTGGAGATTCCAACACTGCTTTGGCCGACTATTTTGCCCGACTTGCTGACGAGACTTCTGATGAGGACGATCGGCTGGATCGATCACGCGTGGACTATCCTCTCACGCCTGGGGGGCGACTCAATAGGAGTATGGATATTCCCAGAACCTGGCCACCTCTAGGCTCGAGCTCGAACAACCCACAGCCCTCAAATCTTGTAACGTCGACCTCAGTTGCGCAATAACTCATGATATAGTACATTGTAATTTCAGGCTTCGACAGCAAACGACATAGGAACGACTGACGACTCTAACGGGCTTTTGTGATGAAGCGCAGGCGATGCATCTGGACCCACTGGTGCTGAATGGTATTTGAGATTCTTACAGATATTGTGGCATTGACATTCGATCTCGGAGAGATTCTGATCGAATCCATTGAGACAGGTGGAACGTTTTTGAGTTGAGGTATCCGTATAGCCTGCGAAAATATTGATCTGTAAACATTTAGCTTCCGCAACGCAATTGATTGTAATTACGGTATTCTTTACCACACCGTGCCTCAAAAAGTGGTAGAGTTCTCATAGGAGCCGATTTATTCGAGGTGCCATTGTTCATGGATGATAAGGAGGGTCTGTAGGGTTCGCGAGTGGACGAGGCTGACTCCCGTCGCCCACGCCAAGGCCGACCTGCACGAGGCTGGCATGTCGGCGTGCAGCGAGAATTCCTTCCGAGCTCCAATGCTGAAAGCGCAGTTACTGACATTTCGACCAATTTATTCCGGCCGCATCATCTACAACTACCACCCACCGACTTAGTCGGCAGACACAAGTTGAACATTTCCTGGTCTTTCGAGATGGTCAGATGACCCACCACTCCCCGATTTTCTATCAATTGTATCGTAACTACCTGACCAGCAGGTGGCAATCTTTTCAAGATGGCTTCGACCGTAGCTACAACGGTGGCACATCAGATGCCGCCCATGCCTCTTCCTGCAATGCCACGTATACGGCCTCCTCGCATGCTCAAAGGAACGAAGAGCCCCAATACAGACCCTCAACCTCCCGGTGCAGCTCCGAAAGGAAAGTGGTGGGTACAAGGAAAATGGCGAAATAAGGGATCCAATGCAGGAAAACATGTTGAACAGACGCAAGCCCTACAAATCGCAAAAGCATTACGGCACGAGACGCATGGTCTTGACATATACGCATATCGCCACGTCAGGACAAACCAGGTTGTCTACAGCCTGACCAGGACGTTACAGGTATTCAATTCTCTCCGTCCAATACTTCGATGCTCCGAACACGATGCTGATTCATGATTACAGGAAGGGAAAATCCTTAAACAATTAGTTTTCCACGGCAAGAAGACTGTGCCAGCATCCGTCCGGATCGACACGTGGACGCCGTACTTCTCTATACATTTCCCACCCACTCCCGCCGGCGCACTCAGTGGGCTTTTCGCATTCCAGAAGCTCCGGGAACTTAGCTTACAACGACAACTCTCGCCACCAGATGATCTGATTCGCGTGACAGAGGAGGACATTCAAATCATAAAATCCAAGATCGGCAGTCCATTAGAGTTACAAGAATTACAAGCCCACGATCGACTCAATGCTCAAATACCCAAGGTCGGCGAGATACTGCCCAAGAAGCTCCGCGGGCGGCGCCTGATGGATCAAAAAGCTACGAGTGTCGCCGATGCCGCGTTCGTGCTAGACTGGATAAGCTCCGGCTCGGGACCTCTCGAGCGACTAACAGAGGTGGCGGTCAATCGTCTGGCCAGACACCATGATCGGACGAGGCGGGCAAGGAGGAGAATAAATCGAATCCGTGAGAATGAAGGAGCACAGCAGAAGAAGATCCGAGATAGAATCACTCTGGCTCTCGAGCAACGTGGCCAGGGAGACAAGAGCCATTTGCCTATACCGTGGAAGGTGTTGTTGCAGATGAGCATGGAAAATCACGGGTTAATCGATGGAAATGGATTGACTGACGTTGAGAACGTCATGGAACTGCGCTCTGCGATTCAGGACTGGCAAGCCTACTGTGAGCTCGACCCCAAAGACCTCGACATGGATCTTTGGGCAAAGAGGCAACTGATCGGCCGCGAGGCCGAGCGGAAAGCCATCAACGAGTGGTTCGAGGTTAATGACAGCCCCATGACAGAGGGTGGCTCTGTATGGAAAGACGTGGCAGCTGCGAGAGATTCGGCGCTTGCGGAATTTGACGAGAAGGAGGGCGCAAGTTTGAAGGCCAATCTCGCGGGCAAAGAGAAGCCCGCATGGGCTGAGAACAAGACGGTCGAGATGTTTTGGGCGGATTTGAACGACGGACTCTTTGCCAGTTCGTGGCCAGAGAACGTGGTTCACGGTCGATTGACACCGTTCGGCGTCGCAAAGGGTCGCGTACACGGACGGCCCAGCGTGCTCTCAAGCAGCGTGCACGTCATCGGCAGCAACGTCGACGATGGCTGGATGCCCAATGAGCTAGGTGAACCATATGCGCCGGCGAAGCGCTTGGTAGAATCGGCCGAGGGAAGTGACCTGCAAGGAGACGAAACTGACGTCCCAGGTGCCCGTACACACGGCTCAGCCTTCAGAGAGGTCGAAGAGGAGTCGTTGGGCTTCTTCGGACGCCTACGTGGCATGCTCGGGGGAAGAAGGCAACGCATCGCCGAGTAGAAGCAGTCGTCCATTATGACGTTGACGACGAAGATGGCAACCCCAAACTTTGTGCAGAGTGCCCTGGGCCCAGGAACATGGTGGAATGCCTACCTAGGTAATCAGTGCCAGATCGAGCGCTGTGGCAACACGTCTCGGTTGCCCATGGCCGGGAAGTCCAGCCTCATCGCCTGTATCGTCAGAAACAACCAGGGGATCCTTCAGCCCTCCCGTCCAACTAGACGCACAGGATAGCAGGAAGTTTCTTGCTAGATCAGACTGCTCCATGTCAGACAAAGGACGAAAGATCCCCGTTTTCAAGGTGGAGATATATTGATATATTTTCCTCTTCTCCAGAAAAGATGGAGGATTTGTGGTATATATTTTGTACTACACTACTACTGTACTATTGTATATTCATCACGTCATGACCATATAGAGGTTTAATAAAAATCAAAGAAGCTCCCTTTCCCCTTTCCGTCATGAATGCATCGTCAAGCTCGTATCCCCGAATTTCCAGAATAGCAAAATGCTCGCGTTACGCAACCTTCGAGGGCCAAAAAATAGAAGACGCGGTAAGCCAAAAAGCGTCGACGACACCAAAATAAGCGCTTTTTTCCCCGATCCTGAACAACCAAAACACTTCCAACTGATTTTTCATGAGCTCATTGGCGTGTCGTAAAGTAGGTTTTGTACATCATAGTCGTGAAAATCGTTTCGCGGCGGCATCCGCGACCCAAGCAGTTCAGCATGGGTGCCCGGTCTACCGCACAGGGATATTGATTGCGGCTTCTGGAGCAACCTTGCCTTTCCCTTTGGCGAGGGCTCGTTCAGCGTCATGTCGTTTACTGAGGGCGCTCTTCAATGCTCCGAGCCACCTTTCCAAGTCGTCCTCATCGCCAGCACAGAACCTGTAGGTCTTGTCGTCCATGATTATTTGGAAACAGAACTTCTTGGACTTGCTGACAGGGTCGATCTCGGCAGCATTGATGACGGAACTTATAGGAAAGACTTTGACTGCTGAATATTCTTGATCGTTCTTGTAGAACGCCAGGCTCCTGGCTCGGAGGACTACCCACAGCCACTTCCATCCTTTGACGCCCGTCTTGTGAGACTTGAGGATTTGGAGGTATCCATGACGAATCACTCGTTCAGGGTCTGTGGTGGCATCGGCCGAGGAGGACAGCAAACCCGCCTGAGGAGGCAGTTTGGTTTTCGAAGAAGATGCCAGTTGTTGCGATGACGCTATCGGTGTCAGAGCTGGGTGTTTGTGAAGCGAAGACGCAGAGTTCTTTGGTAAAGAGCTGCCTAGGGCGTCGGAGAAATCTGACATTGACGTTGTGAACTGTTCGTTCCCAGAGTATTCGTTGAGGGTGGATGGAGCATTCTGATGCTGTGCTAGTTGCGAGCCTTTCCTGGGACGATTTTGAGTTACGGCCGAGTGACCGTCGTTGGAAATGCGTCCACTTAGTACCTCGTCGGCAGACATGTCGGTTGATTCGTATGTATTAAACGGTTCTGCATCACGATGTGGGAACTGGGGTGCACTGAGATCAAGGTCTTCGTCTTCGTCAGTCCTAGCCTCTAGACGAATTTGTGTGATCCATTCAGCAGTGTCTTTCGTTGACAAGCCTTCGAAGTGGTAGTTCTTCGAAGGCGAGAAGACACCAAAAACATTCTCGGTCCGAGCTTTACGGACAGGTGCGACTGCGTTTACATCGGACAAGGTTATGGAAGCCTTCAGGTCAGTCTCGTCAGCGTTCTGGTAAACAGAGAGCAGATTCGGCCTCAGCACGAGGTATGCGGGCTTCCATGAGGGTTTCCAGGCTCCTTTGTTCTTGACTCGCCGAAGGACTTTTCCACTTTTGATCACACGGTCGAAGCAGAAACTGCCGTTCTGATCAACCGGGGAGAAGACGTCTAGGTTTCTGTGTCCAGGCTGGAAGGAGGACGGTGGGACAAAGGCTGGAGGCATTCTACTTGGGGAAAGTTGCGGTGGATTGAATATTGGTTTGGCCGGCGTAGACGGGCGGAGAGGGGAGGTCGCCGCCATGACGAGTAAGAGGGAGGTGGTGTTTTCTTGAGGGTTTGGAGCAATGGCCACCAGAAGAATGCAGTTATTGCATTTTGGAAGGAGTTGTGGTATTTAGATACGATGCGCCAGGCAGATTCGAGACCGATGGGACGATAGGGCGATCAAACGAGCGTTTCAGAAGCACCCAGATGATTTCGCATCGAGTGGTGCAAGGTGCGGTAGCGGCGGGCGCAGGCGATGAAGCAGGCCAGGGCGATGAAATATACTGTAGCAGTCGTATGTCGGGGGAGGGGGTGTGAAGAGCCGAAGTGGTTGGATGTCAACATTGATCGTCTGTGCAGGAGGAGCAGGCGCAGTTGCGAGGCCTGTTTCTGGGTGGGTGTCATTGATGTGGCGGAAAAGCGACGATTCGCTGTGGTGGTTGGTAGTTATCGAGTAACTGGTATGCAAGCCACTCGCCGCACGCACCAAGACCACTACCACATGCGAGCGATCAGCGATGGGAGATCTTTGTGTTCGGCTGGTACGAGGTACGAGTGTAAGAGCCGCCAGGGGTCATTTTTTGTACTGTAACGGTCCCTCAGACCAATACTCCATACGGAGTACTGGAGGGAATAAGGCAAAGCCCAGTGCAGTCCATCAGCCTAAGACAAATAACCCACCTAGCACCTTTAGGTTTCTCTAGGTTCTTCTAGGGGCTAACTTAGACTCACTGGGGGCGTGGCTCTGGGTGCCCTGCTTAATAGGAAACAGCCGGCGGGATCCCCCTGCTTTTCCTCTTGCCAGGCACAACTGTTCGGTTTCGTCAACCACTGAGGCTCTTTGCCTACACTTACCAGGTATGGAGTAAGGATACTCCGTAGTTGTACGGAGTACCTACTATAAATTCATCTGCGTACCTGATACGGATACTGTGTACTCTTACCCCGTGCAGAGGTTGTTATTGGCGAGTAAATTTGGTGTTTTGGCCACCCACTGGACACTTGATGCCCCTTTTTGTGAGGCACCCAGGCAGATACTCGGTAGCAGGTGGCTTGATTTCTTGTAGCAGCTTGCGAATGAGCAGTTGGTCGCCGAGATAGTTGATTTACATATCCGCCTAGATACCTGGTATGCTTTCGAATCTGTTTCTGCAAATGTCTCTACAGCAGGAAAGACGAAGCCTCTTCGATCATGAAATAATATCCGCGGGAGAACTGCATACTGTAGATGTATGTACATATGTACGGATTGTAGGGTGATTGATTCTTGGCAGCAACGCAATCGCAATTCAGCACCAGCCGACTCAGGGATCCCAACGGTGGATCTCACTGGCTGCGTTCCAATCCGCCGTTTCTTCAAGATTCCCAAAAGTCCTACGGAGTACACGTTCCTCACAGCCATCACGACAAAAAAGAATCTGTATCTGTCTTCTGTCCCCTGTACTTTCTTCATCGACAACCGCAAGCTCATAATGTTGCTTCAATATTCGTCACGATAATTGTTCTGCGCCAGTCGAACAACCCTCGAAGCTGTTTTCACATCCCTGTACACTTTCGCCCGCCTCATCCCTAATCTCCTCCCTTCGCCGTGCTTGTCAGAAGGTGTCCCCGTCTTCAATCAAACCACGATTCCCAACGCCTCTGCTTCCGACCACAGCCATCCCGACCACCGTCGTCGTCTCTTTCGATGCGCGGCATAGATTGCATGGTGTCAAGATAGCATCTCAGGAGAACTGCCAAACCTCCTCTTTTGTTGGACGGACTCCGGAGACACGTTCATAACCATGGGGCTATTGCAACGGCTGTACAAGCGCCTGCCTTCAACGCCGGCAGTCGAAGAGTGGAAGAATGAGAAGCCGAAGTCGGTATCACGATTATCCTTCTTTCGCAGGCGCATCAAGCTGAAAGGAAACTCTTCGATATCAATACCGCTGGGATTCCTTTTACTATTTCCCAGTCTGGTCGTCATTTTAATTCTTATCCTCGTGATAAAACATCCCAACTCCCCCGGACGAATATTAGTTCCCGCTGGGACACCGCCTTCAATAAGGTATACCATTCCCCGTTATGATAGATACAAGCATGCTGACCCTGGTGCAGAAAGATTAGCGAGAGACACGACAAAGTATTCGCTACTGGATGTATGAACCCTGAAGAGGCTGCGAAACAACCACGAGCCAATGCCGCCTTTGTTGTATTGGCGCGAAATAAAGAGTTGGAAGGAGTGATACAGTCGATTAAAAGCATTGAACGACACTTCAACCGCTGGTTCCATTATCCCTACGTATTCCTCAATGACGGTGAATTCGAACAGGACTTCAAGGACACCATAACTAATTACACCTCCGCTCCCGTCGAATTTGGCAAGATTGACAACACAATGTGGGGTTACCCAGACTGGGTTGACCATGAGGTTGCAAGGGAAGGTATTCGGAAGCAGGGAGATGCGGCCATCATGTACGGTGGCATGGAAAGCTATCATCATATGTGTCGCTTCTACTCCGGTTTCTTCTACAAGCATGAACTGCTCCAAAAGTATGAGTGGTATTGGCGCTTGGAGCCAGAGATCAAATACTTCTGCGATATCACGTATGATCCATTCATTGAGATGGCACGAGCCAACAAGACTTACGGCTTCACAATTGCCGTCAAAGAACTCAAGGAAACGGTACCCAACATCTTTCGATACGCCTCGGCCTACAAACGGAAGCACAATATCAAGTCAAAGGGTCTGTGGGAGATGTTTGTGGAGCCACAGCCTGAGAAGCAAGACAGTGGGGACGACAAAAGAGCAAAGACGCTGCCTAATGAAATTCTTCAGACTGAACCCGGCCATCAAAACATTGAGGATATCGACCCCGAAAACATGGAGGGCGAAAAGTACAACATGTGTCATTTCTGGAGTAATTTCGAGATCGCCAGACTCGATTGGTTCCGCAGTAGAGAGTACGAGGAATTTTTTGATATGATGGACAAGAGTGGAGGGTTCTGGATGGAAAGAGTAAGTTGTCATAATGCATCCTTCATCCCCGAGGTAACTAACAGTATCTAGTGGGGTGATGCACCCATCCATTCCCTTGCAGCAGGCGCACTTCTCGCACCTCGCGACATCCACTACTTCCGCGATTTTGGTTATAGACATACAACCATCCAGCACTGCCCGGCTAATGCTCCAGCTAGACAACTGCCACACATTCCGTGGTACGAAAAGACAACCGAAGATGAGAAGGAGCGTAAGGAGGAAGACGACTACTGGGCGATGCCAGACCCGCCTAAGGAGAATGGCGTAGGCTGTCGTTGCAGATGTGACACTGATATCCGAGATGTCGAAGGCAAAGAAGGCAGCTGCCTTGCCGAATGGGTCGAAGTTGCCGGAGGATGGGCTTCTCCTTAGAAGCATATCAGAAGCTGAGAGGATATTGTCTCAATGCAAAGGAACTTCCTTGACTCGATCGAGCATTACAGGTCGGCGTTTGGCGTCTCCGTTTCGGGTTAGAGCCTCATCAGGCGAACCGAAGCCATTGAACATGGTCGGATAATTGTGTGATGGTGTTGGACCCAGTCTTTGGATTCAGGATGATAACTTTGGTTGGTTCTAAAAGTCGCGGTCCGTCCAAACTCGGCAATACAGAAATTTATGGCGCGATTTGCGTCGCTTCGGTTCTTCATGAACCACAATGAGGAGGTGCCCTGAGCCGCCGAAGGAACGGTGGACGAAGCGGGAAATTGAGGGCTCTCGGCCGTGTGCGTGTGACGATTTGAAATGGGAAACCCAGCGTCGAGTCGACGACCCCCTATAATAGGTTTGATGATGAGGACCCATCTATACAGACCGTACTATCAACTGTACATTCGAATTGTGTGAATACAATGGTTTCTTACTGCTCTGATGAATTTTTGACCTGGTAAGATTCGGATTCTTGGTGTTCGGCACCTACTGATCCCTATCTACGGTGTAGATTAGGCTAGCTCTCAGCCTTGGGCATTGCGGGACGATAAGCAATCAGGCTGCGACACGGAGGGGCTCTTTGTGCGGGGTCCGATGCATGTTGTCTTGTCTGCCTTGTGTCATGACTTGTGTTGAAATGTAAATCCCTTGGTTGCCTTCGACCTCTGTGAACATATTATCATTGCACTGACATCTGTCCACCTGTTTCTCCTCCGTCCTTGTATCCTACTTCATCTTCTCGCTCAGTCCTTCTCACCCTCCCAGCTTTCAATTTTCCTGAGTGGGCCGCTTGCGGGCTTTTGACGCTGCCTTCACTATCTACTTGCTGGCTCCGCGAGGAATGGTTCCAACTCAAGCCGCGGACCGTCAATTGGCCTGACTGCAACATTGTCTTTGCGCTGTTAATGTGAAATGCGAAGCGAACCATCTTTGTATCAACTCAACCTGTAGGTGATTCCAGCATTTGACCGTTAGATCACGTACCATGCAACGCAACGCCCTCCCCTCCCTCAACGCTTGATAACATCCTCTCTCCTCTCAATGAGCATGGTTCCTGCTTAGGTGAAGAGGTAGATTTCCAGATGGGCTCAAAATACCCTAAAGCCGTTGAGTAAAGAGGGCTGTGGTGTCATCACACATTGTCACTCATACTTGCTGTATTCCCCTTCACCTGAAAATGGCTGACATGCAAGATCAAGGCATCACTCTTCCGGGTGAGGAAGGCACGATAACCCCTCCACGACCCGACCACTTTGACCTCGCTTATCCCGAAATTTATCTACAGCTTTCCCTCGAGTCCTTGCTCGCTCACTCGCATCTCACCTCTTCGACGTCCCAAGCCATGCCTGCCTCTGACACACGTTCGTCGTCCCTCGACGACAGTTGGGCATCCCTTACGGATATCGAATCTTCAAATGAGGATGATATCAGGTCTGAACATACAGATGTAGGCTCCCTGCTCGATGTACACAGCTCAGACGATGTCCACAGCGTTGTGGAAGGGCTTGATATGAGTGACGGAGAGTCTACTGATGAGGGTGATATCGGAGACACTTCTACAGAAGATCTGGGCTGCACAAGGGTTCTCCAAACGTCAACAATAAAATTGTCTGTTGAGCGCGAGCTGACACTCGACTCGTCGCTTGTCCATACTCACGGCCATGTGCAAGACCAAGCCGAGACTGCGTCTGTTCGCTATCCCCCTAGCTGGACTCATACCACCACAAGACCAATTATGCAGGATGATGCTCGCAAGGTCAATCAGCAATTAGAAAACGAGAATGAAGCCACAAGGTACAATATCGTGACCAACATGACTATCCTGAATGACAACTCAGATCTAAATGCTCTCGACTATTTCAAAGTCGTTCTTCTTGGCAGCCATGTTGAACAGTTTCAACCGGAAATTCAAAGAAAGCTTGGAGATGTATTGGTCTCACAGACACCTACAGGGAGAGCCAAACGAACATCCATCTCGAGGTACCACCTGGTGCCAAACTCTTTTGGACCCGGTGCAGAACCAGACTTCGCCGACCTGGTTGCGATTGACAAGCAAATCGACTTTGACTGTTACAATATGATTGAAGAAGATGGTAGTCTGGGTCCCGATTCCCGTTTGATGTTAAGAAATAGTCAAACAGTCTCCGAATTGGTATCAAAATGGATTGGCCACACGCATATGGTGGTCACACCTCGTTGGGTACCTCCCGATCTCGCTGTCATTTGTGTCGAACTCGATGAGAGAGGACGTATGGACGGCAATAGCCACGCTTTCCTAAAATTCGTGGCTCGCCATAATATCGCAAGCATTGTTATCAGAATGGATCGTGGTTGGTTTGGCCAGTACTCTGATAGTATCTGGAAACCGGATTGGCTTTCCGAGGCCATCGGACCTGCATCCCCAAACACGCAAACGAAGGATAAAGAGTTTCCGAAACAACCTGTGAGCGTTGCATCCTTCCTGAATCTTGACTCGTCTGCGTTGAACAAGCATATCGCCTTCATCACATCGAGATCCGCAGAAGTCATCCCGAGCGAACCACACTCTGGGAGTGAGATCCGAGAAGAAATGTTCAAAAAGAATTCGGATAGTCCAAGGTCATTCTTGGTACGCAATGCTCCTACAATAAAGTCCATCTTGATGGTGCTCTGGGTGATCTCGATCTTTTTTCTTGGTACACAGCTGCTGCCGACGGTCTACAATACGCTTTTCAGCAACTTTAGCCACACCGTCAAAGATATATCAGGGCCAACCAACACGATACCTACCTGTACGCCGGAAGCTGCTGCTGCAACATCTGAGACAGCACTACAGGGTTCCGCAAGCATTGTAGCAGTCAGCGATATGAATCTTGCTGCTATCTCGAACAGTCTTGGCCACTCTATGACCAAAGATGCTGTACACTTTCAAGTCGGGATCGCGGGTGACAATCAATTGGTTGTTAGACTGCCGAAAGTCGCCACGAACCGAAAGAAGCGGTCCCCATTAGGCGTCGTGCTGGAAAGAGACAACGAATCAATTCGCGCTGTTGTGCATGAGATCTTTGATGGAGTATACAGCGTTCAACTTCAACCTCGCGATGCACATGGAGACGTCAAGGTACATCTGGCCATGAGCAAGCCTGAACTGAGCGAGACTTTGACTATATCATTCGGAGACCGCTCAGCTTTGAGCCTACTGTCCCTGAGGAAAGCGCGCCAGAAGCTCGAGTCGCAATTCCTTGAAGCTTATGCAACTTTGGAAAAGGAGATTGAAGCTTTATTCGACAGCATAGGTCAGCGAATGGGTGCCGCTGAGGGACCACTTCTTAACTTGTTGAAAACGCACGCCTCCCCTCTGAGAGCCATGCAGGCAGAGTTCAACGAAATGGCTGAGCGAGGGAGTTTGCAGAGCAAGAGAGTTGTGAAGCTTCTTACGGAAAGCATGTCCAGCACAAGAGCAGCAATGTCTAGCTTCCTTGAGAGCTTGCACACGGATACGTTGAAGCCCCAATTTGGCAGGACTACGGTTGTTCACAAGCTGGCCGCAGCACAGAAGCGGGCGCAACAAATCGTTGCCAACGCCAAAAACAAAGTGAATGCATGAATGTGTATGAGGACGATGGATGATAGGAGTCATAGATTTCAGGGACTGGAGTTGAACGACACTGATTGGGTCCATGAAGTCACCGCATGAGGTATTGGGTAGCAGTAGCGCATGAGTTTCATGGGAAATCAAGGGTGAAGTTTATTGATGTTGTGATTACATTATACCCGCATAAGATAGGCCTTTTCTTCCATACTGAGAGGTGTATTGATGAGATTAATGAATTGAAGAGACAGTTATTAATGAATTAAAATGGCAGTCAATGAGTTCCGCTGGACAATATCCTCATATCTCATATTAAAGATGCTCCCACAGCCTTGTCCCTCGACATTGAAAGGCGGCTTACATAACTCGCTTGGCAGTATGCGACATTCCTAAATGGGCCCACTCGTTTGCGTCTATCAAATTGTTGGAGGAACTGGCACTTTTTCAGACGTGACTCAGTCACACCAGAGCACCCTACGGCTGCCTGGAAGCTCACCGTTTTTGAGTTGAGAGGTGGCCGATCTTTTTGAACTGCCATCATACGATTATCCTTCCCTGCTGGATCGAAGGTCTTCTCTGCCATGTCAGACCCAAACTCGTCCAACCCCACTGGTGTTGCGATCGCACCTCTGAATCCAACAGCCGCATCCTTCAGCATGCCCTCCCAGAACGAAAGCACCCTCGCCAACGGCGCCGCAACGCCATCCCCTTCCTCTAGTGGCGCAGCCGATCGACCCAAGGACTCGAAAAAGTCCAAGCCCCCTCGACCCGATCCGACCCCTCGAACGACGACAGAACAAAACATGGCCGAAGCAGGCGCCGGTGTCAAACTAACGGGCGCGGAACTCAAGAGACAAAAGGCCGCCGAAAAAGCCGCCAGGAGAGCTGAAAAGGTTGCACAGAAGGGGTCGGAAGCACAAGCCCAGAATGCGAGCAGCTCAAGCCTGAAGCCACCAGACTCTCAACAACGCCGTCCCTCGACAACGAAACGTGAAAGTGACACGGGAAGCACCCAACACAAGCGCACGCTGTCGTCGAGTGGCGGCAAGGGTCTTCCCCTGCGTCCGAACCAGCAGCAAAGCCAGCAACAAACGTCCACAGCCACCAGCGAGAAACTCAAGCACACCGAGTCCAAGCGGGTGAGCATGTTCTCACACTTGTATCCGAAGGAGAAGCGAGCCAGTCTGGCCAGTGCAGGCCGGGAGATTCACCCGGCGGTTCTCTCTCTGGGGCTTCAACTGCGCGACTATGTGATTTGTGGCGGCAACGCACGCTGCGTGGCTACACTCCTGGCTTTCAAGAAGGTCATCCAGGCGTACACGACACCTCCGGGCGTTGCACTCTCGAGACATTTATTGACACATCTTAACCACCAAATCGCATACCTTCGCAACGCTCGGCCCCTGAGCATGTCTCAGGGCAACTCCATCCGGTGGCTGAAGAATCTGATCTCGACGCAGCCGGTGGACGCGACGGATAGTGAGGCCAAGAAGAGTCTCTGTCTTGAGATAGATCGGTTTATCCGTGAGCGTATAACTTTGGCCGATGAAGTCATTGCGCGCGAAGCCGGCAGTAGGATTGACAATGGCGACGTTATCCTAACGTATGCGAAGAGCAGTGTTGTTGAGAAGACCTTGATTGCCGCGCACCGGGCCGGTAAAGACTTTCGAGTTATTGTCGTTGACAGTCGACCAATGTTCGAGGGGAAGAACCTGGCCAGGTCCCTCGTCCGGGCGGGGCTCAAGGTACAGTATTCATTGCTCAACGCGTTGAGCGAGGTGGTGGACCAGGGCACCGGAATCGTGACCAAGTGTCTACTGGGTGCAAGTGCGATGCTCGGCAACGGCGCGCTCCAAGCACGTGCGGGCAGTGCGGTGGTCGCGATGATGGTCAAGGAGTGCAACCAGAACCGCAGTCGAAATGTGCCCGTCATTGTCCTCTGTGAGACGGTCAAGTTCACGGCCAAAGCGGCGCTGGACAGTGTGATCATGAACGAAGTCGGTGATGCCGACGCGCTGGTCGAAGTACACGAGTCCAACGTACTGAGTTCCACTGCGGCGGCGGCGGTGAAGAAACAAGATCAGAATGCGAAGAGCGGAAAGAAAGGCGCGACGAAGGACAAGGACGACGAGGACGAGGACAAGTTGGGTGGTTCGACCAAGGGGTTGGAAGGGTGGAAGGAACAGCAGGGCTTGTACCTGTTGAATCTGATGTACGATGTGACACCGGCCGAGTATCTCGATGCAGTGGTGTGCGAGCTTGGAAGTCTGCCGCCCATGGCTGTCCCTGTCGTCAACGGCGTCCACGGGGATGACCAGGCTTTGGCATGATGAAAATTCTCATCCGTAGGGCATGAGTACAGGGAGGGAAAAGAGGGTTAGCAGCTTTTTGCAGGAGATATCAGTCATGAGCGTCGTCGTCACCTTCAGCATCAACATCATCAAACGAATGCTATGAACCTGGTATCAATCGCTCTTCGAATGATGCAGTCTTCGATGCGCAACGCCGTTCTGGGAGGTAGGGGGGACCTCTGGGGGCTTGTTTTCCTTCACCATGTATAAGGCATAGCGAATCGGTATCGTGCTTCCGTTCCAATGTTTTTCATCAAATGGCAGCTCATGTACTAGAGAATTAGCACACTAAACGCAACACCAGTAAGTGCTCCAGCTGAGTACTATATGAATACGCCAGTCTGTCAGTCTGTCTCGTGGAGTCGAATGTTCTTCACAGCTAGCTTTCCAATGGATGGGCCGGAGATGGCTCTCACAAAATTACGAGGCGGCATGCTGGGTAGGTCACGAAATAGAGGATCATCTCTTGAGGTCCGTAGCTTGTCACAAAATAGAGGGTTATACCTGAAAGCATGTCATGGCGTTTGTCTCAAAGAGGGATGGCAGGTGACCACCACATTAGTTCCATTTTCATCCCTCGGTCCGCACGATTGTTGTTGGAGGGTGAACAAGCAATTGAGGCTGGAGGAGTCAGGGGTTTGGGGAAAGACAAAGAACACAAGAAGCAACTCGTTGCAAGGACGTCCCAGCTTGTGGTTGTGGAAAGCAATCTGTTTGTCTCTCTCGAGACTCGTCATGAGCCACACCCATGTCTAGCAATTTCTTCTGTTTGCGCTTTTCTGAATGCTGGAAAAGGTTCAAAAACGCGCACCCCCCACGATGCCCCGACATTGTCACAGGCTTTTTGTTCATGACCACAGACCTTTTGAGCCTGTCTGTTTTTTGGCCCTTGGCATCACCCTCTTGTTTTTGTCTTTTTTGCCATTTCATAACAAATCCTCTCCGAACCTGCCAACTGCAGACGAACCCCTTCTCCCCCCCGTCCCGACCCCGTGTTTCAAAAGTCCAGCCATATCAATTGAGTATCGTTAGAGCCGTGATTTCGAAACTGTCGTAGTAGGTCACGGATTTTTTCTTTTTGGTCATGTCGGAAAAAGGCGTTTATCGGTGCTATCAAAAACACACAATGTCAGCTCATTCTTGTTCTTGTGTGTCGTAAAGACTCAGATGTCTCGTACCTTGATGAAACCAATGTCCTGGCTCTTCTCTCGGAAGCACTGACGGCAAATGTTCAGGCCGTACTTGCGAATGAGACCGGCTTTGTGGGTGCAGACTCGGCTGTAACAAGAAAACAAACCAGTTAGCCCGTGCAAAAGCATTTTGACATGATTGAACAAATTCCGATATCCAAAAGTGGAAATGAAGACTGCCTAGTGGAGGTGTCGGTGTTTGGAGTCCTTATGTTTTGTTGCCCATTCCCTTTTGCAATTTTCAACACGATAGAGAGGGACCTCGAGTCCGACTCTTGTCCAAATATCTCTCGGTCGTCCCAGTCTCTTAAGCTCGTCTCGTGTGATTGTGGAAATCAATTTACAAAGGACCAAAAAACGTACCAGCCGCGAGAACCCTTGCCGAATGTTCGGGGTCGTGAGTACCAGACGCTTTCGTGAGACATGATTGTGGTGTGGTGAGGGCGCGAAGGAGAGAGTGTGTTTCTCGATCTATTAAAAAGAATGCCGGTGTTAGTCTTGGGAGTTGAAGTCGTTGACTCTCACTCTGAGAGGATACGACGGGGAATAATAGGAGCTTGTGAATCGTTCGAAGAGGAGGTCCTCACCTTCTGGTGCGCGAAAAGTCGGGCGTTGCAAGTTGGAAGTTGTCTAGGGTTGGGGAGTGAGAGAGTCGATCTGCGAATTGCTTCAGAGTGCGCGATACAATGCTTTCGAAAAATGCAAGTGTGGGCACCCAATGCCAAGCAAGACGGGATCATGGTCATGTGACCGAGCTACGTGTCCATATACGGGTGTATAATTGGTTGAGATGGACAAGGCTGTAGCCTCGTCGGGATACAACAACGTCTCCTATTTTACTCTGTACTCTGTGTCGATGCCTTGCTTCGGTCGGCGAACAACTAGAATCAACCATTGATTCGCTAGGCGTGCAAACACTATAGCTGCTACTTTGTAGTGAGAAGGCACATTCGCTGCCTAGGTATAGCGACCACTGATACCCTACCTTTCCCATTCACTGATCATGCACTAGAGTCAGGTAAGTACGCAAGCCTATATCATTCACTGATGTCACAAGCACTCTTGGATTCATTTGTCTATATATACTTATTCCAGTGAAATTACCTTCAACAAAGAATTCGCCTTGATGGCCCAACTGGTAAAAGACTCACCGCGTCGAATTGCGACTTTGTCATAACTGGTTTGGAGGTTGGGCTTATCCTTGGAAACTTCGCTCTAGTGGGATTAAACGTTGGGAGTCTGGCAGGTTTCCATGACTACTGTAGCATCTCTCTCCTCAAAAGGAGGTGTGAATGGTCATAGTCGGGATAAGTAACAGCAGAGCCGGGGGTTCGACCTTCCAAACTTTTTGTTTCTCAGTATATATTTTTTTTACTTCTTTCGAAACCCCTGTATAATGAAAACAGGTAGTGAAGAAGGTACAGTAGCAGTGAATGATCTTGGCGCGAATCAGTAAATGCCAACATACATTCATATTTTGGTGGTAAAGATAACGTACAAACGCAAAAGCAATACTCCTCCCAAAGGCCCATTGCGAGAGAGAGAGAGAGATTATGCCAACACCAATGACGACTGCTGTGAATTTCCGCAATCACGGTCAAATCTAAGATGCTTCATCCATCCGCCAATCTCCCCATAAGCATTTCATGCACTGACCAATGCATTCCTGCTTCTCGAATCGGTTTATCCTTGCTCCTTCTTTACCATCTGCAGCAAAGTTAGTAACCGCTTTCCACACTGGAAAGTTGTTGACTCACCCAAAAGTCTCTTCGAAGTACTCGACATTGTTCATACCTCCCTTTAGGACCTGATGGATTACAGATCTTGCTTCATCCGCCATGGCAGCCGGACCACAAGTCATGATCGCCACCTTCCCGCCAGCTGAACCCGCAGCATGAGCATTTTCAACGACCGAACGTATTGTACGTCGAATGTCGGGCCGACGATATGAAATCATCAGCTGCGGGTAAGCGTGTACCCATTTTTCGATGTTGCTTGCCTCCATTGCGATGGGAATCTCGTACTGCGATGTCGCGTGGAAGTACACATTCACGTCTTCTCGGTCTAGGACCAACTGCAATTCTCGAGCAGCCACGTCCCGAATCATGGCAGCCTGCTTTGCGCACCAGATCAAAGTAATGTGTCGAGTTTGTGTTTGGCCAGATGCTGAGCGGTTGACATGATCCAGTAAATATGGCAAAGCTCCGGACAGCCCAGTGCCTCCGACAATGAGAACGACCGTTTCGAACTGATGGAGTGGACTGCGCTCGCCATAGGGACCTTCGATGAGAGTCGTTGCTTTGACAGACCCAGAAAGTGACTTGAGGCACTCCTCCTTCAGCCGCATTGTCCAGCTACTATATGGTCGAACAAAGAATACCAATTTGTATTCTGAGACTTGAGTAATGCTTTTCCGTCTCTGAGATGGGAAGTTCGCACCAATCGGCGTCATTGGCGAATTCACGGGCAGAACCTGAATTTCCACATCCTTCTTTCTGACGGTGTTGTCGTCCGAGGTTGAGCATGACATGATGGCGGCATTGTCGTGTTGTTTGAGGCCATGCCACGCCCCAAGCGTAAACGGATGATTCTCCCATCCCTTCCACTTCGCCGGCTGGTAGATGAAATAATGCTGCCCCGGTCCAGGCTTGAGAAGGTTCGATCCTGGAATGACCTCCAATCGGATAACATTGGCATCTTGAAGGTACGTTGCGGTGGTTTTGGTCACCACCGGTCCTCCAGAAAAACTCAGGTGGAAGTTGCAATAGACTAGTCGCACAACCCGAGCAGATCTATCGAACACCCAGACGGCGACCACAGGCCAAAGATAATCGTTGAACTTGTTGGCAAACATCTCTGTATGGCTGAACGAAATAAGCACGGGGACGACGTTAAACCAGATAGACTTACTGGAAGAGCCCGACAATTGCGACAACTGAGAGGGCGATGTGAATGAGCAGAAATACTTCGTAGCAACGTTTCCTGAACAAGGATGACGAGAAACCTAGCAGAAGCGACAAGGAAATGGTTGCCTAGGAGGAATCAGTCTCTCAAGGCATGTATTGGTCTCTAGCTAGCTTACCATTCCACCCATGTACCAAAATCTCTCCTTCCAAGACTGTGCGAGATGCCCTTCTATCCAAGGTTAGCGCCACTGTTTTGGATCGGGAAGGATCTCAAACATACTATTTGCTTCAATAGCACTGAATGCGACAGAGTGCAATATTGCCAGTATCGTGGCGACCCGCGCGATGTGCCGGTGAAAGACATTGAAGGTAGAGAAACTCCATCCAGTCAACCAGAGGAAAATGTTGTTTCTCCCTGCGAATATCCACAAGATGGGCAGTGTGGCATAACAGATCTTCCCGGTTCTGTCGGCTATAGTACGCCATCGTTCGTTCGCTTGGGTGTAGCTATGATCCTCGTCAGCATAATTCGGCCCATGGAAGTGCGTGGCAACGGGAACGACATACTGGGTACTAGACCACGAGACATCGTATGAAACACAACACAGAGTGGCTACCAGCAGGTAGAAAGCTGTAACCACGATCGCTTCGATTCTCGTAGGAATGGTACCAAACCACGAGCGTCGTTGGTGTTTCGAGCCGAATGCGGCGGGAGTGGTCAGGTTCGCTCTGATCCAGTGTTGAACACCACCGTACAGAGGCGAAGAAGAGCGTTCGCTTCGTCTTTGGCGACCTTCGAGGTCACGGCCAAGTTCAGCTCGGCGGGTGGAGAGGAGGGAGTGAATCAGGCGACGGGCGATGCCTACCAACAATATCCCTCCCCAGAACCCGTAGATCACCCAGCTTAGCTGCCAGGATATGTCAGAGGCCATGTTAAACCATGCTGAAATGGAGGAGTGAGGGGAGTTCCCACCTCCATGTCAAAGGATATATTGCTCGAAGCAGCTGGTCCAGAATATGATCCATGCACAATGCCCTTTGTCCTCCCTTGCCATCGTTTGCATGCCACCAACGCGGTCATTCTGACACGGCACCGAGCGTCGACCCGAATGTCATGCGCTGCATATTCAAGACAGTCGGCAACAATGCGTCATGCCGCCGTTGCTACGCGAAAACGTGGGCAACAGGGATGATTGTGTGAAGTCTTTTTGATGTCCGCCATTCTACTGGAAGAGCTTGTCACAGCCTTGACGCCAGATATGGGATCGTATTGCCATGCGTTTCCCGTCAACATGGCATGCAGGGCTGCGAACAATGCGAACGGATTTTGTCACCATACCTCGCCGAGAAGGAAACTTGGGCGATAGGACAACCCAGGTCTCCGTTGGTGACCGAGAAGAGACCAAGGGGGAGGAAATACGTGGGTATGCTACTTACGGAGAACATGGCGGACGCATGGTCCTTGCGGGAAACTCCCTCAAAAACGGATCAGTTTCGCCACATTCCAAACCCATCATCAGAGATATTGTCATTGTTACTACGGGCGACGTAGAAAGCCTCTTGACTTATGTTAGATGGGCGGAGATGGGGCGTGAGCCGAACGCTCCTCTGTCCGCAACATGGCTAGTAAAGGGATCAAATGGCAACAAATGGCATCTGTCGAGGTCTCAACGCAATGTAATTCATGTCGACTTTTTCTATCGAGGACATTGCATGCGGGAGATGGACGAGGAGTCGCGGCCAGGTGAGACAATACATCAGCGAGGTGAGAATGTCTGTTCAGTGCCTGTGCTCTCGTCCGTTTCAGGTTTAGTGGGTAAATAACTGCGGATCGGGATATTTTGATAGCAAATCGCCGACACTGTCAATCTCTCAATTCCTCAAGTTCTCAAGACCATACACATATGCTTGCGCCTTTGCATGATATGTTTTGCCTCTAGGTAGCACATCCTTAGTTTAGAGAAAACACAAACTCCCTCCTCCGGGGTCAAGGCTTTTGTTGTTGAGGTTCTCTGACCATGCAAAATAAATCACACTTGACCCCGTCATCGTCACACACCATCTTCCGTGCCATCTTGAAGCCCATCTTCTCGTAGATTGCAATGTTCGGCGTCTCCTTGGAACTCTCGAGGTAACACATTCGACCTTCCTCGTCCGCCTGCTTGGTGACGACCTCGAACAGCGACCTCCCGATGCCCTTGCCCTGGATCCCCGGCCTGACGGTGACGATGTTACAAAAGTAGTACCCGTTGGGGTCCGTCCAGACGGCGCTCTGCGCCTGGGCCTGCTCGCGCTTCCATATCCAGTACCTCTTGGTGTTCAGGCCACCGCGGCCCCGAAAGCGGAGCAGATTCCAACCCTGCTTGAACCACAAAACGTAGTCGTCGATCCATTCACTCCAGGTCTGCTTGTCGTTTACGTCTCGCGGCTTCATCCACATGCTCACGCCGAGTACTTTGCCGTCGTCGTCTTCCGTGTCCTTGGCCACGTAGAACAAGGCGTTACGCATCCCCCAATCGCACTTGGCCTTGAGACTGGCAAAGTTGCGTTCCTTGTTGAACTTGCCCGGCCGCGTGTCAAACGCCCACAGGTGGTATGGGTCGTCGGCGAACGCGACTTGGATGCATTCCACTACCGAAAGAATATCCTCGGTAGTTATGGGCTTAATTTCGATACCCATCTTTTGGCGCTATCACTCGAGGAAGGCGCGGTTTTGTTGAGGGAGGAATGCGATTCGTGCAAAGAATTGAAAGGTCTGTGCTTAGTCACTCAAAGCCACCACGGTCCCTTCGGGTCTTTACACTTGGAGACTCTTTTGCGTTCTTCTGGACTCAAGGACTCTTCAATTGTCTCGCCGATGTCTATGGCAGGCCCATGGAAAGATTTACTGCCGTTGCAGGTTTAAAATTACTAATGGTCAAGTCCGAGTTGAGGGGCCGTGTGCCAGAACTATATATTCAAGTCCATTATTTTCTGTCGCGTCTACATTCCTTTTTGGGTTATTCAAAGAACGACGATACATTTACCAGCATTGATTTTACTCTGCTAACTTTCCCATCTGACATCGTACATAGATCTCGAATTCTTTGCCTTCAAGGAGTCCTCCCTCCCAATGTCCAGCCAGACTGGTTATCTAGTCTTGGTTGAAGCTTGCTATGTTTAATCCATTCAGGTCTCAAGAGCTCCCCTCCCTCTCTTTACAAATGACTCGGAAATCTGAGCATCCCGTCCTGTATTGTCGTCGCGATGACTCTCCCACTCGCATGATCCCAAAGTCGACTATTATGACAACCACGATTATCACCGCTGTGACTTGTCCACGCCTCCTGGACAAACCACTTTGACGTCCTTGCCTCGTCCACCAAACACAAATGTTCCGCGAGACCGTGGAAGACGACCGTGTGTGACAGCGATGCCATAGTAGTTGGCACATGCTCATAGCCCAGTGCCCTCTGCACGAGGAAAAGCGAATTGCGATCTGACGCATACAAATGAGCCGCGGCATGAAGGTTCAGATCAGTCTCTTCTTGGAGGTTCGTGTCTTCTTCATCTTGTATGAGCCGATAGAAATGCAGAGCTCGCCACCTCGACGCGCCTTGCCCATCCGTACCACCACCACGTTCCACAATTCCGTTGTGCTTGTGCATATCCACCCTCCTCATCTCGACACCTGGGAACGCTGCCGCCGTTTTGTTCCAGCGCTCAGCCTCTTGCTCCTCCCACCACTGTGAGTCAGCCCCTGGGGCTAGGGGGTGGTCCTGAGGAGCCAACCCGTCCAAGACACTGCTATAATCCTTCCTGATATGCTCCTTGGACACGTTTTGATGTTCGAAATCTCGCCATTTGCCATTGTTCTTCTCTGACCGTTTGAATGACATCGTAGCTGTGAAACATGGCTGAGATCCTTGCCCGGCAGCGCTGGATTGCTGATATACATCGACTGATCTGAGGCAGTATATCCCTCCGTCTCGAAGCCTCCGTACGCGATAGACAAATGGCAGGTCTATTGCCCCGGGAAGATTAAAGTAGCCCGTTATTGACTAGATCGGCCCGTTAAAAAAATCCATTGTAGCAATAATTCATGGACGGGACATTTCGTGCGTGGAGCAAATCTTACATGTAAGACGAGTCCTTTTTCCACCGTCCTGCTTGCAGCGTACATGGCTTGGGCGTAGACATGGCCGCCGAATGCTCGTTGGAACGGTGCAGGTGGCCAAGCAGCGGTCAGTGACTGGAAAACATCATCGCCAATCGATTTTAGGGCCATCAAGCGTTTGAAAGAGATCGGGTCTTTCCCTCGAAGAGGCGTGACTTTCGAGTCCATGCTGTTGCTAACTTGACTCCTCACGTCCCTGGGAAGTTCACCGATATCCCAGAATCAGGCAAGTTGCTTCAGACATCATATCAACAGTCAGGTATTTGCACAAGCCCAGAAACAATCACCTGCTGCCCTCGTTGTTTTCACCACTTCGTAGTTGAGGCCGTGCAAGTACAGTGAGACATTCCCCAGAAACGATCAAACCTCGGCTATTACAACGAAAGCATATGTCCTATATAATCATTCGTGGGATACGGAAAGCTAGTCCGTCCAGCGTCTTATCTCACGTGGCGATAAGAACTAACATGACATCACATATACAGTAGGAGGAGCACCGCATTTATATTTCTCGATGTTGTCATGGAAGCAACGTACTGTCCTCACCTTGATCTCACACTGTACAAGTATACAAACTAAGTACCTACCTAAGTACAAATCACCTGCGGCGCCTCTCTACAGCTTGTTGTTGTGTCCCAATACGACATCGAACTTGCCCACCCTCAAAAGCCAAACAAGACACCTGAAACCGCGACACCTCAGGTTATTGATCCTCTATCTCGCCACGGCAATGTCATCGGATCAATCTTCTTCCGCCGATTCTCAATCTCAGCCCTCCATGCTGGGCGGTCACGCCAAGGTACAAAAACTCTTGTCATGTCCCAACCCCCATTTCTGTTTGGGTGATTCACTCTCTTTTGTTGTGTCCTCGTCCCGGCTGACACTCTCTCCCTTGCTTCTACACGAAAACAGTACGTGCAGGGCGCAGTCTCGTCGGCCCTGGGCTACGAATCGGGCCAACAGACAAAAGACGCTGCAGTACAAGAGATGCGCGACGCCAAGGAGGCCCAATCGTCAGATCCTCATCAGCAAGCCGCCCAGTCCACCATCCTAGGGTCGGTCGAGAAGGCGGCGGGTCAAGTGACGGGCTGCGAGGGCATGGTAGAAGAGGGAAAAGATAGAATTCCACAAAAGGCTGGGATCGAAGAGACCAACGGCACCGGCTAATAACAAAACCATAAACCCCCTCCCGGAGGGTTAGCTTGACACTGAAGGGTTATGGAATTTACGAACCAATAGTGGCTGGGGTTGCTGGGAATCGAGGTATACCTAGGTTTTCATTTTGATTGAGTTCAAGCACCTCTTACTGTAGGTTTATTTCCATTCAAAGACTTGACACCGCCGCACAAATATGTTCAGCACTTTAGTAGTTGTACGAGTATGTTCTTATCTAGCCGCAGGGCCAAGGTATTCTTGCCATTGGGGCATAGGTGCCAGTGACAGTCGACACGAAGAAACCCTACTGGTCTTTAACATCGTCCAAACCTGCCCGATCGATGTTTCTTGATCCCCCAGCGTCTGACCAACTTTATGACCCGTTATGTTTATCGTATTCATTAAAAGTCGTTTATTCTCATCTCATCTTTTTCCATAGCCTCTTTCTCCCATTCCTCAGAGTCTCATATCATAGCCCTGTATTGCCTCGCGTTTTCGGCAGGGGCACTTTCCCGTCCGCAGCCTTGTCGACAATGACACTATCCTCGAGCTCTTCGTCTTCAAGACCATCATCACGCATTCGGACGTCGTTATCAGCGTCTGAATCCATACCGTCGTCTTTGGCCACTGAATCCCAGCCCTTAGCAAGGTCGGGATCAATTGGGTACGCCGCCCCATATCGATCTCGTTCTCGTTCTTTGGCTTTGACCTCCTCCGCATCATAATCAGGCTTTTCCCACCCATCACCAATCTCGCCAAAACTGATACCGTGATTTTCGCCCAAGAAGGTCGGCCCGTCACTGGCGCGATACCACACCTGGTCGACCCAAGAAGCCAAGCATGTCTTTGCTTGCTCGCCGAGGGCGTAGAATCCGGGATTATCTCGCGGAAAGAACATGGACACATGCGCCGTCGTCTCGTCACGGGCCTTGTCATTGATGGCTTTTGACCATTTGAAACCTCCGCCTTCTGCTTTGACTTGCCTGCCATCCTTAGTGACAAAGACTGGCAAGTTGCAGAAAGTCCGCTCTTTCCCGGCCAAGCTCGCTGTGATGCCATAGCCCTCTTGAGCGCCCCTACCTAGATTGCTGTATAGGTTCGCGCAGCCGCCGCCGCGTTCCTTGAATGCATCTTCCACATTTTCCACCCGCCGGCGCAAGTGCTCGGGCTTAAAAAGCTCGCCCACGAAGAGAAGATGATCACTGGCCCATTGCCATCCAGCGCTAATCTTCTCTCGTTGCGAGTATAGTGCCGCTGCCCCACCAGCAACAACTGCACCGGCAGCTCCTGCGAACATGGCATATTTGCCCCAAGATTGCCATTTCGGTGCGGCTGCAGCGTCCGCGGTGGATGAGCTAGGGGCAGGAAGAGCGGCCACAGGCCTCTTGGGCGGTGAGGAGATGTTCGGTTCCGACTTGGAACCCCAGCCGAACATAGAGGCGACCTCGGAGGCCGTGTTGTAGGCGCTCGAGATGGTCTTGTGACCACCTTCGAGACCATGTGCCACCATTCCAGGTGCAAGGCCTAAGTATGGAGTGTCGAAAGCCAAGATACCCTGGATGTGAGGAAACATGAAGGAATGCGCCTGGAATGGGTCAGGAGGGTTTGGGTGTGTAGTGGAAGTTGTGGAACCGAGGGTCGTGTTGGAAGGAAAGTTCGGCTTGCTGGGGTTCTGTCGTGAGGCGGCTGCCGGGATGGGCTGCTCATTTGCAAGCATCAAATAAGTCTCAGCAGCAACAATTCCGCCCATGGAATGGCCGACCAACATAACATGCACCGAGGGATCGATGGTCGGAGACGGGGTGTGCCTAGCGACTTCCAGATCAATCACTTTGTTTTGAAGCCTGGAAAATCCATAGTGTAAGTCATGTGCGGTCTCTCTTTTCACTTATACACTTCAACACACCATTCTCGGAAGCGGCCGACACAATCTTTCAAGTCACCTCGGGTTTCGAATCGAGGGTAGGTGACTGCGACGACATCGATGTTGGGCAGAGCGTGGCTGACCAGTGCTCGCAGGTGCTCTGGGAATGTGCCAAAAGTATCATCGCCGCCCTGGAGATATTTCGATCAGCTGCAAGACACAAGAAGAGCGCATACGCAAAAGCCATTGACACATGGCTAATCGGATCGCACCTTGAAGCCGTGGATGAAGACAAGAAGTAATGTCTTGCGCATCCTTACGGAGTGACTGGGTTGAGGAATACTGCATTCTCTGCGACGGTCCCATGAGTTATGGTCCGTGGAGTCCCTAGAAAATACTAGGAATGAAGTTGTGTCTGAAGGATGAATTCACTTTGTGGTGAGTTTGTGGACACTGCTGGCACCAACCACAGATAGGTACCGTTGTGCTATGTAGGTCAGTCACGTGATTCCGGCGATATCACATGTCTTTTGCTGTGGAAAGCAGGTATTAGCTTCATGAAACCCTGCTGCTCTCTCGTCCTTGAACAAGTACTAGGAGCAACTCTAGTATATTTGTTATGTTGCGATTACGGAGATAGAATCGTCAAATCACTGGACACATGGGAACAACGCAGGGAGAGGTTCAATCGGAGACGGTCTCATTATATCCTTCTCCAGAAACCCCAGGTGCAAACAAGTGCACGTTGGTGCTCTACGCTAGACGATCTATTCTGTATTCACTTCTGTGAGGAAGTTGAGCTTTTGTCCAGCTCCCAAATGTTGCTATATTTTGCCCTTTTATTCCAGTCCATTGAACGCCGTTAAAATGCACCTCGCTAATGTCGACATAGTCGAAAAGAAGATCAATAACCACCACGCTATGCATAACACTGGAGTCGGAACAATAGGTGAAGAGGAAGAAGCGCTGAAGTAATACAACTTCGAATGCCGAAAGTTAAAAATGGTACTGGGGATGAGTCAATGGAGTCGAGACATTGCTTCTCTGCCAGGCATCCGCTTGCATGAAGGGAAGTGGACCAGTCCGACGCTCGGAAGGCACTTTGCCAAGAAGCTGGTAATGAATCTGATCATATGGAATGTTCCTGACAGGAGCTTGAAGAGTGGTTGACGGTGGTGGAAACAGTAGGGTATTGACATGTCGTACCGGCCGATATGGGGAAGTACGGTGAGTCAAAAAGTATGACGGCGAAAGACCCGGAAGAGTAGGAGTCACGCTGTGGAAACCATTCGATGGAGAGGTATGAGCCGAAGGATGATTCGATACGGATCGAGACCCATCGCCAAGGTTGGGAACAGGATTTTGGAATAAGTTTTGAGGGATAGCAGATATCGGCGTTACGGGTTGAGAATAGCCAGTACTCGTGCTTGGATAGACGCTAGCCATTGCACGACTGGACGGCATCGAAAGGGGGGCCAGTTGGGTCGAGGGGTGAGAAGCTGTAGCGGGAACCCGGGGGACATCCAGTCGTGGAATTTCCAGAGGTACCAAAGGTTGCTGTGATTCTAAAGCATTATTGTTGACGGGAGGTATCCGAAGACTAGCTGGAGTGTGTTGAGCGGGCCCAGAATTGGTGATAGATCCGATTTGCATCGGAGCAGGATACTGCTGCCTCTTTGCTGGCGGGAGATCTGTAAAGAGGTCTAGGCTCCTCTTACGCTCTTCTCGCGGAATGCTGCCTCCGTATTGCGGCCGTAGAGGTGAGCTTGGCAATTGAACGGTCGAAGGTAATGGATGGGGCAAAGTGGGATAGGAGCTGTTGGAAGGTGACAACCTGAAGGGGCTGACAACATGGCGAGGTGAAGGCGGCGAGGGCAGTTTATGTGAGAAGCTCTGCGAGGTTGGTGTAACTGGTGCTGTGATCTTGCTGTCGTCGGTTGATGGTAACAGGGATGCTTTGTCATAAAACGCGCCAAACCTTCCTAATTTGGCCTTCCACTCATTCCACTCTTCGGCCGAGGCATATAGATCGTATCTCATGTTGCTGAGGAATTCCACCTCCATAATGTGAATTTCTGTCACTGAAATGCCAGAAACCTCTGCCCAAGTTTTGTTTGTGTAGGTGTTGTCGTCCAGAAATTTATTGCCGAGCATAAGAGCGATTGTCAAGAGCCTGAATTCGCTACCACGCTTTCCACTCACGCTGGGGTTGAACTTTTTCAGACGATAAATGAACATTAGTGCCAGCAACACCACATTTTTGCCTACTTGGGTAGTGCTAATAATCGTAGTTACCCATTTTCGAAAGCCAATGGTGGGAACGGCATCAGGAAGCAACCCTCGCTCCACAGGGCTGTCTTTGGGCAGAACTTCTGCGTATTGTATTGTGCCTGCGGTTTCGAACCAGAAAAGACAAGTGATCTCTGCCGTAAACTCTGCCAGGCTTCCCTTGCTCTTGTTCACTGACTCCGGTATCTGTAGATGGGGTGCAATGGCATTGACGTGAGTGCTATCCGTAGCTTGGTGACTGTACGAGTCCGAGGTCGAACTCGAAGCAGGGACAAGATTGAATGAGCTGGTATCGGATCTGGTGGTTGACCTTCCATAACTCTGTGAAGACCCAATACCATTCTGAGGGTAGTCGCCGAGATGTTGAGATGGGTGACTGGGAAATGAGGCATGGCCATTTCCCAAGGTCACTCCTGGCATGGCCTTGGATCCAGGAGGTGTAGGCAGACCGGTGCTGAAGTATGTATCGTTCGTATTCCGCCTCTTGAACCCATATGCACCAGTATAGTCGTGGGATGGCTTGCTCGACAGTGGCCAATCTAGACTCCCTACACCTCGGTGTAGAGTAGACATGAGCGACATGAGACAGGGTCGTTCGAGAGGGTGGGTGTAGTCGAAAGAGGTATTTGAGAAGTCAAGTGCAGGCAGGAAGTAGGAGAGGGCTCGACATTGAGGTGCCGAGCAGACGAAGGACGAGAGAGGTTGTTGAGTAGCAGTGGCCGAGCACACAATGCAAGGTGTGTTGGATGTGTTCAGCAGCAAGCATTGCAACAGGAAAGGTTAAGAAGAATCAAAAGGCGAGGAGCATATTTGATGTTTTGGGACCTTGGATGAATTGGGATGTGGAATGAAAGCAGTGTATTGAAGGGTGGGACCCCTTGTGAAGTGTGATGGGTGACCTCGACGAACAACGCCGTCTCAAACGGTGAATGTGCGAGCAATTCCTAATGAAGCAAGATGGTCTGGAGCAATCAGAAAGCAAATGACACAAGAATGAATGGGTTTTAAAACGCAGTCAGCCGAGCATCGGCATGTAGGAGAGAGTTTCGTGGCTGCCAGCGATAGCTGATCACTGCTACGAGGAGAAGTGTAAACTCATCAATAGTCAGTCACTCACACACAGACGGGCCTTGTCTTGGATCGGAGGCGGTTCGAGGCTCGGCCTCTTGATGTCAGGGCCCCATATCGACGAGCCGCCCAATGCAGCAAGCAGGGAGGCGACGCGAAAGCAGGAATCAAGTCAGAAAAAGGACAGGCAAGCCGCAGGAAGGGTAGCGACGACTGAGACTGGGAAGCACCACAGGGCCGAGCCAATAGAGGTACAGGAGAAGCGGTAACAGCAAGGGAAAGATGGAGCGTAGTCACGGCTCACCAGGCCAAAGTGGACTAGGACGGGCTGGCGGAGGATCTCGTAACTCGTAGAGTCAGGAAGTGATGGGATGTTTGGTGAAGAGGCTGTTACGAGTCACGAACGGAACTCGTGCTAGGATGATGGATGGCGGAAAGCAAAAAAAGCACAGAATGGAACACGAACGGGGAACGGGAAACGGGGGTCTTGACACGGCGACACTTCATTGTGACGGTGATGGGCAACGAGAGACGCTGCACTATGCGCTATGCGATGCGAGAAGATGGAAGCGATGGCCACTCTCTGACCACAATTTTTTTTAGCTCGAATATGGTATCAAAAAAGCTGGACGCTGTTTAGCTTCGTTCGGGACTTTGGGGCCTAGTGAGCAGCAGCTGGGTGGCTAATGGGTCAGGAGCCTGGGGAGCCTGGGAGAATCCTAGTGCGACCTCGTCTTCGCTCGATTGACTTGACTTGGACCCATGACGCTTGGAAGAAGGAAGGGGGCAGACTTTTTTTGTTGCGGCTACGGAGAATGCCTTTCAGGGATCATGTCGGCCATGAGTGGAGGATTCAGAGGCTGAGGACCACGCCTCAAATGCCGTCGCTTTAGGCCCAGCGCCTCTCGCCGTTCGTTCCCCCGGCCCAAAGCCAACGCAGAAGCCCAAGGAGCCGAGGTCTGCATGCAGAGCAATTCCCTACACCACTACGCACCAACTGATAGCAACGTTCTCGTCACAGGGCAAACAAATTCCTGCAATTACTCCGGCGCCAACAGCAACGCAATGAATGCCAGTCTCCTCTGTACCTATGTCATGGTTGCTGGGTCGCCGGCTAGATTGACTGGTGAGCGTGTGTGCAAGCTGCCAACGGAACTAGCGTCAAGTATCAGACGAGGACTGGGTCACGACTAGAGGGCGCATTCTCAATCTCTTCCAACAAGGGCACGCGCATATCATTGCGTACCCGGTACGAGCGTCTGAAGGAGTGTGAGACGATGCAATAATTACAGTGGATAGTGTCAGTCATCTGCACCTGCGCCAACAAAACTTTCCTCCTCAGCCGGACATTTTTGAATGGAAGTCTACTACAGCGCTAAGGCCTGATGGGTGACTTGAGCAACGCACGGTCGGTTCTAGAGAGGGCAACCTGGGCAGGTCACAGAATGGCGAGCTGCGATGCATGCAGAGCCTGGTCGAGGGGTCGTAAGTCAGTCAGTCAGGAGGTTGCAGCTAGACGGTCTTGGTTGGACTGTTGCCTCCTGCGTACGCTCCGAAGTGGATGACAGGGTAATGAGCTGCCACATTCTTGCCAGGCAGGATGCCCCCAATGCAAAAAGCCGGGACACAGCGACCTTGATCAGCCGCCGGACTGGCAAGGAAATGTTAAGAGGGCCTGTACAGTAGTCTCTAGCCTGTAACCGCATGAGTAACGCCGTCGATGCCGGGGGACCGTGGCACAGCACAGGATTGGAGCGTCCGTCATCCAACCTTGCTAGTCGACACTCATCATATTTTCGTCCTTGCCTGGCTGTGTGTGGGCTCAGTACGAGGACGGAGTACGGAGCAGGCTGGAAGGGATAAGCCGGAAGCGCGATTGGATTGGAGAGGCCACTTCGCACCCTCGCACCCTCTCAGCTGGGCGTGCGCGGCGCAGGGTGTGGTGGGCGGTGACATGCGCCGCCCAGTGGAACTTTTAGGCGGTGGACTGCCGCCTGAGGTAATTGCAGAGCACAAAATTGCCCAGAGAAGGCCTAACCACTCCCGGCACTTTCGCCCTTGACCTGCTGGTCTCAGACTCCGGGAGTCCAGGCAAGAAAACGCAAGTATCTGCAAACAGGCCGATCATACCTAAAACCACTCCCACTGCAGCCACCAAAATCTCTTTTGACAGTGGATGGTGAGAGACATTATTTCCAGACCAAAAGCCTACTCAGTGGAGACTCGTCTCTTGCCATCGGTGAAATACAGTACGTTGCTACAGAGTATGCAGTACACTTTTGTACAAGATTAATACACTGCCTACTGCGTATTGTACGGACAACGAACTGGTGCTTTGGCCAGGACTTATCCAGCCGATCGCAACATTGGTGGGAATGAAGCCCAAGCAACCCAGTCGCTTGGTATCGTCCAACCTGCAATGGGTTAGTCAGTCAGTCACAGTGTCACTACAGCCAAGGCGTACGGAGGCCCAGTCAGGTGTCAGCTGAGAAATCCTTAATATTGTGTTCATGGTAAGGAGTCAAACAATAAAACCATGCACTGCTGTCACCGGGTGGTGGTTATTTCTGGCTAATGGACTAGCTAATAGCCCGAACAGGTGCGAGCATTTGCAGTGGAGGAAGGCAAGGCGAAAAGGCGGGCGCCTGGATGAGAAACAAGTCAACAGACCAGTTGACATGGTAGAGACCAGCGCGATCATGTTACAGGCTCCTGAGTGACCGTATGGTATGACCATATGTGAAAGGTCCGTGGATCTTTCTCTGGCTCAAGGATCTGGACGGCAACCGAGATTCACCACTCCAGGAAAGGATGCATAGTTGCCGTCTGTCATCCCTTGCGAACCCGGGTCTACACTTGCAACTCGTATGTGGCGGCGAGTGAGGGACGAGTACGTCCAATTCGAAGGTGTCAGCTGCTTCCGAGGACCTAAAGGTTTACCGGATATGTTGGCAATAAATAATACCTACTTATGTAGTAGCCATCAAGGAGGCGATGGGTACGGAGTATTGAATTCTACCATCCGTGCACGCAATGGCGGGTTGCTGAATCCGTAGAGATGAGGAGATACAATAGTCTGAGGGTCAAGTTTTAGCTTTGGTGTGATCATAATCATGAATAGTGGACAGCTATGAAGGGGCAAGCCGAAAAAGAAAAAGAAACGAAACACCATAAGCTTGCAGGCAGGAAAAAAATATTCGTGTGGCGTAATAAGCAACCACTGATCGAAAGACATTGTTTCGCATGCATCCACCGCCCGTCTGCGCCTTGAACGCGTGTTGTGCACAGAACAGGGTTGACACGTCGGCATTCCATTAATGCGGAATAATCCTTGTTCGGGAAGTGCCAGCATGTAATTGAAATCATACTGCGAGAATTGGACGAGGGTGTCGTGTCGCCGAGGGAGTGATTGAGATAACGAGGATCCGTAGCCTCCTCCGTGGCACTTGCGAATCATACCAAAATTGTGTGACTGTTGGGAGTTCCGATGGGTCATCCGGCTAGCCATCCATGCATCATCCTACAGGCCTCACCGAAATGAGCCTTCTGAGTTCTAACACGACTTGTTCGCGCGCGCGTCGAATCAAAGGGGCAAATTCATCGACGACAGGCGAGAGTTTGAGCATGAACTTGTAAAACAAGCGGTCCGGAGTAATAGAGCAGCATACCACTGTCAACCACCAGCCTTTTCGGGCTAAGCCTCGTTTCGTGATCATGATGGCCATGCAGTAGTCGACCGTACGGCTACTTGTACGGACGCAAATCTTCGTCCTTCGAGAAGTCGTACTCGGATCATCGAGGCCCGTGGAGTAGCAAGGACTTTGCCCGGCATGCGACCCAAGATGGACCCCGGCAGCGTGATGAGCACAGAGTGATGATGAGGCAGACAGTGATCTACTAGGTGCTAAGGTAGTCAAGGATGAATGGATCCTGTCCTAGATCATCCTCTCCGGTCTCATATCGACACTTGACTGACTTTTAGAGCCTGTCCGGCTTCGCTTACACCTCCCCTTGGCTTGCATTTTGACCCGCGCTGCGACACCACTTGATGGCACTTACAGTATTATTACAACCGTCCACTCAGGAGTACGAGTACTACACACAACAAATTTGCCTCTGGAGCATTCACCACTTTCACTGACACCACCAAATGATATACGGCTTCCGAGCGTCCAAGTTACAGCCGGTCTGGAGCTGATGCTGTCTCGGCAACACCAGCAATGATGGATTCTCCGTGCATATCCTGGCTTAACTCGTACAAGTACGGGACTCTCCTGCGTATCACTAACACCTTCCAATCTGAAAAAAGAGAATTCGAGAACGACCGGTCAACTTTGGCCTCCAGAATCGCAATGGGATAACCAATTACAACACTAGAGTCGCCTTCTTCTATCCTCCTCAAAATGTTGCTTCCTGGCGCCTTGTTGCACCGTTTGGCCTTGGAGACCGCATCGCCCCCTAGTGCGTTACCTTGCTCGTTGCTTTTGATTTGTTGATATCCTTGTTTGGCCCGTACGTTTGACACGGTCAACTGCGTCCAGACTCTGCCCCTGCCTCTGTGAATGACGACTTCAAATCTTCCTACGGACGAAATGGTAATGAACAGGCCTGTAACGTCGACACGCATCCAATATCATGGCAGCGTGTGATGATCAACTCTATGCTAAACTGCTTCGCCTCCGTCAGTCATCTAACAGACATCGGCATCCGGTCAGGATGATCAGAATGTCGAATTGCGGAAAAGTTCCATACGCAGCTGCCACGAAAACTGAAGCGATATCATACTTTTCGAGCACTCTTACGTTTGCAGAGGTGGCCGATAGACTCTACGCGTGAACCTCGTCTACAAGGGGATCAGAAGCTAATGGTCAGGGGAGAATCACCGATGCGATCTTCAACATTGTAACATGATTTCTAAGGCTTGCGCTCGCGATCAGCACGCCTTTTTCCGACAGTATCGCGGTCCTGTAATCCTCTAATTTTTCAGCACCACATTGTTGCTGCTCGCCACACTCAGTCTCTTGGATTGCATCTAACGACTTAAGTGACTCCGTCCTTTGGTGTGGTGACTTCGATGTCTTGCTTTTCCGCCGCTTGATGGGTCATAGTTTTGGGAGTTGTTCTGCTTACCTACCTAGAGATGGCCGAAGTACCGCTTTCCATGCGGGAATTTGCACCTGGAAGGATGTTTCGTGTCATTGTATGAGTTCGTACTTCGTATTTCCGCCAAATGACTTGTCTTTTGATCTACAATACATCTCGATCTGTTGGGTTCGGGAGCACGAGCTAGCTGATGTATTGTATCTCTTGGCCGCTGTTGAGCACGTCACCATTCAGGAATAGGTTATTTACGAGTACGAGTACGTGGAACCGCTGTGGGCTAGATCTCGAGCTGCTTTACGACATATTTATAGGCGGGCGGATTGCTTGATATCCCCGACGGCCCTCTCTCAGCCCATTACTCGTATTGTGTCAATGTTCAGCCTGTACACGGTACGGTAAGGCCAGTGTCACAAGACGTAAAAGATTCGATCCAAACGACAAGCCTCGTTATTCCAACTGGGTCAGCATCCATCTTCGTCTTTTGGAATTCATATCGACTACATCGATGATGGGGGTCTCTGTGGCTCTAGTCGTTTTGACACAAGCGAGAACATTTGTGACGAGCCAATAGAGTGCCTAGTGTTCCCAACCTAAGCGCAGAAACATCGGGCCTTGACACCTGAAGTACCAATTTTTGGGGTGGCCACATTCTTTCCAATCTGAGGGTCCAGTTGGCTAGACTCGTACTGGTTCTAGCGAGGACAGAGAGGGTGGTGCGTGCGAGCCCTTTCCCTTTACTCGAACAGATACAGTACATACGACTATGTGCGAGTCGGGCCCCTCACATCGGTTCAATGGCCCGATTTTACTGCCTTGTACGGAGTATCTCGATGCCATCTCTCAGCAACGCCGAGCTGGTCTCCTGGAAGACTCCAAAAGCGAACCACTTTTTGGACTTTGCCTCGATGTTTATGAACTTTTGCCAAGCACTATGAGATACTGATGTTGATCGTAAGCAGAGGTTTCCACAGAGATCGACTGTGACTCTTGACAGTGACTATCACACCATTGCTGTCTGAAACAATCTTCCACACCGGTTGACGCCGCCCCAAAACACTGAAAGGTCACGCATTTCTTGTCGCTGGACGGAGTGGGAAGCTCGTCGAGATATCATCAAACTAACATTCGACAACACCGGAGTGGTTTCGGAATTCGATCGTTCATTCCTGCAGTCCACCACGTGCGACCTCGTGCTAAACCATACCAACTCTGGAACACGGCACCTGGGGTTCGACATGAATACATCTTTGGCTGCCCCGCATGGCACACAGTCCTACAATATCCAACTTGCTATCCGACACCAGAGACGCTGGAGACCGCTAGTAGACTTCATTATGTCGTAACCCTCGTCCGGAATCACTCGGATGAAAAATGGCGTTTGGTCATCTAATGGTCTCAAGCTAGTGGATTCTTTGCAACGATGTCTACGCGAGCAAGATGTGAGGGCACGGAATGGGTTGGCTGCACATTCGAAATTTTCGACACTCCCGACAACAAATCCTTCCCATGGTCCGTGACCCGTCCATGTATGCTGTATGCACGAATACACCACGAATGCATCTCGTCGCTGGATCAAGTGGCAACTCGGCTCGACCATGTCGTCCAGGCTAGCGAACAGACTGCCCATGTCACCAGGTCCCCACCAACTACGAGCAAAAGTCCCCGTTGCCTATCTCGACGGATCACGCAGAGCTTTGCTTTGCCTGTCAATCAGAAATTCAACTGCATACCCTGTCTTGATGCTCGACTTGGCATCATTGTCCTTGAGCAAGGGCAGCTTGCAGTCGCAGACCATGTCCAAAGAAAGTACGTTCTATGGTATGGTCAAAAACAAAAAATGTGCAGCAGACGAGAGGTCCCATATGGTTTCCCAAGTTGCCGTCACCTTACGCTGAATCCTCATGCCTTCGAAATACCCAAAATTTTGTGATGCTGGTCTCTTTTCACACACAAAAGGTGTGAGTCGCCTTATTCAGCAAAAGTTGCCTGCAAATTCTCGTTGAACAAAAGCCTTTGATAATGTTTTGAAATTTGTTGTCAAGAGCAGACGGTGCGAATGATATTGAAATCTCAAATACAGCCCACAGCAGGACCTTTTGAGCCAAAGCTTCCACCACTACTGAGTATAAGAAGCGCGGCTGTCTTGGGTAGACATCTCACTGCCATGACTGCCATGTCTGCCGCATTCTATCCGAAAGCTGTGGCACTTTAATGGTTAGTCCTCTTACCACAATCTGCGAAACAGGCAAATACCGAACACGGCAACACTTGTCACAACCATTTCATTATGACTGTGCATGTGAGCTGTAATCGATGTGTTTCTGGTGTTACCGCCAGAGACCATACTACTTCTGGTCGACCTAGTTGGTAGGTCTTCGTACTCTAAAACACTCCAGAACCTTCTTGCCATCTCGGTGACAGTGAGAGCGAAGCTTGACTTTCATCTGCATGCATATTCGCGAGGACAAGCTCTCTTCATCTTGCAAATATCAGATCTCAGATCTCAGATCCGCTGGCCATGGTGGTTATACTGAGGTTTTAGAATGGACAACTTCCGTGACACTCTGGGATTAAGGAAGTTCTATATCCCTTTCAGGCAGGTATTCTGACCTCGATCTGGCAGGTAAGCAAACCAATTACCATCCAGGCTTCAACATCCTGGACAACTGTGTTGTAGGCCTCCCCCCTGTCCATGTCGTCATGTCACCGTCATATACTTGTCCGCATTACCCCAGACATTTTCTTTCTGAGGAACAAAAAAAGAGCGATTTGAGTGAAGAACCAACGACAATTCATCAAACAAGGTCATGGCGATGACAATGACAACGACAACGAAACCCAGCATCACCATCGACCTCTCGCGCAAGCAACCTCCGACGCGAGATCACCCTGACTCTGCTGCCGCGGTCAAGGGGCACCTCCCTCCTGCCAAATCCACAAAGACGCATCCGGTGCAATCTTCGACCGGCCAAAACAACAATGCAAGCCTCTTCTTCGTCGGCACGGCGACCACGATCCTCGAATGGCAGGGTCTACGCCTCATGACGGACCCCAATTTCTTACACCGGGGAGGCCACGTCCACCTGGGCCCCGGCGTGCGCGGCACCCGCAGGACCGACCCCGCCGTCGACCTCCACGACCTGCCCAACATCGACCTCGTGCTCCTGTCGCACTACCACGCCGACCACTTTGACCAGGAAGTCGAGGCCTCGCTCCGCCGAGACCTGCCCATCATAACGACGCCCCACGCCCGTCACCACCTCGGCGGCAGCACCAAGGCGCCCGGCGAGTCCTTCACGGCCGTCCGCGCCCTCGACGCGTGGGAGGACATGTTTGTCGATTTCGCCGCCGCTGACGCCGCGTCGTCGTCACCGCCCCTTGCCCATGAGCCACGCATCCACGTCACGGGCATGCCCGGCAAACACGTCGGCGACGGTCTCCTGGCCAAGGCCAACGACATACTAGGTGCGGTCCCACCTACCAATGGTTGGATGCTCGAATTGGGTTATTCTTCGTCGTCTTCGTCCTTCGAATGTGGCTACAGGATCTACATCTCAGGTGACACCTTGTACGTCAGTGACCTCGAAAGGATCCCACAACTTTACACTCACGCCGGCAAACCCATCGACCTGATGCTCATTCACCTCGGAGGCACCACCCTTCCGGGCCCTCACCTGCCTTTGATCATGGTCACCATGGACGCCAAACAAGGCATTCAACTCGTCAAGTTGATCCAACCGGACTTGACGATACCCATACATTATGAGTAAGTTGTTCAGGTCCCCTTCTGGGCAAAGCGGAGCAAATACTTTTTTACTCACTGTCACTCACTCACTCACGCGCTCACCCTTTTTTTTCGCTTCTTTTCTGACAATTACTTGATAGTGACTATGACGTCTTTCTGTCCCCCCTCGATGATTTCAAGGCCGAAATCACAAAGGCTGGATTGGACGAGAAAGTCGTCTACCTTGACCGCGGTGATCGGTTTGACTTTCGAGTTCGATCACCATCACCGACTGAGCCCAAGACTACTTAGGTAGTAAGCAACCGGTACCATTCGGTCGAGAATATGAACTTCTTCACGGGGGAGAAAAGGGTTCTGAAGGGGAGAGAGAGGGAGATGTATTGCAACTTACCTGGAGTTGACGCACAACTACGCCTTTGGTCCAAGGTTGTTATTTCGTTCTGGTCCCCCCTTTGAAGAAGGGGGGACGTTTGTAAAAGTACTCCGTAAAGGAGCCCCCCAGGTAGTTGTTGGACCGAAGCGAAAAAATCACAAACGCAAACACAAATGATATGTCCCTTTTCCACATCGTACATACCTAAACAAACCCCCTCTTCCTCGAGGGGGGATCGTGTTGGGAAAGTCGGCTTACGTGTGAAAAAATAACGAGCGTTTGTATAAATGGTATCGATAATAACCAACTAAGGTCCTGACCGTTGGGTAAGGTCAGGTATTACAGTATAAATACCCGTTACTGTCTCGGTTTCCTCTACTAATGCTATGTATGCTTCGCTAAAAAAACCACAAAAATCAAAAAATCAAAACATGCCCTTCCTTTTGATATGCATTGTCGACAATTGTGTTGAAAACATAAAGTTCCCACATTGTTCACTCTTTAAAAAGCCATCATGCCCAATTTCCATTCCGCCCAAAATCATCGACCGACTCCATCTGCGTAATCCATGATGTTGATACACACTCTCACCAGGCGGATTTTCTTGAAGCGTCGCCCAAAGGAAACATTTCCCTCTGGTACATTCCGTCCAGTGCAGGCTGCTCTGACGTTGGGCGTCTAATAAGCATATTCCCTATCCCGAGCTTTCATCGCGTCATAATCCTCATAATTCCCCAATTGTTTCCTAATATCACCATAACTGTGTCTAGCTTCAATCATATTTCCATATCCCGAGTTTCGATTCGAAGGAAATTGTTGTGGGTTTTGAGGCGGATACTCCATGCTCGGCGAATCGTAGACACTTTCTCGACCAAACCCGTAGACGCTCGTCCGGAAGTCTTCGCTGGCACTGGGCTCAAGTAATCCTTCCTTGACATCCCAATGACCTTGCTTGGTGCCGACACTGAACTCGAGATCTTCTTTGGTGATGCTGTCCCAGTACTATTTGAAGTTGTTAGCGAGGAAAATCCACAAAACCCAGACCATCCAAAAAATCCTACTAACCTTGTAGACCATCATGACGCCCAACAAGTTGCAGACAGTCGCAAAGAACAGTCCGTCAAGATAGTGACTAACTCCTTCGCAGATCTGCTTGGCGAATACATACAGAATGACCTGTCCAATGATGAAGAAAAAAGCGCCAAAAGCTAAATCCCCCAACGGCCACCTGTCCTGCAAGGTGTTTGCGACCAGGATGACTTGCATGACGAAATAGACCGCCAGACAAATGGCATTGACGATGTACAAAACGATGAACAGGCCGGTGGTGTTTGTTGGTGACAGACCGGCCCATCCCTTGAACGTAAGCAGGCTGACCGCAAAGCTGATGATGAACATGACCAGGCTGCCGAGTCGCAATAGCCAGACTGACAGTGTAGTTCCGTCTTCGTACAGTTGAAACCCGACGAATCCATTGATCAAAAGACTCGTGCAGAGCGCACTGGCGAGGCCGTTCTGTACCGCCACAAACCAGGGGTATGCACTTTGATTCGTTGCTTCAATCACCCCCGCGTCCAGGACCAAACTGACGACGGTCAACAGACTGTAGATGTAGAAAAAAGTCAGAATTTCTTTCCGGCCCACAGCGGTGAATTTCGAGCGAACGTGGAAGATCATGATGGCAGTCATGGCTAGGGCGGCTATGTGCGCAAAGTCGGTGGCAGCCTGAAAGATGATGGTGTTTGCGAGTTCTATTGATCGAGCACTGCATTCCGGTAATAACGCCGGGTTGTGGGCGGCCGTGAAGTCGGTGGGTGTTCCGAGAAGGTAGCACAGTGGCAGAGCCGATTGCTCGCACACTGTGTCGAAAGAGCCAAAGCCCATGGTGGGCTGCCTCTCCTTGATGCGACCTCGAAGGGGAGAATGAGGGAGATGAGGCCGGCAAGGATGTATGAAAAGCGAGGATGATTCGAGAAGGACAAGTGAGCGTAGGTGAAACGTCTGAAAGGCGAGAGAGTGTTATGACAAGAGGCCAAAGTCTTTGGAAATCTAGGGACGTGGTAGGGTTCGAGGTGGGCAGAAGGAATAAGTGAAATTGGCGTGCTTTGGAAAGAATGGCGATACCCTGTATGCGAAGATGAGATGACTGAGGAATAACGAGTGTTGTCGGGTGCAAGAAAGAGTCGAAAGAGTGGTGTGGATGTGCGATATGGGTGGTTGTTGGTGAGGGAACGAGGCTCTTCTAACAGGGAATTAAAGATCTTTTGGTGTCTCACCATTGCGGCGCAGGCAATAACATACGCTATTCCCCTTCTGGTTAGACCACTTCCACGTTGCCATAGCCCCTGAAATAGCAACACCACCGAGCACAAGTTCTAGGTACGGAGTACTCGTAAGGAATATACAACAACTTTTTGTCCAAGCATCAATAATACAAGGAATATCCTTAAACCCAACTATCAGATATCAGAGACACCAAAACGCCTCGCTAGCCTATTGCCCTCTCATAATCGTCATGTTACTTCTCAATTCCCAAAGTCCCAGCATCGCTTACGCCGCGATACCGAAGTCTTCCATATCAGAAGCAAGCTTCTTTTTGAAGTTGGCCAGTTGTGCAAGGAGCGCGTGGGCATCCGCCTCAATCTCAGCCCTCTCATCCTCCCAATCTGACTCGGTGTCGATCTCGTCACTGGACGCGGTGTCGTCTTCATATATCATGTCGGGCGTAGGGACTCTAGACCTCTCGCCTGCAGACTCGGTTTCCTTGTTGATGACTATTGGGTTCCTCAGCTCGTCGAGCACAAGCGAGAGATGGATACTCATGGCTTCCTTCTCCTCCTCAAGTTGACGAACTTTGGATTCCGAGATGGCCACCTTTTCTTCCATGATTTGTAGCATGTTCTCGTATTTGCTGGTGAGCTCACGGATTTTCTCCGACTGGGCATCTGCGCTTTCCTGCACCGCCTTCATCACAGAGGTACTACCATTCTGCTGTTGCTGACTGAGTGTCCAACGGAGAGTACGAATTGTCTCTTGCATCTCGGAAATCTGGGCGTCTTTCTCAGCCGACGAAACATGGTCCTGGTTGACAATGGCCTTGGTACGGATATGCTTCGCCTGGTCAGCATATCGTAGGGTTGATAGAGTCTCGTCGTAATCGGACGGCGCAATGCATGCAATCATGGCGGTTTTGGAGTTGCCGCCCAGTGAATCCTTCAATAGCCACGTCAAGATCGAATCGCGGTAAGGCACAACGTCACGATTGGTCCTCTTGTTGTTGTGCATTCGAGCATGTTTGGGATCAGCCAGTGCAGCAATAACCCTCCCAAGCGTTGTCAGCGATTTGTTGATATTCCCACCTTCTCGTAGCCGCTGTCCTGTCGCTTCTGTGGCCTTTGCACGTTCCGATCCCGCCAGATCAACTAGACGAATACGTGCCAATCGCTCAGTGGTTTCGTCATTGTGGTAGTCGTGGTGGATCTGTTTGAGCATGATTGTGAAGACGGCATGGGATCGTGACGAGGTATCGTTCATCTTGGTCGATGCAGTTGTCCTCGAACTATCCCCCATCCGCATGTATTTCAGGATCTCAGTGTAGTTTTTCACCTGAAGTTCTGTCAAGTCTTTGACGTAGGGTCCCTCGGTGGGTGACTCTCGGATCTTGAGGTATTGAGGTGGATCAGTTCGAGGCTGGAAAAGATCTCTAACATGTTCGTTGTACACCTCGAAATACGACACACGCACGCTGTAGCTAATATGGGGACTTTCGTTGGACTCTATCCGCTCAAACATGTCCTCACAGGTTCGTGGAATCAAGCCTGGCTGATCTGGAGTACCCATCATGGTGTAACTCTTTCCCGACCCAGTCTGACCGTAGGCGAAGATACAAGTGTGATAGCCTTCGAAATTGTGGTCAAGAAACTCTTCTCCCAGAGAATTGTATACATCCTCTTGCGTAGCATAGTGGTTGTCACTGGTGTTGTGAGACCAGAATGATCGATCGAAAGTAAAGTTTTTCTCTTCGAGGATTTTTCGAGTCTGGGCGCGGGCGTTTGCAGGGTCGGTCGAAGGAGGTACGAGGAGCTTTGTTGATTGAGTGGTTGGGTTCATCTCGATTAGACATTGAGCGCCTCTGTCGATTTCTAGGCGTGGATCAGTATCAATGTTTTCGCTCTTGTAACCTGCTGCGACTCACCGCGAGGCAGAAATCCTCTAACTCTGACCACGACCTTCACATTTCCGCCTGGGTTCATGTTGCTACTAGCAGGTGTCGCAGGGACACTGACTGGTGTCTTCGATCTGAGAGAAGGACTTGAGGCTGTAGAACGGGTGGGTGTCTGCGGCCTGATGTTGGTAGCACGTCCCGGACCTGGCGGCGCCATGTCAACAGCTTGATTCAAAAGTTGAAAACACTCGTCTATAGCAGCACGATATCGAATCTGTAACGAGATGTACATCCAAACGGAGACCAGCGAGAAATATGAAGTCTCGGACGCAATTATGGAGTAGTCCACGTACTGACTTGGCCTGGCGAGCCCTGAAGCGAGATAAAAAGTTGCAGTTTGGGGTTAGAAGTAAACAATGACATCACCCGCTCTCATTGGTCGACACGACTTGGCTCGTATTCGTGACCATACAGGTACATACCGATACCTGCCTTACCTACTTACTGAGGTAGGTAGACAGCGATTTGCAGTACCCGCGTAGCCCTACGATACTGTCCGGCGGCTTCTACATGTCATAAATCTAGTCCGAGTACTCTCACTGCGTTTCCACCCAAGATCTTCCTTCTAGCATCCTGGTCTTGAGGCAAGCACCCGTCAATCGCGGCCTTGTTACTCTCTACGCTCAGCCACTTGCTATCCTTTTCATCCCCCAACGGTGGAAAGAAAGGATGATCCGTACCGAACATGACTCGATCCACACTTCCGGCCGCCTCAATCGCGGCCTTAAGCCCCGGTTGTCCATATATCACCGCGTCGAGGAAGATATTGGAATGCAGGACGTCCCAAATTGACCGCTGCGGTCCTTGCTTGTGGCCCCCATTCGCGATGAACTCCCGCTCGTGCGCGACGCACGATTCGATCCGGCCTGCCAGGAACGGCAACGTGCCCCCAGAATGCGCAAGCAGGAACTCGAGCTTAGGGTGACGGTCGAACACGCCGGAGAGGTACATTCTCGACACGGCGATCGTGGTCTCGAGAGGAAATCCCAGGGCGAGAGGGAGGACATGCCCGGAGCGTGCGATCACGTCGGGTCCGCCGAAAGCAGAGTCGGGTAAGCCGTAGTGCGGATGCAAAAATACCAGCGTCGACGTGCTGGCGAGTGCCGCGTAGACATCGTCCAAGGCGGGATCGTCCAGGCCGTTTCCCAAGCCAGTCGTGCCCATGATGACGCCCTTGACGTGCGGGAGGGTCTTGAGACGCCGGATCTCAGACACAATGTCCTTTGCCGGCGCGGACAACGGGAGACAGCCAAAAGCGTAGAGCTTCACGCCTTTGTGGGCCGCCGAAGAGTTGTTATTCTCGGCGCACGCCTTCTCGAGGTCGTCGTTGATCTCTTGGGCCGTGGAGAGTGCGGAAGATGGGTCCAGAAAGTCCAGCCACGGGTTGGCGAGGCTGATGACGCTGCATGTGATTCCGTGCGTGGTCATAAAGTGCCGCTTCGAGTCGAAGGAGGAATACGTGCTGTCGACCGGCCGGCCGCGCGATGACTTGGGCCGTGAAAGGTCATCATCAGAAGCGAGGATGATAAGTCTCGGGTCAGCACCAGGTTCGGACGGTAGATGAATGTACGGGACCGTTGTGCGTGACGACAACAATTTGATGTACGAAGGCGGGTACATGTGAGTCTGTCGGCAAAGTCAACAACATGTTACCAAGGCCATCATACTACTCGCTTGTAAGCGAGCAGCGACGACGAGGTCGGTGTTGTATAGGCATGGACATATTCTTCAAAGGGAAATCTTCGTCTTGACCGTCTCGCCTCGATACTCGTAGAGGGGGGTTGGATTTCGACTCACGTGAATGTCCACCACCGGGAAAGAGGAAGAGGACGACATGTTGTCAATGGATCTGTAGCTTGTATAACTTAGGATCAGGAGCAAACGTTCAGGATTTTGTTTTACTTGAGAATCTCAGAGCACCTTTGGTCATTTGGTGTTACAAAGGTTGCTCTAAAATGTTGCTGTGTTGCAGTAATGAACGGACTCCTCCGCGACCCTCGGTCTGGCTACTTGGTTGTCGTTATCAGCCGAGCTCTTATCGAACGAACCACCGTAGTATCAAATACTCATCCAATCAAGTAAATCTTTTATCATTTTCTTGGGTAGATCAGACCCCTTCATAATCGGGTTTCTGCTCGTATGATATTCTTTTTTAGCATTTTTCCTTTTCATCTTTTGAAGGTTGTACAACTACGATTTGAAGGACGGGAAATCTGGTCTTGCGATCATCTACTCCATATACTCTGTCTGTACTTGGGTACAAGCCGGATCAAATTACCCCAGGTCATCCCATTCCAAGGTACAGATAAGCGCGAAGTCTCACTAAGCCAACCGCTCTCATCAAAACAAAGGGGGGGTTTCAGGAGTACGGCCGGTACTAATACTACCATTCGATCGCAAAGCTGCCGATTCCAGCCTAGAAGATAATCAACTAAACTCCCTGGTCCACTTCAGCCTCCTTTCCCCAAGCAAACAAGTATGGGATCACTAGGGACCACGGTTCAAAAGGGCGTGGAGCAAGATGATCTGGTTATGCCGGTAAGATTTCTGTTTCTCTCGAGTCGATCGACAAGCGAATATATATCAAAGACAGGACGATCTACACAGAAGATTCTAACATTTCACTTGTGTGCGAGCTTTTAGTTGATTGATTTCGGGGCTTTCCTGAATGGCGACCCGACGAGCAAAAAACAAGTGGCGGACCAGATTGTCCAAGCCTTCCAATCTTCCGGGTTTTTGTACCTACACCACCACGGCATTTCCCCCGACGACATCTCACGGGCGTTTGACGAGTCGGCCAGATTCTTCCAGAGGCCACAGTCACAAAAGGACGAGTTGCAATGGACCACACCGGACTCCAACAGGGGCTACGTGGCCTGGGGTCGTGAAAAGGTGACTCAATCCGCCGATCCTGAAGAGATTGCCCGGCTACGAGCGTCGAACCCGGACCTGAAAGAGTCGATCGAGATCGGGCGTGAGGGAGTGCCGGGTTTTCCCAACCAGTGGCCATCTCGATTCGGTGACGATGAAGGCCAGAAATTCACGAATGACATGCAAGGGTTTTCCTTGCGGCTCAAAAACTTGCACATCCAAGTCATGCGCGCCATCGCTCTCGGCATGGGTTACGACGAAGGTTTCTTCGACGGTTATACCGACGCCGGCGACAACACTCTCCGCCTCCTGCACTACCCGTCCGTCAAGAAGAGCATCTGGAGGCGGAACCCCAACCAGGTTCGCGCCGGCGAGCACTCCGACTACGGTTCCATCACCCTGCTGTTCCAGGACGACATCGGTGGTCTGGAGGTCAAGTCTCCCCGGGGCACGTGGGTGCGCGCGACGCCCATCCCGGGTACCATCGTGGTAAACGCGGGTGACCTGTTGTCCCGGTGGAGCAACGACACCATCAAGAGCACAAACCATAGAGTCATCCAACCTCCTCCGAAGGAGACGACTACACAAGACGGCGAAGAGGACGACGAGGACGCAATGGTCCCCGCCCGGTATAGCATTGCTTATTTCTGCAATCCCAATTTCGACAAACACATCGAGGCCTTGCCCGGCACGTGGGAGAAGACGGGCAAGAAATACGAAGGCATCAACAGTGGGGATTATTTGGTGATGAGACTCGCCGCGACGTATTGACCTTCTTCCTGGGGATTAGCAACAACGACAAACGAAAAATCAAGCTTAGTTTTGCAACATGTAAATAAGCGATTTGTGTCTTGCCTGTATGTGTGTGTGACTGTGTTTCTGACTACTTGTATGAGAGTAATTCGATCCGATGTTCCCCTCCTAACTTCACCTGTGTCGTCCGTCTTGTAGACGGACTCCACTTCTCGAAGGCCACTCACCCCAGAGATATATCGAAAGAGACCTTTTCAAAAAGAGAATAATCGGTCACAATCTTGGAGTTTTTCCTACTAGTTTCACATCTGCAACAATGACAATGGTTAATTTGCTGGATCAAATCATTGGCCTTTGAAAGACTGGGTGAGAAAGCGGGCTTGGAAAGAGTTCAAGGTACAATGGATCCAAGATTGAATAGTAGAGACATCCATAGAAAATCAATCGAAGTTGGTATACCCAAGAACGCCTACGCTTCACCACCTAAATAAGAACCTTCTCTGCGTGTGATGGTCGCCGGCCCCGATGCTTCTTCTCCTCCACCTCCTCCTCCCACGCCACCGTGAACAGGACACGAAGGATTTGGAGTCCTCGGTCTAGGAGCCACCGTTGCTGGAGGGGGTCGAACATCGTCGTTTACACCACCATGAACGGGGCATGACGGGTTTGGATTCGCCTGCGTCGTCGCACGCGGTGGTCTAGCGATAACGTCCCTCTCCCCCGCGGCCGTTGTGGTAGGGCGGCCGGGACTGAGATCCCTCCCGCGGCTGCCGAACCTCGAATACTCGCCTCGTCCGTCCCGGTCACCCCCGCGCATCATGAAATCCGCAAACCCAGAACCCTCGGGCCTTCGCTGCCCGAGCTCCCAATCCTGGTCGTCCGCGCCGTCTGCTCTGACGCCGACGTCGACGCCGAACCGTCTCCGTTTACCGATCGCCCGCCGCTCTCGCCACCAACCCATGCTGTATCTGCGCCCGCCAAACGCCGTCTCGAATTGTGGTTGTGGCACCCACTCGGCGCCATCGGGGATGATTTGCTGCCGCTCCTCGTCCTCGTCCTCGTCTTCGGGTGCGGCATGGATGCTTTCGGGTCGGTCGTCCGCGTCATACCCGAAGGATCGGCGACGTGGTTTACCGCAGCACTCACACAGACCGTCGTCGACGCTGTGGCATAGATCGCTGCCGGCCAAAAGGGACATGGTCCCGGCCAGAGAGCAGGGGTTGCACGGTAGCACGCGGCGCATCTTGGTGGTGAGCCAAGATGCCACGCAGAGGCCAACGATGACGCCCAGGATGACCTGGAGCTCCAGTTTGCTGTCCTTGTCTTGTACTAGGCGGGACCTTGTGACCGTCGTGGCGGTGGTGCTTGTAGTAGTCGGCGACTGCCTGCGAGTGAGGCGAGAAGAATTGGTTGAAGATGAAGACGACGACGACGAGGCGCGCATGTTTGTGGAGATGGCTTGAGCCATGTAAATCTGGTAGAATTGGATGACCGCGTCAACTAGAGCGCCTTGGTTATTCGCACCGACCAAGGCTGCCGGGTCGTGCTTGTTCGTGCCATTAATGACGGCCTGGAAGTAAATGTCAAAGGTATCTGTAGCAGAAGGGTTGGATGTTGGTGTGCCGTTGGCGCCATTGAACAACGTCATCTCCTGGGCGAGGTTGTTTTGGATGCGAAAGTCGAAGGAATTTGCACCGGTGGTGCTGATCGGATTCGAGCGCAAAGACACACTGCCACTTTGAACCGTGGGTGGATTGTTGCGGTCGATAGAGGTAGAGTCATCCTTGAGGGTCACATTTGCCTTCAGAGCTTGAATTTCCTGGTAGCAAATCATTGTGGTGACCTGGCTTTTGTTTGTGCTATCGAGTTTGAAGTGGCCGAACGTGAAGGCAAGACTGGGGCATCCCACGGCGGGGTTGTCGCCAATGTACTGTCCTCGACTTTCTCCATAGTTCCCGTACGTAGACGCATTCGAACCGAAGAGTAGATCCAACTGTGCCCCAGCGTAGGTACCTCCTCCTCCAGAAGGGAGCTCAAAGTTATTCTCGTACGTCACAGTATTTTCGGATCCGCTGGAACCACCAAGCTGACATGAGGCCGGAAGTGATGCTGTAGCGGTGACAAAAGCTTGATCGGTGGCAAATGCACTGTCTGAGCCGGCCTGTTCAGTAGACACGTTGAAAGACGAATTTGGTAGGATCTCGCATCGCAAGTTGGCGCGTACTGCAGGAAGAATATGACTGGACGACCCACTCACAACCGACGCAGAGTCAGAGGACGCTTCTGAATTGTTGAGAGACAGCTTTGGGAAGACTAAGCCTTGGTAGGTGAATTGAGGATAACTGACATCTTGGTGCATTATCAGGTCCACAATTGCGGCAGCTCCGTTGTCAGTAGAGAAACTGTTTGGCCACTGCAGGCTAAAGGAGTCGAGCTGGGTTAGAGTGATGTCGGGTCCGTTGACAGTAACGTGTTGAACTGTGTAAAGCGCAGAAACGAGAATGGTCAATACGCTTGCCAACCCAGCGGCCAAGATGCTCGACAGTGCACCAACATAACGGGTACGGATGGCTCGTAAAAAAGCCCAGGGAGGTGTCAGTCCCAGTAGATGATGGAGTACGGATTTTCGACTGATAGCGTCCCCCTTTGCTAAATTCGCCCACGGTGCAAAAAGAGCCGCATTGAAGTCTAACATGTTGACCAGAGAAGCGACTATCAATGTGACAATACCAGGGATGTAATGGCTGTATATCTCGGTCCATTTGTCGTCTGCAACCGTATATAGTCCATTGTGCTTATTTGAATAGTGCTGGACGACCTCAAGGACAGCGATCAACACCACTGGGAGCGCCAATGTAACGAACAAGACTGGTAAAGAAGCAGTAAATGGTAGCCACCATTTGAGGTCCATGTTGGGTTTTGTTGCGGCTTGCATTGGCTCGCCCTCCGAGGCCACGATTTTGAAACTTGTGGTGCCAGAGTCGGTGATAGCAATGGCAGTTCCAAATTCGAATCCAGACAAGGCTGATTGCTGATTGGCGAGATTTGGAACACCCTGCTTCCTCAAAAGCCTGTTCAGCTCAGTGCTTCGTGTAAGTATCGTAGCGATGGCAGCGATGGAGCTCGGATCGCGCGGAACAACTGCTCGTGGAGCGATGAACACAAGAGCAATGCAGATGATCACCAAGATTCCAAAAATTGAAGCCATGGTCCAGACTGAGACATCATTGACGCGCAGTCTGCGTTCCTCGTTGGTCAGGGACCCTCCATCAATGTTGCTAGTGTTGGTCGCCCTCAAAGATAGGTGAGCGTACTGCGCCAAAACCCCTTTGTAGGTATCCTGGGCCGCGGAGATCATCTTGTCCGCATCCAACAGCGAGCTAATATCTTGATCGCCTTCTCCAAGAGCCATGAGCGTAAAGATACCACTAGAATTCGAAGAATTATCATCGTTGACGATGTCGCCAAATAGAGCATCAGCTGATGTAGCGGATTGGAGGAAGACGTTGGTGGCATTCCAATTCGAGAAGTTGGGCAGACTACTGTTCGATCCCTCCCCCGACTCAATGGATATGCCTTGGCGGCTACCACTCAACTGAGTTTTATTGGTCACCTTGACTTCAGTCATGGTATAGGAAGGCTTGCAAAACACGTTTGTCATATTAGTGAGAGTTCTTGACACGTCACTGGCGATCGTGAAGGTACCGCCCGCAAGTTGAGTGGCATTATCGAAGAGAGTTTGTTCATATTTGATGTCGGTCAGTGTGAACAGCAAACCCCGAGGGCCTTGAGAGTCTGAAGTGTCCCCAACGGTGGTGCCACAATATATCTCTTGCATAGTACCAGTTAGCTGGTGTCCAGGAACAATCTCGGTATATGGGTCGTAAGCCGGCACACTGACAGAGGACGCTCGGCTGCAAGCATCGCCGGCTTGGATGGTGAAAGATATATTTGAAGAAGATGCAAATGCGTTCGCAGAGTTGGTGTCATTGACGACTGCGGGAGTATCCAAATTGACATCGAGTCGACTGCAAGTCACATTCGGAATAAATGCCTGGACGTCGCCCGTGATGATCGCATTCTGTCCGATCGACGTGTTTGACGGCACCGTGAATGCGCCATACGCCAAATCGATCGCAACGCCGTTCTCAAGGGGTATCCCCTGTGTTTTACTTCCATAATATGCATACACCGGCGAAGCCACGGACAACGAGGTTAAAGGCGTATTGGGATCGAATGAGTCGGCGCTGAAGCCTCGTGCTTGGATTGGAGCATTGCTCTGCTTCACCTGTGTTGGCAATGGAACTAAAAGTCCTGTTGAAAACATCGTAGCAACTTTCAATAAGATAAACCCGACAACTGTAGCCATGACGGCGAAATGGTTATTCCTGGTCGCTTCAAACAGTGCCACCAATTGGAACTTAGAAATATAGTCGACAAAAAGGCTTTCGGAAGCTTTTATAGGGCCGTCTTGAAGGGCATCGAAAGGCATCGCCAGCTTCGCGTGATAATCAACCAACCTCCATACTGCAACGATGACGACAGCAATTACTGTAGGAGCATAAGCCCAGGCATAATGCTTCATATCGCTGGCGACATGGAATCCGTCGTTGGTGCGGTCGAAGTGCCAAAGGAGGGCCAGCGCCAATACCAGGAGGGCAAAGAAAATGGCGAAAAGAATCAAGGTCATCTTCTTCAGCCATATGGGAGTCCATAACGGAGGAGCCGGTGGTTGTAGTCGAAGTAAAGATCCTTCGTCGGACTTGTTGTATATTGATGGTTCCTGAAGGCGAATGGACTCGGGTTCGTCTTCTTCGTGAATAGGGGAAATGGGCACGTATTGACGAGGCTCGAACCTTTTCGAGAAACTCGGTGGTATTTGTCGAATCGCCGGGGCACCCCGTATAGATGGAAATCGACTGGGTGTTGGTGCGTTGTATTGGGTCCATGATGAAGAATCTTCTGGATGTTGATGAACGGCTTCTGGTAAAAGTCTATCGGAGCTGTCGTCCTGTCGCCGCCTGGCCTGAGCCCGCTCAGCGTCTGTCACGGGAACATCGAGATAGACAGGGGGTTGATTGCTGTCCATTGCGCGAGGGAGGATGGTCGGGCGACATTGTCGTCTGGAAGGCTCGCTAGGTCATGATTTTCCTGGCCGTTTCGTTTGTACAATTTTTGAAGTGAGGTTTCGAAACTCACGGTCTTTCAGGAAAAAGCGACCAACTTCTCAGCCTGAAAAACTGCATATGAAGAACAGCCAGTCGAGAGCCGCCGCCTTAGGATCCGACGCAAATAGCGATCCCAGGTTTAGAGACTAGTAAGGCATCAGGCGCCCGGGGGCTGAGGCGAGAATTTTGGGCGTGAGACGACGGACTCAGCCTCTCAACGAAGCTTCTCCATGAGGATTAGCCATGTCCTGATACGAGTGCCCAGAACCGTCGACCGTCGGTTTCAATACTGTTCCAGTCATCAAGCCACAACTCCGGTGATTGCCAGGGCTCCTGAGGCTATGAATGGCTTCTACGGACGATAAATAGAAATGTTTCTGCCACACTTGTCCTTCGCCACCTCTCAATGCTCTGCTTCTGCGCTGCGGCATGCTGGACAACAGAGACGATCCCGGCCTGTAATGTCTCACAGACGACGAGTATCAAAGTACGGTCGTTGATCTGAAGTCGAGATGATCCCTTGCTTTATTCGATCGTGTTGCCATTACAAATGTAGGTATTATGTCTTTGCACGATGTCGTTATTCGGCTTACTGAACCATACGGATCCAAGCCTTGTCCGATGTATGTCCAAGTCCTTACGGAGTACATAAGTGTGTTCAGCAACATAAGCAAGATATTTTAGAAACGCGTAGGATTTTTTAGTCCATCCTGCGTGACTGTTGCCAACGTCGAAAACCTTCAATCATTCCGAATTAGAAAGTAGTAATCTACTTATGAGCATCTGCATCAGGGAGGCAAAGACTCCGCTCGCAGGACGTGTCTGAGCCCTGTATAGTCAGAGCAATGATGGCTAGTACGCCACGCCCAGGAGCATTGTGCTGATGGCTTGCCAATTGCTGCTGTAGAGTGCCGACAACATTTTGCCGCATTATGTGGCTCATGAACACTGAGGCTTGTGTTCGGCTCAGTAATTGACAAAAGTGCACGTAAAGCCTGGTGTCGAGTTTCGCAGACAACGCAATAATCCGCCTGTCTAGGAGGGACATTATCTGCCTGACGGTACAAGCGAAAGCTCAGTGAAGCCCTAGTCATAACAAACATCATCCTTAACGCCGTAACTCATCACTTCCTAGTGGTGTCGTGTTCCCAGCGCCGCATCGCTAAAGCCATAATTCGAGAGAGCTTTTTGGATGTTATGGGAGGAGAATGATATAGCATGCCATCTGGTCCACACCTAGACAATCATTTGCGCAACTCCTTGTCCACCAAGTGTCTTACTACCCACGAATTCTTGCTGCTTCAATCCGGCCAACGCATAGCAAAGTCCTGCCAGAGCCAAGACAACAGCTGCCGCGATCAAGCTGCTTGCATCGACTATGAGGCTGAGCCACTGGGCAATCGACATGACACCGTAGATTGCTGCTCGCATGTAGTTTGTGGTGAATCGTCGGATGAAAGTATCGAACTTGGCCGAGGTAGGGCAGATCCGGAGGAGGAGAGGGATTTCGATGAATATGAGGATAAATGATGAAGCCCTGGAACATTGTAAGCAAGTGCATCGGCCGATGGGGTCTTGAGGCAGTTCATACAGAAGGATGATACTAAAGGCGATGAGAGCGTTGAAGTGAAATATGTTGGCGATACCCAACGCAAAGCCTAGAATGATGCATAGTACTCCAAGCCTGCATAGTGACCTTGTGTCAGCGCCTCCCTTTTTGACGACCGGCGACTGAACGAATCCTTTGTATAGAGTCGCGCGAAGTGTTTAGTAGTCTGCTTACCATTGTCCGTAGATACCTAGGTAGTGGTCGATTAGTCCTTGTTGCACGCACTCTGTAGAAACAATTCAAATACTCACTGAAATTACGCGACCTGAATTCCTCGGCGAGAGTCATTGTGCCGTCGTGGTATGACTTTGGGGTGAAGGCTGGCCTGCGCGACCTGAATAAAAACGGAGGTCGGGAGAGTAAGATTTCTCGGGGGGAGCTCAAATGTTGCTTGCTGTCGCTGGCGATCGGATATACGTGAAGAAGAGAGAAGAGGTACGTCGAGGAATAGTCGAAAACTAGTTTGAGAGAAGTTTCTTGTTGTGGTCCAAGGGGCCGTCTAGTTTAATGAAATGCTGTCCTGTTGTTGATGACAGTTTGGCGGTGATGGCTGTGGCAGCTGCGAGACACGCTTTCACCACCTAAATAATCCAAGCCCAGGTCGGAGCCTAAGCCTGAAGTCCCGAGAGCCGATGCTTAACCACGATGTAAATGCCTGCTCAGCGTAGATTCAAATCTGGTAGCTGAGCCTTTGAAGACCTCAAAGGTCCTTCGAATGGCTTATGCACACTAGACTAGTGCAGCAGAGGGATTGTTTTCCGTTGAAGTGGCGTGTTTACAGCTGGAGCGCATATGGGATTGAAAGATATATGTACTCCGTAGCCTGACCGGAATAGTAGCAGCCTGAATGTCCCAACGCGTGGCGCCCAGAAGCAAAAAGCCACGCGTAGCATCACTGGTATGAGAATGAATAAGGCCACTCGGACGTTCAGGCCTCAGAAAAAAAACAGACGATTACTTCTCAGATTGTCTTTGATTGAACGTCCTTGTCAACACAGCCTGGATGATATCATGTCTAGAAAGGGTCTCATGCAGCTAACCTTTTGAGTCTACCAGCGTCTTTGCAGGTAACGTATTTTTTGTCAGCGAAGAACCATTCTTATCCGACGAGGAAATACGTCCTAGGTACCTATACCGACCCACTTGTCCGCCATTTCTCTGTCACAGGAAATGTACTACAATCATGGCTAAACCTTCTGACCTCACCCTCTACACATTCTGGGCAATTGTATGACGGTCTCGGCAACATCCCGCAGATTCCCTAGTGATGAAGCACACCGTGATTATACCGAGTTGCAAATTTCTCAGTCCTCACTCGAGTGTTTCGCATGAGCTGACGAAGGCTCTCGAATACAGTGCGAAGACAGACATCATGGCCGCAATCAAGGCGAAGATATGGGGAAACTCAAAGGATACGGGTAGGTGGAAGGGCGATCTAAGGGAGTCGTCGATGTTGTGTTGCAGTCGAAATCATGAGGACGACATAAGTCTCGCATATATCTTGTCGCGACCAAGAACTTTCACGATCATCAATTCCACATGGGAATGGTGGTAGGCGTCTAACCTAGAGAGGTCAATAGCGAAGAAATCGTAGATGCATGTCGGCCAGTTGGAAAGGTAGAGCAAAAGACCACAAGTTAACAATGTAGGACTTCCGTGGCTGTGGATATCTGCCTCTAGAGCTCTGCGTGTGCATCCTGTTTGAACTCGGTCTTCAAAAGTCTCAGGATATCCGCACTCGATCTATTAATCATGCTCCTCTCGGCTCTCAACAACGTCAAGTCCGTATCATCCTTCAGGCATAGATGAATTTAAACCGTCCACGCTCGTCGATTTGACACATTGTCGGGCCTGAATTCTCGTCGTTCTAACCAGCGAGTCGATCAACCGGCAGCATACACCACTGTAAAACATGTCAGATCGGAATGAGACAGCAGCTGTGACTTTGGGACATACGTCGGAAGACATCGTTCTGCACATAGTAGCTGCCCGCATCCGGCAACAAGTTAAACGTCTGCACGTAGCTCATCGGCTGCTGTTGATCATCGACCTAAAACACAAATAGTCAGGACTCTTTCTTTGCTGATAGGTATACAGTCGTTCATTGTTTGGGCATAATTCCATACCATCAGTGCACCAGTGACCAGAACCAAAATACCACCCTGTTCATTCGACGGTTGGGCATCTGTGGTGTCGACACGGTGTTGTACTTTTTGAAAAGGAAGATTCTAACAGCGTATATCATCAGTGCCACGTGCTCTCCTCCTCAGTGGGTTGCGACCATTGTAGTCAGAAAAAGACTAACCGTCAACTTTTCAAGGATAGACTGCGTTCCCTGGAATGGCTCCTTTTCGAAGGTGAGCATGGAGTTGTTCCTCTGGATGAGCCGATGTCAGTCCTCTGCAAATTCTTGCTTCCATACTTTGAGCATCCTTTGGTGAGGAGGGAGCCGTACGTAAAGAGCAGCCAACTGCGCGCGGTCGCTGTCAAAGGTCTTGTAGTAGAATTCAACAAATTGTTCTGTCGTTCGTCGTCAGATATAGTCCTCAAATCGAAAGGCAGGATGGGGCGATCATGTCGCCGCCGTGCGCGAGGACGTACGAGCAATGCCCTGGAAGTCTAGACAGCCTCTATGTCAGCCCATGCACTTGGTAATGGAGTAGATCGCTGGCGGGCCAGTCGATGGTGAGAAACTTGTTGGATGTGCCGAAAACATACCTCCCATAATGAACAGTGCGAAATGACTACACGGCAAGCCCGTCTGTGTTTCAACGGTACGTGCTCAAGCGGAATCCTCGGTCGAGATGTGTGGTAGTTGCGAAAAAGAAGGGTGTTTTGTGGTCAGTAATTTCGAGGGGCAGCGTTTGGAGAGGGCCAAACCTACATAAACAGACAATCGGGTAGCAATTGTGTCACCGTTTATCATAGTCACGTGCGTCTCGTACCTTTATTTTTGTTTGCCAAGCGACCGCTTCATTTATTCGACACCGAAGGTGGTTTTCTATCTCATTCCTCTCCATCACCATCGTCCTCACTCGATACAGACTGCGACCACTCGGATGATCGCAATGCTCGTGGCGATGCTTTCTTGTCAATGTTGATGATGCCACTCTGCCACCCATCTTGATGACTATTGCAGGTAAGCCATGATTTCCACCCTCACACAGCACATTCCCCCAACACAAGTTCCGATGATTTTCACAATATGCTCAAACGATAACTGACGAGGCGGATGGCACTGTCAATGCCGCCGTCGCTGAGTACAAAAATAATGTCAAGTCTCAACAGTATGAGGTGCTTTTAAATTGACGCTTATATTATACTTGATTCTAGCTATCAAGGTCTCGCTGACGGTTATTCATCTAGATACAAATACTTCACATCGATTAGTGTTAGTGTAGTGAGATTGAAACCAAAGATCAACTTTCGCGTTATCAATTTTCTGAAATCTCATGCTATCAATACTATCACCAGATTTGCAATACCAATATCAATATCAGAGCTTGAGATTACCGTGTCCTTCTACCAATTGCATTTGAGCTCATCACCTGGATGGCGTCCTGCTTACGTTTCCCCCTTTATATTTTTTTAGCCTCTGCCTCGTCCCCGAGCGGTTCCCCTTTCGCCACGTTCACCTTCCCTCTTGTGCCATGGATCACTAGGCCAGACCCAGCCTCGCACAGTTCTTGCCTCTCTCTTCTCGCCCATTTGTGGCTCCGGGATCCACCTATCTTTGCCATCTTTACCAAGCTCTTCAATGTTACCATCATCATCAATAGCAAGCGTCCCAGCTGCAGTACCATTACCACCATCCCAAACTCTCTGCCTTGACAGCGCTCCCGAACCACCCACGTCCATGTAACTTCCCGGCTCTCCTGGTAGCGGCGTAGCCTTGGCGAGCATCAAAAGATAGTACAAAGCCAGTGTAACAGTCATGCTGATATTGCCACTTCCAGTGAGGTTGCCTTCGTTCACAGCAAATGTCTTAGTTTCAACGGCCTCGGCAACCTCAAGAAGCCCAAAGTAGGGTTGATCGCGCTCATCGCATCCAGCCCGGACACAGACAAGTTCAATCTCGGTGATGATGAACCCATATCGGCAGCTGTGATCGCGCATACACTTCTGTAAATGTGCTAATGTACGCAAATATTCGACCCTGCGAGCTGGTCCTTCTCTCCGCATTCCTGTATTCCAGCGATCGAATGATCGTACCAAGCCCACAACTCGACCTCGGGGCAGCCCAGATAGGGTTCGATCATTGTCAGTTGGGTAGTTGGCGAGAAATGTCGGGACATTCGCAGAATTGGCACTGACCCCAGTGCCAGTTGGTGCAGGCGAAGGATACAAGCAAACAGAATTGTTACCAAGGGACAACCTTGTGGCTGCATTGACCTTTGGGAAGTAAATCTTGGAGACTAGGTTGGCGAGGTCGATCTCGGATGCAGGTGTCGCTGTGCTTGAGTTGGAGTTCGTGAAAGGTAAGCTCGCTGTGTCATGTTGAAAGTTCAACAGCGTGAGAAGGTCTGGAATGTTCGCCATTGTCTGTACAGAGAATGATTTCCATGGTCGTACATTCCGGACATCCCACCAGAAATGATTGGTTAGACCTCGACCAGTCTGATAAGTGAGGTGGCGGACTAAGTTGATGGGTTGGGTGGGCTGACTCAAGTAAGAGAGCATGCTGGTCGTTGATGTCTGTGCAAGCATAGGCGGTGGACTCATGGAGCTAGGACGTGATATGACGTCGAGATCGATAGGCATATCAAAAGTTCCTTCCAGGTTGATCATAGGTGGCTCAGGCATGGGCATGTTCATGTACGGCACATAGGTTGTCGCAAACATATCGGGAGATGGTGTCTCTTGGTTACGAGACATGAAACCCGGCAATTGTCGGTATGTAGGGTAGCCGAAGCGATTAAGTACAGTATTATCAATGCTCGATGCAGACGCCGAGCGAGAATGTGTTTTGGCCGGAACATTGAGCTGTGCCTTGGACATGGATGGCGAAGGCATCAACGAAGTTGACCGAGAGTGAGGAGCGTTGGAGACTGGCGACATCATCGTAACATTTTCCACAGGTTCAGTTGCGCTCCTGTACATTGCGGGCCGTGTGTTCTTCGTGTCCTTTATGTACGACAGGGTTCTTCGATGCATAGATGGACGACTGGTGTGCTGGGAATCAGTACCCGAGTCCTGACTCCGAATCTTTGGGAGCAATGTAGGGCCATGTTGACGAAGAACGGGTGACCGGCTGGGGGTTGAAGCTGCGGTCGTAGCACTGATCACCGACTCGGGGGAAGTATCTACTGTGCAGTAGGAAGAAGCGGACAGGTTCCGAACATGTCCACGCTGACCAGCAGCGCCATTAGCCTCTGGAGGCGTGAGTGGTCTATAGTAGTACGGTGTCAGAGACATTCTGCGTTTATCAGTCACCAACCTAGCCAAGCAGCAAGGACATCAACACTCACATGTCAACCACGGCTAGCTAGGAGCTCTGGTCAAGGAGAAGCCAGCTTCTCGAGTGCGGAAATGGTAAAACAACAACAACAAAGGAAAGACGTAGCAAGAGGAATGAGATGCCAATGGTATATGGACTGAGGATTCAGTCTTGCAACTTAAAAGAACGAAAGGCTGGGAGAGCTTGGAGGAGGGAAGGGCCAGGTATAAATGGCTTCCTCTATGCGACCAGAAGCGGGCATCAATGAAGCCCGACCAACAGCGTCCTGTAGGACATAATGCACATGAAACGTGGAGCATGCCGACAGAATAGCGAGGAAACAAACACGTCGGAGGCGTGGTTCAAGAATCCGATCTTGGATCTCCAGAACCCATGTCTACCGTGGATCGTGGAGCGCGGATGGGAACGCGCGCCAGAGTCGATGGAAACAAAATCACCTATTTCGGGTGGTGGAATGACGCCTCAGGTATCTCACAAACACTGTCAAGCAGGCCGGCCGGGGTGTAGCCACGTTCCGAATGATTTCATGTTGTCTTACGAGGCAATCTGGGTCGGCGCTTGTCAGCTATTTCGAGATGATGCCCTTGGCTTAGGAGATGAATCTGGGAAGCTTCTGAGATTGAGGCGTGGCTGACGGATAACGCGAACCGCGGTGCACAAAATCCACCGTGTATTCAGATAGGCGCTGGTACTGCCAGGCTGTTTCATTGGCAGTTCTTTTTTGATCATCTGGCCCTCTGTGTACCATCATTGGCGGCCACGATTGCCGCCGTCGGAGAAAGAGGAAAAGATACGGAACAGAGGACGGCGCAGCACAAGCTCAAGACCTAAATTGACGGCAACTCTACCGAGAATATGGCATTCTGATGCGAAACCACAAAGTCTCTGAAGTATTCGCTGGCAGGCACTGCGCCCTGTTGCCGCCGAATATTCTGTAAGAGTACAACATATGGAGTACTTGGGACGAAACTGGCCTTGATGGCGATGCCGGAGGTACTCGTACGTGCTGAGATACGCCCCGGCGTGAGCACTTCTTCCTATTCTTCACCTACAAAGGTCTGCCGTAAGTGGTACAGTGCATCTACAGCCAGGCACGAGGCTCTCCTAGTCCTCAGTTCAGCTGCAGCCTGACACGACTATCGCGCGAAGCCTTCCACCTTTACACGCGAAACTAACGCCTTACCTCGTGAGTAATCGACACCGCCTAACGGGACTATTCCACGAACTTTTCGCGACTATCTCCCCAACCTCTTCGTTTCCATGCACTCTGCATCTTGTACATCCGTAGGCTCTGGACTTGCGTCGAGTAGCCACACTGCGGTCCCTCTCGACTGGTCCTTGCGGTCGCTGGGGGCTAACCTATGTTTCAGAATGCTGCTCATCACTCTGAAACAGGCCGTCCACTGGTCAAGTATTATCTGGACTTGAATGAATAGCGACAGGTGCAGTTCGCCTCAGAGGCTACTCCACTAACTAGACTGCATATGCAGAGATAGTAGAAAAAGTGAATGCATCATTGATATCTTTTCGGCGATCATTACTATTGATGACTGATGGTTTCCTGTTCAGAACCACCAACTCCTCCCATATGTACAAAGCTCTTGCAGGTCTATGACGCACCTCGGTTTCTTCCCTATGAAACACCGTTCGATATGCCCGAAGTCTCCTGTCAAAGGAGTCTCTGACCGCATGGACCAATCCAAACCCAACGCCTTGACATGAAACGATATGTCTGCTGCAAAAATGACACAATTCCCTCATGCTTTGATCTCGTATTTGCGGCGGAACATGTCATCGACCTCGGTGAGGTAATATGTTCCTGGGACCAGATCCTCGACCTTGCCCGCTGGTTTGAAATCCTTCTTCAGGTGAGCCTTTTCTCGGAGCATGCACAGTTCGTCATAAACCTCGGGGGCCACAACACGGCGGGCGTTCAGTCGTTCTTGCAGATTTAGCTTCTGCGCCATCTCAGTTGTATCGCCAACGGCTTTCAAACTGAACATGGAACTGGCTAGACCACTGCCATAGCTGAAGACACCTATCCGTTTACCTTGCATCGACTTAGGCGCGATATTGCTGATCAGACTGACCAGACCTCCATACACACTGCCACAGTACATGTTTCCACATAAGGTCGCAACCTCGATTCCTGGTTGAACACGTTCCGCAAATCGCTTCTTAGTCAAGCCCATGAATGTCTTTTCGACATTTTTGTCTGTCAAGGAGGCTTGGTAATCTAGGTCTCGCAGTTCAGGGGCAACCTCCTTGAAGAGTGCGTGGCTTGGGTCTTCCAAGAAGTCGTTGTATAGGAGACGAGCGTATGACTTGGAGACAAGTTTGCAAGTCGGGGCATGGAAAGCCATGTAGTCGAATCTGTCCAAGGGAGCTTTCTCGGTCTCCTCGCTGTGAGCTCCGTTGCCATTGATAGCATGACCGTTGACCGCAGCCGCGTTGGCCTGGCCCTTCAGTGCCCGTTCTCGCGCATTGTATGCCTTGTAGCAAGCATCCACGGCCTCTGTGTAGCATCTCAATGAGAAATGGCCATCAACATAGGGATACTCGCTGGTGAGATCAGGTTTGTAGAAGTCGTAGGCGTGGGTGATGTATGACCCTCGGAGACCAGCCTCGAACGCGAGAGGAGCATCTGGACCGATCAACATGGCAACACAGCCAGCACCGCCGGTTGGACGAGCGTTGCCCTTCTTGTAGAGGGCAATGTCGCCAGCAACGACCATGGCATCACGTCCGTCCCAGGCTGAAGACTCGATCCAGTTAACGGAGTTGAAGACCGCATTTGTACCGCCACTGCTTCTTGTCAGAAATGATACACCCGGCTTGAGACCCCAACATTACTCACTAGCAAGCATTGTAGGCGTCGACTCCTTCGACATTGAAGTTCCCGGATTTTTCAAACAACTGCATCAAGACGGACTTTACACTCTTGCTCTTGTCGAGCATGGTCTCTGTGCCGACTTCAAGGCGTCCAATATTCTTGAGGTCGATGCCATATTTCGAGATCAGGCTTGTGAGGGTCGTGAGAGCAATGGAATAGATATCTGGAGCCGCCGTCAGAGATTGAAGTGAAGGAATGAGACCAACACACTCACCTTCTCTATCATCGCAAAAGGACATTTTGGTCTGTCCCAGACCAATGGTGTATTTCCCGGCCGCAACGCCATCGAACTTCTCAAGCTCGCTCTGATCAACGCACTACAGAACCATCAATACCGGCTGTGGCAATAACGGCCCTAGTCATGTTTTCATACCTGGCTGGGAAAATAGATCTCAATGGCCTTGATGCCAATATTCTGCGGTCGTGTGGCCATTGTGGATGTTTTGTGAGTAAAAGCAAAGACGTGACACTCGGTTCTCGATCTTTCTCTTTGGGTTTCGAGGGGCTTTCGTGCGCACGTCGGTGAAAGGAGGCGGTGAGGTGGGGGACGATCGAGAAGAGTCTTCTAACAAAATAGTGACTGTCTAAGTGGAGGCGCAACCAACGATAGGGGTATTTCACTGTTTGTACTTCCGTCAGGTGGTCGGAATTGGTTTCGCAAGCAGAGAAGACAGAAGATATGGGAGATTGATCAGAGAGAAGGTGTGTGATTGCGGCGGGAGCAGAGGTGCGCTATGTATTAAAACAATGTCGCAGCCAGAAATTTCGTCTGCATGTGTTCAGATAATATGGCAGAATTAGGGTGGTGCCGACATCGCTGGGGAACTGGTGGCTGCCTCTGTCGGGGCGGTGGCACGACGCCTGGTGAGCCTAGTAGCCCCAAGATCAGCCTCCAGCCAATGGAAGAGGCAGATCTGCGGGCGGTGAGGGACGTTGAGCCACTGATGGGCTGGTGGTGTCATTCGGATGCCCTGTTCCTGCATTTCTCCCGCTCAGGGGAAGAAATTTCTCCCGTCGCTCCAAACAGCACTATGACCGTTTTCAGGTCAACACAATCAATCGTAAATCATCAACCACCAAAAGTGACCCTTAAATTGCCATCACGCTCCCCAGATGTCAGGACGTTGATGCTGTAGTTCTTCACGCTTACCGATACATCCAATGTCGGCACTCTCGAGAAGATGGTCACGCCACCCAATTCCAATCTCGGACTGCAACGATGCTTCCCTGTAGTAGGGATGCAGAGTCGAGGGCTTTACATCTGTCCCTCGCAGTCTTTCCAAAAAGAATCATAATCACAATTAATGGCATACGGGAAATGCTCACTGAATGTCACAGCGCATGCCAGTTATCTGAACCTTGCAATAATGCCATTGGCTGGCTCTATGTTCGGCTCGTCTATGTGTCCTCTCTACCTAAACATATAGGAGACACTAGCATATTCTATCTTGCCTGTTCAATACGACGATGGCAGTACCCCGAGTCGTCCGCCATCTGTCACCACTGTGCATCCGTTTATATAAGCTCCAGCTCGACTGCAAAGCCAGAGGATGACACCAGCCATGTCTTGCTCGTCCCCGCTTCTCGTGGCAGGAATCCATTCCTTGTTAAAGGTACCCTCGACATTGTGGGTTTCGGACTTGCCCAGCGACTTGTACATGCCTTCGGTCATTTCTGAAAGGTAAAGTCCCGGCGCGATGACATTCACCCTGATGTCGTAGCTAACAAGTAGGGTGGAAAGTTGTTTGCTCAGGTGTCTGACGGCTGCCTTACTAGGCCCCTGAACGGAGTCAATAATTGTACTAGATCAAGAGAAGTGTAAATGTAACAGAGAGGTAACAAATAGAGGCATGGTCTGGGAGATCATCTCGATTGTTACGGGGTTGGCGAGTTCAATGCACGTTTACGCACTTGGGATCAACTTACATAGGAGAGATTGCCCAAAGGCTGACGACTGTATCCTCCAATGGAGCTTGTCGTGATGATCTGTGGCCGCGGCTTGAAGTTTTCTTCTGTTGGTGGTTGCGGTCGCTTTTTGTTTGCGGCGTCGAGAAGTGGTAGAAAGGCGGCGATTGTAAAATGGACGCCGGTGATGTTGACACCGTATGTGGTGTTGACATCCTCGGGTTCAGGAGCCCACATGTTCTTTGCCAACTGTTCAATGCCGATGGGTTGTCGATTTGAGTCGACACTAGGCACTGAAGGTCCTGATATGCCAGAGTTGGCCACAAGAACATCAATAGCATCGACCTCGGCTTTGACTTTGTCGACACATTGTTGTAGTGATGGCTTCGACGTAACATCGCCAACCAGTGGTATGATCTTGCCGCCGGGGACGGAGTCTGCGGTCTCCTTCAGCGACGCTTCACGGCGGCCGATAATGAACACTTTCGAGGCGCCATTGGCAGCGAGTGCCCTCGCCATCATTCGACCCAGGCCTGCATATATCAGCACATTCGCAGGAGATAGGCTGGCATGTCACAGAGAAGAAAATCCTGTGACCAGCAGCACTCACCCGATCCACCTCCTGTGATTACAGCAACGAGGCCATTGACGTTGAAAAGGCTCCCCGCCTCGATCTTGCCAATATCTGTAGACATCTTGCAATACCCAGCTTTACAACTTCAAAAGACGAAAAAGCTTATGGGTGTTCGAAAGTGGTGCTATCGATTGAGCCCTGATAACACAGATTGTTGAGTAATGAGTTGTCCGAAGCTAGGAGCTTGTTATTCGTCCAAGACTCACAATCAGCAATGTTATGAAAGTGGAAGGTGTAAAGACCGCTACAGTGGCTGACAAGAAGTTACTGAGGACCAGGTGCATATGCGAAGTTCGTAGAGATAATAATCATGATTGCATGTTATCAGGGTTTGTCGTCGGAGAACAGCCATGTGGCTATTTACCTTGCCGTAGATTAGAGAAGAGGATCATTCCAAACAAGCGTGGATGATGCGAGTGCTCCACGGGTGACACCTTCATTCCCCGCTGCTGTTGGGTGTTGTTGTTGTACGGTGTACGCTGCCCCTCTATCGCTGATGAAAATAGATATGCGATGTCACCAGGTGCTTTTGTCCCTTTCATTCTTATTTGTATATCCTTATCTCAGCCAAACGAGATGGGAACGTCCATACATTCGTGTCTATGTCTGTTCAGATTTGACTCCCTGCACGGTCGTGTATGATCTGGATTCTTCCAACTTTGGCTAGGTTTAATTTTTTGATGTAGATCGGAATAAATTAGTTTAAATCTTGTTCACCAGTGACTATCAGATCATACGGTTGCATTATAATTAAGCGACACATTTACCTCTTGTTCTATGGTCAGATAGGAGCATTTGGCTTACTGACTTTTGGCCTTCGTAACCAATGTGCAATACTTAGCTTTCAGGCGCAGATATGTGCCACTCCCAGCGTTGCTTTATACCTCGATATACAGACTCTCTTGCATGCCCAGCGCCTTTGGTCCTCGCGAATGGAACGGAGAATGATGGATTTCTTGCTAGATCAAGGAAACAGCAATTCATCTTAATATGAGCCGACAGTACTCCTTAACAGTGTTGTGATCATCTATACATGGGCAGCTAAATGTGGTGAGTCCTCCTCCCTATTGAGTCTTCTGTGTCACAGTCTCTCCACCACCTTCTCCATCTCTAATGTTTTCCGAACTGTGTCAGTTTGCCCTTCAGTCTGCTCATCTTGCTGGGTGCATATGTTTCTCCAAGGTCGCCGCTTGTCTGAACATGCGTTCCGTCATCGAGGCAGCCAGGACTCAATTCCCTTTCAACCACTTTGTTCCTAGCTGGTGCAGTCAGGCCACTTCGACCTCGCTCGCTTGCACCCTTTCCAGATGTGACTGTCGTGGAGGCTTCCGCACTGGATGATGTATCGGATACAGAAACGGTTGGGTTCTCTGCACAAGAGCAATCAGCATGGTTTGAACTACCTGGTGTTTGGAGCATACCTGGTGCATTCCCACCATCGTAGGGCTCTGTCGCAGTGCCTTTTCCTTGTATACCTGACGGAGGCTCCGAGCCAGAAGTAACAATATCATCGGCATTTCCTTGATCGTAAGGGTCGGTCACTGTCCCCGAACCTTGCAGGCCAGAGACTGGCTCAACTCCAGACTGCGCTGAGCTGCCAGCCATGATTTTTTCGTTGAGATCGCTCGCTGTTTGCAAGATGGGGTCAACAATGGTCGTAACCGTAGGTCGGTTCTGGGAAGAATGCACTGTTAGGCAGAGAGGAGTTGGGTTGGGCGATAGGTGTTGTTTTTCAATGGAATGTGCTCTGGGACGAATGAGCACTATTCACGTCAAATCGAAAGGCGTTGTTTTACGTGCTGAAAAGGTCAGGCAATAATGAAAAGCAGGGATTCGGTTTTATCATTATGTAGAGTAAGTGTTGTGCTTCCGAAGGTCAAGTACTTGATTCAGTTGAAGGTGCAGGCGGCCCATCAGATGGCAGGTAGATAGACGTCATTGAGGGCAGCCGCCATTCAGGCCCAATTGGACGCGACTTCCACAGGGCTTAGGAGGGTAGCTTGTAGTACTCCGTTCAATACAATTAGCCACCTCGTTAGTGAGGCTAGGCACCGTCCTCAAAGATGGTCGCAGCCACATGACCGCTAATCGGCTATAGATTCCAGGGAAGAGTTAGAGGCATAAGCTGGCTTGACAGAAGCAAAAGGTGGCATTTTGAGGCGATCATGCATGTCTTATTGGGTTATCTCGAAATCGGCCTACGTGAAACGATGGCCCAAGCGCAAACTCGGCTTGCATGCCAAGCTTCGGCAGCACAAGACTACAGCCGTATCGAAGGCTCTTTTGTAATCACGTTTTCTAGAGAGAATGTTTATCGAGCCCAAGCAAAATCTCGACCAAAGATGACGGCCAACCCTTGCGTCGACTGCCGCGAGCGCGAGGCGACGCTGACCATCAGAAATAGGCGGCTGTGTAGCGTCTGTTTCAACTCCTATGTGCACTCGAAAATCTTAAAGCGTATGGGATCCTATGGCCTCAAGAACTTGCCTGGAGAACAGAAACGCCGCTTGTTTCTACCTTTGTCTGGCGGGCTGTCATCGCTCGTTCTGCTACAAGTGCTTGACTTTCAGTTACAGAAGCAGATTGCAAATCGCAACAAGACAACGTATGACATTGTTGTGGCTCGAGTCGTCCTGCCTGACGAACTGGATTCACGGTCCATCAAAAGTGACTATGAAGCTTTGGCTGGAAGGTTCGCCACGCAGACTTTTCTGCCTCTACTTGATCTGCACGAAGTTTTGCGGCTCGACCACCAGGTGGAGCGGGATTTGAAAGAGCTTGGAATTGTGCGCGACGATGGTGAAGCAGACCAGAATTTCTTCCTTCGTATCATGCATTGCAGCACGTCTGCAACTGCAGCATCGGATGTGCAGTCAATCCTGCTCAAGCGCCTTCTTGTGGCTGTTGCTAGGGACCAAGGATGTGAAAATGTCTTATGGGGTCATTCAGACACCCGTTTGGCGGCATTGGCACTGGCTGATGTTGCGAAAGGACGAGGTGGGTCTGTTTCTTGTTCGATCGCTGATGGACAAACATTGCAAGGAGTCGACTTCAATTATCCACTCCGTGATCTCTTCAAAGCTGAACTACAGACATATGCTCGAGCGTCATCAGAGCCGATACTCGAAACTACAGTCGAACAAGACATCCCGGTTGGACAGCCCACCAACATACGTAGCACTGCAATCGACAGCCTCCTCAACACTTATATCACATCTCAAGGGGAGAAATACCCCAGCATCATGGCGAATGTTGTGCGCACTGCAAGCAAACTAGAAGCCAGGAGACCAGCCGACAATGCTACAGCTTGCCCTGTTTGTCTCATGCCTGTGATAGGCACCCAGGGCCTTCTAAACAGAAATTCTGGGCTATGTTATGGATGTGAGAGAATGAGGCAAGACATTGTACCATGATCATAGCGACACGACAGATTTACAAATCAGTGCATATGGAGTTCGAGGATGTATTCTAGGACGTTTGGAAACGACACGACAAGAATGTGCATACAATTGAATCTATGGCTCAATACAAAGTAAAGCGTACTAAATCCTCCGCTGGCAAGTTCGACCGAAACAATCTCGCATCAGCGCGTGCGAGCTGGCACTGGGGGTGTAACGCCTTCTCCTCGCTCAACATCACGGCGATCTCTGCGAGATCGGCGGGACTCGCGTCGCGATGTATACCGTGGAGGAGGGCCATTCTGTTCATTCAAGCGTCTCTCTTCGCCCTGATAATCGAATTCGTCTGGCAAGCTCGGGTCCGCAGCATTGGCTTGCGGAGTACCCTTAATCCTCTTAGCACCGCGGTCGCGCAGAACTTTCTCCAGCAAAACCACATTCCTGGTGTTGCACTTATACACGGCATCTGCAATATCTCCAATAAAAGGGATCAGACCGATTGCGAAGTCAAGGGCCATATTGAATCTCATGTGTGCTTTGACCGAGGAGGGCAACTCGGGCTCAACCGAGCAGCAGGTACGGTAGACCATGAAGGCCAACAAAAGGTCGGCGAAATCACCGATTCTGCCTCAAATTAGTCTTAATTGCACAACATGAATCGAGTACTCGCAACGTACGCTGGAATTATCCCGATCACTGCTCCCCAACCAAATCTAGTTCCGCAAAAATTGCCGAGCGAAAGGTCGACGCGGTACGCTCTTCTTTTGGCTTTGGTGAGGATCTTCTCCTCTTGTGAAGTCAAACCAGGTGGAAGCGCACGCTTTCGCTTCTTGGTGGTCTTGTACAGTCCACCGAGTCTGGTTGCCGGGATTGTCTCGAAGTATGGATCCTGTAAACTTGGAGTTAGGAATGACGACATTCACCGTAAGAAGTAGATCTCACCTCCTGGCCCTGCGAATTGGCGACATTTTCTTTGAAGAACCTTCTGGCTACAAGCTTCGCAGCGTAGGAAGTCATGGTGCAAGCGATGGGGTTTGAGATAGGATGGAAGAAGCGCACGGTGCAAAACGAGGGTCCGTTGTAAAGATATAAGATGGCGTTTGGAACAGTAACAAAGGGATTGGGAACTTTATGTCACGATGCGTTGGTGAACGGGAATAGCCTTCAAACAAAGAAAGCTAAGCAAGTCACGGTCAGCTTGGCTCGCAGAAGATCGGCTGGCTGTCGACGACTCAGGCGTCGTGGTTGACACTGAAATCTTGCTTGAAGTCCCATGAAACAGTCAACTTTTGCGCGCGGTTGTCGTCATCCTGCGGCCCCTGCATGTTCACTAACTCGAGACATTTCAGCCACAGACACATTGGGAAGATGCACCGCCACAGACACCGCCACACGTTGCCCAACTTTCGTTACTCAAGCACAACAGACACGACTGGCCAACTCTCACCTCTACCCCACAGACTCATCTGCGTCCAAAACACCAGCAACTCGGGCGCTGATCTAGATCTACCTAAAAAGGTGGCAGTGCACATTGCTATCCCTTGCTCTTACACTTCTCGATACGGCATACAATCACGGAACCGACTGCCTGTGGAAATGATTACAGACTGCCACATCGACACAACAGCGAGAAATGCAACTGGAGGATTGTAAGTGCACTGCATTTCACGCCCGAAGCTCGTCTTTTCGGTGCTGACTTTAGTCGCGTCCAGGGCTAGATGACCTTTGTGTCCGATTCATCATCAACTTGCCCCCGGAAGAGCTCCAGTCCGTAGAGCGAATATGCTTCCAAGTCGAGGAGGCACAATGGTTCTACGAAGACTTCATTCGTCCCCTTGATCCGTCACTCCCTTCTCTTTCGCTACGCGCCTTTAGCCTACGGATATTTCAACATTGTCCGCTGTTTTCACAATGGTCTGCTCAACACCATACGACCGCCTTTGCGGAATTCCTGGCCTACAAATCAAGGGTGCCAGTCCGCGGCGCCATCATGTTGAACGAGGCTATGGATGAGGTAGTCCTTGTCAAAGGCTGGAAAAAGGGTGCCAATTGGAGCTTCCCCAGAGGAAAAATCAACAAGGACGAGAACGATCTGGATTGCGCGGTGCGCGAAGTCTACGAAGAAACGGGCTTTGACATCCGTGCAGCAGGTTTGGTTAAAGATGAAAAGGATATGAAATATATTGAGGTTACCATGCGAGAACAGCATATGAGGCTGTACGTCTTTCGTGGCGTACCGAAGGACGTTCATTTTGAACCCAAAACTCGAAAAGAGATCAGCAAGATCGAATGGTATAAATTGACGGATCTGCCCACTCTGAAGAAAAATCGTCAGCACGAAGGCAGCGGCACAGATCAGCCAACGATGAATGCCAACAAATTCTACATGGTGGCACCCTTCTTGAACCCTCTCAAGAAATGGATCGCCCAACAGCGAAAGAAGGAAAACAGATACAGTTCCCATCTGGCGGCACCACCGATGGTGCCCGAGGAGATTACAACTGAGGATGATCAAGACATGCATGACGTCGGCGCAAACTTACCTCTACCATTGCATACTGTGAGCGACCTTCCCGAAGTCACTGCGGCAGACAAATTTGATCCTACATCACACTTGAAACAAATGCTCAATATCGGAACCGGACAGCCTACCCAACAAGAAGTCCCACAGGCTAGCCACATGCAGCATGTTGATGCTCAAAAGTCGAACGCTCTCCTCGCCCTGTTACGCAACCCGCCGCAAGGACAGAGCCGTCCTATACCTCAGACACCATTCGAACAAATAACCACGGCGCCACCGTCTCAGCAATCGCCACATGTATCTCATGTACGCCAGCCTCAGATGAATCAAAATCGACCTCCTCCACCATTCCAGCCACCTGTATCCCAGCCTACACAGGATAGCACCACAATACCCAAGACCACGCAGTGGCAACCACCACAATTACAGAGCGCACCATATCAACGGACTGGTGACCCACAATTCGCGCTGCAAGGGAACAACAAATCTCGGCAACCTATCGTTCCTCCAGCAAGTGCGTTACCGAAGCTCACGAACCATACAAAAGCATTGTTGGATGTCTTCAAAGGAACGGGCAACATGGCTCCTCCCCCACCCGTGCCGTCGAAGAACGGGTTGCTAGAGCTTCTCACTGGCGGAGGATCCCTCGCGAAAGCCAGTCCACAAATTCAAGCTACGACAGGAAAGGACTTGGCCAATTTGGCGAATCGTACGCAGGATCTGAACTTGGAGCGATCAAAAACAGGCCACGGCTTTGAGCACAGCTTCGAACAGAGGGTTAAACATCAAAACCTCGCCACTCCGCCGAGCGCTCATCCCGCCAAGGCGGATAAGACATCTCTGTTGGACCTCTTTACGAGGCCTGATCAACCAGGACAGGCTGTAGAAGAGAACCCCCCAAGTCAAGTCCCTGTTGAACTGGCTGCTACTCACACGAAGTCGTCATCCCGACAGAAAACGGACGATAACAAGAACGAACTGCTTCTGTCGCTTCTCAGGAAGGACCATCAAGAGGGGCAAGTGCAAGCAAGATCTATGAAGCAGAAGTTTATTAAAGAAGGCGAAACTTCAGCTACCATCAACGGGCCGCTAAATCAACCCGAGTTCGAGGCCATCTCTAGAGCAAGCAGGCAAATGTCAAGCGATATGGGACGAACTCCACTCACGTCCCATAGGACACTATATGATCCCAATCAGCCAACGCCGATGAAGATCTTGACACGATCAGATGAGGCTCATCAACAGTTTACACCACCGCGGTCTCCTCGCAGCATGAAGCCACCGCCGAAGAGAGCAGCCAAGGAGAAGGTGTCACAGAAGCCCTCTAACAAGCCATTTCAACCGCAGATACTGCGTCGACCTCAAACAGCAGATTCATCTGAGCCAGAGTCAAGTGCGAATGGGACCAGAGTCGAGCAGGAAATCCAGACCAACGCCATCTCATCTCCACCGATCCCTGATTCCTCGAGTCTTCAAGAAAGGCAGCCTTTGAGTCGACAATCCTCGCATCCCAGTGCTCAGAAGCAAGCGTTGCTATCGCTCTTCGGTGGTGGTGTAGACACCACGCCTAAGGCATATGCAGTCCCATCTGGGTCAGGCGTAGTGTCACCATTATCAACTAGTCAGCTCATGACATCTAATGGCGAGATCTTGCCGCCTGGTGTCGAACCCATATCAACCCGTACATCACGAGTTGGGAGTCTGGCCTCGATCACCAGTGGACCGGTTACTAATCGTGTAACCAACGAGAAACGGCAGACTGGAGCAGAAAACAAGGCCTTTTTACTGGGATATTTGGGAAGGATCGCTAGCCAGGAGAGCCAGGAATGAGTGATTTGCGGGCAAGGAATAACGACGTCAGGCGAGGATGAGGGCAAGGGTCGGAAGCGGTCAAGGTCGATATGTTGCATATTCCAGCGAGCCAGTCAGATTGTACCAAAGTACTTCAAATCATCAAGCATTGTTTCTTGGGCCCCAGCGCTCTAGACAGGTGACTGTCGTATTCGGATCCCGTCGTCGGGCCTCGCAGCCCATTTAGGCGTCTCGTTTCCCGGGCCTGGCAGTTATGTAATCTGCACAAACAATCCAGAGTTTGCAACCTTGTGTGGTGTAGTGTGACCACAAGTTGTGCGTAACCAAGAATAACTATATGCCGAAATGGCATAAATCGCGAGTTTGACACCCACCTCTGCATTACGCACAAAGGGCTATACCTAGTACTGGTCACTGGAGTACTCCCCAATTGTCATTCCTTAGTATCAATATGAGTTAAATGGTAACCAACAAGATCCAAGTAAATCAAGAGACATGCTTAAGGACAGTGAGAATGACGAGCTAATAAGGACAATAATAACGACTAAACTGTTAGTCTATCAGTTGTGTGCGTTTCGTAAAGATATTCTCTATGGCGAATGACAATTGGGGGGGAACTCCAGTGATAATTATAGCCTTGTGCGTGAGCCGAAATGGCATAAGTCGCGAGTTTTGATGACCGAAGAGACTTATTGAGCGGGACAAGCAGCATTTTGTTCCATAGGTGGATCGTGTCACAAAACCATCAGCTCGGCGGCGTTGTACAGTAGTACCAAGCGGATGAAAAAAACATGCCGTACTCAGCTCCATCCTGTGCTATGTACGGAGTACTTGGGTACCAAACTAATCTCTTCACGCCCGACGAACGGTCCTCTCGGTAAGGACGAGGTAAAGTTGGGCTGGCTGGCAGCAAACTGAAACGCAAGGCCACCAGCACGCCTTTGTCGAATGCAGCTGGCGTGGAACTTCTGCAGGTGCCGTGACGAGGGTTATCTCTTAACTTCGTGAGGCTGATTTGGCTGAGATTTCATGGGTGGAGGGTGGATGGATGCTTATGTTGCCGCGCCCGATCTACAAGGTCCTTGACGCGGCCACTGGCTCGTATTAAGCTACAGTCAGAGGGGGGGGTGCAGGAGAATGGCATATTACTGAAGACGGCCCCCCGTTGCGAAATGCGCATGTGTCTTGTGTCTGGATTCTCGTTTATACTTGGTGACCCGTCCCTGGCAAATGTCTGTCTCGTTGTCGCCCCGTGTAGGTCCAAATGGCAGAGGTTGCGCCGCCTCGACCAGTTCGAGGAGGAACAGGTGTAGAAAGGGCCGGTGCAGGCGTAAGTCTTTCGCTGGCAGAGGCTAGCGAGGCTGCTACGGCGCCTGCGCCAGTGCCCTTTGCTCCAGGTATGCCTGCGCCTGCGCCCACGCCCATCGCTGCCCCTCAAACCTCGAACAATAATCAACACCACGCCACTGTCTTTTTGTCGCCGACCATTCGCATCACCAATTATGACTCCGGAGGCGCGACAAAGGGTATGTGTATTATGTGTTGCGCGAGCTTGTGTACAGTCTTTGTTATGTGAACCATCACTCAGCAGCCTCCTCTGGCCTAACTCTCTCTAGAGTATAGCCGTTTGCAGGGTTGCCACATGGCTATTCCCGTCCTCGACTTTGGTTCTTCCGTCATATCATTCACATGCTGACTGTACCGTGTGTCTTCCCTCCTCCCAGACACCCCACCTTCAAATACGAGTACCGTTCGCGACTCGACCCATGAATATATTTCAGGCCTGAAATCAACGCCGTCGGCCAGTATGAGTCCTGTCCTTGGCTCACCGGAGGGCCAGCCTGCCAATGCTGAGCAGGGCCTGGTGCTGGACCCAATCTCACGGGTGCGCTCAGATCTCCCATGCCCACTTGGGCGGCTTACAAGTGCTCACCAGACGCAAAGCAAATTCTAGAGCGAACTCAAGCCTCGAACAAGCTCCCTCCAAGCCAGCAAAGCGGTGTACCTTCAAAGTCCACTTATGCGGAGCCCGGCCTATCCGAAGATCTATACTCGGGCAGAATGTCTTCCGACCCGGCGCCCTTACGAAGAGTCGATAGCGGTGCTAGTAACAAGTTGACCAAGGACAAGAAGTGAGTGGTGCAAAGGCAATGAATGAAAAAGCAAATTACCTCTTCCTTCCTGGCCTCATGACTTCAGGGTTATCGTTGCTTGCACCTCTTTTCCACGCCGCCCCGCGCACATGTCTTCCACAGCCTCGTGGCCAGGACATGTACAAGGCTAACATGCATGCCTGCATAGGAAGGGTGTATCCTTTTTGAGTCGCATTATGGGCGGCCCAAAGAAGCGGGATTCGTTCGACCTGCGCGACGACACAATCTCAGAGCTTGCCGAGGACCGCTCGCCCGGGGTCGAGGCCGAAGTATTCTCTCAGCCGATCGGCTATATACCCAAGTTTCCTGCTCCTCCACGCTATATCAAGGTCAAAACACAGTACAGAAAAGAGAAGGATTTCGATCGATTGTTTCTGGCTCAGATAGCCCTTGATGCACCGAAACTGAAGTCCAGGAAGCCTTCGATAGACTCTAAAATACACGATATTAGAGACCCTCCGGCCACCTCTTCGGCTACGTCGACGGGCACGGCAAAGTCTGCAATATGGGCGATGGAGTTCTCGAGGGATGGCAAATACCTTGCCGCTGCCGGGCAAGACAAAAAGCTGAGGGTGTGGGAAGTCATCTCTAGCACGGAGGAGCGCGAGTTTGAGGAGAAGCTCGCAGAATCGGAAAACGATGGGAACAAGATCAAATTGAATGCTCCCGTCTTCAAGAACAAACTTGCAAGGGAGTACGATGGTCACACCTCGAGTATACTTGACCTCAGCTGGAGTAAGAACAACTTCCTATTATCCTCCTCGATGGACAAGACAGTTCGACTATACCATGTTAGTCGAGCCGAATGTTTGTGTGCCTTCAAGCACAACGACTTTGTGACGTCAATACAGTTCCATCCTCGTGATGATCGTTTCTTCCTGGCTGGATCTCTGGATTCCAAGTTGCGTTTATGGAGCATTCCTGACAAGAATGTGGCGTACTGGGCACAAGTGCCTGATATGGTTACCGCTGTTGCGTTCACACCCGACGGGAAGACCGCGATTGCTGGTTGTCTGAACGGTCTCTGCATTCTGTATGACACAGAGGGATTGAAAGCACATTCGCAAATCCATGTACGGTCAGCACGAGGAAAAAATGCGAAAGGAAGCAAAATCACCGGGATTGACACGATCGCCCTGCCCAGAGATAACGCGCCACCGGACGTTAAACTCCTGATCACGAGCAACGACTCCCGAATACGAATGTACAATTTGAAAGACAGGACGCTGGAAGTCAAATTTAGAGGAAACGAGAATACTTGCAGCCAGATCCACGCCTCTTTCAGCGACGATGGGAAGTATGTGATATGTGGAAGTGAGGACCGGAAGGCGTATATATGGCCTACTTCAGTACATGAGAGGCCGGACAACGATAAACGACCGATGGAAGTGTTTGAGGCGCATTCCGCGATTGTCACCACCGCCTTACTAGCTCCTGAAAAGACACGGAGGTTACTTGCACAGTCCGGGGATCCTTTGTACGACCTTTGTAATCCTCCCCCAGTGACCTTGTTCAGCCGTGCAGACTCGGTAATATCTTCCCGCGCGCCTACGAATAATAGTTCTGACGAGAAGAACCCCATATCTGAGAAACGGCTGTCGGGATCCCCAAAGCGTGCTCCTGAAAGCCCAGCTTTCCTTGCGCGGCATTCCCATCCAGGCGGTCAAATCATAGTGACGGCGGATTACACCGGACAAATCAAGGTGTTTCGGCAGGATTGTGCCTTCCAGAAACGCAAACACGAATCGTGGGACGCAGGGTCGGCGTTTTCTAAGAAGATGCTTGGTCGAAGCGGTTCTGTGACTACTCGCACCTCTACCACAAGTTCCACGCGTCGCAGCTCGTTTGTCATGGGTTCAAAGACTCAGTCAACGGACCGCATCCTAAGCTGGCGGAACTCGGTCAACGCGACAGTTGCTGGCAGTGCTACGTCGGCCAGCATGGTCGAGATTCGCGGATCAATGGGCAACGAACGGTCACGTAGTGCATCGCCGAAGAAACTGATCTCGCATCGACTGTCGCTACGAAAACCTTCGCCGCCGACCAAGAACGGCGCTCTTTCTCCGACATCTCCAGTGTACCACTCGCCCCTCAACCAGATGCAGAATGGGCCTTCGATAGCGGTAACCTCGCCTACCGTTGACTCCCCAGAAAGCTTCCATTCACCTGCACAGAAAACACCAGACTACGAAAAGCATATCTCACCGACGGACTTCAAGCCGATCAGAACAAACCCCTCGCCCTCAGACCTACCCCAGAACGATCCTCTCATGCTCATGGACCAGCAGTCGTTCCTCGCCTGGGACATCCGCAATACCCTGATACCCATGGCGAAACACACTCCTCGGACGCCCGGATACCTGGGTCCGGATGGCAATCCTCTGTCACGCGCCGAGAGTTATGTCAGTCAACTGTCCAGTGAAGTCACCGCGTCGGATCAGGAAGCACACAGTGCCAACGCCAGTGTGCATGATGGCGACGACGAGAGAGCCCGTGACGGTCGCAAGTCTCGCTCACGCAGGAGGAGCAGCAATGGCAGTGAGGGCGAACTGCGCTGTCGGAAATGTCGGGGTAAGACGTTCAAAGCGACCATGACCGACAAGGGCCAGACGTTCCGATGTAGAAAGTGTGGTACCGTGGTGTGAGTGATGCGCAATTTCGGGATCTCGGAAGACCACACCGTCGGACATGAAAATCTGTGCGGTAGGGTTCTGGCTGACCTCCTGATGGACCTTCCGGGCTCTGCGTCATGAGAAGAGACGGTTGGTGCACAATACATCAAGTCGGGTCGACGTCCACGCCTATAAATATAAGATACGGCATAAACAGCCACCCTCCCTGAGTCGGCAGCCAGCAATACTGGAAGTTGGCGATGAGAAACCATCAAATCTCTTCACGGTCCTCCTTCGACATCGACATACCCAGCCGTCGCCCATACCGACAACATTCACGCATGGCCACATTTACGAGTACGAAGTTTATGATTATGAAACCCTCGGGAATAGATTGTCGAGGACGTCGAAGTATTGGCAGTCTCTTTTTTTCTTTTTCTTTGGAAGACCAATTACTATTGTTACCCAGGGTATCTTGCTAGTCTTTGGGATACTTTTGACCCCAATAATGTATTAACAAAGGTATATTGATATAGCTGTGTGGACGTCCCCCACCCCTCCTTCAGCCGGGCGTCCTCCTATAGTCCTTGGATGTGTGTATAAATGCAGGACTTTGTTGAATACTGAATAAAGTACCTCGGGTACACATATCTTATGCTTTGGCTTTGGATATACGATATCCTTGTCAAAACCTTGCAACACGTCAAGTGTAGATCGAGGCCTGGTGGACGGCGCGGTACGGGGGAATTTATCTTCACCCAGGGTGGCTATCGCGTCACAGTGGTGAACGAGGTCTGGCTGTTTTGTACCGAGTACAGAGTACGGTGTACAGATCAAGTTATCATGACGGTCCCGGCCAACATGCACTGAGGCTGTTGTCCTCCGTGCGTGTCTCGGTCAAGCAGTTTACATCCTACAAGAAACATGCTGGGTACCTGGGTTACGGAATCACAGCATCATTTATTACGCACGTTGTCTTTTGTTTGACATTGTCATTGTTTTCAGATTTGCGCTATTCTTGGAAAACTGACTAGACCCATGTTGGCGCTGCTGGTGATGCGTTTCACAGCATTCGTTTGTTCTGTGTTCAGATTCTCCCGGGTGGTGGTTCCGATCCATCCCATCCTTGTCACTGTGCGGTGCAATTCCTTTTTTTTTGCCTTTGTGTTTTTGTGATTTTTGAAATTGTCGAAATCTCTTCCCCCGGGGTCTTGCACCACGACCGCCAGCCACCGTCGTTTTGGGCAAACGTCGACGACCAAGAGTCACTGACTTGGCATTGACCCTTCAGGAACAGTGATGGTTCTATTCCATCATTGTTCAAATTTTCGTCACCTGACTGGGGCGGCCGCCGCGAGGAGGAGAAGCGGCGGTAACGTGCCTACAAGTTTTCCTTGATGGCTTGCTCGAGGGCCCTCTTGTTGGCACCGACGACCTCGCCGACCTTTTCGCCGTTCTTGAAGAGCATAAAGGTGGGCATGGCGCGGACGCCGAGCTCCTGGGCGACGTCGGGGACCTCGTCGACGTCGATCTTGTAAAAGTCGACCTTGTCCTTGAACTCGGGCGACTCGGAGAACTTGACGACCTCGGGGGCGATGACCTTGCAAGGTCCGCACCAGGTCGCGAAGCAGTCGACGACGACGAGCTTGCCGGCGCCGGCCTCGTAGACCGAGGTCTTGAAGGAGGATTTGCTGTGGATTTGGTCAACGCCGTGTCTCGGGGGGTTAGAGGGACGAGGGGCATCATCCCGAGCTCGCTCTTCACGCAGCTTGGCCTGATGGTAGGCTACGTACTCTGCAAGGTTGTGGACACCCATTTTCGTTCGGGTCTGTGAAAAGTGGTTGGCGGGGGTCGTTGAGAAGAAGCGGGGGTTTGTTGGTTGTTTGCTGTGAAAAACACGACGAGGGGCTGGCTTCTTGATCGCTGCTGTTGCTGTGGCGAGTAGGGTGCGCTGCAATGTGCGGGACGAGGAACGGATTGATGAGGCCAGGGCGAAGGTATTTATCGACAAAACCGTTCGGGGGAGGGATATCGAGAGTGAGATGGAAGATACGAGAGAGTGTGGCAGGGATTCGGGGAGCAATTAAAAAAAGGAAATGGTGATGATGACGGGATCGGGAATCAAGGGCTGAAAGGTGTGTGAGCTTAGAAATGCAGAGGGAACAAGAAGCGGGACAAACGAAACACGCAGGCGACAAGTGCGCGCTCCTTCCAGCACAATGATTTGATATGAAGGCAATGACGCCACCAGATACGGCCGACTACAGAGGCCTCTCGCGTCAGATATTTGGAATACCCCAAGTCACGTGCGGAGTCACTTCATGCCGCTCTGTGGTTGCGATTACGACCAAGACTCAATAGGTATTGAGTAATCACGCATCAAATGAAGCCATGAACAGATTGTCCAGATTACCCAGAGTTATCAGGTATCTAATAAATGTGTCCATCTTCTTCCATTTCTCTTGTGGTACATATTGTGTCTTTTGGATTCCAATTTCTTCCTCGGCGGAACGTGATTACCATTCTTGATCCCGACTTTTTGTATTTGCATACACTTCCGCTTCACATCAAGCCCGCCATGGCAAATCAATTGCCTTGACTGTACATTAAATCGTTCAACGCTAAAGGCTCCAAATCATCCAAGCTATCCTTCTCCATTGTGTCATCTTCCATGGTCAAATGAGCGACATAAGGGGGTATCTTTTTATATCATCAAAATCGTCCGGCATACACAAGTCTCGTGTGCAATGCGTATCTTGGGCCGACTGGTATGGAAAAGAAAGGTGTGAACATAGGAAAATTGTATTCGCAACCCGGGTCTAGGGCTGCCTGGGAGGTGATTGTGATCGATGTTGAATCATCGTCTTCTTCTGAGGCAATCCCGGACTGCGTTGAGCCGTACTTGCTTGTGACACAGACGACGTTCTTCGTATATCCAGTAATTTGGCACTCCCGGCACTGATATGCCGAGCATGGCCGCCTTTGTACTCCACGCTCCGTGCTCGTAGAATTGGAACCCCTGCGAGTTCCGTGCCTGGCGTCACTGTCTCGAGCAATTCGCCGTCACTGGCTTCATCGTCCCCGTCTGAGCTAGACCGTCGAGATCCATCGGACGACTCTGCCCCGTATTCCTTCAAAAGACCTTCGCTGGATTTGGCTCTCGTAGCTTGACGCACCACAGTAGCCTGGCGTCCAAGGCCGGCGTGCCAAGTCTCGTCACCTCCTTGAATAGTGGGAACGGGTGGCACATCTGGAATAGGACTGTGCTGTCGTTCTCGCTCCAAGTCGATGACGTTGCTGCTCGCCCTACGTCCTGCTGATCCTACGGAATCACGGCGTGCGCCAGGTTCTGGATTCAGTCTGGTGAAATATTCGTCCTGCGCGAGTTCTTCTTCTTCTTCGGTCTCGAAACTACCCGGGACAGCATTTGGAGGTATCGAGGATACGCTTTGACGGAGCGGATGGCTCAAACCACCCGACATCCTCTTGGCAGGTTTACCAGAGAGCCATGAGCCTTCCGAGTCGACTGAGGCAAGAGACTGAGACAACATATGCCCGGAAACTGGCGCAGCACTTGCTTCGCTCTCCGCACTCCGTAGCTGTTGGCCTTCCAATGCGGGATTGCTGGAGGTTGTGGCCAGACTCATGCCATCAAGCGTGCCAGAATGGGATGGGCGGACAGTATGTTGTCCAGCAATCGCTTGAGCCGTACTCATAGCCTCAGGAGACTGCACACGAGAGTCTGGTGGTGAGATAGGAAACTCCGGGAGGTCTTCTCGAAATTTGGACATTGTTCGTTGAGGTACTCCTGAGGAGTCCGATTTTCGAAACGTACGTGGAACAACAACTGGAGGAGGCTGCTGCTTGCGGGCAAAAGACTCGCGAGAGGTATTAGAGAACTCTGAAGGTGTACTTCTGCCACGGTCTGCCGCGCTCGGCTTTCGTCTCGTTCCACGTCTGAAAAAGCTTGTCCACGAGCTTAGCTGTTGTTGTTGACTGCTCTGATCCGAAGCGCGCCGACCAGCAGATCCGTGGTCCGCAACGTCGGGAGCAGTCTCGCGTGCGAGTACAGATGTCTGGGATAAATTCTGGAGATCGGAGGGTCGATGAACAGGCGAGGTAGGCGGCGAGATCGTGGTGGCTTGTAGGGGTTGCTGGTTGATCTTGGCGTTTAATGGTGATATGGTTCGGAGAGGCGACCTGACTGGCACGACCGAACCTTCGTCTTCCTCATGATCAAAAGGGTCTTGCATGATGTCGACATCCTTTTCACCTTCGAATGGGTTTCTAATGCGGTTTGCAGGCCTTGTTTGAGAAGTGTCAAACTTATGCCCAGGCGAAGGGTCTTTGAAAGGATCGGCTGCTCGTTCTCGGCCAATAGGTGGTGCAGCAGTTGCGGCAAACTCTGAACTACCGGCACTCGCATTGCGAAGCCTCCTACCTCTCTGCTCCTCGGCTTCAGTCCCCAAGTCTGCAGGTCCCGTAGGTGATGCTGCGACAGGATAGCCTCTCAGTTCCTCTTCTCGCTGTCGATCGGCTTTACGTTGTAGCTTCCGCTGTAAACGTTCCCGGTCGGCGGCTTTCTTCCGCTCGTGTCGTCTCCGATCTCGATCCATTAGCTCTCTCAGAGCACCAGCATCCAGATCATCTGCCAATTCATCTATGCGCTTTCTGGACGCAGGGGCCTCCTCCTCGATGGCTTCCTGAACTGACGGTCTTATCCTCGCGGGTTGCTTCCCGGTCGATGAACGAGGATGACTGACATAAGTGAGAGTAGGCCGAGGTGCCAATGCGGCCAAAATCCCCACCTTGAACGACCCCTGATTTTCGAAATCTTCGGCATCTTGAATCACTTCAGGTAACGGTAATGACACCTTTGAATTGGGTCTTTGCAGCCGCCTGTTGAGATCCCCAGGGACGTTCTGTGTATCGCGACGTAATGGTCCGGAGCCGGAGTAAGATGCTGGCCGCTTCAGTCTATAGTCTGGCGAGCTCATGGCACGAATCTCTCGCTCCCGAGCATAGTCCTCCGCTTTCCTCTTGCTCGATTTCCGTCGCGTTAAGGTTGGATCGTATGTGCCACGTCTGGCCAACAGCGTCGGAGCCTGTGGCAAGGCTGTGAAGTCCTCTGGCCCAATGCTCATCTGAGAAGTAGGATCCTGAGCGTACACCTTTTGTCCATGAAGTGCACTCGGTTCGACGGCGGAGCTCCTTCGCCCATTCCACGTCTCCGAACCAGGACCACTCACCGGAGCAGTCTGGACCCGGGAGACATTCTTAGGAAGTCTCTGCTTCGACAGCCTTCGAGGTTTGTCATCTGGGCCTCGATGGGTCTGATTGCGAGCCATATTTCCCATCTCTTCGGCCCTGTCCGAGCCTGGCCTCGCTTTCAGGTCCTTTTCCTCTTTTTCGCCGAATGTATGCGGTCGTTGAAGATGTGGCTGGCTGGCGCGGGCGTTCTTGCGTCCACCGAACGGCCAAAATCCCATGCTGAACCCACGGAAAGGAAGGATGGATCCAACGCGAGAGGAGCGCCGTTAAGGGACGAGGTTATGTAGGGTGGGAGGATGATAAGGCTGGATTGAAGACATCAACAACGGTCCAGATAGTGGTTAATACGAATTCGCGATGGTTCTAATGGCAAAACGTTCTGCTGGTCTCGGGCAATGGTTGGCAGCAGGAGTTGGGGAGAAGATGGGAAGTGTTTTGCAGGAGAAAGCACCATGCGCACTGGCAGACGTAAGATGTTGGTGGAATGGAACCAGGTGACAGGTTCTAGACAGCAAAATGCTCGATGACGGCCGACAGTCGAGGCTATTGTTGTGGAGGGGGCTCCAGAAAGCACGTGTGAAATTAGACTGGAATGAGCGTCGGGATGATTGAGTCAACTAAGACCCAGCTTACTGATTGATTCGAGGGCGGCGGATGGTTGTAACGAGAGTGAAACGATGGAAAAGAGAAAAGCGATGGAAGGCGAAGTCTATGCAGGTCGTTTGACGGGGTTGTCGAAAGGGTGGTGGACGTGACGGAACGAGCGAATTGAGGGCGAAGGACGAGTTGGTGGTGGTGGTGGTGCTGATGTTAATAGCTGGTGGTAGAAGCCGCAAGCGACGAATGACGGAATGAGGGCGATGGATGTTTGAGAACTGGAAGAGAGCAAAGAGCGGCGTGCGGGCGGGTGCTGGAACGACACGCCAGGCACTGCATGAACAACGGGCACCAGCCCAGGCTAAACTTGCTTAAACTCTTCCTTTGCTGGGCGGTAGAGATTGGTGGACTTCAAATTACTCGTGCCCGGAGATCCATTCTTCTCTAGGCGTCCTTTACGCCTCCGCCTAGCTATCCAAGCCATGACACCAGCATGACCATCACAGCCATCGTGACCAGCCATCCTTTGATCTTCTTCTGATCTACGGACTACACTACTCAAGGTGGAACTGCTGGCAATCACAGGAACAAGGTTCAGCTTGTCCAGCAAAAACCCTGTTTGCACGAGCGAGAGCGTCACAGATTTACAACTGCTCTGGATGCGCGCATTGGTCGCCGTCACAGTACCGTCCCAATCAGCGCCTGTCCTCCATCCGACCAGTATGAGCGCGAGAAGAGACCTCTCCTGCCCCTGCACCCTCTACGATCGTCTCTGTTTAGGGACGGCACCCTCCAGCTACTGTACCTTAGCCTAGTGGCCCTAGGCCAAGATCATCAAACTTCCGTCGATACGATGACTCCAATCCCGAACCTGTGGTCTGTTTCTGACCGGCGGCCTGCAAATCCCTAAAAGGCAAGGGAGGCTCCTCTGAGCATGGACAGGCATGCGAGGTACAGGCGTAATACCAAGCGGAGTCCAAGCGGCGTCTGACATGCAAGGAACACGACAGAAGTTGAGGCACAAGTACCACGTAGTGGGCAAGATTGGTGAAGCATGGCTCGACACCCTCGTTCGCTATCCGTACTTTCGCACTTGGGCGTTCAGCAGCGATGAACAAGGTCGCAGGAGTGATGCGAGGCGCGGGGCTTGCCCCATATTGCCGTGTCGTCAACCATCACAATCTATCACTCTACACTCCATACGGACACAGAAAATAGTAACTTATAGAGTTACAAGTGGATTGGTGGCGCCCGACCGGTCTCTACTGGTACCAGTCGTCGCAAGTCTTCATTCATCTTGTGTTGGTGGGTGATGTGTGGTGACGTTTGACAGGTACATGTTGAATTGCGTTGCTGCAGCATGCTACCAGACTTCGACCTTGTTGACCAGGTACCAACTGCCAAGTACCAGTGACAACCGAGTTGACAATATTATTGTCCCTGGCTTGCGGACTTTGACTAGCCAGGTAGCTAATATGTAGTGTACTCGTGCCGGGATCGAACACAGTGAGTCCGTCCTGCATCGATCTTCTCCATTCCCGGCTTCATGTCTCGGACTCGATAATCCTGTTTCAAGACGTCTGCTCACGCATCTCGATATCCGTACGAGAGCTCCCAATGATGGGACAATCGTCGTCGCCACCGCTTTCCTCCGACCTCGTCGGCGTGTTCTACTACTGACTGTGCCTCCGTATGGGAACCACGCATCAATTGGCGGGTGCTGTCCCAAGACGGCGACGGAGAGTAACTAGAAAAACAAAGGCCGGAGCTACCTTTCTGTGTACCTACCGTAGTACGCGGTTGTGGCGCTTTTCCGGAGTATTTAACCGTCAGCGGCGCCTTGTTGGTCTATTGTATGCCGGTAATCTCTCGATACGCGAGTCACAATAGAAATAATTGCGCCTTTGACAGCCACTTCATTTCCGATTTATGCCAGTAATCCCAACGGTCGGACGAGGTCGGAATCTGATCAATCTGGGCCTCTAGCCACATGGCGGTCGAAAATATGGTCTGGATGGAAGATGCCGATGTTGCGAAGGGCACAGGCCTCCGTCAGTCAATCTTACCGTGTGATCCGAAAAACCAACAAGCCACTAACAACCGTGCACTATTTCAACAGCATCTTTTCGAATTCATTTCACCCTATATACGGATACCATCTGGCGACTAAAATATTCTCGCGTTCATCGTATGTAAGTTTTCTGTCTACAATCTTGGCCGTTGCTCCAAGGCTTCTTCCACTAACTTTGCTGCTGCTTGTGCACATCCGTACGAAGATTGGTACTGTAGATATCATTAGCTCAGTCTCGAGGGATGTTTCTGGTTACTGACGCCAGCTCCACCATGTCCATAATTGTGCACTGTCCAAACACCATTGATTTTTTCCTTCTCAATCCTGGCGCCTGCTTCTCGAACAGGTCTCAGGCCAACACCGTGTCGAATGACATCCAGGTGCTCGATACCCCTCCCGCCGGTCAATTCAGGGCAGATATCAACGCATCTCTTCATGATCCTAGTGGCAAGGCTCGGATCTGGCTGGGATTCCCAGTTCCCCTTTTGGTAGCATCCGCCCAGGATTGTACCACCACCGGCAGCCCTAGTCATAATGTAACAGGCTTCGTCCGGTCCATCGTCAGTCCCAGAAAGTGAATACATCGAAGGTGCTACGTTCCTCACGATCGTAATCTGCCCTCTCGCAGGAATGACCGTTTTGTCCATGACACCACCAAGCTTGGAGGCCGACAGTCCCGTGCAGTTGACCACGAGGTCTGCGGCACCACCAAGATGATGAACTCCTGGAGCTGCGGCATCCGAGATGTGTTTGAATACTGCTCTTTTGAAGACGGCACCGTTCTTTAGACATTGGGATACCAGCCAGGGCAAGTATATGGCTGTATTGATACACACTGAAGTAAAGCGCGTCGCATTGTCGACTCCAGGTTTAAGATCCTTCTTGGGTATCTCGCAAAACTACAATAAGATTAGCCCAAACCCACCGGAATTGATGCTGCAAACAATTGTGGAGGTACCGTCCAGCTTTACACCACCGCGCAGCAGGAAGCATGGCATGGAGGGCCTGTCCAGAGGAAACTTTGCAAACAAAGCCGCAGGTGCTGGTTGACTAGAGTTAGCCCAAATTGCAATACTTACATCGTCGAATATGGTACTGAACCATGGTTTCGGACTGAGAAGCTCAGCAAACCATGCTGCAGTCGTGGATGAAATGTCCTTCTTGCGATTGTAAATCTCACATTTTTGGAAGTGAACTCCCGCTTCAGGGTGGTTACGTGCTAGGTCTGCGAGTGGCGCCCATGTATTCTTGTCCCATTCCTGTGATGGTGTACCAGTCACCGAGACTCTAGGCAGATCGCATAAGGTTCAGTCTTAAAAATTGTGTCTCTGTATCTGTGTGACTCACGGCATGTAGTTCGCCCCGGCCCAGGGTGAAGCATACTCAATATCATAATCTCCTGGCATATGCTTTGCAGCGACTGTGACCTTGAACTTCGGATTCTGGGTCAATAATAGTGCAGTTGTCAAGCCAACTACACCAGCTCTAACAAGATCTGAGTGTTAGAGGGCCGCCATGCTTATCAGAATTCAAATGCAGTGAAGCACAACTTACCCAACCACGACAATTGTCTTTTCTGACATAACTGTTCAAGGGTGAGGTTGGTGGTGAATACCAGACTATTGTGAGTGGTCCAACCGACCCCTGAATGAACTTTTCTTTTATTTTTCAGCAGTGAATATGAAGAAAACTCTGCCTACGCAAAAAAGGGTTTCTCTTGCCTGAGGACCTGACAATAGAGAGGAGAACAATAGGCGTGACTATTGAGGACCTGAAGGAAATTTTACTTCTTGTGATGGATACGCAACAAATGTAGAGATAGATTTCTTAAATACTCTCGTCCTTCCTCTCACGCCACCATCGTGAAATCCAGTATCAGTTCATGACAACTACTCGCAGGGCGTCTTTTGTCTGTGGACCAGTTCTCTAAGTGTCCCGTTCAGGTAGCTGCTATCCTCTTGGTTTCCATATCTACCCGCTAACTGTCTTCGGCAGAGTTTCCTATCCGCATCATCCAGCTTATTCCCCCTTTGGCAGGGGGCAGTTTAGTTAAGGTGACAAGTGCAACAGGTAAGCCACACACTGGCAGCCACGCCTAGTGACCCCCTCACCTCGCCTAACTTGCTTCATTTTCCCTCCCTTTCCCTCTGTTCGGGCACCGTGCTGTCTGCCTAAGGGTCGGTGTCTTGGGGGCTCCTGGCTGAAGTCAGTCAATCAAAGAGCCTCCTTGACACTGCACCTCCGCAATCAGTTACGACCATATGTGCCCTGTGAAATCATCACGAAGCCCCTGCACAAGTCCATCAGGAGCGGCCGAACATCACTTTGTCCACGCTGTCTCTTCCATTTACGACGTTTCTCCATGTCTCTTTGAGGCCTCTGGACACATACTCTCTCTTTGACAACCTCCCGATGCTCTGGTCAATGGATCTTGGGCAATCATGGCTGACCATGCATTCTCTACGCAGCTTCCCAGCATGGTCCGAAAGCCTAAGGCTGTATGGCCTGGACTGGTCAAAATGGGCATGTATCAGAAGCAGATAGCTGGAGATGGTATGTTCTCGGCCCTGCGTTTGATTGTCTGGCATGCTGATATGATTATAGGCAATTGTCTGTTTGCATCTCTCTCTGACCAACTCTACGGCACACCGGCGAAACACCCCGAGATACGTGCGAGCATTATCGACCACATGCGAACCTGCCGACCAGTCTTCGAGCATTATGTCCACAAGGATGATGTGCAACAACGCCGAACCCTCCGTTCTGCTGCAAATGCCGTCCGTCAAGAGCCAGAAGACGCGTTTGAAGCGTACCTTTCCCTCATGTCGCGACCTGGAACCTACGGTGGAGAACCTGAGTTGGTCGCCTTCTGTCAGGTCTTTGACCAGGACGTGACGGTCCACCTTCCACGCATTCAGAACTTCAACAGAGATTCGATCTCCTACACAAATGAACACCGATACAATACTTCTATTGCAGCACCCCTGCACATCTGTTACGGCGGAGACGAGGTCACGCGAGCACACTATGACTCAGCCCGAAGCCGAGACGGTTCAACTCCTCGAAGCCGCAATAGCCCTCTCCTCAGACCTCAAGATGCTCCTCGAAACTCCATCAGCGGCACTCTATCTTCCTCCCCAGTGTCGAGCCTTACTTCAAGAGCCATTCGCAACAGCAGAGCAGAATTATCCTCCGAGCTCATCCAAGACTTTCTCCAGAAGAGCAAGAAAGAGACAGAAATCAACCTAGACCAGCTCAATGACAAGTATCGCGCTAGAAGCCCGTCGGTAACTTCATCACAACGCAGCTCGAGCTCAAAGAGATCCCTAGACGATGATGGAGAACCAATTCGATCAAACAAACGTGCCGACAGACGCAAGAGCGCTCGAAAGCGTGGAGACATTGCAGTTACCATTCCAGACCCAGACGGTGAACTTTCGCCACGTCTCCTCGTCGAATCCCCTGGACCAGACACACCTCTGAGCACTCAAGACACCGATGTTTCGTCTGATGCCCCCCTTCAAGAGCGCCCAACTACTACAGTCAAAGCCATGCCGGTAGTCCTTGACGATGACCACTCGAACTACAAGCATGTTTCTCGTAGCACGAAGCAAGCATCGCAGCAACAAGCTCGTCCGTCCGTTCACGTCCTCAAACATAGACCACAACCATCTGAGTCCTCCAGCCCACGAATGATTTCGGTTGCAGAGAGACCAAAATCGACATTGCGAGCATAATCACAGCACACGGTCGAAGGAGTTTGGTGGTCAAACACGCGTGGGACATTTGGTGTCTGTTTTGCCTTGGTGAGGTGTTCTGTGAAGCGATCCGGATTTGCATATGAATGATACCCCCCTTTCCAGCATAGCGTTGCGGCGAGTATGGCATAAGGGTACTGCGTAAAGAGAATCGAGTTCAAGGGGAAAAAAAGAACTCGCCTAGAAGGGCAGTCGATCTTGGGTTGCCTGGCGCCTTTTTTTTTTAAACACGAAATGATTTATGAAGTCGACGGTCACATCATAGAGAAGATCAATATCTGATCGACCCCCAGCAGCAGCACAGGGAAGCTGACTTGTTGGATCTTGCGTTCTTTTCTTTGTCCCTCTCAGCAGTGGTCTGGGAGAGACTACTAGGTACTTATGGTAGAAAACCAACACCCTGATACAGGTGACGTTCCCCTCGGCTTGTAGTTTGCGCAACGTTGACTTTTGTATCGTGTTGGCCTTTGCAAGGTTGATGTACTTTGATCTTCACCTACGGGTGAAGCGTCGAAATGTATGGTCGGTGCCGCCCACCACCAACACCACTTGCCATGACGGGATCCCTACCTACTACGTAAGTCGGAAGTAGATACCCCGTACAGGACATCATGTTGTACTCATTCGAACGACCCACGAGAAGGAGAAGATCAAACTTTTGACTCGCCATTGATCAGGTAACCGGTAGTGAGTGATTGGCAAGAACGAAAAGAGAGAAAGCAGCACGAGCGAGCATCGCCCTGAATGCTCCCGAAAGTTTTCGCGTGTTTGTGGCCAGAACATGACTGCGAGGCATCAGTGTCTAGCGACCACAAGCCGGAACTAGGTTAACCAGGATCGTGACGAATAATCATCTTGGGTATAGAAGGACGATATGGTTGTGGCACGATTCTATGCAAGATGCACCGTCCATGAGACTTCAATTGATAGTATCTCGAAAAAAAAAGAACCTATGAAGTTCTGAGTCTCATGCATTAATCACAATAAACCACCAGCGCCTTGCGGGTGTACCCTCGAGCATGTTTTCATCATAATCTTTCGTATTTCTTGGACGACCAAACTGCGTGACGGTAATGATTTCCATCTCTGTGTCTTCTCACGTCACGTAAGATAGATCGTCGATTTCTCGTTCCTTCGCACGTAAAGCTGCCCTCATAACCTCAGCCTCACGCATCAATTGTGCCCGTCGCTCTGCTCGTAGAAGCTCTTGATCTCGTTCGGAATCAGCAACCACTGAATGACCGACTTCTCGATCTTGGCTCCGTCGACCGGTATCTGTCAGGGCAGGATCCAGATGCATGCCTTCCGAGGCCGCAGCAGCCAGTTGCACCTGAACTCTGTATTCCTCTGGCGGTCGTGGAGTGGTTTGTTGAGTGTCGCTACTCGCCGTTTCGGGTACATAACCGGTGTAGTCCACGGTAGGCGGCGGTCTCCTCCTCTTCGGCGCAGGTGACGCGTCGACAGAATCTTGGTAGACGGCTTGTTCTGGTGAAACGGGTTCGGGAGAGATAGAGACTGTCTTTTGAGAGGAAGGCGCGTCCGGTCGTTGTGAATCCGGATATGCTGGGACGACTCTTTTCCTTCTCTTGATGGTGGACTTCTTCATCTGAACAGGTCGATGTGCACCATGTAACTTGTGGTACAGGCCACATGCATTACAGATAGGATGACCTTGCTCATCACGGCGCCACAAAGGCGTGACCGTGGTGCCACAGTTCTTGCAGGCGACAACTAAAGTGTTACCAGGCGAAGGCTGAGACTGGGTATCGGTGTTGACGGCTTGGGTTTGAGCGGGAACCGAAGTAGATGGGAGAGCTTCTTCCCTCAAAGGTTGAGGGGCACTCGTCACGACCGCTGAAGGGTTGGTAGAGCGTGCGACTCTATTGTTGTAGGCTGGGCATCCTGAACAACCCTCGGCCCCGCCAGCCCCATTGCAATTGCCTCCACCCGGACAAGAACCCGGGGTATGTTCGGGTGCTCTATAAGGTATACTGGTGGATTGGTTTGATGTTGAGGTTGGAGATCCTGCTGCCACAGGGGAAGTGGTGGCGCGTTGACGCGGACTCTCTCCAGGAGCAGTTGAAGCTGGACGTTTGAAGGTGGTCGGTCTTGGTGTATTTCGAGTTTTCAAATACAAGCCGCAAGCGTTACATATCGTCGTACCTGTTGGTGATCGCCGCCACAAGGGTGTCTTGGTCGTGCCACAATTGCTAATACATAAATTAGTGGGGAATCGTAAGAAGCGAATTAAGGGCATCATCGGGTCTATTAGCAGTAGACTTGTCGTTGTTATAGAGGGCGCGAACTGTACATACCTGCAGACTTGGCCCAGCACGGTGCTGTCCTCTTGCTGTTCCGCTTGCTCATGCGACAAACGTGGCGTTTCGGCGGCCTCGGGTCTTGGGCTCGGCCGACTGGGATGGCTACCTTCAGTGGCGGCGTCACTCACATGCCCATCGTAAGCGGACAATTGTGGTTGCGATCCGTGACGTTCACCACGCGCAGACGACACAAGTTGATGAGCAGCGTCGAGGTCCTCGGCGGATGGGTGTCGCATAAGACTTTCCCGCTCCGGGCCCAACGAGGCGGAACGTGGCAAAGCATCCATGGGACTTCGCACGGCCAACATGCCTCCTCGAGATCTCTTGCCTTGGTTGTTGAGGCTTTAAACCTAGCAGGGAGAGAAGAGAGATGGTTGGAAACGTGATAGGACCGAACAAAAGGCGCCGGAGCCCTGTGGAATGATGGGTAGGGTGGAAAGATCGGTGAAGTTCAGTGGAAAACCGCCAGTCCAGGCACCAAGGGGGAGAAGTGAGATGTGTCCTAAGAGCGCTTATAGAGACCTTTCGTCAGTCGAACACGGGGTGATAGGGTATATACAGGGTGAAAGAATGTGAATTTCGAGAAGAAAAGGGAATTTGCAACGTGGACAGGATGGAATTCTCAGGTTGAGTGACTGAGAAGACTGGCAAAGAGGGCGAAAGTGACGCCAGAAGTTGAATATGGAGCCCATGGCAGGCGCGAGTGGAGAGAATGTTGCGTTTCCCAGCGTAAGCATCAAACACCTCGATCATGATTGGTTCATGGCTTCGACGGCACGTGTTGGGACGGTTAAAGTCACACTACAAAGTCCGACTTGCTTAGTTATCATCGTTACTGTGAGTACGAGTACGAGTACTCCTTGACCTACTCCGTAAGAGTATGTAGAGCAAAGCCCACCGCCGCCGGTACTCCGTACGATGTCGACAGTCTCCCCGACCGACATGGTGACGGTGGCGATAGGCAATCAAAAACTGTCGTGACGAGGAGTTGCTTTACTTTATAGCTTTGATCGCCACGGAGTAGTTGAGGACAATGGCTCATCTCCACGGATACGTGACACGCTTTTCCCAAACACCTATCCTTACCTAACTCTACGATTCCTGTATGGTCAGAAAATCGTTCAACGACGCGTTCTCGTGATCTTACACGCTTTCAAGAAATTAATCTAGGTAGTTACAACTTTTCTACATTCGCGAACTTCCCCCTGCCACTCCCCTCTTGACACACTGCACCCTTCATATCATGTTGACAGTCTTGTATTCTGTACCGTCCTTGAGCATATGATTCTCCCCAGGGCGATCCCACCCCTACACACTATTCCCAATAGCGCATCCGTATTCTCAACATATTCCCAGCATAAGAAATTTTACGCCCTGGGTCAAATTCCAATTTCCTGGATCCCGAACTGGCCGACAAATGGCTCTCACGGTATTCGTTGTCGTCATTGAGGTCATTGATCATCCAGTGCCAGTCGTTCTGAAGATGGTTTGATGTTCCGCCTCATAGAGATCAAAGTCTTAGACTTGTTCCGCGCCCCATCCAGCATCAGCATCCCTCATGTTGGAAGGAGGTTCGATCGAAGGCAAGAATTCGAGTGCGCAGTATCCCACGCCGACAAAGCCAACGATGGTGCCTGCAATGATGCGCAAAACGTGATGTTCGAGGATGATGCTACCGACGAAGATATAGACTACATAGTGTTAAAATCTTGTCGCAGGAATCTGGCCCAATACTGACAGATGCCTCGTCCGAGGAAGGAGAACAAGAAGCTTGCATATTTCGGTAGGTAAGGTGGAACTTGAGGAAGTAACTCGAGGCCGGCGACAGCTGGAAATGATGTCAGTCTGTTTCTGGTTTCTGGGAGTTACGGCACAAATGTAGTCTTACCCAGGCCGAAAAGTATCACATAGATTCCGACAATAATGTTTCGACTGTTTCACACTCAGCATTTGTCTTTGCGCAAAGGAGAGATTTCGACGGACATTCCAATGTCTGGGATGAATTGACTGATACCTGTTGAGGAATGTAAGTAGATGGCCTTCTTCAACCTGCGCGTGCGACAGTCCCAAGACCATGGCTTACCTCCAAGAACCATTATGGCACCAACGGCCAAATTGACCAGTCGACTACATAGTCGTTAGTACTGCGGACTGTAGTGCTAGCCAGCACCTCTGACATGTTTGGGCATACAAGATGTTGGAGAAGTCCATGTTGTCAAGCTTGCGATGTCAATGCGACAGTGTTTGAAGGGTAGATCGATGGAGGATCGTGAAATACAAAATGTAAGACGATCAGAGCTTTGAAGATTTGCAGAATATCTGTCCAGAGAGAAAACGGCGCAGGCAGAAAACAAAGGGGAGAGCAATAATATGGAGCTGCAGCTACGAGACGAGTAGAAGCCAGAGTTCAGGGACAAAAAGATGGGGAAATGCGCCTGCTCTGGACACAGCATCCTTGCCAAGTCAATCGACGTCACTGGCCTTAACGTGACACTACATGGTGCTCGTACTGATGCAGTGCAGGAAAAATTCACTGGTACCAGACACCAGATTACAACAACACTCAATTCATACTCATTAGTGGCTAGGAATCTAGAGCACATTTTGCAACCCATTAAAACCATAGTTTGATCAATTCCTCACTCACTGCCTTTGGAGTCAGAATCCCATTCTCGGTTATCAGCGCATCAATCAGTTCGGGAGGAGTTATCTCCACCATATCTCGTACATCGACGAGCTGACTTTCGGATGTGCTCTGCTCCTTAGCTTGTGAACCCGTGTTCGTGCTGAAATGTAGAACATCCTGCTTGACACCCATCCGCGCCAGGTCAAGCGGTCCAAAACCCAGAGGGAAATTGCGCACAAATTTGTAAGACTCGACTGCAATGTGTAGTGGCATCGACACGGCCTTGGAGATCATTCCTATCTGGTGGGTTCCAAGCTCAGTGACAACCGAGCCATTTTCCAGCACTGCGCTGGCACCAACGATCAGCTGAGGTGCTGAAGATGTCGCAGGGAGCGATGCCAGGGCATAGGTCATGGCTGAGAGAGGGATCGTGGTCGTCGGGATAGATAACTTCCTTAACTTAGAAATGGACTGGGAAATGTTATCGGTGAACCCAGCCGAAGGCAGGATGTATATGACGTTGAAGTAGCGGCCAGACTCAGCGGCATGTGTGAGGAGGGTTTGAACGACTCGGCTGTAGCCATAGGTGATGATAGTGGATTCTTCCTTGATGAAAGGAAGGGCGTAGTGGGCGATTTTCAAACGAGCTTCGTTTGCTCGTTTTACAAAAAGGGAAGAGTTTGTGAGAATATGATGGCGTAGAGTCGTGAAATCGGAATCTGCAAGCGACGAAGGTCTCTGTTGGAAAGAGCTGACCAAATAGCGTTGGAAGAGTTCGGTGCCTGCAGAAAGCGGTATGGGATTTCGTTGAGAGGCAAGGAGCTTTTGTGAATGTGTTGCCAGGAGGCTGAGAGTCTCAGAGATGGTTGTTAATTGTGTCTTGGCGAGTAATGATATGAGTGCTTGGATGGCTGCTATCGGGGGTGTGATGGTCGGATCCTCCTGAACGAGATCGTTGTAGTAAGCGACAACATCAAAGTCAGTCGTGGGTGACTGTGATGGTTTTGATGTAGTCGGCGGCGTCTCGAATGCGGCTACTGTTCCAGGGAACGAGTCAGACGTGGTTCGAATCATTCTGAGAAGTAATACATCTCTTGCGTTCTTGAACGACCAGCGCATCAACAAAGCAGAGGCGATCAACCACATTAGAGCCATACCCCAAGTCATTCCGACCGTTGACTCATGTAGAGAAAATTGTGGTGATGCAAAAAGGGTACACATGCAAGAAACTTACCAGATGCCATGACGACCAATATGTGATTTAATAATCTTATGCTTACAGTCTTAGAACTTCCGGGGCTCGTGGCGTGTTTATATTGGCCGAATGAGGCTTGCACAACTTCTTGTTTGACTCAATCAGATTTGAAAGCGTGAGGATTCGAGCAAGTCTTCAGAAGGCTGAACGTCAGCCTTGTGAGAGAGTCCTTGGCATTGAACATCGCCGGTGTTTCCCCGAATATCAGACTATGCCTATCGCGGATTCTGTCAACAAGACAGACTTACAGTACCTTTTCATGTGGTAACGACTCTTTTCTTTTCAAGAATTGTTGTTCCTTGCCTTGCCTGACCGCGCGATACCGTCACCACCCCCCCATCATGAATTCTCAATATCGTTCCTCTCAACAGCAGCAACAAGGGCGCAGCAAAAAGAAAGACGAAGATCCTGCGGACTTTATGCGACTCGTTCGTATCCCTTCTTCACCGCATGCTGTTTACTGACACGTTGGTTAGTCTGAAAAAGAAATAGCATCATGTATCAGCGAGATGGGTATTCCATTCCAGCCCTCCGACCTCCTCAAACCGAATCCGCAAGTCATCCAGATGGTCTTCGAACACCTGGGCGAACTAGTAATGAACGCGACTCGCGAAGCGATTGACCCTGCCATGCGCGCCGCCTCAGAAGATGTCTGCGCAGAGTTTCCAGAGCTGGTTCCGACTGAAACAAGACTTCTAATGGGATTCTTTATTCAACTACGCACGATGTTGGAGCAATGTGGGATCAACGACTTTTCATTTAACGACCTCGTCCGCCCAACACACGATCGACTCGTCAAGATCTTTTCATACACGATAAATTTTGTCAGGTTTCGAGAAACGCACACAAACGTGATAGACGAGAATTTTAACAAGGCCGAAACGACCAAAGCGCGGATCGAGACATTATACACTGAGAACCAGGACATGGAGCAGAGGTTGGAAGAGATGAAGCGCAACCGAAAAGCGATGGAAGTTGCGGTCAAGGAGAAGATGCGGCGGAACGATGAGCTGAAGGCCCGCTTGCTCGAACTGCGTAAGGGGCAGGAAAGAGTTGCCGAGCAACTTGAACGAGCAAAGGCCGAAAAGAGTCGTGCGCAGGCATTGCTTGAAGAGAAGACCGAACGACTGGTAAGGGCACGGCAAGACAGCGAGAAATTGAGGCCATATGTTCTACAGAGCCCCGCCGCACTCCAGAGTGCTCTAACAGAGTTGTCGGAAAACCTAATGCGGGAGAAGGGTCAGATTGATGCTCTAGAGCGAAGGGGCCGTGCTCTGCAGACGTCGGGGGACAGCTTCACAGTGGTCCAGAACGACGTCCAGGCATGCGTCAAGGTGCTGGAGGAGATCGCGGTGGAGTTGCAAAAGGAGGAAGAAGAGGATGCTCGGGCGGCCAAGAACAGAGATGCACTGGCTGAACGAGGCAACAATGTTCGAGAAGTTGAACAGAACGAGAAGCTGTTGCAGAGACAGCTCAAGAAATGGGAGGAGCGGACGGAAGAACTGCGAAGGAAACACAAGGACCGAGATGAAGCAAACAAAGCCAAGATGGACGAGCTGAGGGAAACCCAGCGACAGCTCCGAGACGAGAGGGCCGAGAAAGGTCGCGAGATGGAAAGACGCAGGGTGAGGATTGAACAGACGGAAAAGAAGGTGAGTTTTTACCATCAACATTGACTCCGTTTTGCTGGTGAATATGTTTGACACTAACCTCGACGTTAGATGGCTGATCTCAAGGACAACATCGAAAACGAAGTGCACTCGGCTCACGAGGAGTATCTGAAACTCGAATCACACATTGGACTGTATATCACGGAGATGGAACAGAGCATCTAAAGTCTGGTCAAGTTCGACGAAAACCAGTGTTACGACGTGCATGAATGGAGTTGGGCATAGTTAACAGTTGGATTGAGATACCCTGGTTGATTCATATCTTTAGCATTGTGTACCTCTCGTTCCCGGTCATTATGAGGTAGTCGGCCTTTAGGACCGATTTGTATTATACCCTTGGGGCAAACAAGCACAGTTGAGTCGAAAACAGTCATTGTCGGTCATTGGTGCGGTCATGACTCAATCGTCATTCACAACTGCCTTTGATGCGTTGAGTGCATGTGTGCGTGTAGCATCCCTTGGCCAAGTCATGCCATTCGTTACCCGCTTTCAAGTCGAAACCAACGCGAGGCCACTTTCTCAACCGACACTGTTCGACGACCCCAGGATGCTCCATCGTCGCGGATCTTGATGGACGTACTCAGAAGCGGTACCTGGGCTTGCCAGAGTCCTGAACCTTGGTCCGGGTCTGAATGGTGATTGTCGCTGGCAATGTCACCCCGCAGTTCGACGAGCCTGAGTGATCGTCTCGTTCTATGAGCCGCTGAGACGGCGCTCGCAAAAGTGTGCGACAGACCTTGCAGGGTGAATTCTGTAGTGCCGTGGTGTTGTCTCAGGAGGTTGACGATCATGATGTGGTGGCCGTTGCAATGGACTTTGAGTTCGGGTGTAATGAAGTGGCCAGGAGGATAGCTAGATAGATAGCCACGAAGAGTGGTGATGGAAGGACAGAATGCAAGACGACAACGTTGGCTCGCACTCAAGAGGAACAGAGTAGGTGACAAGAGAGCATGACTGCTGGAGGGGGTTGTCATGGCCGGGACGAGATCAGGAGCATCTTCTTCGTCTTGCCGCCCAACCGACGTCGACGAGTTATGGTGATGATGATCGAGTTGGGTCACGACTTCGTCCAGGAACTCCTCTCTTGTCGAACAGATAATCAGGTCGGTGGTTGTCGATGTATCGTGATGGACGAGATCTTCGAGAAGGTGTAAGATGGAGGTGTACTTGGTGCATATCAGATTGGTCATGAGGTTGAATTGAAAAGGAATGAGGTCGAGAGGTGTTAGATGTACGTGGCGACCACTTTTCTCTCCATCATCATCTGCGCAGTAACATACCGTGCATCTGGTCGAAGTGCAACAATTGTATGCTTGTTGATTCTGGAATTTTGTGCGTAGGGAGTGCCGAGTATTTTTACATGTATCAGATACTCTCTATAGTAGCTTACAGTGCCCGTCAGCTTCCTACATAGGTACCCAGGTACTCCGTACTGACCGTCTAGGATGATTTGACTTGACCCCTCCCTCACTCCCTTTTCTCTCCCCCGCTGAAATCCGTCGGTCCCCGCTCGATCACAATCAATCCTCTTGTACCGAGTACTCGTGCCCTATCGACCACCCCCAAGTTTACCTAGTAATAATGGCAAGTGATGGCCTCTGTTGCCTCTTTCGGCGTAACCGCCAGATCGAGTTCACCCATGCGGCTTTTCAAGGACGCGAGTCTGCGCATGTGGAGAATCTGATTGCCCAAAGCAGCAGGCAAGACGTCCCTGATAGAGAACTCGTCGACAACCCTGACTACTGCTTAGCTATTTACCTAGGTATTTAAACTCCCGGCTCACCTACGAGGGCGCTCTTTACTGGAGAACTTTCCATCTCCTTGTCATCTTGGTCTCGTGTGCTTCATTCTTCTGTGAGTCCTACGACAGAACCTCGAAAACGCCGCTGGACATCACACAATCAAACAACCATGACGACCATGGACAAAGTCTTCGCAGGCTACGAGGCCCGTAACAAGATCCTCGCGGCCAGCACCAACCCATTCAAAGATGGGGTCGCCTGGATAGAAGGCAAACTTGTGCCCCTCCAGGAGGCTCGGATCCCCTTGCTGGACCAAGGCTTCCTGCACAGCGACTTGACTTACGACGTACCCGCCGTCTGGGACGGGCGTTATTTTCGACTCGACGACCACCTCGACCGGTTCGAACTCAGCTGCTCGAAGATGCGACTCAAGCTGCCAATCCCCCGGGAACAAGTCAGGCGGGCCCTGGTCGACATGGTTGCCCGGAGCGGTATCAGGGACGCCTTTGTCGAGATCGTCGTCACCCGAGGCATGAGGGGCGTCCGGGGTGTCAGGCCCGGCGAGACCCTCAAGAACAGCCTGTACATGTGGATCCAGCCTTACGTCTGGGTCATGGAGCCCTCGATGCAGCGCACCGGAGGAAAGGCCATCGTCGCGCGGACGGTCAAGCGTACCTCGCCGGGTTCGATGGACCCCACGGTCAAGAACCTCCAGTGGGGTGACCTCACCCGCGGCATGTTCGAGGCACAGGACCGCGGGGCCGACTACCCATTCTTGACCGACGGCGACGGAAACATCACCGAAGGTTCCGGTTTCAACATTGTCTTTGTCAAAGACGGTGTCTTGTACACCCCCGACCGTGGCGTGTTGAAGGGAGTCACCCGCAAGAGTGTGGGCGACGCCGCAAAGGCCCTCGGTCTCGACATGAAGATCGAGTTCGTGCCGACCGAGATGGCGTACCAGTGTGACGAGTGCTTCATGTGCACCACCGCCGGTGGTGTCATGCCCATCACGTACGTGGACGGCTCGCCCGTTGGTGATGGCAAAACCGGACCCGTCACGGCCAAGATCTGGGACGAGTACTGGTCCATGCACTACGACGACAAGTACAGCTTCAAGATTGATTACGAGGTTGCTGCTGCTCATACCAATGGTACAAAGGGGGTCAACGGAGTCCATTGAGACGATCGAAATGAATAACGAACGAATGGGCCCTGATATCGTTCCTAGAACGTCGATGAAGCACTTAGTTTGACAGATTATGTAGACGTTGTTCTGAATCGATGTTGTTTATTAGTTTTATAGGAGCACTCTTTTTCTAGGAGATGTTGCGACTATGGGAGACTAAATCGCAGTAGTTTTATTTCTGTACCTCTCTACAATATTAGCTCACCACTGAATCATCTTCTCAACGCCTCTTTGCCCCCTTTTCCAATTGCCAACGGTAATGTATTCAGCACTGACTTTGCGGTCTCCTGAGTAGGTGATTTTCACTTCTCTGACACGACAATCGTCGGGTACTGCTATTGTACCGTCGGTGCGGGTCGCCATCCCAGCAGCGTCCATAGCTGCCTGTCGTTCAAGCATGTACGTGTTGGCGGCAATCTTGCCCGTCATCAAACCATCCCACATGCCTTCGCGCCTGGAGCAAGTGAACAGCAGATCGAGAGCTCTTTTTCGAGTTTCAAAGTTTCGACACCGCGCAGCGACGGTGTGCAACGGCATCACTATCCCCAGACCCGAGTGGGAAGGTGCTGCTGCCAGTGGGGTTCTGGACGTGTTGTTCTTGTTTGCGCTTACGACGGCTTCACAGTATTTTAGTATTTGCTCGAGACATGGTTGGAGCGTGTCGAAACGCGCTTCCCGATCCTGAGGTCGTAGAGCGTTCATTCCCATCCTCATCTCTATGATTGTCAAATACACACGCAGGATGAGAATTCCACTGAGGTCGTCTTCTTTTATTTCTCGTCCGTCAGGGGCAATTTGGTGTCGTGTAGAGTCTGCAAGAAGATCCACTGCTTTGTTGCAACTTGAGAGGGCTCGCAAGATTTCTCGTCTGCGTTTGTGGAAGGCATCATGCTCTTCAGGCGTCTTTGGAGGATTGACTTCGGAGTTCTGTAGAAAGGTAAGCATGTTGAGAAAGAGTCTTTCGACATGTGAGTGAGCGTCTGAGAGTGAACAAAACCCCGTGACGATTCCCAAGTCAGACACTAAAAGATCCCGAGTCCATTGAGTTTTAGCTTCGTCATTGATCATGCACCGGATTTGCCCATAGAGTGATATCAAGGCGCGACGCAGGTCACGTAATGCGACTGGGTATGTTGCTGTGGACGCAGCAGACGAAGTGTGGATTGACGATGAAACCGCCTCGAAGTCTTGCAAGACTTTCAACCCTGACCGGACATGTTCGATGGCTTGGGCGAAGTGACCTTGCAGACTGGCGATGTAGGTGAATAGAATAGAAGCCGTCATTATGCAACTTGTATTCTCCGCAGACATAGGACCTTGAGCCATGGCTGACTGGAAGTGATCACGCATGAGCCGAATGGCCTGGTTGGCCTGTTGGAGTGTGAAATGCCTTCCAATGGCTTGGTCGTCTGCCGACGCCGTCTCCTCGTTCTCAAAATTCTCATAGGCCGAACCCAAAGCAATGACAAGATGTCTTATCGAGGGATAATGTGTCGCCGCTCGGAGGACTTCTTGCGTCCAGAACGGACGGTTGAAGTACGCTCCCAACCCCTGTCCGGCGACCGCCCGAAAGAAGTCGAAGCTTCGCCTTTCTGGCCGTGAGGTAAACGCGTTTGTGCCTGGATGAAGTGAAGTGAGGCTATCATTGCCCGGAGATTTTGTGTTTGACGGATGCTGGTATCCATCACACTTGCGACCTACGGAAATGGGGAAAGTCAGTGTCGTCGAGCAGATCAGCAACAAAGAAAAAGCGACCCGGACCTGTAGAGAGACAACGATAACACTCCGGTTTTGCCTCGTCGCACTTCACCTTGCGTATCCTGGTAGAGTTCAGGTTTTAGCCACAGTCAGGATCCAAACACACAGAGAGACATACTTGCAAGTGGTGCAGCCTGTTCTGACCTTGGGGAGAAAGGGACGTTTCCTCTTGACTGGGTCCGTCCCGACAATCATGTTCATATTATTGACATTTGCGTGAGGACGTTCGTCGTTGGCTGGTTCGGAAAACCCTGTCATGATGTTTTTCAGGGACGAAGACTAAAAACAATGGATGTCCCATCGGACGTCGGGTAACTGAAGTGGCCACAAAGTCCCATATCAAGGACGCAGTACGGAGTAATAAAGTAGTGCGATGCAATGCACCCCAGAGCTAGGTTGAGGGATTCAGGCCCACTAGGCCCTTGTCATGAAGGAATCATAATCACTACTTTCTATAGGGTTTTCCGAGCAGGCGAATAGCAGCATCTCGGTGGAAAATGGCTTGCTGTTTAGCCACGATCAACTCTACTGTAGGTTCGGCCCCCATTCGAATTCTCCAGACTATCTAATAATGCGTTGCCGCGCCGCTAGCATTACGATAGCCAACCATGATATAGTCCTTGAGAATGGCTGTGTCGTTGCATATCATCTCTTTCTGTGACGCTGTACAGGTTTCCAGCTGATCCCAGAAATAGCACTGGGGCGGGGGATGGGAAAATACCGGAACCTTGACATCAAACACAGATTGAGGTCCATTGGTGCTGATACCAGATGTTGTTAAAGTTTCACCAGTCGCGACATCAACGCCAGACATAGTACGATTGAAAATGGCGAAGGCTGTTTCCGGCTGATAGTAGGGGACTGTTGGAGATGTTTCAGCAACTTGTCTGAAAAATAGACGAATAGTGATAGAAAACCACCTACCTTGGTGACCTGCACTGAAAACTCGTGAGAAAGACAGATTGCCGTACTGTCGAACAGTTCCGCCCACAGATCCTTCCTTCGTAGTGATATTTGCATATCCCGAGTTGTGAAAGTCGGCTTTGATGGTAGAATTTATGGCCAGACTGAGTGCCTCGCCTCCCAACCCTAAATATCGTCAATAACCACTCTCTATGTACAGCAGCCAACTCACAATTGCATTGGTAATCAGCATCACCATACACGAGGGCGACTTTAATGCCTTGATCGAGCAACCTGCCGAGAATTGCGAGATTGTGACCGACAACAAAATCGCCCGTGTACTCGAATCCAATGTTCACCGGGTCAGAGAGACCAGTGAAATTGAGTGGGACCCCGAGTGCTGTTTGGACCGGTTGTCTGTTCAAATAGCCTGCAGCGTACTTGGGCGGAAAGGCACTGGGCACCTTCGCTGTCAGGTCAAACGTATCTCGCTAAGGAATCTCAGCTTCTACGCATTGGATGCTTGCACGGGAGGTGCCTGATTGTACTTACCCCGTATTTAGTCATGTCTGTCCAAACTGTCCCGAAGCAGGTAGCATAAGCACCAGCGCAGGCCGTGTTGACATCTGTGTTATTGCCATAGCGCATAGGATCCTGCTCTTGTGCTATAGCACGACACTCCTCAATGAGATTCCGACACCTTGGCCAGCTGGCTACGGCAGCTTCATATACGGTTCTGTTGATGACGGGGCCATATGTGTTGTTGAAGGCCATTTCAGGATAGAAAGGCATCTGTGTAACGATATCCACACAAGCATTGACGAGACCGATCGTGTCAAGCTGTAGAGGGATAGCCGATCTATCGAGCTTTCCATCTTTGAGGAGCTGGTTTTGAGAGAGGAAGAAATTGGCAAAGGTTGGCACCCAGTGCCCTCCAAAGCTCTCACCCCACATGCTGAATCTGTGGCCTTTTGGTGTGAGCGCCGGGAATCTACTTACATTCAGCTCGACTCTGTTCATGATTGACCAACGCTTACTCTTTCATCCAAATCTGCATAAAGTGCCATGCCACACGAGCAGCAGCCACCGTCGTATTTGGTGTGCTAAGTGAGCCCTGTGCAGAGAATGTACCTGCTAGGACGGATGAGTTGGTTTCAAGGGCGTTCAGCGCAGTGTTTCCATGTGCTGTCACGTTGAAGGGTGACGAGAACTCATTGATTGTTCCATTGACGAGTGTGTCGTAGGAAAACCCGACCGAAACAGGCTGGTCAATGTAGAGCATGTTGACTTCATTTGTCCACGACCAAGGGTTTAGGATAGTATCAACAGAGTTCTCTGTCACTGAACATGGCCCATTTTCGCCGATAGCTGCCGGGATAGATGGGGAGCCAGGACCACCTTGAAGCCAAACCGAAAGGGGTGCATTCCGAGGGTCTTTTCGAGATTCGAAGAACCAAAAGAAGGTGTGTGTTGGGTAATCGCGTCCTTCAGCTGGGTCTAGGGGCAGATTCACATAACCAGTCCATGATCTCACGCCGGCAGTCGTTTCACAGATGTTTGTCTGCAGTATATGAGCTTGTTTGAGCCCGCACGATTCCTTGACAAGAGACCCACCTCTTTGTACGATAGCGAGACATTCGGATCCAGAGGCGAGTTGACAGTGACAGGTTTCCCTTTGGTGGGAATGGAGGTGGCAGGAGCGCTGTTCAAAAGGAGTGCAGTAATAAATGCTGAGAAGCAGGACTTCATGGTGCAAACGGGTCAAAAGAGTGAATAAGTGATTCAAGCTTCTGGAGGAAAAATCTTGCCTCCAGAGAGTAGAAGGTGGTTTATGTAGTTGTGGTTCTCAAACTCTCCTGTACCGACCACAATCCAGGGTTGCCCTAATGATAGATAGATTCTGGGCATGGACAAAGCTGCCGCAGCTGGTATCAAAGCCAACGTGGACATTCCATTGTAAGAGTGGCTGACCGAGTAGGTCAAGAAGACACCGCGTAATTGAGCCCCCAATTTGCCCTGGGATCTCCATGTAAGTCTACTTCAAGTGTATACAAACTTTGGGGGCCTGAAATCACGACTAAGATGATTCGTCGGCTCGGAAAAGTCACGATCTCGAGAGACTGGATACCTAGTCTTCCTGTCGGAAGGATGCATTCTATTCAGAATGCCGCGTAGCTATTAAACTAAGCACTCCATACTCTCGGTTTCGGCGTACAGTATCGTCGAATGCCGGAGTGTTCCGCAATATCGAGGCTGGCTGGTTCTATTGGGCCAGATGTCATGGAGTCGTGAAAAGCGCTGGGCACCGTACGCTGACAAGTATCTCGTATCATCGCCATCCAGAACAAGCATGGTGATTATTAGAGAAAATGAACTAAAATCGTAGTTTGCAAGAGGAAGAGAAGGTGTTGCTGTGGGCCAACAAAGCTCTCTTAAGCGGCAACTCCTTGTTTCCGCAATGGAGCGGCTTGTGCTGCTGTTTTAGCCATTCTTGGCCTCCGTGTGGTTCGCCGACATCATGGTCGAATCTCATTGAACGCCAGCTTCCACCTGAATCGCTGTGTTACACAAGAATAACGGCGGTGACAGGCAAAATCTGACATCCAGCATGGAGTCAACATCCCGGATCTCGTCCTTAATGGACCCAGGTGAGTCAACATGGATTCGTCCTGGCTTCAGTACGCTGATCCCACGCAAGCAAGAGACTTGACTGTGGATGCTGCTCAGGCCATGAGCAAGGCTCTGAAAGGCGGTAGCTCATCTTCACGGAACATACCTTTCACAAAACTGAAGGCACTTCTTGATAGCAGAAGCGATCGAGATATACTCGATGGGTTGAAAAGAGTCATATCCGTACGTTCCACTGTTGGCGACTGTACATCCCTTGACTAATGTTTGGGCAGATGATATATCAGAACAAACCATGTCTGCCATACTTTTCGTCTGTCGTCAAAAACGTTGCCAACCCAAATTTGGAGGTCAAGAAATTGGTCTACATCTATCTGCTACATTATGCGGAATCAGACCCGGACCTGGCGTTGCTTTCGGTCAATGCCATCCAAAAATCTCTCACTGATCAGAATCCCCAAGTCAGGGCTCTGGCCTTACGGACCATGTCAGGTATGAGGGTACCAGTGATTAGCCAGATAGTTTCCCTCGCCATCAAGAGAGGCGCGGGAGACATGAGCCCCCATGTCCGCAAAGCAGCCGCCCTGGCCATTCCAAAATGCTACAACCTCGACCCCAACACGCTACCACAATTACTCGACTACCTATCTACATTAATTGGCGACAAACAGTACTTTGTTGTCGGACCAGCTGTCCAAGCTTTTCTTGAGATATGCCCGGAACGAACCGACCTCATTCACAAACATTACCGTGGGCTGGTGAAGAAACTCGTCGACATGGACGAATGGAGTCAGTTAGCTACGCTACGACTCCTACTTTTTTACAGCCGCCGTTGTTTCCCTCAAAGAACAGAAAAAGTACCCAGAGTCAACAAAAAGGGGTTCTACGACGACGAACCAGACGAAGCCGTCGAAACCGACCAAATCGTCGAGATTCTCGACCCCGACCTGAAGCTCTTCCTCGACGGGTGTAAATCTCTCCTCCGGAGCCGAAGTCCAGCGGTGACAACCTCAGTTGCGAGTGTGTTCCTCTACCTCGGAACTAGAGATTACCTACAGGAAGCCGTCGGACCACTCATCGGGCTCATGAGGGGGGCTCCAGAAGTGGAAGAAGTCGCGCTATGCAACATCGTCTTGGTATGCTTGTCAGCGCCAGAACTATTCGTCCCATACTCGTTACATTTTTTAATGCGAGCCCGAGACTCGCCACAAATCTGGAAGCTCAAAATCGAGCTCCTGACTCTTATCTTTCCACATGCGGCGTTGAACCTCAAATCCATCATCTTGAGCGAGCTGGAGCATTTTTCTCACAGTTCCGATATCGAAATGATCCGCGAATCTGTGCGTGCAATCGGACGTTGTGCACAGGTGGACCCGAAGAATGCGCACCGATGTTTCAAAGTCCTCCTCAATCAGATATCGAGCTTCGACAATGTTTTGGTTTCGGAGGTGCTGACAGTCATGCGTCACCTCATCCAGCAAGACCCGACATCACACAGAAAGACCGTTGTCCGTCTGGCGCGAAATCTGGACCGGACCGCGAGCCCCGAAGCCCGCGCCACCATCATCTGGCTCGTTGGGGAGTTTGCAAGCCTCGATCCTGACAACAACATCGCCCCGGACGTTTTGCGTATACTTGTCAAAGGATTCACCGACGAGAGTGAAGCCGCCAAACAGCAGATTGTTCTGCTCGCAGCCAAGGTCTATCTGCTCTTTTTACAAAAGCATGTACCGACCGCCACGACCGACAACGACGACAACGGCCAGGAACAAAATCACGACAACGACAGGTCCGTGACAATTGACTCATCCTACATGGACCATGCAATATCGAAGGTGTGGAACTACATACTCCTGCTCGCTCGCTACGACACGTCGTACGACCTACGGGATCGAGCAAGACTTTTCAAGGCCCTCCTCTCCAACCCACAATCTATACAACTGGCCGCACTTCTCCTCCTCGCGCCGAAGCCGGTCCCTCATTCTCCATCGCCGTCCGAAAGCCGCAAGGGCCTCGTGCTCGGCAGCACCACGCTCGTCTTGGGCACGGACGTCGCCGGCGTCTTGGGTCTTCCGGGCTACGAAGAACTTCCCAAGCGGGTGGAAGAAGGGCTCGAACCGGACCCGAAGCTTCGTGACGTCGGTGACCTGACTGAAAAGGATGAGTACGTCCCCATGTCGGCAAGAGGAGGGGCAAGTGCCACGGTCGCCGCGAGCAAGAGACTCGACGCCGCCGTCAGGGATCAGGGGTTGGAAAAGGTCGTGGCCGCAGGAACGACCAAGCAGGCTGGATCGAAGCCTAGAACACTAGATGACTGGTTGGCCGAGAGTGAAGAAGAGGAGGACGATGAGGACGACGAGACCGAGGAAGAAACCGATGAAGGTACTGAAAGTGAGGAGGAGTCGGGTGATGAAGAAGAAGAAGAGGAGAGCGATGAAGAAGAAAGTGAGGACGACGATGAAAAGGGTATGCGTAAAGGTTTGATAAGTAAGGGATTGCCTTGAACGGGGCTTGTCCTTGTCCCGACGATTATACGTGTTTGTAGAAAAGTCACGTCGTGGTTCAGGTCATGACTTCCCAACTCCCCGACCACCAAGTATTCGATGAATCTCATGAAACATTTCATTTGACTACAATGTTCAATCTACAGAGTTGTAAATTCGAAAGAGAGAAAGCGGGGGGGGGAAAGAAGCTCACTTTCCACAAGGAAATGAGCAAAAGGGCAGAGTGTACTCACGCGGACAGGCTCCCAAAAACAAAAAAAAGGTATTGAGGTCTTGCCCGGATTCGAACCGGGGTTGCCGGAAAACTCATTTTGAATTTGACGAAAAACTCTTTCAGAATCCGGAGTGATAACCGCTACACTACAAAACCGATATGCGGCATTTGTGGGCGATAATTTGGGGACTGTGATATGTGAGCCTTGCAAATTCTTTTTCGGTGCCGATGAAAATCAAAGCTGACATTGGTTAGTGCCCTACTAGGTAAATAAATACCTCTGTATCCACTTACCTATGTAAGGCGACTCCCGGCGAGAAACAAGCACGTCGATAACAACATCAATGTACAATTTCGACGACTCTAGCTTGACAGGCATTCATCATATTGTTCATACTCAAATGGAGTACGAGTAGATAACGGGCTAGAATAATCAAACTCCCAATCCTTACGAAGTAAACATTTCTTCCGAGGTAGTCCGTACTTCAAGATCTTTTCTTGTGCATCATGCCTCTGATCTTTCGTGCAGCACCGACAATAGGATCACCAGCGTAAATGTCAGTAGGATCTTTCTCCTTCTTCTCCCTTTCTCTGCCACGCTCGCCACCCCACTGAATAGTAGGTCGGTTCGAGGGACCAGAAGCCGTCGGTTCCTGTACAGCAGCGCCAGCTTGACGTGGTTCCACGTCCTCGTCACTTTCACTAGAATCGTCATCGCCACCACCTCCCAACCCCAAAGCAGCCAGACGCCGTCTCTTTTCGGCGGCAGTCTCTTCACCAGCGGCATTTTCATCTTCCTCATCCTCCTCATCTTCCGATTTGATCCTCGCCAATCGACGTCTGCGCAAATCTGCCGCGGTCTGGCCACCTCCGTGTTTAGCAATGCTCGAACGGACATTGTGCGTAGGGATATTGAATTCTTCCTCGTCCTCCTCACTCTCTTCCTGCAAGGTCTTCTTCTGTTCGTCCGTCATCGCACGTTCAGGCCTAGGACGTCGGTGAGAGCTGAAGTAGTCCTCTTCCGGGGCGGGGAGATCACTCTTGGCTCTTCTGCGACCTTCCAGGCGATGAGCACTCAGATTCTGGCTTGTGGCAGTCTCCGCTCGAAGACGTCGAGGTCTCTCGCCGAAAGCTTCTTCATTGGCTGCTAGCCGTAGTTCGCGTTTGACTTCTTCAGGAGCATCACTTTCATTGACTTCTCTGATCTTGTTTTTGGGGTCCAATTGTTGCATTTGCTTGATGAAATCCTTGGTGGATAGTCGCCTTCCAGAGCCAAGAGCAATCGTACCTGGCGCATTGCGGACTTTCTTCTGCCCAGTAAGACCATATTGATCAGTTGACGAAATGATCATTCTTAACCCATCATCTTCATCTGAAGATGTTGAAGAACGACGGTTTTTTGGCATTGGCTTGTCTGACCTCGGCGCCGTCTCTTCGGCGCCATCTACCTGCGTAGGCAAATTCGTGACACCACTCGAAGGCACCCCACCGGAAGGCCCGGCCGCACCTGCTTGTTTGCCCAGCCCAACCCAGGTACTCATCCGACGCAGACCGTCTCTCAGTTGTTGCTCTCGATTGTTACCAACCTCCTCCGGTCCAAGCGTGTAAGTTTTGATAACTTCACCGTCTTCATCCTCGACAATGACCGTGTTACCGAATTGATAGGCATGGGCAGGACCTCGTTTTCGTTCGGGTTTCTTAGATGGCCCAGGAGCACCAGAGTCGTCTTGCTTGCGTTTGGCAAAGCCCGTCCATTGATCGAACCTCTGTCGCATCTTCTTCTGGGGCTGAGCGATAGCTTCTGCAGCCTCCTTCTCGACCTCCTCGCCTTCCGTCTTCGGGTGTGGGCGATGCTTGTGTTTGGCGAAATTGCCGCTTTCATCCTTGGCCAAGCGATTTCTTGCTTCTTCAATGCCTTGCACCTTTTCGTCCTCGGTCATTTTGCTGGTGTCAAAAGTGTCGACAACATTACCCTCCTCATCCTCGACAACAATGTCAGCTCCTTCCTCGTATACCTCAACATCTGCAGGCCTGTCCGGGGACGGTGGTCGAGGGCCTCCATGTTCCTCGGCCTCTGCTTCTTCCTCTGCATCCAGTCTGTCACGTTCATCCGAGGAGGTCTCATGCGGCGCAAGCTGATCCTGGCGACTCTCTGGCGAAGGCTCTCCAGACTTCTCAAACAGTGTGTCGGAGCCTGACTCCTGCTGAGCTAGAACAGCCTCTGACCGTCTTTGTGGCATTATGGCGCTCTGACTAATAGGTCCACCAACTCGATCTTGACCACCACTTCGTCTTTTCCTGCGCGAGCGTCCGAGACTGGAAGACCGGGATCCCGGCCTTTTCTCATATTCATCCTCACGCTGTCTTCTCAAGTGGAGTTTCGGAATGCCAATTGGTGGCAATTGTCCAGGCGGTACGTCGAGTTTCTCGTCCACGTCAAAGTCTGAGCTGTATGTACGTGACATCGACCTGGATTGCGAGGTGATTCTCGGGAGTCTGTTCATCCACGCCGAACCCTTCTCGTTGTCTTGAGTATATGATAGAGTCATGGTCAAAGTATTGATACGCTTGCCTAGGGTGAACACCGCAATGGATGACCCATGGACAAGGATAGAGGAAATCACCAAGAAGGTGACGACGGGCCACACCAGATATATCAGATCGTAGTCCTTGGTCCCGGGTGGAGGAAGGACGGCTAGAGGCTGTGTAGAATCTGTCTCTAGTTCGGCACGAGCCAGGATCGCAGCGAAGATAGCACCAACTCCAATAGGACCAAAATGGCCAGCAAAAAGTGCTTCTCGCCAAGTTTTGACATCTGGTATAAGCGGTTTCAGCAACATCATAGCCGGGATTCGTCGGAAGAAAATGACAAAGATGGCGATAACAACGAGCCTCCATGGGACCAGTCCGTGAGCTGGTGAGTTGTACTGATCCCACGGGATGATGGTGCCAAAGTAGACGAAATAAGCCAAGTTAATAAGCAAGTCAATAACGTTGGACACGTGTGACTCTTCCGTCTTTTCGGTGAACCAGCCGTCGTTCGAAAATCCTACTCCAGCCGCGAATCCGATCAGAAGATCGTCCATGCCTAGAAGACTACCGGATCCAGCGCAAAACAGAGCCAGAACAAAGTAGAACACCAAAAAGCTTTCACGATCGATCAAGCCCTTTCGTTCCGCCATTTTGATTGCGTGTCGTCCAATGTAACCCACCATGACCCCGTAGAAAGCGCCGAAAATGCATTCGTAAAGAATCGTATAGCACGTCCAGTGGAAGACAACTTCACGACCAGACAGATCATAGCGTAAGAGATATAGCGAGAGGTAGATGAATGGAAACGCCATGCCGTCGTTGCACCCCGATTCGGCAGAGAGAACATCTCGAAGATGTTTTGGCACTCGCTTCGCGAACTTGCCCTTACCAACCACAGATGACGCCAGGACGGGGTCTGTGGCGGTGACGCATGCCGCTATCGCGAGGGATTCCAACCATGACAAAGGCTTGATCATCCACCAAATGAAAAGACTGGTAATGAGCCACCCAAAGGTCATGACCGGAACAAGCAAAAAGGTGACAGATTTCCAGTGTCGTTCCATGTATGCCTTGGGCAATTCCACACCGACCGCGAAACACTGGACCACCAGTACAATGCGAGAAAATTCCAGCGTTATCTTATCCGTGTTTCCCCAGCTCAAGGGGTTGATCAGATCAGCGGCATGAGGACCGAAGATTACACCACAAATGGTGGCTACCGTGGCTTCGCCAATATACAACTTCTCCTTGATGAACAGCGAACATAGCATGAATATGCTAGTAAAGCCACCCAGGATAATATAAACCAGATGTGGTTTGTCGATTGCCAACTGATGCCACGCCATGGTGAATCGATCGTGCAGGGAGCCCCTGATCCAAGCCTCCTACTCTTCCTCCAAGCCCCTGCGATTGTGTACTGCCAGTAATTGTAGGGTGACAGACTCCTCCCAAGACTTTTTAAAGATCGATAAAGAATGGCTGGCGTGCGTCGACGCAGAAGGTGCAAGTACCGTAAAAGAGTGGCTGAGATTCAGATAACAAAGCCTCTTCTGTATTATGTATGGGAATTTTGCCCAGTTACAGCACTAAGCTCTTTAATTATTACCCCCAATCGTTGCTTTCCCTTGGTGTCAGATCGTGGTGTAGTATCCGAAGCATTCAGGGAGGGTGCACACTGGCAGGAGGGGAAGAAAGTCTCAGGAGGACAATGGAGGTAGTTCCTCAGGCGGCAAGAGAGGTCGCTGAAGGAGTGAGAGTTGCGAGGTTGGTGGAGGCGACAGAACTCGTCGTAGAGAACACCTCGATGGACACCCCGATGGGTACGCTGTGGAAGCCGCAAAGTAAGAAACTTGTCTTGACGGGCTGGGCACGGCTTGGGTTGGGCTTAGTGAAGCACACTCAGCAAATTGACTGAGCTTGAATGTCTTTGCACAAGGGAGAAGAGGACATGCCAAGTTGCAGCAGAGGCGACGATGATGAAGGACAAGGCTCGGCGTCTGGATAATCGGTGGGTCGTCCGCCAATGCTATGTTACCGTGAGAAGTGGTAGTGCCTTGAAGGATATCACAAGTCGAAGAATGGTGCTGAACTTCTTCGGTGAGAACAAGCCCCGGGTTTATGATCCCTGTAGGCCGAGCAGAGCGTGGGCTGCAAGCGCCAACCACGGTCGACGCCACTTCAGATTCGCTTTAGACACGGACTCCCGGCGGATACAGATCCAGGGTAAGTCCTTATGATGATATTTCTTTTTTCTTCCCTGTGAGATAGCCCGCTCCTTTTCTACCTTTGTGAATCACATTTGATTTGAACAGATGCAGGCAGATTCCTCTCGTATCGATTGTAATCGATTGGAGGACTCGACTTCCTTTGGTTTGTCTTCGTGAAGAGAGATACTATGCAAATTGTCATACGAATGCTCCGCCCTCGCTGATACAATACGCCTAGGACGAGGGCTTGCGAGCAAAAAGATGGGTCGGCGGATAGGGTGGGAAGTAGGGCTGGTGTTGTTGAGGGCTCGTGGTTGGTGGAGGGCTCGAGAGAGTCGGCTACAAGGCACATTAGAGGGGGAAACAAAAGATGAGCCGCACCAGGCTCACTTGGCCACGCCTGGACTAGTCTTGGCTTTGGGTTGCCACTGATATCCGGACCTCTAGGTACCAATCATGTATTCACACCTAAGGATTCTACCTTACAAATATTGCAGGTAATTGTACCCTCATCAGCCCAGTGATACTTCCAGGCGTACTCGCCTTTGGCATCCGCGGGAAGACGTATCTCGACGCGACGATCTGCAGCTTTTTATCATCTGTTGAATTAACTCTGGCATGGATAGACCTCAACCTTTCGCCTTGTCAGCCTCGGTGTACTCGTGCCTTGCCTGTACATCAACGCCCAGGGGGTTTTTGGACGCCTGCATAATCGGCTACGGGACAGACGGCAGCTACGTGGGGGGGTACGAGTCCTGTATCTGCATCCGCGGGCATGATTTTGATTGCAGGGTGTTTGTGTAAGTGCCCAAAGGACAGAGTATTGCGAGTCATGCTGTAGACAGGTGTATCTGACCTTGTTCAATATTCTTCCATATTCATCATGTGTCACTGTTCAGACCTATTGAACCGACAGAGCCTCTGTTCTTTGTCACCAGTGTCAGGAACATTTTCATCCATGTGCCAGTGCAGGATCCCATACACCACATCAATCAGTGCGCAAGCTCTTATGCTAGCATGTCACACTACCTCAGGTAACTCAAGCCACGGTACCTGACAGCTGGCAAGTCAAGGTGTCACCAACTACGAACGAAAAACGCCACCGAAGACACTCAGATGATGTCTTCATGGTGGATTAACCGCCCAAGAAGAAAATAACCGTCCCATTACTTTTTGAAGTTAATGCACATAAAAGTCAACATACTTCCTCGGTTTCGCGAGATTTGTTTTCGTCTCTGGGGTATATCTCAGTCGTGTGTCTTCACAAGTCATATGTACTGGCACTGTCGCGACAAGGCCATAATTAAAAGTATCGATAAAAAGCTGCAATTCGAAGTTCCAAAGAAAGAATTCTGTTAGAAGTCGTAATCTGCTGGAGCGGAGGCGGTGAGGCGGCAAGTCACCACAGATGGCATCAAGAGCCAGAAACCGAGGCCAACGCTCGTTCTCTGATGTGGTTGGCCTGGATTTCCAAAGACCGTGCCATCAGCTTGAAGACTAGAACACAAAGTCAGTACAATCATCGTTCCACACGCTGCTTACACGTACCTGGCCAGACAGCATCCCTTTCCAGTAGGTATGCTGTGAGAACAAGTATTCTGCTCCCGTGGCCGCCTTCCTGAGCCATGCGAAGATCGAAAGAACCCCGGGCCTCGATCTTCTGCTCAGCACTGCTCAACACTTCATCAATTTTCTGGATCAACTTTCGATCCTCGTCCTCAAGCAATAGAATACCAGGGACCTCCATCAAATTCATTTCGTCCCTGCCGATAACACCAATGTATTTCCCGACTCGTTCTTGCACGGTCGTGATCCATTCGGCCAACACTTGCGCACAATCGAAGGCGCACATGGCTGACTGCACAGGCAGCTCCCGAGAGGTATACTCTGCAAAGCTGAGCCCAAGCTTGTCGGAAACGGACAAGGAATCTGCCGCGTAGAACGCGGCTTTGCGCAAATGTTTTTCACGCCTGGAAGAAAGGGCCTGGTGGAGGTCTTGATCCCGCTCCACCTCTCCTTCCTGTCTCGAAGTATCTTGTGGAGGTGTTTTCATCTGTGGCTGAGTCTTTGAATTATATCTTCTCGTGGGGGAAGGATTTTCGTTGACGCCATTGGGCCCACCTCGATTGTGGACAGATTCCAAGCCCTTCGCCAGTTCCTCTGCCATGGCATCGTAATCACGCTGCCAGAAAGCTTCTTTGGACCTTCCAAGATTGATAAACAGTCGCACATATGCCAGGTCAAGTAATGGAATACAGTCAGCGGATAACGGTCCAGCACCGAAGGGATTTGGGCGTTCCAGGCTATGAGTTGGGTTACTGGCCCAAGCCGCTTGCCAGGCACGGAGCGCTGGTTCGATGTGAGCATGCATCTGCTCTGTCTCGCTCGTCGTCCATTGACGTCCCAGGTGTCTCTGCCGCGTCTCCCAGATGTAGTTGTGCAGTGCGTTGACAAGAATTAAGCAGCCAAAGGTACTGGGTCGCAGCTCCGGCTCATTCGTCGTTCCGAAGGCAGCAAGCGCACTGCTTTGCCGTCTCTCTCTTTGCGCGGCCATTAGAAGATGAGTCAAGGAATCGGCAAATGTAGTCGGACTTGAATCAGCGCCAATAGTGCCGCCGTAGCTCTTCCAAATCTGAGCCGATTCGGCCGCCCATAACTGTTCGTCGCAAGGCAGATTTAACCTAATCTCCGAGTTGGTCAAAGCCGGTGGGTGGTTGTACGCCGTAACAAGCATGCTTGAAAGGATGAAAACTGAATATAGCGTCCGCTTGCGTTCTTCTGCAACCTTCCATTCGATCCAGTTAGACTCATCGACTTCATTGGCTAGCTGACCCCAGCTGTTCTTTGACGCATCGTCGATGTCCATCTTCGAGCCTTGAGGGCTGTAGCCTGATGTGGGTCGTGCGAGTTCTGCACCACGGGCCAGGCTTACCAGAGCAGCGCAATGGTTGCTAGCAAGTTCTGCAGCAGTTTTATCTCCACAATTATGCCCATAGATAACATTCAAAAGCATAGCTTGGACCAACCACAACGGTGTGTCTTCTCGTTCTGTTGCATGCTTTGGCGCGAACTGAGTTTTGGTCATGTTTGCCTTTCGTCGCTCCTCGAGATAACTGCTGATAAGTCGTTTGGCGCACTCAAAAAGATCCCTGGACTGGGACATTTCATGTTCATACAAAGCTCCAATGGCTGCAATCGACAAGATTAAACAGCTGCCTCCTCCAGTCACAGTTGGATGTCCGTAGGGCGATTGGCCCGAAACAAGTCGAACAGGAGTTGTGTAATCGGAAGACTCGAAGTTAAGAGTAGGTATGTGGAGAAAAGGTAAATGCGGATGGAAGAACCGAATATAAGACGTTACATACCGCTGTAGATCGCTGGTGGAGGGGAAGGTGTTTGCATTGAAGCTTCGGGGACGAGAAGAGGCGCCTGGAGATAATGGTGAACTAACTGCTGGCTGGGAGTATTTGCGCTGCCCAAAGCCTGTTGTCTGACACAAGCCTGCAAGCAACACACTTCTGATGTGGTCGGTCACAAGGTCATAGGACGTTGTTGTTACCGAGCTTTGTCGAAGACTCGAGTCCATGGACGCGGTAGAAGCAGTAGACTCAGGGCCATCCTTGCTGAATGGTAACTGGAGGCCAGGGAAGTGTAACCCTGAAGAGTCAATGGCTACCATATCGGGAGGAGTTGGTAGGCTTAGGTCCATAGAACCTCCTCGGCCAAAAAGAGACTTTGGAGAGATGGTGCCTATTGAAGGCTGTACCATTTCGTTAAAGCTGGCCATGAGCTCCATACTCACAGGGCTATTGACCATCGCAGCTTGATTTGCGAGACTGCCTGTCCACATTGGCGCGACAGAGCCTACAGCCTGTTGCATTGCACCAATAGTTGGATGACCGGAGAGTTCGTTCAAACCATTAGGACTGTTAGTGCTCATAGCTGAAGGTGAAGAATCGTCGATTGCGTTCTCATTGGCCTGTGCGAATGTCATTTGGTTCTCGAATCCCTGAGCCATCCAATCGAAGGCTGCATCGTCGTCTGTCAAGGCTTGCGACGCAGACATCCCTCCAAACAATTGGTGGAAGTGCATATTTGAACCATCTAGGCCTCCGCCTGATACGTGCAAGGCATGAGGATTGATAGTATCGCCATGGTCAGTTGGCATGTCTAAGGAGCCAAGGTCAAACTCTGCTCCGAAGCCACCAAATGGCGGCGCAGTGCGCAGACCACTGGAGAGGTCGATGGGAAGGCCAGTTTCAAGCTTTGGCAGATCAAATGGATGATGATTTATTGAGGCAGACCGGTAATGAGAGCCTTGGAAACCTCCAATCATACTCATACTGCTATGATGATGGTGATTTGGCACGACCTGGCGACCATTAGCTCCGATGGAGTTAGCCAACATGCCCAGAGTTGCAGAATCAACGTGACTGAGGGTATTCGCTCGAGGTCTCATTGTCGCTGGGCCGCTTGTCGTTGAGTTCTTACGAACACGACCGTTTGCGACGCCAGCAACACTTTCACGCCGACTGCCCCGCGGGCGCGAGGCGGGTGTAGTTGAGGAGTGTAGCTTTTGCTGATGCCGAAGGAGTAAATCACGTCGGGCAAAACATCGTGTACATTCTGGGCACTCAAATGGTTTCTCCTTTGTATGAGAGCGCTCGTGACGCTTCAAGTGTTCCAGCCTCGCAAAGGATCGTGTACAGGTGATGCATACATGGGGCCGAGGCTTGTCAGTCTTCGGGGGAGGATGTTTCGGGGCTTCTGGCCCATTTGGGGTGCTTGTAGCCTTGTTCGACGGCAGTTCAGCACCTGTACTGGGTAAGAATGACGAGCGTACAATT